AACTAAATTAATAACTTTACAGTAACTAATTGTTAAGCAGCTAAAACATAATTTTAACAATAACTAATTATAACTACTACCTATTAAAATTCGGTTTTTATATCAATATCAAAAATGGCTAGGCCTCCCAAATCTTAATTTCTTATTTAAATCTTCGGATCTAACTGTTAACCCCAACTAAAATTCGCCTTACTTTTCTTATGCACGATCGGCTAATTTTAAACTAATGATTATCTAATTAACTAATTAACTAATTCTAATTTATCTTTCAATTTCGATTTGTAACAATTATTCTAAATGACTTTGTAACCTAAATTTTCAAGATTTAGTGTATTTATCTAACGAGGTTCCCTAATGAGGAATCATATTCGATTAAAGACAAAATGTTTTGTTTGCATATAACTATTCCAATACTCTAATTTCTTGTTATTTAATTAAATCTTCTTAAATAATCGATTAAATTCACTAATCAATTAAATTTGAAAATTGATACAAAACATAAGAACTGGGTCTTAGGGCGTACCGATCGAAATTCAGGTGACGATTCCACGATCCTCACTTCCACGATCCTCACAAAGAGAGGAAGATTTTGTCCCTTGGTGCCTCGCCGGAGGCTCGCCGGCCGGTCATCGTACCGCCATCGCCGCCGCCGTCCACGGTGGCCGAAAAACCATCTTTGCCCAGAAGTTTGCGATTCGCACACCAAATTGCTCGAAATCTCGTAGGGAGCTTGATTTTGACGTCCGCTTGTTGAGCTCGTGGCTGGTCTAGCCGGAACGAGCATTGACAGCCACTGTCACCATTGCCGTCGATCCAAAGGAGGAGAACCGCATCTCACCTGAGCTGCAACAGCCGCCGGAGACGAAGAGAAGAACGAAGGAGAGACCGCGCTTCTCCGTGATGCGAGAGGAGCCGGCGTCGCCGGAAAGTCGCGGAACAGGAAAGCTCGATGCGATTCCCGTCGCGACTCCTCCTACGCTGCCACTCGCACCAGAGACAAATAGAGAGAGAGACGAGATCAACGCTGTGGCGAGGAGACGACGGCGAGGAGCTCAGGTGGTCGGAAAACGAGAGGTGAGGGGGGGGTCAGGCGGTCGGAAAAATGAGAGGAGGAGAAGGGGAGGGTGGGTCGCGCGCTTGGTGCTGGCGCAAGGAAGAAGAAGGGAAAAAAAAAGAAAAAGAAGAAAAGAAAAAGAAAAAAAAAGAAAAGAAAGAAAAAAAATCTTGGGCCTTCTAGACCATTCCGGTTCGATTCAAACCGGTTTGGTCTAATTTCAATGATTGGGCTCGACTTGCTTGGTTTTCGACTTTTCGAATTGGTTTACGGGTCCAGTTTAGCAATAATAAAATACCAGCTGGTATAATTTCATTGGTTGAAATAAAAAAATTTAGTTTTTAAATGAAAATTCTATGAAATTAAATTTTCGGGTCGTTTCAATCTTCCCCCCTTATAAAAAACATGAACCAATTATGATATTTGATTTTTACGGCGATAAAATAAATTCTATATATAATACATAATAGATTATTTATATATATACATAATAGATTAATTGTTGGACTTTCATTTTATTAGTCGAAAATTTAACTGTTCTCGATTCAAAATTTTTTTGACATTATATTTGGGCTTGGGCCCGATTTGCAAAACTTGAACTCAAATTAAAATTGTTCACTATTTACGGCCCATACCGTCGAAAATTCAAATTTTTGATTTAATAAAAATTCAAAGGTTTCGAAAATAAAAATTCAGGGTGTTTCAGTTAGCAATATCTATCTATACTACATATAAAAGTGAGAATGAGGGGGAGAATAATGAGATTGTCAATATTGTCCTTGTGAAATTTAAGATATCCTAAAATAATTTCAGTTTTAATCTATTAAAAAATGTTAACCTAAAAATATATATAATATTTCTATAATTTGATTGGACTTTTTTGACTTTTCAATAGATAAATAAATATAAATAATTAAGCATTTTAAAATTTTAAATTTTTACTATTATTATCTTATTATTTCTAATTTTATTTTATTTTATTACATTATTATGTAAATTAATAATAATAATTTAAATTAATAATTAATCAATTTAATATCTTTTAGTAATTTATTATTAATTATAATATTATAATTTAGCTTGCAACATTATATTTTAACATAAATATGTAAATGCAGCCATTGGGGAAAATGCCTATTTTTTCAATTTACTTAAAATAAATATACTCGTAGACCTGATTCAAACTCTTCATTTAAGAACCACGGATTAGTTAAATTTCTTTAATTACAAAATTGCCAATTCTCAACTTTGGTTACCAAAAAAATAACCGATCATAAAATTTATTATTTTTACAAACAATTATTATTATTATAATTTATAATTTAGCTTTCAACATTATTATTTTAAATAATATATGTAAATGAGGCATTTGAAAATTTTATTTTTTTTAATTTATTAAAATAAATATATCTAGATGATTCAAATTTCATTTAAGAAGGATATAGTTAAATTTCTTTAATTACAAATTGCATTCTAATTTGGTTAGCCAAAAAATAAGATATAAAATTTATTATTTTTAAACATCTCGAATTTAATTAGTTATGCTAATATTTTATATAATTCAAATCTTCTTTTTATTAAAGAATATAATTTTATTAATAATTTTTAAAATGCTTTCATGATTTTTATTGGCTAAAAAAATAACAATAAAAATTTATTATTTTTATAAATATTTAATTTGATTTATTAAATTGATTTCTTATTTTATTGTTAATGTATATTTATTTACTATAAGAGATTACAATAAAAGTTATTAACAAAATATGTGAATTAATTATAAATATGATGATTTTTATAAATCAATTTTATTTTTCGTTATAAAATAAAATGAAAGCAATTAACGTATAATAAAAACTGTGAATAAAAAAAGTGTAATATAATTTAACCACTTAATTTAAATAAGAATTTATACTTTAATATTATATAAATAAAAAAATTAAATGAGAATGAAGAAATGAACATATCACGAGCACAATCAACGTGCAACGCACGTTATAAAGAAGACCGGTTATTAATAAATGTGTGATTTATTAGTTAATTTTGATAAAATACAAAGATAATAATAATTTAAAAATATAAACACGAATTAGTTAATTATTAGAAAAAATAATGATTTCTCCTTTAAATTAAAGTTTTTCAATTTGATACTTCTAAACCGGAGCGGGTCTAAAATTGTAGGCGTAAGCCTCTCGTTAGGCTTAGGCTGGCCTATGGGCCACCGGCCTATTGCTCATTCCAACGAAATTTTGTATTGCGCTTGACAACCTATGACTTGATTTTGTCAAAATGGTTAGAAATAAGAGAGAGCACTAAATGTTTATAATAATTCAAATTAAGTTTATTTTGGTTTTTTTTTTATTTAATTTTTAAGATTAATCGGTTTGGATAAGTTATCTAACTCAATCAATCAAGTTTGATTTTTTAAATTAAATCAATTTGGATCGATTATTAAATTTAAAATTTTTTATGATGGTATATATATATATGTTTTTTTAAAAAAAATACGTATTTCAATCCTACGCTTCACGTAAAGACTAGTATGGCACCTCATATTTTACATGAAAATTATTGCACCCCTAAGATTTTATTTGTTTTTATAAAATAACTTGTAAGAAAATATTTTTTACAATTTTTCATTGTTTGGGGCGTTTAAAAAAATAAGTTAATGGAAAATATTTTCCTAATAAAAGAAAAATTGAGTCATTTTTTAAAGAAAATAATTTCTCATCTTCAAGTGAGTAAAACATTTTTCAGACATTGACAAACCTTATAAATCCATATTTTTTAATTTATTAATCATCGTAGTCACTACCACCAATCACCATTTACCACCGGCCACCGGCGGCCACCACCACTGGTCACCGGTGGCTTTTATAATTTACATTTTTTTTATTTGCATTCTTCTCATATTTAATAATAAAATTTTAAATTATAAAACTTCTATTATTATTAATATTTTTTATGGTCTTATGAGATAAAAAAAACTTTAACATTTGTAACTAATTTTCAATATTATAACCAAACGATGAAAAATAAGTCATTTGAAAAATATTCTTAGAAAATATTTTTCAGCAAGTTATTTTCCTGCAAATTATTTTAGGAAAACAAACGGAGCATAAAATTATGAATTCTAATAAAATTATATACTTCTTTATACTAATAATAATATTTCTTTTTAGAACTTTTTGCTTTTATATGCAAAAAATATTTCAATGCGTAGTATAACTTTTGAAATAATAATTTTTACATTATACAACTATTGAATAAGTATTTAATTGATTTAATTTTATAACTTGAAATATTTAATAGAAAAATTTTATAAATATAATATTTAATAATGCAATTTTATAAATTAAAGTATTCAGTGTATCAAATTAAAAGTTGAGAATATTATAATATTTTTTAAATATAGTATAAGGGTGACTTTATACCTTTTCTGATATTTTCAATAGAAAAAAAAGATTTATCTATACTTATTCATGAGTTCAAAAAATTTTATTGCAATTGATTTTTTTTCCGTGAATGAGCCCATAAACCGAGATTAAACAAATTTTATCCTTCAGAGTATTATTTTACTAGTTGGTGAGTGAGAATTTTATGTGGAAAAAAAATCCCGTATTCTGTATCTAATTCTATCAATAATTAATTTCTCAATACTAAATATATTTTAGAAATTATTTTCAATAAAGTTTGTACATTTCCACATTATTAATTATTTTAAATTTAAAATGTCAATAAAGTAATTTTTTTTTTTGAAAGGTAAATCATTATTTATTTGGATATCAACATTAAGAATTTAAAATTAATATACGTACTCTTATTTTTTTATTTTTAATTGAAATAATATATATACACATTAGGAAATACAGGAGGTTTTTGAGCTGTCACAATTAATACTATTAATGTTACAACTTACAAATCCTAATATTTAATTGAAAATGGATAGAAAAAATTAAAAAAAGAAAAAACAAATCTGCAGTTCCGTCAGGTTTCTTCATTCCTCTCTTGCCGTTTGTCCTCGAAATTAGGGTTTCTCACTGTTCTTACATATACTGATCCATTAGTTAAAAGGTACTTTCTTATCTAATTATTTATTTCGTTTTATTTTTATATTTTAACTAATTAAGTTTATTCAAATTCTCTTTTAACATTTACTTTTGATTCTGAAACAATCTTTCTTGATCAATTTGATTCCTTAATATGGTTTTATAACTCTGTAGCTTATTCATTTAGTCATGGTAGCAAGAAATAGAGCTTTTAATTTTAGGCACCCATGAACTAAATGCAATGGTGTTTAAAATACGGATAAATATTTCTGAAACGCTATACAGAGACGGCCGTGGCTAAAAGTTTCCGTGCATCGTAATTATATATAACTTACGGCATAAATATTTCTGAACGCTATACAGAGACCGGCCGTGGCTAAAAGTTTCCGTGCATCCGTAGATTATATATACATATATATATATATATTATATATATATATATATATATAATAAGTGAAGCTTCTCATATGTACCTAATCCCTAACTTAACGAGCTTGACATTCCTGTCTTTAATATTAGGTGTTCACCATTTCTTTGACTTCTTGACATGTTATGTCTTTATATATATATGATTATCCTCATGGTTTAGTCTGGCCCAAGTTCATCTGGCCAAATCCTTTTCATTCTCTTCACCAATTAACCGAATAAAATCTTAGGGCAACCTAAAATGTTACACCTCAATATTTTTAATATTCGAGAATTATATATTTCTGACAATCTCTTAATTTCCTTAGAATGGGAACTTGCGTCAATAAGATATATAAGTGAAGCTTCTCATATGACCTAATCTAACTTAACGAGTCTTGACATCCTGTCTTTGAATATTAGTGTCACATTCTTTGACTCTTGACATGTATGTTTATATATATATGATTATCTCATGTTTTAGTCTGCAAGTTATCTGCCAAATCTTTTCATTCTCTTCACAATTAATATAAAATCTTAGGCAACTAAAATGTACACTCAATATTTAGATATTCGAGAATTATATATTTCTGAAATTCTAATCCTTAAGAATGGAACTTGGTCAATAGCCAGGAAGTAAAGCCATTTACTAATTGGAACAACGTTAACTTCAGATTTGGCACTTCTTTTGTCTTGATTATTTTGGTCTTAATTGTTTAATCTGTTTGGAAGATTTCCTGGTTGCCGGTCTTGCTAAGCTGTCTTGAATTTTTATTATTCAATTTGATTATTTCAAATATTGGTCTAGTTAGCATTGCTCTCAATCGGTTAACCCAATGTAATAATGAATGTTTTAGAAAACTTCAACAATGGCAATCTCCGGAAGGAAGAGTACTTGTGTAAAGAGGATAGTAACCAGAAAGAAGGTTGCTGCTGTTTTTACTGACCGCTCATCAATGGAAGATGATATTGATTTTGATAAACAATTTCTTGTTAAAGAAAGCAACTTTGATGATGATAATGAGAGTATGTGGCTATCTTCAGTTGTTTCGTCTCCTTGCTCCCTTTTCGAAGAAGAATATAAATTCTTTACTTCTTCATTTTACTCATCAATGGTAGATGATATTGATTTTGATAAACAACTCCTTGTTAAAGAAAGAAGCTTCGATGATGATAATGACTGCACGTGGCTATCTTCAGTTGTTTCATCTCCTTGTTCGCTTTTCAAAGAAGACTATATATTTTCTACTTCTGCATTGGAATTTTCTGTTGATGATAAGAAAGTTGCTTCTGTTATTTCTGAAAACTCATCAATGGAAGGTGATATTGATTTTGATGAGCGACTTCTTGTTAAAGGAAAAAGCTTTGATGATGATAGTGAGTGTATGTGGCTATCTTCAGCTATTTCATCTCCCTATTCGCTTTTTGAAGAAGACGAAATTCTTGTTAAAGAAAGAAACTTTGATGATGATAGTGAGTGGACGTGGCTATCTTCAGCTATTTCATCTCCCTCTCCGCTTTTCGAAGAAGATGATTTTTCTACTTCTTCATTGCATCTCTCTGATGATGATCAATTGCTAATTCCATGGCTGTCAGAATTGAATAATTCAATAGAACTAAATCCTGAGGAAGAGGCATCTTATTTGGCTCTCTGGAGAGAAACTTTAGATGCAGAAAGTATTTCCAAGGAAAATTTGAAGGAAGAAGATTCTCCTTCTTCATCGTCGTCTATGATATCAGATTTAGATGGACTGAGTTTTTCAGTTTCATTAATAGATCTTGAAGGTGAAGATTCTGAATGGATTTCTGATACAGAATTGGCATTGCAAAATTTTGAATCAGGCTTTAACAATCCTTCAACACCTCCAAGTAATGTGAAATATGAACACACGCAGTATTGTGATAGTCCAGAGGCTGCAGATTTTTCGGATTTTGACATAAAAGAGCTTCTTTTCTGGCCTTCTGAATCCAAAATTGATTGGAAGTTAGAACAAACTTGGAAATCTTTTTCCATGTCTCCTTTCTGGTCTCCACCCAAACTAAGAACTCTTCCAGAGACCTCTTATTATAAATCACTGGGATCAAAGTATCAGGTTAAGGAAATGGATGCCAAAAAGGGTTGTAGGCGAAAGCTCGAGTTCAGCTCAAGCTCGATGACATCAAAATTATGCAATAATAATTGTACCAAGAAAATGGAATCTAATTTGAAATCAAAGTGCATGGCTAGAGAATTCTTGCAAGATGATATTACAACAAATAGAGAACTTCCAATTGAGATGTTATTAGGATTGGAAGAGTTTGATGGGCATGAAGGGGTTGATTCCGAATTCAATGAAGATGTTTTTTCTCTAGATGACTCTCTATGAAGATCCAATCCGACCTTTTTTTTTATTTAGATATTACATGTAAATAATTCATATGTAGCTGACGGTAACAAACAATATGTTTTTTGTAGGTAGTAATGTTCAACTAACAAAATATGAACAATTCAGTTTGGTTAAGCAGTTTCAATCCTACAACCTTATCAATATTGTTAATTTCATATTAGTTTTGTGAACTGCTTTTCAATGCTCAAGGCTTTTGGGTATTCCAAGCAGTGTAGAATTGTCAATACCGAAACATTCACCTATGGAGAGAGGCGCACTATAGGTCTTTGGCCCTATAGTGCTATAGAGCTCCTTTCCCATGGAGCTATAGGTTATGATACCCACAATTGATCTCACTTAGGGTTCAGTCCTGCATAAGTGCACATCGGTCCGAGGTACAGTGGAGAACATTATGCTGAGTCTCCCTTAATATGTCCTACGATTGTCTACCATCCAACATATCAATCTCGACTCTCATGATCTTATAATTGTCTCTAGCCCTACCGTGGTATGGCTGCACGGGTATGGACGGTACATTCACATTTCAATTTCAATGTTTATGAAATATGAACACATTTCCGACACTTTGTAAATCAATATGGTACACTTCTGAAGCTAAAACGTAAGTCTGTGTGCTATTTTTTCTATGAATATTTGTGTCGGCACGTTTACATTGTATCAGTGTATATTGTGTTTCATATTTTGTCTCAATGCTTCAAAAGAAAAGATATTGTTTCTCAGTTTTAGGTAAAACTGCTAATCTTTTCCTAAATTACATGAGAAAGCAAATTGTATTATATCTTTTTCAGATTTAACCATATATCCAACCAGTTTTGACTTTATAGTATTATATGTCATTTTTAAAATTCTGAAATTGTAAAATTTTAATCTTCAATTGAAATAAAAATAAAAAAAAAAATTGTAGCTATAATAAATTAGTGGTGGCATAAATATTCTAATGGTTAAAAATTAGATTAAACATCTGATCGATAATATTTTATTAGCAATTAGCTATTTTACTAGCTATTAATTGTCAGTAGGCGTCACCATAAATATGTTAAGTCTATTGTAAAATTATAAAAACTATATGTATAAAGAAAAATACGAGACAAAAATAAATAAGATGAATGACATTGATTTCCATGATTAATTATGGAAATCCATGGCTTTATTTTACCTATAAAATTAAGAGATTTATTATTATTATTTTAATTTTTTTTCCTTCTTCATCTTTCACTAATACCTACCATTATATCAATAATGTCAATTAGGGTAAGGTAAGCCATGGACATTGAAAAATTTAGTCTCCAACTACTCTTTTTCCTACTAACTCTTTATCTCTATTTTATGGCAATGTCTCTTTGTATCTAACTCAAAGTCAATAGAAGCATGAACAATTCTAATTTGGGTTATCATAAATGGAAAAATAAGTTGATTTGATGTGAAAAATTTGTGTTTTATGGGACCATCTCTTACAAAATGTCAAAATGTCTTCATACATATTACATCAAGCATGTCTAAATTTGATTAATCTCAAAATAGTCATATATATGATTTTTATAATTTAATAATAATAATAATAATAATATTATTATTATTATTATTATTATTATTATGAACCCACTTCCTATTGCCATAAATAGAAGAGGACCCATTTCTCCAATTTTTTTGGTCAAATTCCACATGTTTCTGAATAGTCAAAATCTCACATAATCTTTACCAAATAATTGACCAATTGGTTGAATGAATCAGCCAAATTGAATTTGTAATTAATTAAAAAAAAAATTGAGTTCCTTTGCATATTGAACTCTTAAATATTGCATTGTCAATTCTAATTGTTTTTATTTTAATTTATGTGCTAACTATGTTGATTTGATTAAAAAAAATGGTAACCAACACGGATCTCTAAATGATTTTCTTTATATTTAATTATTTATCTTATTTTTTTAGCTTAATAATCTTGATTAGTATTATCATTTGGGTAGGCTAGGCTATGATTTGAAAATTTATTATGCAATTATATGAAAATTTGAGAAATTTGTCGACTCCAAATACGGTATGATAAAAACTGATTTATACCCTCAGAGTGATTTATTTTATGTGAACCGTAGCTATCAGCTATTTTACAAGAGTTTTAATAAGATCAATTTCCTGTTTGGTAATAGTTTTAGAGCTAATTTTACTCTATTTCTATTAATTGTATCGTTCGGTATAACTTTTAGAGGTTGACAGAGTTTTTTATGAAATATTAAATACCATAATTTTAGCGTTTCACATGGATTAATTAAATTTCTTTGACAATCATACCTATTATTTTTTCCCTGAATTAAAAGCTAATAACTAAGAATTAACTGTTAATACAAAATTGCTTAACAACTATTAAAATAACTAATATTGTTGAACAAGCCTTAAAATATTAAGAGTAAATACTACAAGAATAGTGTTCTTTTTTTAGAAAATAGAAATAGTATATACTGTAAATAATAAAAATATCATTTTTTTTTTTAGAAAAATAGAAATAACATTTTGACCAAGTTAAATCACTAAATGGTACATAAAAAAGCTTAGCGTACGCGGAACATATTTAGGGGGTATTTAGTGCAGCCGATTCACATCAACTATCTAATTTGAAGATATTTGGTAAGATTATTAATCAATTAATAGCTAATAGACGTTCAAACAACCGATAATTTCACCGGCTAAGTTTTGTAACTTTTTCATATCAGCTGTTATTGGCCGTTTTGAATATTATTTTATTTTGACTACATTAACTTTAGAAAAATAACTAGTAATAAAATTTTCAAATTAATATTTTTTATACTTATTTTTATTTATAGTTATTCAATAATAATAACCTTTTATTAAAATTATCTAAAAATTTAAATTAATATTTTTTATTTATATAATATATTACAATAAAAAATAATATATTACTTAAAAATAAAAAATTTCCATTATGCATCATAATATATAAAAAAAACAATTATATTGTTAATGTTAACTTTACATTTTACCAGCAATTATTATCAAATTTTTATCAAATATTAATATTCATAAGCTAATTATCACCTAATTGCTATCAGCTGTTCACAAGTACGAATATCTTTAGTTATATTTAAAAAAAAAAAAAAAAATTTAAGATTAATATTTTCTTATTTATATAATATATTACACATACAAAAATAACTATCAATCAATACTTAAAAAAAAAATTTCAAATTATGCATCATAATATTATTAAAAAAAACAACTTATCATTTTGTTAATGTTAACTGTTACACTACCAGCAACTTATTATCCAAATTTTGATCAAATATTAATATTCATAAGCTAACTTATCACCTAATCGCTATCAGGCTGTTTCACAAGTACGAATATCTTTAGTTATAGGTTTTTAAAAAAAAAAAAAAAAAAACTTGCTCATATCATAATCAATAAAAAAAAAAAAAAAAAACTTGTCATATCATAATAATATTATTTGTAATTAGAATAATAATAATAATAATAATAATCATTAGAGAAAGGTTAAATCAATCATTTTCGACCAACACCTACCACACGTGTTATCCGTGTTGGCAACTCGATGAACCAGCCGCTTTACTCCCAAAACTATCTATATGACCAAATGCCCCTCAATTTGACATTATAAAATGAAATTGTTAACATTTATAAGGTTATTGAAGTTTAAATAAAATAGAAATACAAATCAACTGTTGATGAATCAAAACATTATTAATGAATTAGCTATCAGCTATATGAATTAACTGAATTAAAATGTTTATTTAAAAGATTTATTACTTTTTGAGATTAGCGCGAATTTAGTTATAAACAAAGTATAATGAAAATAGAATATTTACGCGGTCAATTGTAATTAGTTTAGGATTAAAGTTTAATTGTTTTTGTTGTTGTTAATATTCAATTACTTCCTGAAGAAATTCAATGTTTCTATTTCATTTTGTTAATATTCAAATCATGGACAGTCAACACAAATACATCCATACGTATAGAAAGTCAAGATTGATTCTAATAAATTTGAAGCATATTCCACACTTGTGAAGAAAGAAAGATGAAAGTTTTAGTCTTCTCATGTGAAAAGGGAGACTTACGAGAAATTAAGAAAAGATCCAGAAAACAAAAATTATAGAATTGCCAAAAATATAAATAATTTAGAAACCAACAAAAAAAAAAAAAAATCTTTCTCTTTTAAATATCTACCAAACTGACACTCAAAAAAAAAAAAAAAAAAAAAAAAAAAAAAAAAAAAAAAAAAACGAAGAGGTAATCACTTATTATGGAAAAGACCTAAAGGGCATTATGGTAAACAACAATTGTTCAGTAATGAGTCCTGATTCAGAAGCTTCTCTGTAGTCTGTATTTCCTCTTGGGCTTTGGGTATAGAGTTCCATCTTTTTGACTTTAAAAAATGGAAACGATCTGTTTCTTTAAAAAAAAAAAAAAAAAAAAAAAAACGAAGAGGTAATCACGTTATTATGGAAAATGACTAAGGGCATTATGGTAAACAAACAATTGTTACAGTAATGAGTCCTGATTCAGAAGCTTCTCTGTAGTCTGTATTTCCTCTTGGGCTTTGGTATAGAGTCATCTTTTTGACTTTAAAAATGGAAACGATCTTGTTTCTTTGAAATTGGCAGAGTTTCCTTGATCTTCTTGAGCTTTTGTACCTTATAATATAAGAAGACCTCCTTCTTACAATAAAATTTTCCGTAGAGGAACTCCTGCTTCTTTTCTCTTGTTCTTTCTAGGTGAGTTTTTGTTTTTGTTTTTGTTTTCTTGGGTTAATTAAGCCTTGTAATGTATATGCAAATTGTTAAAGTTTCTGTTTTTATTGCATATCATATGATTCTGGTTTCTGGGTTTTGTTTTCTTTTGGCAATTCAAGATGGGTTTTTGTGACATTTGTAGATTTCCATAATCATCAATTTTAATTGAATATTGGCGTTTTTAGGTTTATCTATGTTATTTTATTGCAGATTCTCTTCTTGTTATTTTCTTTTTCGTATCTGTTCTTGACTTTTGTTGCTTAATTAATTTGTTTGATTCTTTATTCTGAGACACATTATTTCTGTCTATTGAATGAATAATATTGAATTGCTTGCTTTATATACGTGGAAATCAACGATTTATTTATGCTTTCTCCAAAATTTTTTAAATATTCTAAATTCTGAGGATATCCTAGTGTTTGTAAAGTGCTTACATTGTTATATTCTCAAGTTCATAGTGTTGGATTGCGATTGCAAATTTTTCTTTTGGTGTCTTTGAATAATACGCTTCTTCCCTTATTTTTCCGTCTTCATCAGGTTTGTTATTAGTTTACTGGATGACGTTGAATTGTTGATGCTTTGAACTCTTTAAGAATTTTGTATTTGAATCCTTAACAATTGCTGATATGAAACGTTGATATTCACAGGTTCTGTTCTTTCTCAAGAACCCTCTTTTCTAAATAGTAAGGCAAAATGCGTGCACCATCTTTGCTTGCACAGTGCTTACCTGGCTTGGTTCCTCAGGACAAAACGAGTCAGAGCATCTCCAGCGTTTCAGAGAGAGATGCGCATCTCCCGTCTCCTGCAGTTGAGATTCTCCCTTCAAAGGTACACCTTCTCTTCTTATTGTTGAATGTCAATCCCCTCCAAAAAGTAACCTGATGCTGTTACTGGTAAAAGAAATGGAAGATGAAGCTCAACTTATTACTGAGTGTTTGACTGAACTTTAAGGTAGGAGTGGGAGCTAAATATTTCCCTTCAAAATTAATCCACATCCTATCATCTATTGTACAGATGGCACACCCTTATAAATATGCTGGGGAAAATGTAGAAGTGCAAGGTCTTCATGTGTTCAAGGTATGTAAAATTCTATTTGATGGTTTCTTATATGTAGCAATTGGTTGTCATTTGTGCCAGAGATTTTATAAAGATAAGAATTTTGTTCTTCCTAGTTGACCAGCCTTATGTTGTTTAGTTGTTATAAGACCTTCCTAATATGGCTTTTTGTTGTTGCAATTGCCAGCTTTAAAACCTTTTCTTTCATCCCCTTATATAGTGTCTGTTGTTAACATGCTGGATTCTTTGAACTCTTGCAGGGAAGAGTTAGTGTTGCTGATATTATAGGGTTCACTGGTTCTGAGATGATATCCTCAAAGCCTGATGGTAAATATACCAGATTTCTAGCAAGCACTTCAAGCTAAAACTGTTTAAACCAATTTGGCAGCAACTAGATATTTGAACACTTGGAATAAAACGATGTACTTTAGTGTAAAAGGATTTGAAAAATTGAATTGATGGTGCTGATGACTCGTCCCTTCTGGTTTTGCAGGGTCTCTGAAATCTTGGGACAACTCTATTGATCTTGTAAATATCCTTAAGCATGAGATTCGCGATGGACAATTGAGCTTTAGAGGCAAGAGGGTACTTGAGGTAATTGAGTTAATGAAAAACTTTTGCTAATTTTAAGATTTGAATTCATGTTTTTAAAGTCATCCTTGGTTGTGTTCATAGTCTAGAGAGCCTTGATGATTTAAGACAAATGCATGTGGAAATGGTGCATATATAGACATTTTTTATTATTTAGAATTAGCCAGATTTAAATAGTATGTTGGATATCATTAAATACCTCGTCTTATCAAGGAGAACGTTATTGTAATTGGATAGGTGCTGCAAAAAAGGGGTAAATCTTTGATATCCTTAGAGATACAAATGAGTTGATCTACTCATGAGTTACTAAAAGCTCAGTTTAATAAAATCTCGTTCAAGCTCATTTTTCCAGGCTTGTTTAATTACAATGTATTTGCATTTATAGTTTTTATGCATAAATATGTTTTTTTTTTTAACTCCTTTATTTGCTAAGTAAATAATTTTCAATAGCATAATAATTAAAGTTAATTTACACGTTTATCATAAAAAATATGTATCATTAAAATTTTTAGCATATATTTTTTCATTTTTGAATAAAATTTTTAAATTTATAACATAATTTTTTTTTTAATTAAGCTTGTTTAGGCTTGCGCACTTATTATGAGCTTGATCATCCTCGGTTTAGCTTGGCTCGTTTGCACCCTAATATCCTTTTGGCGCAGCATTATATTACACAGCAAGGATTGGTTGGCTTTGTCTAGATTAAACCAGATGGAAACTTATAAAATTAATTTGTTATAGCCTGCTTAGAAAATTGTATTTATGTGTTTTCTTAATTAGATATTTTTGGAATTAAGATCAATAGTTTAAAAATGCCCCTGACTTCCCCCTTAAATTTTCTAATTAGCCTTCTCTATTTGTTGTTAGACAATCAAGTAACCTTATTACTCTCCATTTCCTTAGGTGATATAGGAACCATAAGCTTTTCTTGGTATCGTAATACTATTTTAACTGTTTTTTCATTTGAAGTAATGAACATATCAGCTGGCAGTTGATCTCTCTATTTGGTGATTTTTACAGCTTGGTTGTAGCTATGGGCTTCCAGGGATTTTTGCTTGCCTGAAGGTAAATACCAATGAACCACATCGCAATATTCCTTATATTATCATTCTTAAGCCATTATTACATTGAAACATGTGAATATTGTGGCTATTTTAGCCTGTGAACTTTTGCTAACTTTTGATTTCTAGAAAATGCAATGTTTTTAATTTTATTTTTCCTTTTTGTTTACTTTTAATATGGGAATGACTAGTATTTGAATACTAAATTGAAAATGGATATCTTGTATGTTGTCTGGAATATTAATTATTTTTATGTAGATCACTTGTTTTGCTAAGTTCCTCTTAAGACGGAAGGCCATGTGGCCATCCTAGTCTTTGTAATAGATACCTAATGTTGTTCAGATCTTGTTTCATAATTGAAGTAACTTATGCATATGGCAAAAATAATTAAGCCCTTTTCCCCAAGCTAATTGGGATTGATTATATGGGTCTGTTTCTTCCATTCACATCGATTTTGCATTAGTGATTTAGAAGGACCTAGGCTATAAGATCTTTTCTAATCACTTCATGTCATCTTGGGTCTTCCTCTCCCGTTGTTAGTCTTGTCTCATTTAAGATGCTCTGTTTTCCTCACAGGAGCTGCAAGCAGTATATTTGACACACATGGTCAAACCGCCTTAACTTTCCTCATCTAATTTTTTTCTTGATGGGTGCTACAAACAAGTTAGCCATGTGATCTAAGTACAATTTTTCAACTTATCAATACATATAATTTGAATAAATTATTGATGTTCCTTCTGAAATTCCTGTAAATTGAGTAGGATGGGCAGTTTTTAAACGTAAATTCTCCGGTTTAAATTTATTCCTATGAATCCTATCCTCACAAGGACCAATGAATTGAATGGAATTGGCAATTTTTTTTCTTTGCTGTCTTTCTTCTAGAAGACATGAAGATTGTAGATTCTTTATGATATCCATTGTTGCATTGTGCCAATTGAAGCTAACAAGTTGTTTTACAGGGAGCTAGTATAGTGCACTTTCAGGACCTGAATGCAGAAACCATAAGGTGTACAACTATACCAAATGTCCTTGTTAATCTCGAGCAAGCTCGGGACAGGCAGAGCCGACAGCCAGAGAGCCCTCTTACTCCTTCAAGATATACTCTGTCTCCATCAGTGCACTTTTATGCTGGGGACTGGGAAGAACTTCCGACAGTCTTATCTACTGTAAGGAATGAGGCCTTTGAAGTGGCAACAGGGATGAGTCTGAGTTTCTCTGAGGAGGATTTCATGGATGGATGTAGTAGCCAAGATGGTAGCATCATAGGACAGGAAACTTCCTCAAGGCGATCCAGAAAGCTTTCAGGAAGCCGGGCATGGGAAAGGGCCAGTGAGACAGATCATGGAGAAGGTGGATATGATGTTATTCTGATGACAGATATCCCATACTCATTGACCTCTTTGAAGAAGCTATATGCTCTCATTAAAAAGGTTAGTTCTTTCGTTTTGTTTTTATGAAGAAATAAAAATAAAAAGAAGACATCTTCACTTCAAATATTTTGACTAAGATTAGAAGACATAAAACTTAAGAGTTCGCAAAAATAGACGAAAATAATTCTTTATTTCGGATAAGCCTCAGAAAGGATAAACATAGAATCATGCACACTTTTAGGCAGATTTGTAAAAGATTTGTCAAATTTGAGATACTGTATAGTTGGTTAAAAATTCTGATAACCAAGTTGATACTGGAACTCGATGAAAAGTTATTCATTTTTAAATGAAGTTGCTTTGATAATAGCAGACCATTGCCAATCATGCAATGAACAATTTGACCCTAGCCTTTGCAATCTGTTATTGTTAAATTCAACATAAATCACTCTCTGGTTTGGTCTTTACACATTGATAACTGGACTGCAATGACAGAATTTTCTTTGAAGTAAATGCCTGGATTATGTGCAGACTTAAGAGTCTGACCAGCTTTTGAGGTGTAGGTACTCCTATCACATTGTCGGTCAACAAATTCCAACACTAATCCTCTGATGATCATGTAAAGTTTAAAATCAATAATGAGAATTGTATGTGTTGACAATTTTATTCTAAGAGCCATTTAGATGTTACCCTTGTTATTATTTTGTTGAGCTGAAAATTTACACATGCTACATATGGATAGATGACTGACTGCAATGTTTCTTTTGTAGAATTTGGATCGAACACAAAATAATGGAAGTAAATGCATGTTTTTTTTTTACTCATGTTTCTATAGTAGGTTTATAATTTAATTTTATTTATTTATTTTTTAATATCCAGTGCTTGAGGCCGCCATATGGAGTATTATACTTCGCAACAAAGAGAAACTATGTCGGTTTCAGTAATGGAGTACGGCACCTGAAAGGTCTGGTTGATGAAGAAGGCATTTTTGGGGCGCATTTAGTTAAGGAGATGACTGAGAGAGATATTTGGAAGTTCTTTCTCAAGTGAAAATGAAGTCAGAAGCACCCAAAAAGTACCTGCTAACTGATCTCAAATTATCAGATTCTCTTTGTTCCAAATACTATATTTGTAAATTACAGATCACAAGTATTCTTGATTTTTTTTTTTTTTTTTGCTTTTCTTTGGTTTCATAATAATGAAGTCAGAATCTCAAGGTTAAGCCAGTAGGCATCTAATTTTGCTGCCATACCTTGTGTAATTTTTTTTTTCTTTTTTTCCTTTTTTTTTTTAATTCTTTGTCAGATTCTTTACAGTTTCAACTTGTAAATCAAAAAGTTAAAAGTAAATCTAAGGTTGATATATTCATGTTGTTTGTTATCCTTTTTTTCTTTTTCATGTATTCTTCGCTTTTTATTAGATTTGCAGATTGATACGATTCTTTTTCAACTTGGAATGACTTGTATTCATAATGTCCGAGTGGGACTTTCTACTTTTTTTTAATTGTTGATTTAGGAAGACATTGGCTTTGTCCTGAAGCAACAGGTCCTTGTGAGAAGGGAAGAAAACATATTAATTATGTTGGCAGATCTAATATAGTGCTTTGAGGAGCAGAAAAAGGCATTATTTTCTAATATATCACCAAAATTATAAAATAATGTTTAACTTTAATGTGCTTAGCTCTACCACAAATGTTCAATTTTTGCACTTTTAATTTCACCTAGAAGTTTTATTTTAAGGGCAAAGAAGGAAGAACAAGAAGAAGAATGAATAGGTAATTTCCTAATTTTTCATAAATTAGAACAAAATAGGCATCATGTTTTTACACAATTTTCTTGCAATGAAATTGCCTGTAAGCAAGTAAAATGATATACATTTCCACAGAAGGAAACCACAAAATGTCCTGCAAAAAGGATGAGACTTTACAAAAATCTATCTACTGTAAGTTATTCCGTATGCTTTGATTTTCTGCTAATCTTCTCCATGTCATTTTCCCACAATGCAACAAGGTCAATATTGCCAAAAGATAGAGAAGAGGAATTCCGACGACGCAACCTCCGGACGCTAAATTGACCAATGTCTATTAAGAAGATCAAGGCAAGAATCAGAGTAATTCAAGCAGTAACTGCAAGTAACATTTTGCATTGAGATGAATTCTTCAAGAAACACAAAAAAGTTAAAAATTAAGAAATATGCAGTCTAATCCCAAAGAAGTGCAAATACTTACTCGCAAAGTTTCAAGAAAAATAAAATCTCCAAAGTTTTCCATAATATACACTTTGTTCTCCACTATTGTTCAAATTAGTAATTTTGGTTCTTATATTATCATCAACAAACAAAAAAAAAAATTTACAAGATTTAAAGTGTCTTTGACAGATAAAGCTTTCTAAAATTTAATAATTGAGGTAATAATTGTTGTAATGCAAAACTTAAGGACTAAAGTAAAATCTAATCTGAAACATCATGGACTACAACATGGTGAAACTTTCATAATTTTATAATCAAGAAATGAATTGTTGAGTCATTAACAAACCACAAGGATCAAGGACAAAATTGCTTAGTTTTTGAAACAGAGAGAACCGAAAAACAGTATATTGAGGCAAACCTCAGGTGGTACTTTGTAATTAAACCCTCACAAAAAATTAATCAAACTATGCGATAAATCTCATAAGCTATCTTCTCAATTGAAATGAATAGTTTAGAATAAGTCAACAATAGAAGTCCTATATAAACTATACTACAACAAGCTATGCAACACAACCCACTCCCTATTAATTTTCTAATACCAACTAAAACTCTCCAACTAGTAATGTATTGGGCATTCATTTCAAGTTTTCAAACTATTTTTATTGATTACACACTCTGAACTGCTATTCTTCAACCAAGAGAAACTGGTCTAAGGTAGGCGAATATCTGCACAAATTTATATGCATGTGCATAAAATGAAACTTCTGAAGGGAACTGTAGCTACAATATTACATTCACCAGCAATTTTACCGACTCGGAACTTTAGAATTCCATTGGATGGGTGGCCAAGAATATGTGATATAAAACATTATTGGTGAATTTCTGTTTTGAAACTAATTGTTTTCCACTTTCAACTTGCAAAGAACATATCAAATACAAAACAATCATGAGCAAAATCTGCACAAAAAATGGCATGAATGTCAAGAAGAGAGAGCTTTTTGCTTTTTACCACCAATCCTGCAACCAGATGAACTACAGGGACAAAAAATTGGTCCACTTTATTCCCTTCTGCATATCCATTAAATGCAATGACCATTGAGAAAGTGTGAATCGTAACAAATGCAAGGGCAATAATAGCTGCCATGCGTAAGACAAAAAATAGTTAGAAAAAATATACAATTCGAAATATTTTTTTGACATATTTGTACACCATAGAAATCTCAAAATAAACATAACCAATTTGGAAGCCACCATCAATAACCCATCAACAATTGTTTCTAATCTACTTGGGTTGCAAAATAAATAAATAAATAAATAATACAGAAGAAAAATTTTACCAGAAACAAGAAAAAATGGCATCTGTGAACAACTATCAATGAAGAATGTTGCTGGGCCAAATGCAGGTGTTAAGAGGCTAAGACAAAAGAAGACAGCATGAGCTACAGCATGACCCAAACCACCAGCTGCATGAATAGACCAAGTAACAAAAGCTCAAACATCATATTATCAATAAAAACTGTAGAGATAGAATAGGTAAAGAGTATGTGTGTGTGTGTGTGTGTGTGTGTGTGTTTCCTAAATGTGCACTGCTTTTGTTTCTTTTGTGGGCCAGGCCATGGCAGCACCTGCAATACATGCAAATTTAATATATCACAGCAATACAAGGATATTCCCATCTCTCATATGCTCGTTATCCAACTTTGTCTATTTACCGAAATGCACAGTAAACTGAAATTTACCATCAATTCAGTATTATTGGTAAATCCTGGCCCAACAAAAGCTCCGTAATATTTACAAATATTGAAATAAAATTCCAGTGAAGACAGGTCAGTCAATAAAATCTAAAGTTTTGTCATAGTAGATGAAAGATCAATTGACAACTCTTCTCATAATATAGAGACCAAAGGTGGGACCAACATAAAGCAAGACCTATTTGAGGAACTTGCTCTATTGTACATGAGGCCAAATGATTAGATGGTTTTAGATAAACAAAAACTAATTCCATGATTTGACATCTTTGTTTTTGCTCTTCAATGCCTCAGTTGAATCTAAACCATTTGCATTCCATCAATATAGGTAACTGCAATATCACCACAACTTAGAAATCCATGATTGTCCTCTATTAAAGGGGGAGAACGGAGTTCAGAGTTGCAATTAAAAAGGAAGTTGTAGGATCTAACAATTGGCAATATAAAAGGAACTTGAAACCTGTTCAAATCTCACCTAGAGCAATTAGCATTTTATCCGTCAGGAATAAGCGTGGTTTTGAGACCCTATCAGCAAAAGAATCCAATATATCTTCCAACCGCCTATATTTCCAAAACAAAAGAATGTTACAGAAACAAGCAGAAAATTCTTGAAAGCACATGTCAGACTTTAGTATCTGTTGAGGATCCAAATTATAGGTTCTTTATCACATATTTTCCTACATATACATATCACACACTATATATTAAGGTTAAAAGCAATTTAAAAAAAAGAAAAAAGGTAAAAGGACAAGAGACTGTTCCTTTTTCCTTGACATAAAGGAACAAAAAAAAAAAAAAAAAAAAAAAAAAAAAAAACTTAGGTATCTGTTGAGGATCCAAAATTATTAGGTTCTTTAATCACATATTTTTCCTAATATACATATAAACACACATATATTAAGGTTTAAAAGCAATTTAAAAAAGAAAAAAGGTAAAAAGGAACAAGAGACTGTTCCTTTTTCCTTGACATAAAGGAACAAAAAAAAAAAAAAAAAAAAAAAAAAAACAAAAAAAAAAAAAAAAAAAAAAAAAAAAAAACATATATTTTTATTTTTAACAAAGTTACACCTTTATCAAGTGAATACAAGTACGCCAACGGACAACTGGAGAACATCAACGTTATTGAAAAATATTCCAAACAAAGGAACTAGCAGCTACAAGGTTCTTGTAAGTTAGCAACTCTTTTCTACTTTGCAAATTCTTTCAAGCTTAAAAATTTTGGAAACATTTTCTATAAGTCTTGACAAACTGTATCTTTTATCATTCATCTTTATATTATTATGGAATGGCCAACATAAATTGTCAATTAGCTCCAAAGTGTAAATTTTACTCCCATCGAAGTAACTTCACAATCCATTCATATCCTCTGAAGATACATATAGATTTTTAACATAGAACTCAAAAGATCATAGCATGCTTAAACATTTAACTAGGGCCATGTTTGGAACACTATAATGAATGTACTGTAATATAATCAAAATCACTTCTAGTTCAAACACTGAACTAAAAGTGTCTTTGATTATATTATATTTAAATTCCAGTCTAGTGTACCAGATATCGCCTAAAAGGCACAAGTTTTGATCAGGGAGATAGACTTGTACAAAAAAAATATGCACAATTAACAAGAACATGCATCAAATTCCATTAAAAGGTGCTTCCACTGTAAGAACGCAAAGCCAATACTTTGATTCATGAATATAATTAAAAATATGTTGTTCATGCATTGCATACAACAACAACAACAAGAATCAAAGTAAGAAGTATTACAAGGGGCATACACTTACCTGTAAACTTTCCAAAAGAGAATCCGAAGCCCTTCTTGGAAACAGACCGAAGTAACTATAAGTAACGCATATGGCCACCATGTTTTTGATTTCAGAGGAAGAAAAACCCTCCATACTCCAGATAGCACAATCAGACTTATAAGCCATAACAATGTGCTACATAAATTAATTGCAGAAACCCATTAAAGACCAGAGAAACCAGACAGCAATCAAATAAAAAAGGAAATTAAAAAATAACCATTTGGTTATTTCAAGTTTGTATTTAAGATATATCCGTATTTTGTCCAAAACTTACACTTAGTTAGCTACATTACATACTGATTTGGTAATCTCTATCATACCTAAAAGCAGAGAATTCACATAACCTTCTTACAGAATTTAAAACCCTAATAAAAATAGGTCAACTTATTCCCAAATATAATGTGAGAAAGCAGAAAGTTCCAATTTCCCTTTCATTTTCACTTTAAATTTCACAACCTTTTGCAAATAATGTAAAAGAAAAATAAAAATATATTGTTAAAAATGGAAAAGAAGAGACATTGAAGTGAAAATTGATGGTGGGTTAATAGTACAGTAGTAAATGTACCTGGAGAGGACGGTGAGGATTAAGAAAGGCTTTTTGGAGATAACAGAGACGAATAGTGAAAGAGAAGGTCCTAAGGCTAGCAAAGCGTATCCGATCCCTGCAGCTATCGTCATCTTCCTTCCCCTTCTCTGATAACCAGGTCCTAATTCTCCTGTGTTAGAAGGAAGGACACCCAGTAAAAGGAGAACAAAGGAAGAAAAGAAACAAGGGAAAAGGAAGGACAATAGGAATAGGCATAGGCATGATATACTGGTATAAATAAATTATTTATTTTTTATTTTTTAAGATAAAATCTACCTGCTCATTTTACATAAATTTAATGTATTAACTTTTTATCACTTTAGTTGGTTTATAAAATAATATTTTTATTATTAAAAATAAATTTAATTGAGGTTTTCTGCATATATTTATGTAAAAATGAATAATTTTATAATAAAAAATTTACTTGAAATTTATTTTGTATGCATTGCAAATCAAATATATTGGAAAAAATATTATGTCATAATAATCCTTCACTTTTTAATATTTTTGATTAAATTAATAAAAAAATTTTGTGATTGGGCAGATTTTTCACATCTAATATTTCTTAAATAATTCGAGTTAATTAATTAATTAAATAAATAAATCATTAATTATTAATATATATTTTTGAAAGTAGTAATTATTAAGCATCAATTTCTTTTACTAGTACACTCTCATCAAGTAAACTAAAGAGACCAAACAGTGGAAGCAGAAGAAGAAGTAAAAAGTGATGGACTCGGACGACGACCAGCAACCGGAGGAGATTGTACCACTAAGCCAGAGGCCAGAATGGTCGGACGTAATTCCCGTCCGGCAAGATGACGGTCCCAATCCAGTGGTTCCTATCGCCTACAAGCCAGAATTTGAGGAGACTATGAACTATTTCCGTGCTCTTTATCTCTCAGATGAGCGATCTCCTCGCGCTCTTCAACTCACTCACCAAGCCATCCTCCTCAATCCCGGCAATTACACAGTAAAAGCCTACTTCTTTTTTTCTCTTTTTTAAATTTCTGTTTACTATTTATCTTTTCCGGCTTTCGATTGTATTGAATCAATTATTTGTTTATTTTTGTTTTGGAAAGGTTTGGCATTTTAGGCGATTAGTACTTGAAGCATTAAATATAGACTTGCATGAAGAGCTGGATTATATTGAACGGATTGCGAAGAAAAACACAAAAAACTATCAGATATGGTGAGGAAGTTTTGTGTTTTTTTCAATTCCTAGTTGTTTATGTTGATTAATTTAGAAGAGGATTTGCTGATTTAGTTATTTTGAGTTGGTCAATAAGAGTATCGTCATGAACTCAAACTGTAGATCAGGAAAGCTTGTACTGCTGTTTGATTTTGATTTAAAAAAGGACGGTAAATTGATTACTATCTTGTTTGTATCACACATTAGGAAATTGGGTAAATATTGATCTGCATACAATTGTGCCCTTTTTGGGCTGTAAAATCCTATCCTCATAAATGAAATCTATCAGGAACTAAGCAACATGATTCAGATATCGTTTTCTAATAGATGGATGTGCTCTATGAGTATTTGTTTTATGCATCTTCCTGCTGTTCTTCACTTAAAGAGGACAATGTGCTGTTAGGAAACAACTTAATTCGTGCGTTTGGCAAGTGAGAAAATAGGAGAAGGAGAGGGGAAAGGGAAGGAAAAGATAGAAAGAGAGACAGAAGGAATAAAGAGAATATATTGATTGTTCAAAAGATTATATTAACATCCTTTCATATCAGTAATTATACTCTCATAACAGCCACATCACCTATTATTTACAATTCAGTATCCTATTGTATCCTAACAATTACTCCCTCCTCTGAGATCCTTGTCGTGAAGGATATATTGACATCGAATAAATCCAAAGCTGTATAGTTGTTGTAGGTGGCAATCTTCTTGTTTTGGACTCGAGGTCACCAAGATAGATAATATTGAAAATTCTATACAGCTTCATAAGGCACAAGAAGAAATAGGAAAAACTGATAAGGAAAAGACCACTTCGCCTACACCAATCAATATCAATGAATGAGCTTGAAAACTCCATAATTTGTAACTCAAATTGGCCTTTGACATTTTCACAAACATCTACAAGGCATGAATTTCCCACTAACAGAGCGTAATTTATTCCTCTGTTTCATCCAAATTTCAATTCATCTTCTTTAAGCATGTCATAACCACGTGCTTTAATCTTCAGTTCACCAGTCCCACAACACACAACACTCAAGCACACCTCTTTCATTAAAAATATTTTCAGCAGAAAAGTTAGGTGCAAATTTGGAAACTCCATGAATAGATTCCAAATCTTGAACAATTTGAATACCAAGATAAAAGAGATTACCCTCCTCAATCAAAATTTTCAGATTTTGTTGCAATGAAATCGGTGTTGGATCTTGAATTTTATCTCTAGGATTAATTTCAATACCCAAATCACGAAGAGGCTCCAAGATTGTATCAATTTCACATTGAGCTTGCACATTCAATTTCTGTCCCTTTTTCTCTTTACACTCTTCTTTTTTAACTTCTTCTTCCTCTTCAACTCCTTCACAAGACTTATTGTCATCCCAAAAGTTAGAATCAAAAACAAAATCATCATCTTCCTCTTTATCATCCGTAGGGCTTCGAAATAATTGGTAATTTCTTCTCTAATAAAATCCATCCGACCTAATAAATTGATTCCAAGATCTTCCGCCAATTTCCGAATGACATCGCCAATAGTGGTCTCGTAGATGTTAAGTAGATGTTAGCGTCTTGAAGGATTTGGTGAAGTCGGGTCACAAGAATTGGTTCTGCTTTAGTTTTCGACATCTGATTGATTTTTTTTTTTACACTAGAGAATAATGAGAAATATTGAGAACTAGAGTAGAAGATTGAGAAATAGAGATTTGGGAGAGAGAAACAGAGGCTGAGGAGAGAATGAATAGAAGAAATAGAAAAGGAGAATGGAGAATGAGAATCAGAGAATAGCAGAACCCATCCGAACATTGACCTGCTCTGATACCAAATGTTAGGAAACAACCTAACTCGTGCATTTGGCAAGTGAGAGAATAGGAGAAAGAGAGGGGAAAGGGAAGGAAAAGATACAAAGAGAGACAGAAGGAATAAAGAGAATATATTGATTGTTCAAAAGATTATATTAACATCCTTTTATATCAGTATTTATACGCTCATAACAGCCACATCACCTATTATTTACAATTCCGTATCCTATTGTATCCTAACACGTGCATTGACCTGGAGTAACTTTCCAATCTTGGAGTACAATGCTCTATGAGCATTTGCTCTAACTAGATCAATGCCTGGGCCAGTTTTGAAAACCTTGGATCTTAACATTTGAAAGCCATTTATAGATTTTATTTTATTTCATTTTGCCAACTTCCAAGGCTTCTTCAAATTTAATTGTTCCAATTTTTAGCATTAACATACTGTTCCAATTTTCATTAGCATTCACAATGTTCATTCTAATGATAGATGTTTTGCAGGCATCATAGGCGGTGGGCTGCTGAGAAATTAGGGATTGATGCTACAGCTAAGGAACTTGAGTTTACCAGGAAGATTCTTTCTTTGGATGCTAAAAATTATCATGCCTGGTCCCACAGGCAGGTTTGTGCTTCTTTCGTTATCCCCACATGCTGAATCCAAGGCATCATTCTGTTTTGGATGAAATTTCCCAAATTCTTATTTTTATTTCTTTGTTTCTCTGGTCTGGGTTTTCACCAGTTCTATTTTTAAATAAGTTTATTCCTTTACCCCTTGTGCAGTGGGTACTGCAGGCTTTAGGAGGATGGGAAGATGAACTTAACTATATTCGGCAACTCCTTGAAGATGATGTTTTTAATAATTCTGCTTGGAATCAGGCAAGGAACTCAACTGAACATCATGATAATAATAAAATGTTTGTTTGAATATTTGAATTGCACATCCACATATGACCTATATGATTTGCATGGAATGAATTTATTGTAAATGACTCCTGCCATAGTTCACTACCCATCTTTTAATGCACTTCCATTTCCATTCTAGATCAAAATTTCTTCTCTTTTATGTTCTTGGTTAAGAAACTTGTGTGTATATTTTTGTCTTGTAACAGAGATATTTTGTTATAACTAGATCTCCCTTTCTGGGAGGCCTAAAAGCCATGAGAGAGTCCGAAGTGAAGTACACAATTGAGGCCATTTTAGCTAACCCTGAGAATGAGAGCCCATGGCGATATCTTCGAGGCCTCTATAAAGATGACACTGAATCTTGGATTAATGATCATCAAGTCTCAACGGTATGTTTGAAGGTTTTGAGTGTCAAAACCAACCACATATTTGCTTTGAGCACACTTTTGGATCTTCTTTGCCATGGTTTTAAAGCAAAACAAGAGTTTAGAGATGCTGTTGATGCTCTGAGGGCATCAGATCCAGACCCACCAGAGCCTGACTTGGCAAAAGCTGTCTGTTCTGTTTTGGAGCGTGTAGATCCAATGAGAGTTAACTATTGGATTTGGCGCAAGAACAAGCGTCCCGCATAGGCCTAACTAATTACTGGGTTAAAATTCTGCGGGTTCACAATGTGATCGGTTTGCAAGGAATTGATGTGGAGATTTGAGAACTTGGTTCTGTGTACTCATTTCTTGTGTAAAACCCGAATTTATTCAACTTCTAGCATGTTGTGGATCCAGCGGAGACAGTCTATTAACTATTTCACTGTAATATGACACTTGAAACTGAGTAAATCTTGTACTAATACCATTGCTGCTGCTGCTGTTATCTAGGCAGTCGGCTGTTTGTTTTGAAGGTTGAGTAAACATTGTGTAGCATTTGTATTGTGATTGGGAACTTTTATGAATGAGAAAGAAATGATTATTCATGGGATAGAAACAGGAAGTATGATTAAACGATTTTTTATATTCGGATGTTTCAGAAAAGATACGAAATGATTTTATCTTATGTTCTGTTTTATAGAAGAGGAAAGGAAACGAGAGTATGAAGTATAGGAATAAACTAATCCATTTTAGTACTCCAACGAATAATTCCAGCCGAAAAAAACTTCAGTTTAAAAGCTAATGGTTCAAACCCTTGGTAATAATAACAGAAATTAGACACTGAAAAAAAAAAAATTCATGCACTAACAAATAAATTAGCCCATTTGGCTGATGTGATATGTATGAAAATTGAAATTAAAAGCAGATAAATCTGTGCAGCTAAAGTTAAGCCATTTTTGGAGAAAGGGAAAATTGCATTTTTCGCTTGTATATATGGCTGAAAATATATTAGCATATTAATTTGACATTTACACGGTTGCCCAATATGATTTTTACCAAAATGAGCAAGTCAAATTGCTACTAGCAAGGCCATTTTCTCAAGCTCCACTTGCCATTACAATGCATACACTGGGTGGTAAATGAGTTGCCAAATCCCTTTAAGGAACTGGTCTTGATTTACAGATTCTTGCTCATACTAGACTTCTTCACCTTGGATTTCGGACTTGAGGTTTCCTTAAACGCAGATGGGCATAACTCAGCTATGCTGCATGTTCCACAGCGAGGTCTGAGAGGTGTACAAATTGTTTGTCCAAATCCAACCTGTTAATTTGTAAGCAACCAAGGACCTTCAGTCAACATTAAAATGTCTTTCAATATAAATATACAGGCATTATTAAGGTTCAGTTCTGAACATTGAAACTGGTTGTTCCAGTTGCTGAAAGTTGGAAGCATGACCAACCCCACCCCCCGGCTGGAACCAAGGGTTTGGTTCAAGTTTGGAACCGATTAAAAGAAATTGAATTTTGGCCTTGAAACCAGCTGGAATTGATTGGAGAACTGCCCGGCCAATTCTAGTTGCATCTGGAACTATGCCAAGCGAGAGAGAGAGAGTGTGTGTGTGTGTGTCTGTGTGTGTGTATGTATATACTTATGCTGCTGTAGCATGTGTAAAAGTGTGAATGAAAGTGCTACACGTACCAAAAGAGGGTTTATTGGAACCCATTCTTCCTTAGGAAGCCATAGTTGCAAAGCCTGTCTTGTTTCCTCAGGAGTAGAAGTTTTCTAGCAAAGAGATGAGCAAGCTGACGTAATGATTTGTGTAGACCAGAAAAGATGAATAAATTATGCGTGCAATAAATCCAACAAACTCAACATGTTTCTATGCATACAAGGTCGTAGACCCGTAAACATGCTTAGCTTATTCTCATATTCCTATTCCTAGTTGTTTCTCGAGTTCTTTGGGAGCACCCCTTGTTCTCCACAGAGAATTCTTCTTCATTCTTTCTCAAAAAACAAACAAAATCAAGCCTTGGTTTGATTCTGCTGAAATACACAAAACATAAACAATCTTTCCTAACTTATATATTTGTTATTTTGATTCTTGAAAATCTTAAAACATGCATAGGGAACTTCAGAAAAAAAAGAGTCAAATATTCCAAAATCTATCAATGTGGGAAAATAGGTCAAAAGAAAACTACGAAAAAAAGATGGGAATTTCTTTGGAATGACATCACCAGGCAATGCAACATAAGGTACCTGCTTTGTGCCTGGCCGAAACACCCATCCAAGCCGATTGCAAATGCGGTGCACATGGGTATCAACACATATCCCTTGAACATCGTCCCATGCAATATTCATAACCTATAGATGAAAAATCAGAGTGCCTTAAGAAAAAGTTCAACATTAATTTCTGTCGTCCCATGGCAATCGTATTGTAATGAATCTAATGTGATGGATTAAAGTTCAACTTGTCCCTTGACTTTTTCAATTGTGTCCAAGCAAGCCCAAAATCAAATTCTGCACCATATTGACTCTCAACTTGCTTTAAATTCGTCTTACCAAATCCAAAGTTAACTTGGGGCCAATTTAGTCCCTGACTCTTTATTTTGGGGCCAACTAACCATATTTTTGATTAAAAGAAAAAAAAATTAAGTTTTTACATTTTAAGCAATTAAAAATGCTTAATAAATAAAGAGAAAAACCCATTAATCTTAAAACTGAAAAGCAATTATTATCACTCACTAAAAAGAAAAATAAAATTCAGCAGAATATTAATGTCTATTATTAGAGTGAGAGAAATTTAAAAACAAGAAATGCTTATTTGGTGGAAAAAGTTAAAGACGTTTGATGATCGCAAAAGTTGAGAAAAATAATGGATAGTGTGATTTTCGTAATTTTTGAAATATATAAATAATTTTTATTCTTTACTAAAATAATTTTCTATTCTTTTTAACAAAAAATTGGATCCAATTAATCTGAAAAGAAAAAGTCAAGGGCTACATTATTCACAAAATTAATTTTGAGTGTGATTGGATGAATTTGAAAAAAGTAAGGGGCTAATTTGGCCCTAAAATTAATTTCGGTCCTAATGTAATCAGTACCTACCAGATGAGCCATCTTAGGACCTATCCCTGGGAGAGCCAGCAAGTCCTCCAAAGTTCTAGGTATGTCTCCATCATACTTTGTGAGACAAATGTTTGCTATTTTCTTCAAATTACTAGCTTTTCTTGTATAAAAGCCAACCTGAAAATAGAATTATAATACAAGTATAAATAACCACTGCAGCAAATATATGTGAAAAGAAAAAAAAAAAAAAAAAGCTGGAGGGAAAAAAGAGGTGGTCAGGAATTTTTTTTGGATATCAAATTATCCCAGGTAAAAGCAAAATAAATTCTTGAAGCAATTTCTTGATTATATTTCTAAGATAACATTACAGGGTAAAATCAAATCCTTAATTCTTTAATTTCATCCAGCTTTGTCAATGCAATCCAGCAGTTAGCAGAACCATTCTCAGATCGAAGACGGCTGGAAACTTGCCTCCTGGAAGCGAAGATATATGTATATATAGGGGTTTATAAAAGCAAACAGAAAACGGACTTAACACTAACACATACAAAAATGCATGAATATATACATATTCATGACCACTGATACGACAACTGAACTACACAAGCTTTTTGTATTAAAAGGCACTAAAGTATCTTTGGAAATTGATTAGTTAGCCCTGCCCCTCAAAAAAAAAAAAAAAAAAAAAGCTGGTGGTCAGAATTTTTTGGATATCAAATATCCCAGGTAAAACAAGATAAATTTTGAACAATTTCTTGATATGATTTCTAAGATAACATACAGGGTAAATCAAATCCTTAATCTTTATTTCATCAGCTTTGTCAATGGCATCAGCAGTTAGCAGACCATTCTCATGAAGACGCTGAATTGCTCCTGGACGAAGAAAGATGAAAAGGGGTTATAAGCAAAAGAAAAGGACTAACACTAACACATACAAAAATGCATGAACATATATACCATATTCATACACTATAGACAACTGACTACACAAGCTTTTTGTATTAAAAGGACTAAAGTATCTTGGAAATTGATTAGTAGCCCTGCCCCCTCTTTATAGCAGGTACTTCTATCGTTAGTTAAAAATAAATATTCATTCCAAAGGCTATTTTAGTCCAAGGTCATCTTCAAGCCAAAGACGAGCATTGCTGAGTAAGTTCATTCTAAGTTCAAGCTTTAGTCTCCTCAAATTCCTTAAAGCAAAGCTCAGAGTGAATATTCAGATGCACGTCACCTAGCTAAGTCATTCATTTGATCACCACTCTTCAAAATCAGTTGCCATAACTTTTCGTTTATAGGTCTCAGAGTTCCTTCTTTCATTGTTCTCCCTTGGACAGCTTACAATCTCAGTCCCTTTGTAACTTTAGTCTGTAATTTACATATTAATGGTAATCTGGCTAATACTTTTATGACAACTCTATTTTGATGTCATATCAGACCATACTGAGAGTAATCTAATAAATTTCAGGATCCCTAGGAGTTAGTATATAGCAAATCTATTTTGATACAAATTCCTGGAAGGAATGAAACTTGGAATTCTAAACTATTTTTCTATATACGATAAAATATTATCAGAATGAACTTGCCATTTGTTACATGATCCTTGGTTTGGCTTGATAGAAGTGATGAAGCCAATACAGCAAATCTTCTTTCCTAAATAAAAAGTGGAAAGATAAGGAGTTTGATATATGGGATTAAAATATCATACAAACTATTGATATAAGAAGTCACCAGAAAGCAAAATGAGCAACGGGCCATGGAAGACAAGGCAAGAAATTATATTTGAGTTCAAACTTCATAATAGGCAAGTTGGATGATAGTGACTTCCGATAAAAAAAAAAATCATCTTTACACCTTACTAGTCGGTTGAATTGCAAGAAATAGTTATCCAATCCAGAAAAGATTAAAAGTTTGCTGATATAGGGATTATGCAAACTTATTTATTTTATTTTCCTCAAATAGTCAAATGATGCATCACTATGTCCTTTTCACATGCCCTTCAGATAATTATTGAACTGCTATTCTCCAAATGATAATGTATTAAAATGGAAGCCCATAAAGAAAGAATAGGTTTCCTAGGGAAAAAAATCATACACAACAAAATGAATACTCTTTGTTGCTGAAAGATCTCACAAAGGAAGGGACAAACCAAGACTTTGCCATCACCTTGGTGAAATAAACATCTACAAATTTAGGAGGTCCACGTACCCACCACCATAGTTCACATATGGGATGTACTTTTACCATATTAACACATTGAAGAGCTTTTAAGTTAGGTGACAGTCTATCTGTACGACAATATTGTGCAGAATTTCATGATTATAGCCATAATGTGCCGCAAAATAAGACTTTTAACAATAAAATGACTTCCTCTAAGCAATATGATAACATAGAAGAAGCTGTAAGCTAAGAAAATTTACAAAGAAGAGAAGCATCAGAGTTTTTAATCTAAAACAAGAAAGATATGCTGACATCTAACGATGACATACTAGTAATAACCTAATGTCTACCTGTTCTCTTTACAAAGCCAGTATCAAACTGTTAGGGAAAATACCTTAGGAGGAAGAAAACTTCCAGCTTTCTCACATCCCATTGTGTCTACTGGTGCATCTTCTGAGGACCTCATTTTGCGGATCCCTTCAAGCACTATTTTCCAGTCGGCAGGGGCTTCATCTGCATCAAATAAATGCATAAATTTGAAAAGATCAGTGTATAACAGTTGAATATCCTCCAGTTGGCAACTTAGGTTGTCAGCTGTCAACCAACATGACATTTATGAACCAAGGCATATAAACCAGCAAAAAAAAGAAAAAAAAAAAAAGAAACAAATATCTAGTGGTGTTTCATTTTAATCTTTATATTTTACAGCCAATGCACTCAAACAGAGTAGCTATATAGTTTGATAAAAGGATTTTTATAAAGATAAAAGGTAAAACTGTGTATGATTGTCAACAATATGTTTTTAATCACATATTTCATAAAAAAACATTATAGTCCCAAAGATTAACTTGCACAAACTCTATACCCAAAATCCCATGTACTCCCTCATCCCTAGTCAAGGCAAGATTCAGCTGCCTTTTTTCATCAGCTCAAGCTACAAGTTTTTAATTAAAAAAAGAAAGTAACAGGCATTTCGTTCAAACATTGGTTTCTTCCCAAATATCGTTTCTTATATTTGCTAACACCATAACCAATTTGAGTCCATACACTTCTGTGTACCCGTTGATATAACAGTAGAAGCAATCTCGGTGTCCACAGGAAGCACATCTGTGGTGCGGTTTGACTTTCCTGCAGAAGCATTTGCATGAAAAATAAAACTAAAAATGAGTCGTTACTTAGGAATTGATGGAGAAGGTAATTAAAGATAAGATATTCAAAGAAAGTGCTTACTTAAATGCATAGATCCATTTGTACTTAGGAATTGATGAAGGTAATTAAAGATAAGATATTCAAAGAAAGTGCTTACTTAAACGCATAGATCCATTTGTACTTAGGAATTGATGAAGGTAATTAAAGATAAGATATTCAAAGAAAGTGCTTACTTAAAGGCATAGATCCATTTGCCTTTTTATACGCAAAATCTTCAATGTCAGGTAAAGAAGACAGCTGCATAGAGAATGTACAAATATTTTGATCTTTTTAATCAACTATCACACAAAATTAATATGCTAAGCATTCAAATATTGACATATTCTAAAGTCTATCAGGAGCACAGATAACCATTGGAATGGTAATCTAACACGCAGTGCTGATATGGAAAAGAGTATCATTAATGTAAATGGAGTCCAATCTAATGATAAAAGTACAGCATAATTAAGGTTCAACTTTTTCATCTACAAAGAGTAATTCACTGCATTGAACTTTGGGTCAGGGGGCATTCCCGTTAACTATTAGCTTACTTTAATTTTCTCAAGACCTTTCTCTTTGCTTTTTCTTTTATGTCCTTAATACCTGCCTGCTACAATTTCTGGAGTTTAACACTTGACAAAAAATGCATCTACGTAACCAATCAGCAACAACTCAAGCAAAGCTAACAACAAAATGGAATATGAATCAGTAAAAAGTAAATTAAAGGCATAATCTTTCCCACTGAGAAAAATCTGAATGATATATCGTATGAATGACTTATTTAAGGCTTTTCTTTTCTTTTCTACATGATTCTAGAAGAGATCAATTAGGCAATAGAACCCATGCATTATCTTCATTTGATGTACAATTAAGAAAATAAATATCCAGTGGTAATTAATACTTAACAAAGAATTTAAAACCAACAAGTATTTAAGGGTACAATACCAAAAACAGACACGAGAATCTACTTTAAACGTACCAGGAAAACAAATAAAAGGAAAACCATTATCACAATTTCGTTTCAGGATTAAAAAGACACCCCTGTGCAAAACGTTCGAGGAAGAAAATAAATAGGAAAAGAAAGACTCTTACTTTCTCTTTCTTAGGTTCTACTTTAAGCTCACTTTCTGCAACTTCCAGAGCCTTTTGGGTTCTTTTTTTCGTGACAAAAACACGAGTTTCTGGCTTTGAGTCTTCCTCAGGACCTGAAATTTGCATATGAAAGAAGAAATCATGAAAAATGGTTACTAATGAGGTAGCAATGAAAAGAAGTAAAGACAAGAAAAAAATTTTCTTTTTTTGAGAAGTTTAAGGTTTTTGTTTGTTTCTAACCTGGGATTGGGTCAGAAGAAAGAATCAGTGATTTAGATTGGAGGATTTTGGAAGAGAATTTTGTATTGGGCATTTTGTTACATTTGAATCGCCCAAAAGCTATTGGAAGAAGTAAAGGACTTCTCAGAAAAGTGAGACTCATTTGGGTTGTGGAGGGACTGAGTCGGATTATAATCTGCATTAAAATTTGTACACCATTCGAGGCAATTTCTGAAAATTTAAATCATAAAACTAGTAATTAAAATAATATATAGGAAAACTGATGCTTGGTTGTTAGAAAAAAAAAAATGTGAATATATATAATTTATGTATATAAATTAATATAAAATGATAAACTATTAAATAAAAATTACTGAAGAAAAAAATATAGAAGAATAAGAGTTCAAGAAGTAAAAGATAATTTGTAAGAAAGCTCATTTTAGGGCAGATCAATTAGTGATTTTTGCTATTGATTTTGGAGTTCATATTTTAGATACTTCTCATTGAATTTGGATTTTTTTTTTTTATAATTTGAGGACCGGAATAATAATATAGATTATATAACAAGCATACGTTTTCCTTTTGAATAACATTAACCATATTATTAATAACTCATGTGGTAGGGACAACTCAAACTCGAGACCTCTACCGTCCATATTTTTAATAAAATGTTAAATCATTCAATTTTGAGTAGTTTATAATAAAATTCTCCTTTCTATTTTTTATCTAATTTTTAGTTTTTAAACCAATTAGGTAAAATTCTTCTATTTTCCTTCTATCCCCTTTTATTTTTCTTCTCTTTAAATCATACTTCCTTTCATTTTTAATTTCTTAATGGTGCTTTTTCTTTTTTCTTTTTTTTTTTCTAACACATGGGCCAGGCCCAATACAAATTCGATCCTGAACAATGGGACTTGGACATGTTATCATTTCCATGATTTCACTTGGAGCAAACCTTTCTCAATCTATTTAAAAAAGTTATTAAGCAATCTCAACTATAGCCAAAAAAAAAAAAAAAAAATTAACAACCCAAAAAAAAAAGGTCTACCATTGACTCGGAAATGAAAGACCTAAAAAGGAAGAAAAGAGTAATTTCCAAGTCCCAAGTCCTAGTCCACAGCCTTTCTCAAGTCAAGCGGAAAAAGCAAAATTACATGATATAACAATTTATTTCAATACCAAGTGACGGTATTTTTTCTTGTTTGTGTATTTTTTTAATATTTTCGTTTAGAAACCTCTTCCGGCTGGTATACTTATTGTTAATTATCAGAATTTAGAATTGGGAGTATTTGAGAATTCGTTCACACTTGGAGTAACTTTAGGATATATATATTGGAGTCAAGATAAATTATATTAGGATAAGCATTACATGAATCCTATATGACTTGTTAGTTAAAGTTTATTTAAGAGTCTAATGTTTATTTATAAAAAAAAAAAAAAAAAAATTGTGATTGACTATACTATCTTTATATCAGCTCTCTACTTAAAATTTTATAACATTTCATCTTTTGTTTATCAGAAAATCATATATAATTTGATTGATTTTTTCACTTTTTATAAAAACATGAAAAATAAAAGATCTCGATTTAAGGATCTCTTACAAGAGAATTTTCATTAATTTAATAATATTATTTCTGCCTATTTCATTTTGAAACTATGAAAATAAACATTTATCCCAAAAGCAGGTATTGGGAGCTATTCATTTATAAAGAGTTATTGGCAATTAGTGGTAACTTACCGTCCTCTCATCCACAAAGAGAAGATAAAACATGTAGCTCAATACTAAAAGCAATGATATACTCTGCTAAATAATAATGAAATTGTAATGTAATGTTACAAAGCAATATTGCATGTTGTAAAACTATATATATATATATATTTAAATTTTCATTGGTAATCAGTGGTAACTTACCATCCTCTCATCCACAGAGAGATGATAAAACATGTAGCTCGATACTAAAAGCAATGATATATTCAGCTAAATAATAATGAAATTGTAATGTAATGTTACAAAGCAATATTGCATGTTGTAAAACTACATTTTTTTTTTTTGAGATATCAAAATTAATTCTATAATCTTTTGTAATTTTCAATTCATTAAAACACCAACGATGGTATACTCTCCCATCCTAGCCCTTTCTAACTTCATGTAGGATTTTGGAATTCCTACTCGCGATATACTACTCGCGATAAGCATCTTCCTTCTCCTTTTATCCACATGTCCAAGTTAAGGACATTATAATGTGTAATTATTCCTTTTTATGGCTCTACTGTTCCTTGTCTAACTCTAGTAGCCAAACAAGATTATGTAATGTAAGAATCTTAAAAATTTGCTCAAAATAAACATTATAATTATTTATAAGAACTGAAATCAGAACCAAAATAATAAATTGTATTTAGTTCTGCTCCTACTATTTCGGTTCGATTCAGTACGGTTCCTCGATTCAGTTCGGATCTACCAGAATCCTAATTAGAGGCTGCTGTACAAAGAAGTCAATGTACAAATTATGTTTCTTCTTTTTAGATTTGCACATGTATTTAATGACACAATTCAAGGATTCACCAAATCTAGAATGATTCATGTAATATAAGACTTGGACCAAAATGTTTAAAAAAATTCCACAACCGAATTTCAAACTATTCATTAATAAATTACCAAAGTGGAAAGATCCTTCGTAGTTTATAAGATGTTTCATATATTCAAACCATTTATTATTTGAATCAAGATTCAATATATAGTATTCCTACCCGTATTCATATATCTTTTTGAGTATATAAACTAATTTTGCTTTCGGAATTCATAATTGCCCTTCTCCATAAATATTTTTTTTACGGATCAAACTCTTGACCTTATAAAAATGATTTGTTAAATACTAATATACCTTACCACTTGAGTTACTCCTCATTAATCATTCATATCAGGGTTAAGATTTCAACGATTATTTGTCGTATGTATTTTCATGTTTCTTTCCTGAGTACTGAAAATTAAATAGAAATTATAACAAATAAAATGATATTTCATCAAATTGACATACACATAAAAATTGAAAGAATATTATCAAAAAAAGAAAAAGATGGATAAAAACAATTTGCAGTCACAAATATAAACAGAAACATGGACAACAAAATCAAACTGATGGAAGTAAAATATTGACGAAATCCTAACCACTGCCTCCCTCTCTCTCTCTTTCGCCATTAAAATTTTCTTCCCTTCTCTCTATTGAAACATAAAATCAAGCATATAGATACGGAGATGAGCTGATTCTTGTCTCTCGTGACAATTCCTCCTCATATATTTAGTATATTTTTAGTTTTGTTGCAAATTTTTATATTTTTTGTTAAATAAATTACAAATCTATGTATATTCTGTCATAGATTCATGTTATTTATGTTTCTGCTACTTTGTGTTTTATCTCTATCTTGTGTGGAGTTTATGATCTCTCCATTTTATGTAGAGTTTTGTTTTGTTGTTTGCATTTGTTTGGTTTATTTGGATAGTTTACAATTTGTGGAGAATTTTTTAACTATACGATGATCTTCGTCTTTTGGAGCCTGGTCTTGCAGCCTGTTCCTCCATTGGATTTATTGGTTGAAATCATCTATGTTCGTCATAAGCAACTAATTCATGAATAATTACGCCATGTATAGAAGATTCGGGGAGTTCATCCAATCAACCACTTTTGAAGATCTATCCATTTTATTCGAGTTCACCTTCTATTTTTTTATTAGAATTTCTTATTAGATCAGCGAGCAATAATTATTTTATAATTTTATTCTATGTCTAGTCTTCAAGAGAGAGGTCTTGTCCTCCTTATAATATTTATATTGATTTAAAGTTTTTTAACGAAATCTTAATATTATCTTTAAAAAAATGACTGAAGTAAAGTTGTTGGACAGCTTTTCTATCAAACATGTCCAACTGCAATGGTTTCTACCTCGTATGAAACACGTCCGACTATAGGTTTTTCAACTATTGATGATAGTGGTTTTTTAGAGGAACAAAAATAATTATATAAAATATTTAAAAATAAGAGACGAAAAATACTAAAGCAAGCAATATTTTTCCGCTAGAGCTTGTATATTTTGAATTTCTCTAATTTTGAGCGAAAATAATAGAGGGACGTAACATTTTTCTTCCGCTTTTTCCCAAACAAAATGTTAATGAATTAGGTTTAAATTTGAAGAATATCAAGATCTTTTCCAACACTAATTATGATTTTGTGATATTGTTATTTTGGGGTTTTAAAAAAAAATGGTTAGAATTATTGATAAAAATCTTTAAGAATAAATCATTGTGTAAGTTTTTGTTAGAGTATCTAGAAAATAGTAATTTTTCTGAAAAAAATTGTTAACCCCGAATACCAAATGTATGTGTTTAAAAGATGTTGTTCTAAAAAGTAATTATACTAAATTAGTTCATACTTAATTCCTTAATCTAATAATTTTCTTAGTGTTTCATAAATCATAATTACAAACTCAAAACTACTTCTAATTTTTCTAAAGAATTATGTGTATACACATACATAAAACAAAAATATTTTGCATGCAAAATGTAGCCAATTACATGGTAGTTAGTTTGGTTGGTTTTCTCACTTATATGAGAAATGAGAGGTCTCGAGTTCGAATCTTTTCGATTATAATTATTTTCACCAATTTGATGAGTTAAGAGGAGGGTTATATTTATTGTGTAGCGTGTGGAGTGTTATTTCGACTTATAAATATCTCTAATGAATTAAAAAAAAATATAGTACACTTTTTTCTTCTTCTTTTTTGGCGGCCATACGTGGGTTTTCACCATTAATTATCCTCTTTTCTGTTTATTTTTTATTTTACTTTATTTTCTCAATTTTTTATGTTTTTTAAATAATTTTCAGAGTTATATATGTATTATTAGATTTTCATTTAGATTGTGTTCGCAACAGCTTTTAGCATTTTGATTGTATTTGGCAATAACTTTTAGCGTTTTGATTATATTCGATAATAGCTTTTAGCTTTTAGTCAAAATGCTAATCACTATTTTTTATAGTGTTCGGTAACATAACGTTTGAGCAAACTTTTAAAAGTTAAAGTAATATTTTATGAAAAATTAACTCATATAACATTTTGTTCTTAGCGTTTTATAAAAATTCACTCAAACAGTTAACAACTAAACGCAACCAAAACAGCTAATTTTATCGAAAAGACCCTTAATTTTTGCAAATATATCCTTATTGATAGATTTTGAGGTTTCTATGTAGAGATTTAATTGATATGTTTAATTCCTTTTATGAAGATATTGTTTTTTGGTTGGTTCAACTACTTTATTTGATGGGACCCATTGAAAGATTAGGATGTCCAATAGTGAATATAGATTTGCCACTTACTGGAGAGTGTGATAAAATGAATCAATTATGAACTCTAGCAATTGGTTATTGGACCGTTCAAATTCTCTATTATAATCTTTTTTTTTTTATTTATATAAATTTCTATTTCCTTTCTAATTAATGAAATATCTCCTTTATTTCTAAAAAAAAATATATTCTACTTTGGCTAATCTAACTGGTTTTTTTTTTTTTTTCCAAAGTTTTCAAAATATCCAAACTCGATTCGATTGTCTGATTGTCTCCATGTATATCTGAAACGGGTCCAATTCGGATTGCAGACTTTGTTCTGTGATTGTCAATTCCGATTCTGAGATTTTGAAGTGTCCAAATTCCAAATCCGTTAGGCAGATTTTTCTTTTCTCTACCCAATCCCACAAACAGGATTCAAGATTCCGAATCTGAACCATCCCTGTCAAATGATCACTTTTCCAACACAATCTCTACCGTTGAAACACATGATCATTTATTGCAATATTTTATGATAAATTTACTCTCCAAGTCAGTCAATGAACACAAACTTCATTCAAAAATCATTTCCATTGTTGGAATTTTGTAAATACAAATATTTTTTTTAGAAAAATAAGAAAATGTCAAATATATATTCTTAATACTGAAAATTTATTTACATTTTATAAGTCAATATCTCAATAATATATTTTAAAAGTTCCAAAACATTTTTTATTTTGACAGACTGTGTGATTGGAAATATTAGAGTTTTAATTTCTCATACTTTTATCAATCAGACAATATATGATTGCTTTAGCTATAAATTTTTTATGAATCTAAGTTAATATTTTTTTAAAATTTTTATGAAAAATCGAAAATTTATTTTAGGTATTGACTTAAAAAATCAAATATGAACAATAAGAAAAGAAATTTCATTTATCAATTGAGTTATCCCTTGACTTTTACAACATATATTAAATGTTTGAGTTTGAATAATTTATTTATTTATTTATTTTATAAAAAAAAAGGTTGAATAGTTTACTCAAACTTTGATTTGTAGATTAATAAATAAATCTACCCAAATATTTGAATTTTTTATATTAAATCGAGCTCAAAGAATATAATAAACTTTGTTTCATTACATCATTGATGGAAATCTTATTTTATATATACATATATATATATTTATAATTGAATTAAGTGGAACCAAATTTTGAACTAATTCATTTTTGACATATATACTTAGAATTTGTCTATTAATTAATTAAGTTAGCATTATTTATTTTAAAAAAATTGATACAAAAGTATTTAATTAATTAAGACTAAAATTAAAATTGCTTAATGCTTTTTATTTAATTATGGTGTAATTATGTGAACAGTCACTTGCAATGGGATGGAGAGGAAGCATCTTTTTATAATTAAATTCATTAATTAATATAATTAACAATAAAAATTAAAAAAATAAAAGCAAGAAAAATAAATAGTAAGTCAAGTCAACCAAAATCTACAAGTCAAGCATCATCCAAGATACTTTCGAAATGAAAACTATGTGGAACCTAAATTTTTGAAACATAATTCATTTTTGACATATATACTTTAGAATTTGTCTATTAATTATTTCAAGTTAGCGAAATTATTTATATTTTAAAAAAAAAATTTGATACAAATTAAGTATTTTAACTTAATTAAGAACTAACATTAATAAATGCTTAGAGATGCTTTTTATGTTAATTATGGTGTAGATTATGTGAACAGTTTCGCACTTGCAATGGGATGGAGAGGAAAAAGCATCTTTTTAATAAAAAAATTAAAAATTCATTAGATTAATATAATTAAACAATAAAAATTAAGAAAAATAAAGCAAGAAAGATAGGAAATCGAGTAAGTCCAAGTCCACCACAAATCTAACAAAGTCCAAAGCATCAATCAAGATACTTTCGAAATTGAAAACTATAAGTATACTATATATATATATATATATACTAATATTTATATATATAGTAATTATATATATATAAAAGAAAAAAACAAATTGCCCTGTAGTGGATTTCTTCTTCTGGTACAAATAACATCAATAAAAAATGGGGTAAAAAAAAAGATCTTTTTGGGGAATCCATTGAAACCGGTTGTTTGATTAAATTACTCTCTTTTCATTATTTGTGTTAAGGATTTTTGTTTTTAAAAAAAAAATTTCATAAATAAAAAGAAAAAAAAAGAAATCTAATTTAAATTGCTTAATTTATGTATATATAAAAGAAAAAACAATGCCGTATGGATTTTCTTCCTGGTACAATAACATCATGGGAGATCTTTTTGGGGATCCCATTGACGTTGATTAAATTCCTTTTCATTATTGTTTAAAATTTTTTAAAAAAATTTCAAAAAAAAAAAAAAAGAAAATCTATTAAATGCTTAATTAGGTGGAAATGATGAGATTGGTTATTTCTGCCAAAATATCAAATAAATTATTTTTTTTTCAATAAATTAAATTAGTTTCAAGCTACAAAAGTGCTTTAAAAGAGTTTAACTGTTCGAAATTGTTCATGAAAACAGCTTGAATTTGTTTATCAACTGTTTGAAATATCACCGACAGTTACCCTTGTCTTCCCTTATTTTTATTTTTTCCGAATAATCCTCGGACTCTGAATTATTATTACTCAGATATTGAAATTATTGTTGTTCATATTTTTGGATTTGTTTTCAGATCCAGTCGTTTGATAGTTTCTAAGTTTGTTATCACTATTATGATGATTTTGTTATTTCGGTGGTTATACAAAAAGAAGTGTAGATGTCATCTTTGATAGAAGAAAAAAATTTTGAAGATAATCAAATTAAATTTGTAAAAAGACCATAAAGTCGAACAATGGTCATGAATAGCTACTAAGTGGAGCGAACGATCGCATATGGTACATATATTATGATCAGTCAACTTGATCGGATACTTCAAATTAAAATTGTATTTTTTTTTATTCTTTATATAGATAGTTTATTATTAGACTTGTTTTACAAAAATATAAAAATATATTGATCTATATTCCATATATTGTATAGTTTTCTCCTAATGAAATTTCCAGTTTGATTTCTTGTTGAAAAAACAAAGTAAGTTCAAATTAATACCTTTCTAGTTCAATTTGTAACAAACGCAACTAGTTAGCTCGAAATTTTTTAAATTTGCATGGCGGGCCTGACAAATAGCAACGAACGATAATTTCATCACATTTTAACTTTTACGTTTGACATTAAATTACAGTTTGATTTAACTTTTTTTTTTTAAAATATTGATTATCATTTTCTAAATATAGTTATCAAACCTTAGTTCCTCAACCATAATATTTTAGAATGTATTACTCCTTAAAATCCTATTTTTGTTCGGCTGAATTGTTATAACTAAAAAAAAATTAATTTTAAAATAGTAAAAACAAAGTATACTTACATCAAATTAATTAATTGTTATAGACCGTTTATTTCAGTTTAATGATAGCTTATTGGACCTCTAATTTATTCATTCCGATAATAAAAAATAAAACTTATTTAATTTGAGCTAAATCATATCATTTACTTATATGAATTTGTAAGTCAAACTTCATCTGAACGATTAAATTTCTTTTTAAAATTAATTCAATAAGCTGTATAACTCATTGTCTTTACAATAATAAAATAATACCGTACACAACTTCTTAATCATTCAATAATCAAGTCTTAATACAACTTTTTAATTATTTAGTTCGATGAGATAGTGAATTCAGATTTAATATTCAGAATTCAGCCTAAATAAACGATTATTTAGACTCAATTGCATTATTTCAGGTGGGCATATATTGACATATTTTCTTCTACCAAATTTCTCCCTGAACCCATATGTTATTTTCATATACAGTGTTAATTATCTTCCTTGTATATAATAGTGCATGACTGCCTGTCTTAATTGCATTCACTAACAAATTAAGACACAAAAGTGCAGTGCAGGTCTGAAAATGGTTCCACATGGCTTCAGATTCAATCCTACTGATGAAGAGCTTATCCAAATCTTAGACAAAAAAGCTTCTAACCAAGAAATGCCTCTCCACTTTATAATCCATGCAAATATTTACGACAATGAACCTCAACATCTCCAATGTCTGTTCTTGCTCATCTCTTCTTTTCTTCATTTCCTTTTCTTTCTTTTCTTTTCTTTTCTTTTTTTCTTACTTTCTGTGTTTCTTTAGTGATTAATCCACTTTGTTATGTAAATTACAGGGAGCCATAGTGAGGCTATAGGAAATGACGAGAGATACTATTATTGCAAGAGAGAAAATGATTCCAGGGAAGTATCAGGAAGGGGATGGTGGAAAGCTACAAGCCATGTCAAGAAAGTTCATGTTAGTAAAGATCTTATTGGCTATAAAAGGCCTTTAACTTTTCATAAGTACAAAGACCAACTCAAGAACCGTAATAATGCCATTAAGACCAATTGGATAATGCATGAGTACAGCCTTCAATCCAAAGAAACGGTTTGTTCCACTTCCATTTTTTTATTGGTTAGAGCAAATTGTTTCATTTTCATATAAGAGGAAGTGATTTTTTTCACTATTAAATTGGAATAGTGTTCTGAACGGTAAGGTATGAGTTTGAATATTGTCGTTGTGTGATTAACCCAATAAAAAAAATTCCATGCATGCAAGTAAACAACATGTAGCTCCCGGCGTACTCTATTCTGTAAGAATAAAAATATAAGTTCAGTTCCTAGACAGTGTTGCTGAAAGCCTGAGAGGGGTTGAAAATACTCTATGGCTCAAAGGAAAATTAACATATCCTGTTTCAAAAAAAAAAAAATTTTCATGCATGTATAAATTTAACATAAAATAGAGAATGTCATTGAACTCCTTTTTTTCTCCACGAGTACTCCATGTCTTTTGAATATGAGATTAGTTTTATTTAAGCGTTGAACTACTTGAACTTGCAGAATTATTCACTGAACTTGAGTATATCTTACCACTTGAGCTGCTCATTGTTACTTATGACATTAACATTTTTTTCTTTGTTGTTGTTAATTTGGATCGAATTATATAGATGATTCGTATTTGCAATTTGTAGTTTTTAGAGCTAGTTTTAATGCTACTGAACCAAATATTTTATATTAGTTTCAAATACTTTGAAGTGGTATCAGAGCTACTAAAGCATGTGCTTTGCAATTTTTTCTCTTAATTGGTTTTTGCTTAGGAATGGAGACTTTGCAAGATCAAATACAAGGGAAAGCCAAGCATACAAGAAGACATGGAGAATATTAGGCAACGTTACTCATCAAGCAACAACAACTCTGAAGAAGCTGGTACCACTTCAATGAATACCCAATCAGGCTCTAATAACAGAGAACAAGACAAGCAAGACGAACCTTCAGTAATAGCATTAGACAATGCAGGTCATCATCAAGCTGATTATTACTGGAATCTGCAGGAGCAAATTCCAGAAACTCAATATGATATGAGTAGTGGTAGTAATTACTATTTCAGTGAGCAGCTAGACCCCAGTTACAGTGAGCAGCAATTTCCTAGTCTTTGGTCCTGGTAGAATTACCAACGCAATTTATATGTATAAAGGATGGTTGTGTTTTAATAAATAATCAGTTCTTAATCTCTCTTTATTTCTGGCATTTCATGTATTTGATATTTTTGTCACATATCAATAAAAAAGTGTTGGATTAGAATTGCCTTTGGAATTACAGAGTTGTAAATTTAAATTTCAATAGAATCAGATTAGGGGAAAAAATACAGATGAAATACAAATTAATTTGAAGTTAAAGAAGAGGGTTTAGTTGTTTGAAATGCACTAAACTCTACTACGACGAGGATCGAGCTACGAAGTCTGCATTTTGAAAAAAAGACTTTTAACATACTCACTTCTCAGTCAAAAAATATAATTAATTTTTCATCTAACCGTTATTAGAGACAATAGTTTATTGGTTTTGTGGAATCTCGGCACCAAACTATTTTGCTTGTTTTTATCTTAACTCATTAAGATATTAATAAAAGTCCTTCATTTAATGGATAATTATAAATGTTATTATAGAAAAATAATTATTTACATATCTAAATTTAAATTTTGTAAATATTTTAGGACAACCAAAAAAAGAAATAACTAATAAATAAAATAGAACAGAGGGAGTAGTAATTATTTTTATATTAGTTGTGGTCTGAAAAATGTGTAAAAAATAAAAACCTTGTATACAAATATAATTACAGTTTAAAATTTCTTTTGCTTCTAATGTTTAACTAAAAATTACAATTACAGTATAAGGTATAAAAGTAAAAATTTACAAATTACGATAACTAATAAATATTATATAACAATAATAGTTTCCCTTTGGAAATATGAATTCAAAATTACAATTTAAAAAAAAAAAAAAAAAAAAAAATGTTTTATTCTACCTAAAAGAGGATTACAATTACAGTATAAGGTATAAAAAGTATTTACAAATTAACGATAACTAAATAAATAGGGTTATATACAATGAATAGTTTCACCCTATTGGAAATATGAACATTTCAAATTACAATTTAAAAAAAAAAAAAAAAAAAAAAGGGGCAAGGATCCAGCGTGCAAAAAAAAAAAAAAAAAAAAAAGGGGCAAGGATCCAGCGTGCATGTGCGCAGTAAAGAATGCACCAACAATGGTATACAAGAAAGTAGGTGTGGGGTGGGGGTTCGATTCCTAGTCCTTGCAAGAGTTTGGAATTTGATCCCTTGTATGGTGAGACAAGCCGTGGCACCTTTGGGACACTGACTCTCTGAGGCACATCCTGCGATTCACCTCCTCCACCATTCCCAGGGCAGGGGGGTGGGGGACCCCTAGGGTGGGGGTTCCACCATTTTTTTTTTTTAAGAAAGTAGCTGTGGGGCTTGTACACACCTGACACATTTCTCTATTGCGCGTATACCTAAATATGAACACGTTTAGATAAGTCAATGATCAATCGATCATTGCAAGTTCATGCATATTCAATTATTCGATGCAAACTTCAAAAAAAAATTTATTCGATGCAAGAACCAACTGGACGTTACTAAATGAGTGGAGCCCAGTTGGTTCGGTTGGAAGCTCATCTCGGTAGAATTTAATTTATTTCGAGTATGATTTGAAATTCAATGAATTTGAAAAGTTTAGACTCTAAGCTTGATTTGAGATTTGAGCTCAACTCAAAAAATTTTGAGCTTGAGCTCCGCTCGTTTGCTAAACGAATAAGCTTAAGCTTGATTTGAACCGAATTTTTTTGAGTTAGCTCGACTTATTTACATCTCATAATTCACACTATCTCTTTTTAAACCATGCAGTACTTTTACTAAGCACGATTTTATATTATTTTAATTGTTTATAGATTTCTCACTGATTAATTACCAATTGGTCCGAGAGTGTTAATTAAAATTAAAAATCGCTCATGAATATTGTCACTTGAAAATCGAACCTCGGTTTAAAACTCAAGTGTTCCAACTACTTATCTAACTCGAGGAATAACCAAAAGAAGAGCATGTTACATTACATATACATTAAATAAATGTGATCTTGTAAGAAAATCTTAAGCAAATGGCAAACCTACTTATTGCATATCTAAGTGATGTAAAGACTAAGATATGCTATTGAACCAAAGACTTGCTCAAAGTTGAAGTCATCTATGGCATAGATATTGTGTATTTTCAAGTGTCCCTTTCCTAGGGTTTGTTTTGTGTTTCAAAAAGCAAGTTTGTTCTTTTGCTTGGCTGTTTCTTATTGTTTGGAAGTTGTCTTCCTACCAATGATAATTCTCCTGTTTTGATAATGAGATTTCTAGAAAATTTCCAATTTATATTATAGACACTACCATTCCGCGTGGTTTTAAATCGAAATAAAATTGATCGATTTCATATTATTACTCCGGACAAAAAAGAAAAGATCGAAAAATAATGAAAATAATTAAAATTAAGAGTAACTATATTTATTACATATCATAAGAAAATCCAAAAAGAAAAATGTTAAAATCTTGGAAGATCCATCATATGATATCTAGAAGGTAAAATGTTTCAAGTTTGAAATGTTTTTTAAAGTGAATCGAACATGAATTTATTGTTAGTGATATCAATGTTTAAGATATATTCATGCATTAGAATATTTTTACCTTTTTCTAGATGAAGTAATTTTTTTTTTTCAAAGGTAAATTTATGAGCATGTTTTAAATTCTTTAAGAGCATGATTATAATTTTTATCTTATCTTACTTTGATAAATCTTTCCACAATCCATCAAAATGAAGCTCTAGGTTATAAAGTAAGTTTTGAGTTTCTTCCTTTTTTTATTTTTTTTTTCCTTTAACTTTTTTATATGCTTTTGTGGTCATATAATTTGTTCATAGGATGCTTAATATATTTGGCTTGCATAGAATTTCATTTGAAAAGTCTTTTATTCCATTAACTCTATAACATTGATTATACTCGAATCAAATTTTATTATATCATTTTTGGAATAATTTATAAATAAATTTTAAATTTGAGAATCTATATATTTGACTTGAATAAAATAATATAATTTTAATAAAAATAGTAATTATAAAAATTTATTTATTTTTATTCGTAAAACTTCAGACTACACAACAAGAGGTAGCATTCCGTGGATTTACCAAATTGTTAAAAACACTTATGGTCGAAAATACTCGAAATAGAAATTTTTCACTCTTCGCATAATTGAGAGGACTAACTAGATTACACCTGATTGATAAATATAAAAATTTATTTGTAAATTGATTCTTATTTTAAAAGATGAAAATTTTGAAATAAATGAACTTCAATGTTTCATTACCTTAGTAATACACCACAGCTTATCTAAATTTTTGCAAGAGTTATCAATTTTAGCCAAAACTTTTTATTTTATAAAGGAAAAATTACAGTACGATTTATTTGATTTGTGAAATACAACTAATTCGTCCCTGTCTTTAGGAAACAGATTAAAATATCCTTATAATTTATTTCCGTCAGACTATAAGGTCATTTTGTTCGATTTTTACATATTTTCCGTTAAGTATCTTATGAAATAACGAAAATACCCCTTTTTATTGTTAAAACCACATGAGGGATGAATTAGTTGTATCTTTTCAAATCACAGGGACAACATTATAATTTTTCTAGTATAATATTTTAGTATCTTTTATTTGACCTCTGTGTTTTCTTGTTGACTTAACGGAAAAAATATAAAAATTAGACAGAAGGATCTAATAGTGTAACATAAGCAAAATATAGAGACAAATTAATATATTTTAATAAAAATAAAGACCAACTAACTGTATTCCCAAACCACATAAATCATATTGTAATTTTCCCTTTGATGAATTTTCCACAATGAAGCTGTCTTCAAGGTTAAGGACAAGGAATATGTAACATCATTCCAAGACAAGAGAAGTGAAAGTCATTAGCAAATTAAGAATAATTTTTGCACGGTTTTCATACAAGGTTCTTTCCACTACCAAATCTTTCTGATGGTGAAAAGAAAGAAAGAAAAAGATGATTCCAAATCCAAAGATAACATAAGAATCAATATGTAATCTTTTATAATCTACTATTGATAATCATAATTAATTAGTCATCGATTGCAATTAGAAAAAAATCTCTTTCACACATCAAGTTAAGTCTTTTCTTACAAGATATGATAGATTCCTACGTTGTTTAAAAAGAAAATTATAATACGATCCCTGTAGTTTGTGAAATATAATTAGTCTGTTCCTATCTTTTCAAAATATACTAATTATCCCTATATTTTGCTTCCGTTACACTATTAGATCATTTTGTCCAATTTTTACATCTTTTTCATTAAATTAACAAGAAAACATAGAAGTCAAATGAGATATATTTTAATTTTATATATAAAAAAATTACAGTGCAGTCCCTATAGTTTGAAAAAAATAACTAATTCGTTCCTATGTTTTTAAAATTGAAAAGGGATATTTTAATTATTTCATAAGGTACCTAATGGAAAAAGTATAAAAATTGAACGAAAGGACCTTATAGTCTAACGGTAATATACTATAAAGTTGTTTTAGTCTATTTTCTAAAAGGCATGGATAAACTAATTATATTTTATAAATCATAGAAATCATACTATAATTTTTCCTTGTTTAAAATGTAAAGTTTTTTTTTTTTGAACATTATTAAAATTTAAAGTTGAACTCACCCATGATGTAATATGATATGTATAAGGCTATCCATTACTTTGCATATGAATTATGCACTTTCTTTTTTGTTACTCTAATAAATAATTACTATCCATGTTCCTAAATACTTGTCACATTTGAAATTTAACAAAAATTTATTATTCCTTGAAACCACAAATATGACAAATATTTTGGAACACAGTACTTTTTCAAATGTGACTTGTATTTAGAAACGGAGGTAATATTAATTTTGTCTCTATATTTACTAGACTATCTAAGATTTCGGTTTGGAATTAAAATAAAATTGGTTGAATTAATCAAAACGAAATTAGTTGAGATTTTATTGGATTAAAACTGAAATCAAAATCAAAATTGATTCAAAAGGTTTCAGTCATAGTTGTATAAGACTTGGAATTGAGATGGTATCCATGTGGGAAGCAACCTCCTAGTTCCAATCTCAGCAGATTTTTTTCCAGTAGAAATTTTCTTTTTTTTTTTTTGGGTTAAACCATCAGTATCCGGCGCAACCGAATAATCTAAATTCGGGTTCTGCAGAGGCCCATTATGTGGGTGACCCTTCCAATCCAGTTTTCTCTATTCACAGTGCCAAAGTTCGAAAGGTTCGAACCCTGAACACTGCTTAAGGAATTCAACGCCTCATCCTACTGTACCAGATTAACTGGTAGTTGATTTTTTCTAATAGAAAATTTTGAAACAATGTATTTAAGATTTTTTTTTTTTTTTCGATTTCAGTAATGTACCAAAATAACTGAATTACAAAATTTTAAACACACAACTTTAGTTGAGATTGAAAAAGTGTAACAAATCGACATTATTTTTGGTCAAGTTGGTTTGTTTTTTCAACTAAATCGATTCTTATATGAAGGTAATAAGTCCTCGATCCTAGAAGTCGATTTAACAATATGCAACTTCATAAAAAGACTAAAACAAAGTGTTAATTTTCATTTAAAAGACTTGAAGAACCTTCTTGCCAGAAGTCCCAAGGATTGAAGACAAACTGTGCTATCCACAGTAGAAACAGGTTCCAAATATTCTCTTGCTGTACACTAAGCTGTATCAGTTCACCAAATCTTTGGTGGTAGAATGGATAACAAAAATAACATAGATTACAGAGATTAAAATCGACATGTTCATGCCCCCGGAATATATTCAGATTGAAAGCCTAGCTCTTGAGGACACTTCCTACCTTCAAAGACATCCTGCAAATAAGGTATATATGCTCCCTGTGTTCCATCAACCTAAGTCTTTAAGAAGCGTTTCTCACTTGCTGCCAATACAGATAAGAAAGAGACGACATTCTTCTCGACAACACCTTTCAACTTCAAAGTTTTGATAACTAAACCCCTAGGAATGGTTCTCTTCTTCAAACTGAAAGAAAAAAGGTGAGGATATGCAGCTATTTCTGAAGGCTTCATTTCCATACATTAATTAGAAAATCCATAACAGCAACTATTTTCTTCTCCCAAAAGTTTATGAAATTCGTACACTTTTTGAAAGCTGACAATATCTCATCTTTAGACCAGCCATATCTTCCATAAACCTCAACTCTGTGTTGCCGAGTTGATTCAGATAATTGGACAACTGCACAAAGAGCACGGATAAACTTCGTTTCTGTAGGACAGACCCCCATATCAATAACCTGTTTGATCTTATTGCGGAACTTGTCAACATTGTGGCATAGCAAATTAGAATTGATTGATCAATAAAAGCTTGATAACGGATTGTGGCATTCCAATTTCTCTTAAAAGCAATGAATTAGACGCGCTAATCTTTTCCACATTATATACACAAGTCCTGGATGCCCTACTCATAGCTTTAATGGCAAATTCATCGCCGAATAGCGAAGCACCCTTGAGGAATTTATAAACAGGAACAATTCGATTTATTAAGCTACATGTTAATGTTAATGCGCAAGAAGATATGATTTTTGCAATGTCTGGGCCAGTCATCCCAATAGAAGAGAAAAACTTAAGCTTAGGAAGAATATTTTTCTCAGGATCAGCTAAAAGAATCCTTGGCCATGACTGAACAATTTTGCTAATTTGGAAATTGGAGAAACCGTGCTTCCTGAGAAGAGCAATGACAGATTCTGGTCCTTCTAGGGTTACAAATTTCACCACATGAATTTATGAAGTAGGAAACTGTAAAAGAGTTATCTTTCGGTTGTTTTTTATTACTAATTGTTGATGAGAAAGAGATGGTAAATTGGTAATGATAACAGGTGTACAGTGAAGAAACCCCAGATGGGTCCTTAAATCACAAAAATGTGTCTAAAAGTGAGATAGCACATGTGGTGATTTAGTGTAGAGTAAACGAAACATAACTGAAATGTATGCAAATTAAACTGAAAAAACAAATCAAGCAACAAACTTACTGGATTACCGTTCGCTGAATTTCTCAATCAAATGTCGTTATCTAGGGTTTTGCAGTTGGATTTAATTGGAGGTATCATTGATAGCAACGGAAAGAGAATCAGGGTTTTCGTGAAATTGGGGGAATGAAAGAGGAGTTTGTTATAAAGGAAATTGAATTGAAAAGGAGAGAGGGAAAACAAAGAAAGTTACATTATTATTAACAAGAAATTTTGATTTGTTTTTCTTAGTTCTATACAAACAAAAAAATATACACAAGTAGGAAAATAAAAAGAAATATTTATAGCATCTGCATTATTTCAAAATGGGTCATATTAGAATGTGAAAACTCAAATGGTTTCTTGAGAGAAGATTTCTCATGTGGAATCAAATACATCAGTTCACCAAATTTTTGGTAGTTAAGCTATAGCAGAATCTATGAAGATAAGAAAAAAACAGGGAAGAAAAAAATAACCACACACATGCCCAAACTCAACATTGTTAGAGCCCATATTGAAAGCCTAGCTCTTGAGGACACATCCTACCTTCAAAGACATCCTGCAAATAAGGAATATTCTCCAGGTGTTTCTCCACATACCTTTCTGAGAAGCATTTCTCACTTAATTTCAGCACACTATGGAAGCGCAAGTTTTTCTCCATTACACCTTTGGACATCAAAATTTTAATAACTAAAGCTCTGGGAATGATTCTCTTCTTCAAACTGTAAGAAAAAAAGTAAGGATATGCAGCTAGTTCTGATCGCTTCATACCCATCACATTAATGAGAAAATCCACCGCAGCAATTATTTTCTTCTCAGAAAATTTCATGAAATTAGGGTGCTTTTTGAAAGCTGACAAGATGTCATCTTTAGACCAGCCAAGTCTTCCATAAACCTCAATTCTGTCTTGGAAATTTGATTCAGATAATTGGACAAGTACACCAAGAGCATGGACAAACTTCGTTTCTCTAGGGCAGAATCCCATACTAATAACCTCTTTGATCTTATTGCTGAACTTGTCAACATTACAGCATAGCAAATTAAAATAATGGATCAATATAAGCTGGATAACGGATTGTGGCATTCCAATTTCTCTCAAAACCAATAAATTAGGAGCACTAACACTTTCCACATCCTGTAGAAAATTTCTGGATGGCTTACTCATAGCTTTAATGAGCAAGTCATCGTCAAATAGCAAAGCACACTTGAGGAATTCATAAACAGGAATAATTCGATTTCTTAAGCTACATGTTAATATTAATGGGCATGAAGATATGACATTTGCAATGTCTGGGCCAGCCATACCAATAGAAGAGAAAAAGTTAAGCTTAGGAAGAATAGTTTTCTCAGGATCAGCTAAAAGAAGGTTTGGCCGTCTCTTAACCATTTTAGTTATTTGGAAATTGGAGAAACCATGCTTGCTGAGAAGGGCAAGGACATAATCTGGTCTTTCTGGGGTTAAAAGTTGCACTTTCTTGGAAGCAGAATTAGCGGCTTCCCGTGACAACCCACATGAATTTATGAGGTAAGACACTGTAAAAGAGGTCTGTATAATTTTATGGTTATCTGATGAGAAATATCTGGTAATTAGAATAACAGGTGGACATTGAATAAACCGAAATAGGGACCTCACATCACAAAAATTTCTCGAAATAGGAGATAGCAATTGTGGTGATTTAGTGTATAGTAAACGTATACAAAACATAACTGAAATTTAATGCAAATTAGCCTGAAAAACAAGGCAACTACGCAACCTACAAACTTACAAGACTAATTCTTCGCCTTCGCTGAAATTCTCGATCAAATGTCGTTATCTAGGGTTTTGCAGTTTGATTTCATTCGAAGTGCGACTGGTAGAAATCGGAAGTGAGTTAGGGTTAGAAGAGGATTTCGTTAATTGAGATAGAGGAAGGGAAAAGAAAGAGAAGCTACGATGAGAGGATGCAATGTATCTGTATCCGCTTCTGCTGAACTTGCGTCTGAGGGATAGAGGGTTGTGTTAAATAATGTGTGGTAAAACGGCATGTCGTATTTTAATATTTTAGTGGGCCAAATTGGCAATGTTGATCCAGTAATTCAAAAAGAAAAATTGATGAATACAGAACTTAAATATTGGAATCCACCATAAACATTTAAAACTCATTCCATTCTTATGCATTATTTTTTGGGTTTAATTTGAAATTCTTTAATCTCATTTTATTTTTAATAATATATTATAATAGTATTCTTTTTCCCTTTTTACATTCAAATGCTCCTAAAAAAGAAGCAATAATATTTTTGAAGCATTACACATTTTGGCTTTGAATTCTTTTTTATCTTTCTCAAAAATCAAAATAAATTCAGAGATTTTTTGTGCAAATCAGACTTAAAGGGGTAAATTCAACTAAAAGGTCAAATTTGTAGCTTTTGGATCCTGAACAACAAGTTTAAGAGGGGTAAACTGGACATTATTTTTATATCAGAAGCAAAAATGGCAAGAACAATGAAAATGGCTATGAACATAATGACAGCAGAATATAATTTCTTATAGTATTTGATATATAATTTCTTCAGCATAATATTAAAATGTTAAATTTACTTTATTTACAAGATTATTAAAGTTTTACTTTTTAATAAGAAAATTCAATTCTATTTATGATATATTCTTTTCAAGAAAATTTTTACATGTATAATGAAAATAGATATTAAGAGAGTGATGTTTCATAATAGACTCTCTCAAACTCTGAACACTTTTGCAGTTGCTATATCACCAAACACTATAAATAATAGAAATAGTGTTTTGACCTTAATTAAGACTATCACAAAAGTTTTTGCTAAACGTAGCCAAAGAGTTCTCAAAAATTCTCTTGCTATACTCAAGCTGAATCAAGTCACCAAATCTTTGGTGGTTTATGGATATCATAAATAACATTAGCTATAAAGCTAAAAAATAAAAAAAATAAAAACTCGAACTCAAACATTACTACTGAAAGCCGAGCTCTTGAGGACACATCCTACCTTCGAAGACATCCCGCAAATAAGGAATATGCTCCCTGTGTTTGTCTATATACCTTTCTAAGAAGCATTTGTCATTTAATTGCAACACAGTATAGAAACTGATATTCTTCTCCCATGCACCTTTCGACTTCAAAATTTTTATAACTAAACCCCTGGGAATGATTCTCTTCTTCAAACTGAAATGTAAAAGGCAAGGACGTGCAGCAATTTCTGAAGGCTTCATATCCATCACATTAACCAGAAAATCTACAACACCAAATATTTTATTCTCTGATGAACACATGCATTGAGGATCCCTTTTGAAAGCTGACATTATCTCATCTTTAGACCAACCACATCTTCTATAAACCTCAATTTTGTGTTGCCAATTTGATTCAGTTTGGCTGATTGCAGCCAGAGCAAGTACAAACTTCATCTTCGTCGGGCAGAAACCCATATCAATTGCCTCTTTGACCTTATCGCGGAAGATGTCAACTTTAAAGCATAGCAAACTATCATGCCATGTCAATAGCAGCTGAATAACGGATTGCGGCATTCCAATTTCTCTCAATACCAATAAATTAGCACTAATCCTTTCCACATCATTTTGAAAGATTCTTGTTGAATTAACAATAGCTTTAATAACCATGTGATCATCAAATAGTAAAGCACTCTTGAGGAGTTTATAGACAGGAATAATCCGATTCCTTAAGCTATGGGATAATATAAATGGCTTTGAAGAGATGAGTTTTGCAATATTTGGGTCAGAGATTCCAATAGAAGAGAAAAACTTAAGCTTAGGAAAAATGTTTTTCTCAGAATCATACAAAAGAAGCTGCGGATGTGATTTAACCATCATGGTTATTTGGGAATGGGAGAAACCATGCTTGTTGAGAAGAGCCAGGAAAGAATCTGGTCTTTTTGAGGTTACAAATTGCACTTTCTTACAAGCAGATTAGCGGCTTCCGGTGACAACCCACATGAATTAATGAGGTAATATTTTGTAAAAGAGGTTTCTTTAAGTTGTTTTTGATTACTAATTGTTGTATTGCTATCTGATGAGAAAGATCTAGCAATAATAACAGGTGTAAATTGAAGAAACCAAAAATGGGACAAGTCACAAAAATTCCTCAAGATGGGAGGTAGCAGTTGTGGTAATTTAGTGTATAGCAAACGAAACATAACTGAACCATATGGAAATCAAACTGTAAAAGAGTGCAAGCAACTAACTTATTACAAGACTAATTCTTACGTTGGCTGACTTTCGATCAAGAGTCGTCATCTAGGGTTTTGCAGTTTGTTCCTCCCAAGAGCGCTGATTGCAGAACAGAGAAAGATGTTTAACTTTCTGGTCGTTGATTTGGAGGGTGCACAAAATCTAAAAATTGATAATAGTCATCATGGCCAAAACAACCTGCATCTATTGGAGGCTTAGTAATCAAAATACCCGGAATTGGAAAGAGAGTTAGGGTTTGGATAAATTGGGGAATTAAAGAGGATTTTGTTTAATGTTGTGAAGGACACCAAAAGGAGAGGGAAAAGAGAGCGACGATGAGAGGCTGCCGGGCGGCATCGAGGGTTGTGTTAAACAAGTTGCGATTAAATGACTTGTCGTATTTATGCGTTTTGTTGGACAAAATTGGCGTTTATGGTACATTACTTTTATTACATTATCATAAGCTCTATTTCTTTTTGATTTAATGATCCGCTGTCCGAAATTTACTGGCCCTATAAGTAAATTTCCTTTCTAGTATTTAAAGGGAATTTATATTCATTGTTCGAATTTAAGAGTTTTGGTTAAGAAAAAAGGAATTCATGTCATCCCATTTCACTTCTCGAAAAATCATAAATTCTATTTTAATGCAACATAAAAAATTTATTTCATTTAAAAATATTTAGTCTCATTTTCTTATCATAATATACCCAAGATACTGTAATTTTTTAAAAAATAAGACACTAAACTGAAAAAATATAAGCATAAAATAAAAAATATTTAATTTCTTATTTCAACGGTATTAATTAAATTCTCAAAATTAACATTATCGTTGAAAACCATAGCATCTTTGATTTATTTAGAGATAATTTGATAATTTTAAAAATTCTGAAATCTTTAAAAGATATCAAACATTGTTATTAGTTATTGAATTTAACAATAATAGATATGTGAATTATAAGATAAAACTTTTCAAACATTTATGTGTTTTTTAATTTTATATTTTAAATATTAATAATTATTAAATACATTTAACATAATAGCTTAAAGTTTTTGTTAATAAATTTATTTAAATATCTTATAAAATTTTTAAAAGTGTCTCTAAAATGTTTAAGGAATTTGTGATGCTTGTTCCAAAAACTATTAAGTTGCTTTGAAAGAGTTTCAAACAAACAAAAGAAAAAAACAAAAGTAAATGCATAATAAATACTAAAAGACATTTTCAATTCATTATTTTAAAATTGGACCATTTACTCCGAAATTTAATAATAGATTTGCACTTTAATTTCTAATAGTTCAAAATTCAACTATAATTTAATTCTTAAAAGGTACAAAATTTAAAATTTAAATATAATTAATACTATTTAGCGATAGCTATCAATTCAATTCATTACTGCATTGCGGCAGTCTGATACATGTCAGAGCTTCGCGCCTTCACGCTTAAAGCGTTACCCACAAACATTAAACACACACTCATTTTCTGATTCTCTCTCCCTATATAAGAAAGTTGCAGACTTTCAGTTTCAGTTCTGCGCTTTCTCTCTTCAAATAGAGAAAGGGAAAGTGTTGTGCTTTTTCGCTTGGTAAGGCATTGTCAGCCTTTAGTTTATATTAACCATCAACCTTTTTCATTTTTCTTCAAAAATTTTTACATTTGTTTGGTCTATCACTTGTTTAGGGTTTTGGGTTTTAGGTGTAAAACTTCAAATATGTTAACTGTTGTTTTTATGTTTTGAGGTTTTCCTTTTTGATAATGCGTTCAATTTCTATTGGTAAGGGTAGACGATTGTTTTTTTTATTTTAAATTTTACCTTTTTGATTTATTTCTTCTTTTTGCTATTTCTTTGCTATGTGGGTTGCTTAGGGTTTTAAGGTTTTTATGTTAGGTGGAATTATACTATCCAAATGCCAATAATATTGCATTTGTTATATGTTAAAGGATAAAGTTTGATCATTTTTTTTAACCTAGAGAATTTGAAGGTGTAAAGGATATCAGTCTTCTGTGGAAGGTCATCTTTTATTGTTAAATTGAATGCTAATTGCAAAGTGAGTTTCCCCTTGCGAAAATGTTAAGTTTTTCCTTCTGTTTTATAAGAGGAATTTTAAATGAAAAAAAGAGAAAGAATAAATAGCCATTGTAATGAAGCAGGAGTAGTTGTTGAACTTGGGCCAAGTTTAATATCTTCCCTTTCTGGTTTTAGATTATTAAAAATCTAAACTTGTAATTTTCTTAAAATTCAATACATTGAAAGATAATTTTATGTACAAGATTTTATCTTTCAAAGTATGAAGTTGATAGTATCCTGAAATTTGCTAGGGAATGGGTAATCTGTATATGAACTGCATAAAGTGGAAAAAAATTCCGTGATTTGGAACAACTTTCCTACTGAGCATATTACGTTTGTTGTTTTCTTTTTTCCTCTCAGGCTTTTATTTTTTGAAAACCCTGGGAATTGAAAACCTAATTGGATTTTTTTCTTCACCATTATAGATATCACAATTGGAGGGTGAGTCCTTTTTGGAATGATGTCGGGAGCTATAGAATCAGTGGCTTATTGTCCAACTGAGGATGCTCTTGGTATATTGTTAGAGTACCTAGTTGATCCAAAGCTACCCTCGAAATCTTCTGCAAGGTGTATCCCATCACAATCTGATCAGGAACTAGTTGCAAAACAGGTGTCTTTCTCTCTCTCTTCTGTTCATCAGTCTTATCCCAGAAACATGTGACTGCTAGCATAAGTTTCTTCATTTTTTTAGTTTTTAGTTGAAGTTCTTATTCTAGAAGAATGATGTTTTTCATTGCAGTAAATTAGTAAAGAACATATTTATTGCCAGTCGTATATTTTAGGCCAATGGATCACATGGGCAGCTGCTGTTTCTTTTTCTGCGGCGATTTTGTAATCTGTTCTGGAGAAAGTGTGCTTTACTTTTTATGATTTGTAATCTGTTCAGTTTTGGTTGAAGAAGCTTTCATAAATGCTGGGTGTTACACCTAGACAGTTGTTGAATATCTTAAGTCTGTCTCTTGTTTATGTTCTTCCTTTTGCTGAAAATTTTGGAGACCGCACTGGTGGATAGAAGAAACAAACAAAAAGAAGTTTCTTAAGTTGATTCTTCTCACTAGGAAGACTATGTTATCAGAACTAGATTTTTGTGGCTGATTGATTCTTATTCAGTTGTATTAGATTTAGAGTTTTAGGTTTGAAGAAGAGGTTTCAATTCTCATTATAATTTTTTCTGTGTACAACTCTTGTCTTATAGACAATTTAACATAATTCTAGGGATCCTGTATCATCTAATTTAGGAAATGATTGATCTTACCATTAAGGTGGTCAATCCTTTCCTTTTATTGTACAAGGATTGATCCTAGGGATCCTTTATCGTCTAATTTAGGAAATGATTGATCCTACCATTAAGGTGGTCATTCCTTTCCTTTTACTGTACAAGGATTGATCCTAGGGATTCTGCATCGTCTAATTTAGGAAATGATTGTTCCTACCATTAAGGTGGTCAATCTTTTCCTTTTACTGTACAAGGATTGATTCTATCATTAAAGTGGTAAATTCTTTCCTTATACAATTTATTCTTCTACCACTCCCCCTCAAGCTGGGTCGTGGGATCTTCAACACCCAACTTGCACAACGTTTCATGGAAGACTTGCCATGTCACTGCCTTGGTCAGAATATCTGCCAGCTGATCCTCAGATCGAACATATGGTAGACTGATGATCCCTCCTTCTAATTTCTCTTTAATGAAGTGCCGATCCACTTCAATGTGCTTCGTCCTGTCATGTTGCACTGGATTTTCTGAGGTGCTAATTGTAGCTTGGTTATCACACCTAAGTTGACACGTACTCTGAGGTGGAAATCCAATCTCAGTTAGTAACTTCTTAATCCATAGTAGCTCCGCTAATCCCCGAGCTACTCCTCTGAATTCTGCTTTTGCACTAGACAGGGCTACAACTTTCTGCTTCTTGCTTTTCCAAGTTACAAGGTTCCCACCAACAAAAGAAAAATATCCAGATGTCGATCTCCTGTCTATTGGATTCCCGGCCCAATCAGCATCCGTATACCCAAGTATCACCAAGTGTCCATTTTTCCCGAACATGATTCCTTTCCCTGGTGACCCTTTCAAGTATCGTACAATTCTCAAGGAAGCATCCATATGTTTCACCTGTGGCTTGTGCATGAACTGGCTCACTACTCCGGTAGCATACGCTATGTTAGGTTTAGTGTGTGAGAGATAGATGAGCTTCCCTACTAGTCTTTGGTAACTCTCACGATCTGTCATGTCTGCTTCCTCTTCTATTTTTAGACCATGATTCACCACGATAGGGGTCTCAGCTGGCTTACAGTCAATCAATCCAGTCTCAAGCTTCCCTTAACTAGTCTTAGTAACTCTCAACGATCTGTCATGTCTAGTGTGTGAGAGATAGATGAGCTTCCCTACTAGTCTTTGGTAACTCTCACGATCTGTCATGTCTGCTTCCTCTTCTATTTTTAGACCATGATTCACCACGATAGGGGTCTCAGCTGGCTTACAGTCAATCAATCCAGTCTCGGTTAGGAGATCAAGGATATACTTTCGTTGCGATATGAAAATCCCCTGATTTGATCTCAGTATCTCGATTCCCAAAAAATACTTCAGTCCCCCCAAATCTTTCATTTCAAATTCTTTAAACAAGTTTCCCCGGAGATGTGCAATTTCTTATATATCATTGCATGTAATGATCATGTCATTGACGTAGATAATTAGGCATGTAATCAGCTCTCTTCTTCTCTTTAGAAACAAAGTGTGATCCGAGTTGCTCTGTCGATACCCGTAACGATTCATCGCAACAATAAATCTTCCAAACCATGCTCTAGGTGACTGTTTTAGCCCGTATAACGCCTTCTTCAGTCGACATACTTCTCCCTGTTGAAATCCCTTAGTAAACCCTAGTGGTGCTTCCATATATACTTCTTCCTTGAGGTCACCGTGAAGAAAGACATTTTTCACATCAAACTGATGAAGTGGCCAATCCAGATTGGCCGCCACTGAGAACAATATTCGGATCGTATCAATTTTTGCCACTAGACTGAATGTTTCTGAGTAATCCACTCCATATGTCTGAGTGTATCCCTTTGCCACAAGTCGAGCTTTATATCTTTCTATGGTTCCATCTGCCTTGTGCTTCACTGTAAAAACCCATCTGCACCCAACTGTCTTCTTTCCAGTAGGTGGTTTGCACTTTTGCCACGTTCCATTTTTTTCAAGAGCCTCCATTTCAACTTCCCTAGCCTGTCTCCATTCCTTCTTTTGTTGAGCCTCCTGTACTGTTCTGGGAGTAGTTTCGGTGTATAGTATTATTGTGAACACTTTGGCTACTTTGGACAAACTCTCCCTGGCAAGGTTAGCCACTGGATATCTGGACGTTTTGGGTTCACGTTCTGGTGAGTATCTCTTCGGAGGTATACCCCGGGTGCTTCTATGAGGAAGAATATATCTCCCTGTAGTCTCAACTACTTCTGTCTCAGGAGCTACATGTTCATGTTCAGAGTAATGTGAAGCAGAAGTAAAATCATTATGAAATTGGGTACTTACCTCCTGGACATCCAACTATGGAGTCCTTGGTGTGTCACTGAATTCGGTAGTTTCTACATTGTCTGAAGCAGGCTCAATGGATCCACACTCAATGAATCCACTAGCTTTTTTGTTGGATTCACCGACAGACAAAGTTGGACTGAGTAACCAACACAGTGGGTCAATATCTGTTTTACTCTCCCCCAGACCATTGTGTTGGGTGTGGTAAAAATATTCAGTTTCAAGAAAGTCACAGTCCATTGTGGTGTACATACGACGGGTTTTGGGGTTATAGCAGCGGTAGCCTTTTTGGTTAATCTCATATCCCCACAAAGACACATTTGACTGCGCAGGGATCAAATTTTGAATGTTCAGTCTTTGGAATATGAACAAAGATTGAGCATCCAAAAATTCGAGGTGATAGTGTCAAGGCAGGGGGCACTTGAATGTGTTCAGAGAGAGATTGTAGAGGGGTTTTTAGGTTAAGTATCTTAGTGGGTAAACAATTAAGAAGGTACACTGCAGTGGCTACGGCTTCAGGCCAAAAAGACTGAGGAACTTGAGATTCAAGCATTAAGGGTCGGGTGATTTCAAGAAGGATTCTGTTTTTTCGTTCAGCTACACCATTCTGTTGTGGGGTGTTTGGAATTTTCAAGAAGGATTCTGTTTTTTCGTTCCAGGCAGCTACACCATTAGCTGGTTGTGGGTGTTTGGACATATGGATTTGGTGTACTAACCCATTTTCCGGAAGAAGGTTTTGCATGGCAAGATTTGACAAATTTCCCCCCCCCCCCCCCCATTATCAGAATCTGAGTATTCGTCTTGCATGGCAAGATTGATAAATTCCCCCCCTCCCCCATTATCAGATCTGAGTATTCTAATTTGTTTTTGAAATTGGGTACGGATGAGATTGTAAAAATGCACAAATTTTTGTGGAACCTCAGATTTGTGTTTTAAAAAATATACCCACGTCATACGCGTACAATCATCAATAAATAACACAAAATACTTAAAAATATTATTTCCAGAGTTCGGAGCAGGACCTCATACATCAGAGTGTACTAAATCAAATGCATGTTCAACCCTAGTGTTACTAGAAAAAAAAGGCTTCCTATGGCTTTTTGCCAAAACACAAGTATCACAAGGAGTATTATTATGAAACTAAGGAAAAAGGATTTTGAGGTAACCATGTGACGGGTGTCCCAATCGTCGGTGCCACAACCAACTCTGTTGACCAGTCGTCCCATAAGCTAGTAGTGCGGACCTTTTCTGAGCCACTTCGTCTACATAGTACAAACCATCGTATTCAGTGCCACGCCCAATGATCTCCTGTGTTAGATGTCCTGTAAAAGGCAAAAATTCGAATGCATTAGAAGCGTACAATTCAGTTCTTTTGTCACTTGACTAACAGATGGACAATTTCAGGGTTGGGGATAACTCTATGGACCCTGCCCCTTTAACAGGTACAAAATCTCCACTAGCTGTCTGAATTTTAAATTTTTCTGGAGCTGATGGGATAATAATATCAGAGGGATCATACGTCATGGTATCAGTCGCCGCAACCATGGAGTATTTTTTCCACCCTTCGGTTCTTGGGCTATATAGGCTGAGGGGTATTTATTTATTTTCGACCGACCCGAATTTTTTCTCATACCCTATGAATGATTTCTATTTTTTTTCTATTTTTTTCTAAAAACCTGTGGGGTCAATCTGAATTGTTTTAAAGGAATCAAGACTTAATTGCATACAATCAAAACTTTCAGTATTTAATTCAGGTAGATCGCAACAATTAGGTGCAAAATAAATAGGATTAAGAATTGAATGGTTTGGAGGTGATTTTCCCTTCCTAAACCCTATACCTGTCCCATCTCTTTCTCCTCTCCCATTTGCTTCGGCCGCCCCTCTTCCTATTCCAATGGCAACAAATCCTCCATCTTTGCTGCTGTTGTGGACACCGGCGACCTCCTGGTTGCTAGTCACAACAGCGGCTCGACCACTTTTTTCCCGGTCGCAATTTCTCCTCTTCGGATTGTCCTTCCATCATTCAGGAAAACCAATGAGATGAAAGCATTCATCGTTGATGTGTCCAGTTAGGTTGCAATGAGAACACTTGAGGCCGCTCCGATCAATTTTCCCTTGAAATAATGAACTTGCTGCTCCGTTTGCCAAGTCTGATCGGGGCTGCGATTCACTGTGCACCTAGTTTTTTTTTGTTCACCATCGACCTAGACCTCTCCCCCTATCCTCTTGCGGCTAACCCGCTACCAATGCCTAGAGTTTCACCGTTGTCCATGGCTGCCAATGGACTGAGTATGTTCATCCGGGCGGCCTAGCATACGCTACTTCAACAGATAGTACGGGAATTTCTTTCAATAAATCATGTTTGACTGAATCAAATCAATCATCCATTCCGCGAGAAATTGGTGCAGTCGACTTTCTTGCTTTAATCTGTTAAAATTGGTGCAGTCCGATCTTTCTTTGCTTTAATCTGTTAAATGTAGAAAATGATCTGCTGGCCCTTGTCATGTGGATTGGGTTTCTTCGTCTATTTCTCGCCAATTGCTTGAAAAATACTGTAACATATTTTTCCAGTGTTGTTGCCCCTGTTGCTTGTATTTATTTTGCCTTTGTTGTCATCAGGTTGAAGATTTGCCAACGCATCTATCCCACTTCCGGTACTAGCCGCCAGACCATACCCACAGGTCTTTGGCCCCAGACCATCCCACAGGTCTTTGGCCGTCAGATATTCGACATACTGGCTAACTAGGTCTGGTTCAATGGCTTGAATGATCCATGAAAAAACTTGGAGATCCTTTTGCTCCCATATGGCAAACACTGGGTCTTCTGTGGCTGGAGGTGGGGAATTTCCAGTGATATGGTCCAATCGTCCCCTTGCACCGATGGCCAACCGCATCAGTCTTGACCATAGGGAGTAATTGTGATCATTTAGTTTAATATCGACTGAGGCTGTTTGGTTATTGTTTGATTGAATTGTAGTATGTTGTTTTAACAACCGGGCAATCTGTGTTGACAAGGCTTCTGTGGCTTCAGTCAGTGCTGGATTGACACTGTTGTTGGCTTCGTCACTCATGTCGCTGGACAGGTAAGTTGCTGGTAAATGATGAACAAGTAATGGAACCCTATGATCGATAATGCTCTGATACCATCTTAGATTTAGAGTTTTAGGTTTGAAGAAGAGGTTTCAATTCTCATTATAATTTTTTCTGTATACAACTCTTGTCTTATAGACAATTTATAGATAATTTAACATAATTTTAGGGATCCTGTAGCGTCTAATTTAGGAAATGATTGATTCTACCATTAAAGTGGTCAATCCTTTCCTTTTATTGTACAAGTTTCTATTGTAGCAGGATGTGATCCTAGGGATCTTATATCGTCATAATTTAAGAATGATTGATCCTACCATTCAGGTGGTCAATCCTTTCCTTTTACTATACAAGGGTTGATCCTAGGGATCCTGTATCGTCTAATTTAGGAAATGATTGATCCTACCTTTAAGATGGTCAATCCTTTCCTTTTACTATACAAGGATTGATTCTATCATTAAGGTGGTCAATCCTTTCCTTGTACAATTTATTCTTCTAACAAGTTGGTCTTTTAAATAAGCAACAATGGCTTCACTCCTCTGTTTAACCTGGACAAACGGGAAAACATTTAGGTTCGATTCTTCTCACTGGGAGGACTATGTTATCAGAACTAAATTGTTGTTGCTGATTGACTGTTATTCAGTTGGTCTTTAAAATAAGCAACAATGGCTTCATTCTATTTAACCTGACAAATGGGAAAATATTCAGGGCCAAGAGAGAGAGAGAAATTAAAATAAGCAACAATGGCTTCACTCTGTTTAACCTGGACAAATGGGAAAATTTTTTTTTTTGGGGGGGGGGGGGGGGAAGGGGGGGGGAGTGTGTGTCTGTGTGAATATGAACGGAATATTTATTTGTTATGCAAACCCACATGTTGTTTGTAGTATTCTATTGTGTGGAGGTCTTATAAGCAGAAAGTTATGGGAGTGTGTGTCTGTGTGAATATGAACGGATATTTATTTGTTAGTGCAACCCCACATGTTGTTTGTAGTATCTATTGTGCTGGAGGTCTTATAAGCAGAAAGTTATATGCACATTTTTAAATATCACCTTTAGTTATGTTCCTTTTGGGACATTTAGTTAAGTATTCACTAGTTTAACTGCTGTTTTTGCTCTTGCAATTGATTTCCTTCAGGTTCATGCAGTTGTTTTACTTTATAACTATTACCACCGTAAGCAGCATATACATTTAGAATTTCTTGGTTTTGAAGACTTCTGCAAGTTAGCTGTAATTTTGAGACCTACTTTATTCCCTCATCTGAAACTAATGCAACTGTCCAATGATACTGAGCTAGATGACCTCGAAAAGCAGCTTTCATTGACAGAGAAAACGATTATGGATGCATGTGATATTTCCACAAGTTTAGATGCATCCAAAAGTGTTCCAAGTTCAGAGGGATGGACAATTTCCAAGGTTTCTGTCTTTCTAATAGACTCACTGAGGGAGAATTGCTTACTGCAGTATGGTTCCATCACTGAAGGTGTTTGGTCAGTGATTGAGAAAGCTGTGGAACTCTCTTTTAACAATTCAAAGTGCAACATGGACTCAGAGCCCACAAACAGAAAGAAAAGATTTATTAGAAAACCTTTGAGAAATGAGCCAGGTATTGATGAAGCTGGCCTTCAGCAACATGCATTTTCAGCTGTCGAGGAAGTAACTGGTAATTGATCAAACAATTTGGTTTCTACCTTTTTTTTGTTATTTCTCATTCGCTATTGCTATTGCTATTGCTATTGTTTTTTATATTAATACTATTTTGGATTTGTATTTTAACCTCTAAGTATGGTTGAATAAGATTCTTGTCTGCATAACAGGTATTAATCAGGGAAGTCTTCTGATTTTGGAGAGACATGTCGTATATTCTACCAGTAAAGAAAAGACGGCTGCCTGCTTTTATATAATGCAGTGCACACCAAACATGAATCATGTTACCCAAAATCCCATTAAAGATGCTATTAATAGGTTTGGTCATAGCAAAGCCTTACCTTTCGCTTTCTTATTATCTTAATTTTACCTTATTAATGTATTTAATATTGGTTTTTCTTGGGCTAGTCTATGGTTCCATTTTGGCTTGTAAATTGAGGGTCAATTGATTTTTACAATATTGCATGTGTATAGTGAACGAAATCCAACCTCTAAGATTCTGATTAAACATAACATTGCATGTGTATGGTGCTTTTCTTGGGAGAAATCACAAATTATGATGCTTTATGGCCCTAAACGTTATATTATCAAGAAAAGCATGCATGGTGCCGGTCTTATCTATTTTGGGACTGAGACTTAAGTTTTGGAATTTAATCACTGGTTATGATACTTTTACTATCTGACTGGATACTGTTTGACTTTTGTTAAATTGTATTCGACTTGTAAACGCTGAATGATTAAGGGTGAAAAATGCAATTCTTCTGATTGGAGCAATTTTTCTTTTCTGTGAGCAGCTTGCAGGGCCCTTTGTTCATTAGGAGTTCTAGCCGATGGATTCGTACTGCAGTCGTCGAATACTTCCATTTGCTTCCTTATGCTGAGATTCTGAATGACTGGCTTTCCAGGTGAAATTTGCATGTATATTATTGTTTGGAATGCTATTTGAAGCTTGTGATTCATTAGCATTAGGTGGTTCCTGGTCATCACTTTAGCTTTATGTATTTGAATGATAGATATAAAAATATAGTGTCATGGTACCAAATAATGGCTGTGAAAACAGCTGTTATCCTCATAAGAGATAGTCTTTTGCTCAACTGCTGCCCAAACTTATTTTATTTATTCATGAAAAAGAACATGAAGTTTGCTGTTATTTCTCCATTCAAATAACCTTGGTAAAAGATTGAATGAAAAACTGAAAATTTTGAAAAAAAAAAAAAAAAATTAAGCCAAGATTCACCAACTGCAGTGTTGATTGTGTTTTTGACAAGTGATTAATTCTTAGGGATAGGCCATAAGCAAGTACTCTCTGATGAATCCCTTATCCTCATTATAGATTCAAGTGGACTAAGAAAGTGAACTACTATAGTAGCATGGGACACAAAGTAGGCTTGTTATATTCCTTAACTGTGATATGTCAGGATAATAACATCAATTATAATTTTTATTTTACTACTATAAAATATACAGTCTCAATATGCTTTATGATTTCAATTTGATATGGGCCAAAAGGAATGCAAGGGGGTCCAATGCATCTAATATGAGGATAATTTTAAAGTTTATTACATTAATAATGCCCATAGACTTGTTTTAACATACACCAATTTGTGTACTTATCTTCATTCTAGTAAGTTCGGCTTCTCCCCTGAATTTCATCAAGTTAAGGTGTCTAGCTGATTAGTAGAATTACTAAATATTGTTCTCTACTTTTGCTCTTTTGACGTTTACATATCTGATCAGTAGCATTGCTTTATGATTTAGGGGTACATCCAATATGTGATCTCAAATTTGTCTTTTCAACAGGCAAATGCTTCATGATAGTTTGCAAGTTCAGAAAGTAGGATCAGAAACCATAAACGTAAACTTTTCCAAAAGGATTAAAGAATCTTGTGAGTCAGAAGTTCCAAAAGGTTCTGATAGAAAGCAACCAGGCAACAAGACAGGCTTTGGATTAACAAAGCAAAATGAGGATGATGGGTTTCATGTGGTTGATTTGTCTAATGAAAAAGATGAGGCCCACAATATGGATGTGGATGACTCTTTTGTGGGAAACACCCAAACCAACAACTACCAAAAAATGATGACTTCTGTAGATGGATGTTTAAGTGGCTTGACGAACAAGGTTGGATTTTTTTTTTCTTTTTAGTATATGTATATTATGCATGGGAGAGTTTTTTCTGTTAGATCCTGCTTCCAAAGTAGTCTTCAGATTGGCATTTGATCGCATATATGCTCAATTTTTTTCTAGACATAGCTATTGAAGCCAGTAGTTTCTGATGATTATGTCGAAGCTGTTTTTTTTTTTTTTTCTTGGCATTTGATTCGCAATATATGCTCAATTTTTTTTCTAGACATAGCTATTGAAGGCAGTAGTTTCCTGATGATTAATGTCGAAGATGTTTTTTTATTTTTTCGAAGCTGTTTTTTTTTTTTTTTCTTCTTTTTCTTTTTGCTATGATGAATGAATATACACATACTACGTATATATATTAACTTAGATTATATATATATCTCAAAAATTTGCCTATAAATTTAGGGTAATTTATGGGGAAATTACTACTCATCCCCTCTCCCTCCTCTCTCTCTCCTCAGACACACAAAAGAAAGAAATACTCGAATATAGTACCAACTCCACATTTCTATTGACTTTCATTCATATCTGTTCCTCAGAAGTTTTTGAAGGTAATATGTGAAGACATTCATGATAGCCCCTCCAGATTTTGTTACATTCAGTTACAACTATTCCAATGAATCTTCACTCATCCTTTCCGTTGACTTTGCCACCTCTCCAGTTATGCCCCCTGCATGTCTCTGAATACTACCACAGAGCATAAGCCTGCACTGAAAGTCCAGGAAATGAGTGTCTTCTAGTGTTGTTAACCTTAACAACCTTTTAACTACTTATTTTTCTTGCTTATCATATGAGCTATCACTGGTTATGTAGGCTAGGATGGCTGATTCATTAAAGAGGCAGAGAATTACTCAAAGCAGAGATGGAACTGTTGTCAGTGAAAACAAGAACTACAACAATGTCTCCTCAGACAACAATGTAATGCCAAAAAATGACAATGCACTAGTTGAGTATCAGCCAAATTCCAATGATCTTGACAAAGTAAACAACATCATAGCTTCAAAGAATCAAGATCTTGACAACGTAAGCACCAATGCACTAGTTGAGTATCAGCCAAATTCCAATGATCTTGACAAAGTAAACAACATCATAGCTTCAAAGAATCAAGATCTTGACAACGTAAGCACCAATGCACTAGTTGAGTATCAGCCAAATTCGAGAGTTATTTTAAGCAAAAGGGCTAAACTGGTATGATGTTTTATCCTATGATTGCTATTTTTCAATGCATATTTTTAAATGACTAGACACAAACATTCTTGTATAGGAAGTGACATATGCATATTGGATTAGAAGTTGTTTGATTTCAGTCTTCTATAGGTAGGATCCTAAGTGTCAGCTCAATATTTGATGGATGGAAGTTATTTGAAACCTCCTTGCCAAAATGATCATAGATCATAGGTCATGACCAATGGTATCTGCCAATCTTAAATTGATTCCCCGGTCAAGAAATACATGCCCAGAGTATCTCAGATTTTGTGTCGTACATTTTTCCATTCTTACGAAATTGTATTTTCTGTTGTATATTGTTCTTGAACCTCGCGTGTTTTTAGCATCTTCAAACTGTGGCAAACTTGGACACTATTGAATCTTTGAATATCCATGCAGTGTTTTCAGCTACGAGACATAGAAGATCAGATTGTGCAGTGCGATAAAAATATCCAGACAATTTTAAATGGTATGGGTTGATTCCTATATTGCATCTTGATTCATCCCACCTTTCTATTAAAAAACATGTCATCTGAGTAAGAGATGAACTGAATCAGAACTCCAGGTTCTCTATTGATTTAGCCTGGCACATTTGAACTGGATGCTTATGCAGGAGTGCAACAACTGTACTTTTTTTTTTTTTTTTTTTTTTTTTACAGTCTCCACTCTAATTTGTATGTTAACGGACCCCACCAGAGTCTATCTTATATATTGGTAGTACGCACTTACTGCAGGAAGTGCACAATGTCACTCCATCACTACTTTATTTTCCTTATTTACACTCTTTTTTTTTTTTTTTTTTTTTTTTTTTTTGAACTAAGTGGAAAAACTATACCATAATTTCATGAGGTTTCAATTTTCATTCAGATCTAAGACCAAAATCCGAACATTTGTTTTCCTTTCTTTCTGGTCTGTAACAGGTGGTGAAGGTGATTTGGCCCTGAAGTTAGAATCCCTTATAGAACGTTGTAATGATGTATCCCAAACAAGTCTTATCCAAGGAACAACTTGTCAGCATGGTGATGACCAATGCTTACCTCAATTTAGATTGCCTGCCAGTATGCCCAATATACAAAATTCATGTCAGGCAAGTCTATATCTTTTGTTTGTCTCGTTGTTTTCTTCTCTACTAGACTATACAGTCTAGAATCACGATGGATACTTTCTACACCAATGTTTTTCATGATGATGTCTATGTGGCTTTGCCTGCATTGTCTTATCGTGCATGTCGTCTGACATTATCCTGGGCTTTGGTGCACAATCCTCTGAGCAGGTGATGGATATGGCTTTGCTGCATATGACGGCTCATAACGAGACACAAAAGAACTAGAATATTCTTTGTTAAGATAATTTCAGAATTACACCTTAATTGTCTTGCTTACAATCACTGTTCTTTCCCATTCTAAACCCGGCAGGATAAATTTAAAGTATATTTTTTGTTTTGCCTCTACTGATTAACTCATTGTTCATTCAGCAGAAATTGGATGTCCTATGTTCTCAAAACGATTGGATATTACCAAATTATCATTTGTCTGCACTAGATGGTAAGATCAAATTCAATCTGTGGAAAAAGAGAGGATGAAATTGAGTTTGAAGCTATCTAATTAATGTGCATTTAGGCATTAACTACTGATTTCAGAATTAAAGCTAGCGTGGTTCTTGTCTTTGAAGGTGGATTCAAAGCTAACGTAGCTGTGAAAGGGACTGATTTTGAGTGTTCAAGTGATGGCAACTTGCATTCCCATCCGCGCCAAGCAAGAGAATCAGCTGCCGAACGAATGTTGATCAAACTGCAAAATAAGCCCTAACATAGTCTGGTAGGAATTTCAACTTCAGATACACAGCTTTACAATTCTCATATTACTATGTATTGAAAATTGAATTTGAAAAATAGCAAATAGGGTAAGAGAACAAAAGACGATTGAAATCAGATTTTGGGGAAATAACAAATTGGATAAGAGAACAAAAGGAGGCAGTAAACTTGTGTATATCAACCGTTAATTTATGACTTTTCAGGAACACATTTAGAACTTCTACTTTCTTTTTAACTTTCTGCAATTTTAGCTGTCACTGTAATGAAATTGATGAGAAAAAATGAAAGAGAGGCTGATTGCATGGAAGCTTAGACATCTGGAAGGACAGAGAACTACTTTTCACTCAATAATTTTGCATTGAAAAAAAATCCCGACTTTACATCAACTAACTGCAAGATTTCTTTTTTCTTCTTTTTTCCCCCTATCAAATGGAGAACAAGGTATTTAGTTCAGAAATTTGTCTCATCTTCAGCAAATTTCACTAAAAACTTCAAAATTGAGTACTTGGGATTGTCTTCACCTCCTTTGTCCTTAGTTTCGAAAACACCCTTCATAATACGCGTATAGAGTCTTTCAAGCTGTGGAATGCCATAATTTTCTGTCCGTTCCACAAAGAGCCGCTTAACATACTTGACGTGGCTTGATATTTCGGAATCCAATGTATTGCGGGATCCACTCCCTTCAATATTCACAGAAGTTTCTCCACAAGTTTGGTGCCTATTGCCATCAACAGATGAGGATTCTGGCCTTTCAATTTCCATGTCATTTGCCCCTGGCTCTTCCGATGGTTTTGCCTCTACTGCATCTTGCTGCTGTGCTTTATCTTCTGTGAAAACAGCACATAACATTATTTGATGGCATCCAAAAATAAATCGCAAATAGATACCGTTCAAAGCTTTGAATGAGTGTATCAACCAAGAGGGATCCAAGTAACTGTTGTCTTTGTTGTCAAACTTAAACATCAAAGGAATACGAAACAGTTTTACCTGCTATATTTTTTATTGAGGATATCCAACTTAAATTAAAGTTATATAAAATATTTGTTTAATTATGGAAAAGCCAGTAGTGCAGGCAGGGATTTCTAAACTTAGTATGGATCGTCTAGGATAATTCAAGATACTACTACAAGACACTGCTCATTTCCAGCTGTAAAATGTTACTTTTAAGTAATTGCAGATATCAAACAGCAACATCATAAAGAAGTAAATTTAAATGAACCACAATACCTGCATGCGTAGCATCAGTGCTTTTCTTCTGCCTTTTCAAAGCTTCATAGCTTTGATCCAAATTAACCTCTGGCTGGACATTTCGTAGTCGAGCACTTGCTCTAGTAACAGTTCCCTGTTGCACCACTGGGTTTGGAGGAAAAATTGATCCCCCTAAATCATCTGGTACATGAACTGGTCCCCCCTGGTCAGCAATCTTGTCACAGTATGCAACAAGTGCAGGGTCCATCTGTGAAAGCATTCCATGCACCTGAAAAAAATTGACATTTGTGTTAGGCCCTTAGGGGACAGAGTGGAACAACAAGGTGATGACAAAAGAACAGAGGAACCTACCGCATCCCTTAGCTCATAAGCCCTACTAACGATCCTAGCACCATTGTAATCATCTCCATTATACACCTGAAATTGAGAAACAATATACGTATAACTTGGAAAATAGATAAAATATAAACATTAAATTGTCATGTAATTTTTTTTTTTTTTGTACATCTGAAATCCATAGCCTTGAATACAACACACACGCATTAACTGATTCTTAACATAAGCTCCAGTTCTTTTTCCTCTAACATTCAGACAATTAAAGCAGCTCTCAATGCAATCATGCGGGCAAGCATTTACAATTCAACATCTGAACAGAATCAGTTCCAAAGCAGTCGGAGATTCACCAATCAGGCCAAGCCTCGTTGATGTCCTCTCAGCCATTAAGGGTGTGGGGAGTGGAGAGTTTTCAGCGATGTGGTGGGAGGTTTCACCTTGTGATGGAGTTATGAAAGGGTGTGGGGAGTGGAGCAGTTTCAACCTGGCCTCCCGGTTGTGTAATCTAATACATGCTAAAACTAATGTCCATTAGATAGTTATAATCAATATAGTTATGAAATTACCTTTAAGGCAATAGGAATATAACTAGCCCCCAATATATTAGTTTCATATTCTGTTTGTTGATTTTAATGCTTTTGACTACCATGTACAATTTCTTTTTACCAGCAGCACAATGCTATCAAACATATGTTGAACAAAAATCTATTAGCCTTTGTGGCAATACCATATTATTATAAGTAATCATGACAAGAAATGGGGTAATGATCCTATAAATTCCAAAACTCGCCGTGCTTTTCACTTTTATTAATTTAGGCCATGTATTTAGAATCAGTAGCAATTGTATACAGCAGATGTAAATCACAATGGAGTCCTTAACTTTGCACATTTGTCTATTGAACTCCTAATGTTGTGGTTTTCTACATTGAAACTTGGAAATATTCCTTACACACTTTAAAGACCTAGAAAAACCATTAAATAGCTCACCACATCAAACTTAAAAAAATAAAGCCATTATCCACCATGGAAATTAATGTTATATTCAATGAATGGATGAGGGTTTACATAATGCCCATCAACAGCTGGCTTTGCATAAGGATTAGAAAAAGGGAGAAAAACAATCAACTTGGACGACCATGGGTTTTGCATGACTTTTTTTTGGTCCATATAAAGAAACTACATAATGTCTTCTACAATGTCCTAGTCCATAATGCCAAAAAGCCACTATATTGTCACCCAGATCACTAGAACTATCAAAAACCATCTATTTCATGAGCTTTTCAGGGTTGTCTCATCCTCAATCGTACCCATTTCTCTTTATGATTCCCCCATAGCTTTCTGATCTTGATTTTCTATGATTATTAGAGAGAGGAAAAAGGGACTACACATAAAGAAACCAAACGATTTGTTACTCCTTGTATCTTCTTCTCTAAAGTGCATGATGCGGTGTGGGTAGGAGGTTTTGGATTTTCTCCTCCTTATTTTGTTTCTATCTCATTTAATATTAACTTTTTAATCAGATGGATGGGAGGATGGAAGCAATTGCTGTCCCACTTAGACTCTTTTTAGGAAAGAAATCATTTTTAAGCTATTTAAATGCCCGTCCCATACTTTATCTTGCAAACATTAAAATAGGTCCTCGATGCATTTTTAAATAATTATTTGATTTGAGAGCTTGATGTGAAAAAATTGAAAAAAAAAAAAAAAAGCTTGCTTTCAGGGAAAATTTGGCAAATTTGGATGTGTTTTGCCCTCAAATGTATTTGACAAATTTATATCCACTACAAGATTCCCTAATCACCAATAATAAATGAAGACAAAAGAGTAAAAGTACAATAAACAAAACTATAGCTTATGAATGGCGTAAAAGTTTACTTAGAATGAAAACCATACTCAAGAACATACCTTTGCATTGGTCACAATGAGATCAATGTCTTGCAGGAATGTTGAACATGTAATATACTGACCAGAGTCGACGCGTTGCAGTAGAGTAGCCATGTCCATAGGGTTCTGGATTATTGAACGATAGTTTGGAGCATCCTCATCTGTAACAGGATAATGGAAGGCACTAAATCGTTTATCATACAATATCCTGCAGCAATGAAACATCAAGGTCATTCATGATCTCCAACTAATGTCAACCAGGATAAATATAAAACAGAAAAGCGGGGAAATGGCATAAATATAAAAAATAAATCATTATGAATATCAAAGAAATCCAACAATAATACAAGTCCAATCAACATTCAACCATATCTAAAGAGAAGAAGAAAAAACTCATTTACAAGTTCCGTACTCATAAACAATTTGTATTTATTTATTTACTTACTTTAAATTAAAGAAATGCATTTTTGAGAGTTTCCAGTTTACGGAAACATGTTTTTGAGAGTGAAAACGTGTTTCCAAATTATCTAATTTATGGGGTAGCCACAAAACATTTCTAAGGATTTTCCAGACATTTCCATGCAGGAAATGTTTCTGAAATGGAGAAACAACAGCCAAAGAGTTTCCGTGCAACACAGCTTAAGACAAGCCTACAAAATTTGAAAGGATGCAGAAAATACGATAGGGGACAGAACTAGTAAAGGTCATTTTACCGATTGCAAATATCTCTAAGGCACATCCGCATTCGGCGAAGAGCATGCTGCTCAGCTTCTACCTTTGCTTTCAACTCTGAAGCCTTTGGGCCACTTGCCACTTTTGGTACCTTGGGAAGTTCAGGTAGGGATACTGATTCTTGTGATTTCTTGGTCATGCCTTCTAACAAGACTGATAGAGCAGCTTCAATCAAATGTTCAAAAAATACAGATCTGTCTTCTGCTGATGGTATGCCCACTTGATAGCTAAAAATAGAAAGTAAATCCACTGAAGTTAAGAAAATTCTGTAAATCTATAAATAAATAAAACTTGCTATATGAAATTCATTAGAATATTGAATTTTTAATGGGAAATAACTTTCAGTGTGGATTAGTTTGATAACAAGGACTAGTTATCAAAAAACTTGAAAAGTGTAAAATGGATAACACAAAAAACGCATGGAGATGTCAATATGATGCTCTAAATACCAGCATAAATATAATACTGGCGCTAAATCAATCTAAAGGTACTTAAATTCTAATTTTGATGGCTTTCCATGCTTATCAAGACAGCTAACCCTAGCTTTAGGATTATCTATATAGAATACCACTTAGTCCCACAACAAAGCATATTAAAGTTAAATTACCATCTTCTTCAGGCGAAAACAACAAAACAAGACTAAATCCAATCAGAAGACTGCATACAAGCAGAACAGTAGGAAAAGAAAAATATAACCATACAAAGTTCCATGTCAAAAAAGAACTATTATTTCATAAAAATGCAAGGCTGCAGGTTATCTATAATGTATTAGACATGAGATTGCTTTCAAACAAATTGTGGATCAAAAAAGAATTAGAAAAGCATTGCTACAACAACAAACCATTTTTTGAAAAATAAGACATACATTGAACGTTGAGGAAACACTGGAATTTGATTGCCATCAATATCAACAAGTGGATCTGTAGAAGTTCCAAGTAATAATATGGGCAGGTCAGACGGCAATTCTTCTAACAGAGTCAAGAGAACAGCTCTGAGCTGTTCATGAGCCTGAAATATCAAGGTTATCAAACTCAGATTACAAAACAAAAGAAGAGGATTATTAACTTTATATTTTACTGGATCAGAAACACATCATTAAAAACAAGAAAATTCACAAGCTTCAAGCAATTTTTCTTAATTGCTTAAAATCAGACATGATAACAGTTGGAAAGGAGGTAGGGTTTAAAAATAAAAAATACTGTGAATTTAGGCAAATTTAAAGTTATACCAAGTTCTTTGGGAACAAATTACCACCGTCTGTACTTCATACATCGGGTACAACTATATCCAAGCCACCAAGTGGTCATTAAAACAATTATATGTGTCAAAGTAAATTAATCATTTCTGATCTTTTAAAATCTCCTTGCAAGTGATGATATGGCTATAAAACAACATCATTTATAACTAAGACAACATTTTGACATGAAGGAATGCAAACTTTTTTTTTTACAACTTTATTTAAGCCTAATGGGGATATTGCTTAAAAATATTTTTTAATAGCTGTGTTACATCATCATCTGGAAGGAACTAGGTTTTGGCTATAATTGTAACTGACACAAAAAGTCTAGGCCAAATTATTGCATTTCCAAAGAATTTGGCCCACATAAGGATATTTGGCCAAAGTTGGAGTGCCTTCGGTAATAGATTCCACAAAAAGAAAGGACGAGCTTACATTTTCCCACCAAAGTCTGAATTGAGGTATATAAAGGATTGAAGGTGTTGTTCTCCTTGCTTCACCAAATATATGTACCAATGCTTCCTCAGGTGTCTTTGCGCTGGGATCTGAAAGAAGAGAAGGAAGCCCAAGAGAATGAACTGGAAATTTCTCCAGTTGATGTAAAACTGCAGGCCCAAGATGATCCTGTTAAACTATATCAGTAAGTATATTTAGTGTGAGGTTCCCATAATGAGCAGTCAATAAAATCAAGAGATTCCAAGACAATTACCAGGCCAGAACCTTCATCACCAGTTAGCAAAAGTCGTGGCCTGTACACAAGAGGAATTGCGGACCCATAGGAAAGCATAGAAAGTTTGGTAAACTCTGATGACACTCCAAGAGGAGGAAAGATATCGGAAATACAATTCATGGCTTTCTGGAGATGTCTTTGAAGACATGGTGCAACTACTAAAGACAATGGCCGAGAATGCACAACAGCGCCTCTGTGAGCAGCAGGGGTAATTGTTGACATGGCTTCGATAAAATGATACTTTTCAACCTTGACCGAGTCAACATCAATAAGAAACTTATCATCACTTGTGTACACTTGAGGATATTTTTCACGGAAAGCGCGAATGGCAGCTTCAGTACATAGTGCTTTTAAATCAGCACCACAGTATCCCACACAACTAGCTGCAAGTTCTGATTTTAGTTCCTTTGAAGGAGGTTGTTTCCACTTCCGAGTATGAATGTCCAGTATTTCAGCGCGTGCCTCACAACCAGGCAAAGGGAAGTTGAACTCGCGGTCAAACCGACCAGGGCGACGCAAGGCTCCATCAATGGCGTCAACTCTGTTGGTTGCTCCAATCAAAACAACTTGTCCACGAGAATCTAGACCATCCATCAATGCAAGCAAGGTGGAGACAATAGAATTGTGAATCTGCTCTTGTTTACTTGACCTCACAGGAGCAAGTCCGTCTATTTCGTCAAAGAAGATTATGGAAGGCTGGTTCCTTTGTGCCTCTTCGAATAGCAGTTTCAATTGTCTTTCAGCCTCACCTACCCATTTACTAAGTACATCAGCACCCTTTCGCATGTAAAAACTAACCTTCTGGCCAGCTTTCGAAGCAGCACAAGCTAATGCTCTGGCAATCAATGTTTTCCCAGTGCCGGGAGGACCGCATAACAAAACCCCCCTTGGTGGGGTGATGTGATAGCTGGCAAAGAAATCTGGATATAGCAAGGGAAAGAAAACCATCTCCTTCAGAGCATCAATATATTCTGCAAGCCCACCTATCTCATCAAAACTCACACTTTCATCAACTTGTAAAGGTTGGATATCTGCCCCTCCCTTAGAACTTGGCCCAGCAGTTTGGATCCCAGAGGTTAATGTAGTAATAGCATCACCCTGATGACCCCAACCCGATGCTGCAACATTTAGTCCCCATGCTGCTGTTCCATGCATGTCTAATCCCCCAAAGAGCCAAGGTGGACCAGATCTGCTCCCTCCACGAGCCCAAGGAATAGCAGGACCTTGGTCCAGCTCATCCACAAGAAGGGAATCATCAGAATCTTCAGCTCTTGTCATACGATGACGCTTGTGAACTCGTGATCCGCCCTTCCTTACATCCCTATTAACCCTGGTTCCTAATCCTTGGTGCAATACCCTTCGTGGAGATTGTGGTCTTTGCTTACCTTCTTGCATAGAGAGCCTGCGGACATCAGCACGATTTCGCAGATCATATCTCCTCCTTCCCTCCTGTTCTTCTTCTTCCACTTCTTCTTCTTCTTCTTCTTCTTCTTCTTCTTCACCTTCTTCATCATCACCATCTTCCTCTCCTTCATCCTCACCCTCTCCATCACCTTCATCCTCAGCCTCGCCATCATTCTGACCATCATCGACATCATCATCATCAATTTCATTCCCATTTTCTGTCTCATCTTGAACAACCTTCTCCTGAAAAGTATCTTCTTCATCACCAGATTCCAACTTCAACTGTTCTCTTGCCACTGTTTTTGAACGGCGGGGTCGTAGTCCTTCACGTCTAGGTGTTGATCTTGTATCTACAATCTTTTTATGCTTTGCAGATGATAATTCATCCTGACTGACACTATTATCAATCCGGTTCCTCAAGCCTCGAAAAGTTGGTTTCTGAAATAAAATTTTCCAAAGCTTTACGTAAAATGAAAAGGCAAATAATAAATCGTCATGCTTTACTTATTACAGTGTTCAATGTACAACCCATCGAAGACAAGAGAAAACAGCAATGATCCCCATAGAAAACACATGCTTGCATGAGTATAGTTCCTCACCATCAAGTCTTCATCTTCTGATCCAGAACTATCTGTGAAACCTTCAAGATTTACAGAAATCCTCCTCTTTCTGGTTGAGCGCCGAAGATTGGTTGAGACTGACTGCCCCAAAAAAAAATTTTCAAACCAAACATGCATCAGAAGTTAGAAATGCATAAAATGGAGAAAATTAAAAGAATATTTTAATTTAAAAAGCAACAGGAAAAAAGACCTGCACCCGAAAAATTTCAAGATCTACAAATATACTAGTAAATTGAGGAAAGAAAAAAAAATTTAATGGAGACTAGACCAGATGGGCATACATTTTGGTCCAAATGATTTCATGGTTATCTAGGAAGCTAAATTGCTTCTAATGTTTTCTTTATTTTTATACTTCACATTCAGGGGCAATATGGTAATTTTCTGCTCAGACTGGCCTTTTGGCACTGGACTTAATCCTACTGATGTAAAGCCCCAGATTCCAATAGCCAAAACACTTCAATTCACTCAAAACCAACTATTCCTACAGAGCCACATCCTAATATACAGCAATAATACATAAAATTAAAAAGCACTACATGTGCTACATATAGAAAACTTATTTAAATTCCAAATTCCAAGAATAATAAAAATTATAAAATATGTAATCTTACAAGACAGCTTAGACCCTGTCTTTGACTATGGGGCTGCAAGATCTTAAATATGAAATGCATGTCTTTAATATAACAAAAAAAAAAAAAAAAAAAAAAAAGTCTTTAATATAACAAAAAAAAAAAAAAAAAAAAAAAAAAAAAAAAAAAAATTCAAGGCACCACTAAGTCATCCACATAATAGCAAAGCATTCAAACCCAAGACATCGCAACTTCGCAAGACATAAATATCATCTTAAGTTGATAGAAAGGCCATTTAGCTAGAAGTATGAATTCATCATTCATATGCAGGCACTTACATTACAATTGGGGCTCCGAGTTGGCCGATTTGATAACATCTTGGCAAGTTGAGAAGCAGCTGTCCTTGTCTTAGTTTTAGTTTTCCTGGGGCGATTGATTGGAGTGTAATAAAAGTATGTCCTATTATTACGAATAAATTTTGGCCTTCTCCTGAGCCTATCACTTGTTCGTACTGGCCTGGAAACAGGCCCATCTCCTTCACTGGAACGCTTAGAATGCATATGCAGACAATATCTCTAGAGACTATGCGCTCCCATACAACTCAAAAAATGCCTAAATTCAAATTCAGAGAAACAATGAGTGCAAGCTTCAAGTTGAAAGCAACAGAAATAAGCATCTCTAGAAAACTACTAATCAAAACCCTTGACTGACCCCTAATTGTAATTACATGGATGAATCATACAACAGATATTTCTAATTACTCTTATTTTCCTTTCATTTTGATTTTTGCAGTAACTGGTGGAATTAACAGAAACCTTTCAGTCTCAAAAAATGAAGTTAAAAGGCCAAACTTAAATTATATACACAAAATAAAAGCTGAGTTGGTCAATTACAGGAATGATAAAAAAGGGCTTGCCATTCCAGGGCTGAAACTTGAAAATGAAACATTACTAGGAAATACTTGAAATGCAAAACAGAATTTCCAACCCAACCCTTTTGTGCATGCAAGTATAAACATAGGTGGTGCTGCTGCAAACAAGCACACATAAAGACATACACAAAAAATTTTGTATATATTGTGTAAATAGATTCGTTCCAACCTTGCAAATAGTAAGAATTAGGTTATATTACGTTAACGGAAATTAGAAAGAAAAAGTTATTGATCGAAATCTAGTAACGATGACATCCTCATACGAAAAGTTTAAGGCCATGTAGTAACATTTGCGTTAGGTTGTCTGAGAGCCCTCTTCTCTAACACTTGTTATCTTGCACCGGTTTAACATATGCTAAGTAATTGGATACACACATACACATATAAAGCCAAATTCGTGGAGAGCAGGAGAACAAGAGGAATCCTATGTGATTACGAAAGATGAAAGAGAAGTCTTAGTGATGTGTATGAAAGTGTTGAGTAGGGGAGGAAAAAGTTCAAAGGATTAGCATGGTAGAGAGACAGGGATTGACAAGATAAGGAACGACTGCATCCATTTGAAAGTAGAACTAACACTTTCCAAAGGGAGATTGAGACATTTTAGACACATGAACCATAGACCAACAAACACAACAATACAAAACAATTAAACAGAAAGATAGTACATGGCAAACCTCTCCTACAATGATATGGGAAGTAATGCAACCATTCTAAAAAGCATTTCATTTTCGGTTATGTAAATGAGTTCTCCTCCTACGCCACCCATTTTATCCAAGACAAATTTCACAAACTTGCACGGGAAAAGAAGCATATCTGTTCCCTAATTTTGTTCTTGGGTGATTCTTGTACTCTACTTTATTTTCCAAATGAACATAAAACAAAAGACATATATGCATGCATTTCAGAAGTTGCATCTAATGAAGCCCTAAAAGATTGAAGTAATGCTTCAGTTAATTCAATAAGACTCTTAAGCTTATATACATAATCTAACAAATGTAAACATCGATTCCCATTTTCAACAACTCAAGAATTAATAGATTATCACAGGAAAAGATAAATGCATGCAGCAAATAAAGAAATTTGAAGCTTTTGAATTGAACAAAAGCAACAGAATCTTCCAATTTCACTTTCAAAGAACTTATAAGAATCGCTCTCTGCATTTCACTTTGAATTAATCTTCATTTCTCATATGCTTCACAGAGAGGGAACGAAATAAAAATTTTTTTAAAAAAATGAGAAATTAAACGAATGGTGGAGATTTACCTGATCAGAGATCTAGCTGCACCAGAGAGAGCAAGCGAAGCATGTGAACATATAGAGAGAGAAACTGAGAGAAAGAGAGAGAGAGGTCTAAAACCCCAGAGCCCTGGTTTTTTTGAGAGTTTCTCATATATAAAAACCTAAAATTCACAAAAGAGGCCCGAGTTTCCTTTTCTGAGTCGAGACTCAGTGAGTTAGTTGGAGTGCATTGGGAACGAGTCACGGTAGAGCTCATATTTCTATGGACCGGACCCACCTGTTTCTTGGTCCGGTCAACATGTGCCACGTGTTAGAATATTTAAGGGAAATCTTGGTCTTGCCGTATACAGGCCAGTAGCTCTTTGCCACGTCATCTATATCCTTCAATTTAATGACGTGTGAATTATATATATGACGTGGCAGTGAAAGATTGGATTGTGCTGAGCAAACGCATAGACAGTGCCACACACAAAATACTAACTTCGTTTTATGCGTGTAAAATATTGAATTTTGGAAAATATATTACTCTATAAATCTATTAAACTATTTGGTATTCATTGTTAAAAAAATATATTGTTTTAGCTGTTAAAATAATGCTAAAAAGATAAAATTATCATTTATTAAAGAAATAAATTTTTTCTATATTTTAAATAATAATAAAAATTTTATTAATTTGCTATTTATTTCTCTAAAACATTTAAATTATAAAAAACAATTTTTTGTATAGATGACTAAGAAAATTACTTTACACATTAAAAAATTATTTTATTTTGATTAGCTTGAAATATATGTTTAAGATTTTTTTTTAAATTAAGCCAATATACATTATTTCATATATTATTTTATTTTTCTTTTTTTTTTTTAAATATATATTTATTTTATTTTTCTTAATTTTTGAGTTTCCAATGTTACGTTGTCTCGTTAATGAGAGGAGTTTGTTAACATTAACCACCACTTGAGAGGAGAAATATTTATTGTTGGCGGAGATGACAAGAGCATTCTTGACTTATTCTCTTTTATATTTCCCAATTTATGCTAAAAGGAGACAACAAAAACTATATTGTCTTGCCTCAGTAATACAAGCCAAAAGTTCAAACGTTAGTGTATTAGGTTTTAATAGAACTTCAAATTATATAAGAGAAAATTATTATAATTTCAGTATTTCATTAAAATTAATTAATTTGTCCCCATATTTTTTAAAATATTCTACTTTTTTTATGTTTTGATTATGTTCAACTAATATTGTAATCTTGTCTTTTCCCATATTTAATACCTTATGAAAAAATAGGATTGTCTGATTTACATATACCAAAATAAAAAAATTTTCATTGAAATCTACGTTTAAAACTCGTTTGAAACAAATAAATTCCATAAAATCTTTTTGGAATTCATTTGGAATAAATGAATTTCATACAATTTTGTAGAATTCATTTGAAAATCCAAAATATTGTGTTTGGATTGAAAAAAAAAATACAAATTTAAATTTTACGAATTGCATAAAATGAAATTGAGTATGTCTAACCCAAAATTTACTAAAATTGATGGAATTTATAAATGAATTCTACAAAATTATCCTTTCACCATAAACTCCACTATTTTTCCCTTTTTTTTTCTTTTTTTTTTTTATATTTTATTTGAAAAATATTAAATTATAACATCGTTATTTTTTAAATCTAATAATAACGTTAGTTTATATTTTTCTTTTTTTTCTCTTTTTTTGGAAAATTTCGAACTAGTTTAGTGATAACTTTAGTTATAATTACTGTGAAACTATAAAAATTGAGTATCAATAATTATTTTTAAATACAATTAAAAACAATAATAACATTCTTAATATTTTTTTAAATTTTCAAATTAATTACTTAAATCCGCTAAATTTTTAACAAAATAGACTAATCCGCAAAATGCAAAATAGACTAATTAACTTTAACAAAATATAAAGACAATAGTAATTTTTCATCTTATAATGTGATAACTTTCTAACAAATATTAATATTAATCAATTTTAATTTATATTTCACACCCAAATTCAATTCACAAAATCAACTAAAATTAATTAGTTTATGTATTAATTGTATATAAATAGTAATCTAAAACCAAAAATAGAAACAATACAATTCAAATAATAACACTGAACAGATTTATGTCAATTTATACAAACATTAATCAAGAAATGGCAAATCAGTATACAAATCAAGAAATGCTTATTTCATATAAACACCTATCAAGACATTAACAAATCTTCCTAAAAATTGATCAAAAATCAAAAAGGAAAAAGAAAAAGCTCGTAGACTATATAAACCAGTTTCCCAGGAAGACAGCCTCTCTCCTTTCCCTCCCATCCACGTGTCTAGGGCCGAAAGGCGAAACCTTCTAATACAACTTAAATATTAATTTATGATTAATGCTAAATAACCAAGTCTCCATCACAAAGAATTGGGAGAGAAAAATAAAAAAATGGGAAATAAATAAAGGAAAATGAAAGGAAAAAAAAAAAAAAAAAAAAAAAATGATCAAAAATCAAAAGGAAAAAGGAAATAAAGCTCGCTGAACTCCGACTATATAAAACCAGTTTCTCCCAGGATAGACAGCCTACTTTCTGACCTTTCCGCTTCCATCACGTGATTCTAGTGCCGAAGTACAGCGTATAACCTTCTAAATACAAACTTAAATATGGTGATTTATGATTTGATGCCTAAGATAACCAAGTTACTCCATCACAAAGGAATGGGAGAGAAAAAAAGAATAAAAAACAATATGGGATAATAAATCATAAGTGAAAATGAAGAAAAAAAAAAAACAAAAAAAGAATCATCGAAACGGCCATAAATAGAACACAAATATGTGAAAAATAGATAGTTAAAAATGCGGTTTAAGCTATCCCAAGCTTCATGCGAACTTTCAAGCCCCATTTGATTAAACAGGACGGGGCACGTTGAAGGTGTAATCTGAAAGAACTTTGTCCGCGCTCAACCGAGCCAAGATGGCTTTAGTTGGCTCACGGACGCCGTTGGACTTGCATTGTATCACTTTAATTTTATCAAGATTCACGTTTGTGAAAACACCTCATTCTGTAAAGAAAAAAGAATTGCAAAAATGTTTTCATACAAATTTATTACAACCAGCTAATTCATAGATACTAAAAGAAAAGTCCAATTTCAGGCATGCCAACAATTTAGAGACTAAAGGTTCTTTGGGAATACTGAATACATTTGAACCTTTTCCCACATAACCGATAAGTCTCAAAATTACTGTGCAATATATTTATCGGAACACGAGGGCGTAATGCATAATGGAAAAGCAATGAAAAAAAAAAAAAAAAAAAAAGATGAACGGCATATAGACACAAATATGTGGAAATAATAGTTAAAAATCTTTAGCATCCAGCTGCTTTCAAGAATTTGTCATAGGGGCTTGAAGGTGGTAATCTGAAAGAACTTTGTCCGTGCTCAACCGAGCAGATGGCTAGTTGGTCGGACGCTTGGACTTGATTGTTATCACTTAATATCAAATCACTTTGTGAAAACACCTCATTCTGTAAAAGAAAAAGAATGCAAAAATGTTCATACAAATTATACAACCACTGAATTCATGATACTAAAAGAAAGTCAATTTCACATGACAAGTAGACTAAAGGTTCTTGGAATCTGAACATGATTTTCCACAAAAGAAAGTCAAAAACTGTTATATTTATCGGAACAGAGGGCGTAATGCATAATGGAAAGCATGCAGCATAGAAAACATATCACCATAAATATATTCAGCTACTAAATAAACTCACCTGAATAAATGCTGAAGTGCCTTTCTTTTCATCTTCAGAGGGGAAAACCTTGGAATCATTTTGATTCTTAAAACTTTGAAGCATTGACATCTTCTGCTGTTTACCTGTCACAAGAGCTTCACACTGATTCTTCATTTGGTCATAAGGGACAGGTGTGGAGGAGAGCTGGGAGCTTGCAACTTGTCTGGCTGTTTCCAAGACCTGTAGGTATTTTGCAAAATCCATAAAATTTGCAAGTGCAGAGCAGAGAAAGACAGGCATCAAGATATAGAAAAATTTAGAAAAATACATCTGCACATATACTGTATAAACAAGCAATTAATCCAAAGTTTGGTCATCTGTACGTCGCACCTCAGAAATTTATAAGATCTGTCTCAACTTGCAACTACCTTGCTTTACCTTATACTATCTAGCGTGCCTTTATCTCCTCTAACCACCATATTTCTAATGTAGCTATTGTTTGGCACTTGAATTAAGATCATATCTTTCAAATTGAAATCAGATAAAATAAATACCCAAAAATTTTCCAAGGCCCCTCCATTTTGTTTTTTTCTAAAGGGCAAAGGCATTGACCGTGATCAATCTTTTTGTTTTTCAAATGCATGAGCTTTATTTCACATAATCGAGTGTATTGTAATATCTGGTCACCTAAGCTGAGTTGGAGTACTTGAAACAGGAAAAGCTGACATGGCTACCACATCAGCATGGTAGCACCACGAGGGAGAGAGAGTCAATCTCTATCCTGCAAAGATCTTACAAATTTCGATAATTGAAATGATAAAATAATGAAATGAGATGCAATAAGTATGTTGAGGGACTTGACGTGCATGTCATGAGAGTGAGTGCGGGACGTTGCCAAAGGAAATGAAGACTGACAATTTTTTTTTTTTAAAAAGGTGGAGAAGAAATTAGATGTGTTCATGTTGTGACAGAAAAGAACTCAATTAAGTATGTTTTCTTATGGTTTTCCCCATGTACTTGTACCAAAAATTACTGTTAAATTATTAACATGAACTGTAAGGATGAGCTGTGGGGTCACAATGTTGAGAAGAAGCAAGTGCAGTATGGACTTCACCTCCTAGAGCATTAGAGACTGCTAGATAAGATGGCAATTGCCATTCAAGATTTCCACCACTAAATTATAAATGTTCTAGAGAATGGAGTCGATGCGACTTTTCCTTATTCTTAACACAACATTGGCCCCATTGATCATGAATAGGATCCAAATGAGCAAGCTAATGACAATATTGACTGGAGGTTGTGAACCAATAAAGAATTGGATATAATTGTAAGAAGTGCTGAATTTCATATTCATTATTGTCAAGCCTAATTCCTTTTCAAAGAAAAAAGAAGAAAATGGAGGGTCCTCTTACTGATTCCAAAAGGTCATTGACACTTAGGATATCTACCACATTGCCAGAAAGTGAAGTTTTACGATCTGACTGACTCCCATTATTAGCATCAGTGAAGGTTTCGTCATCTGTCAAGGAAGCTGCAGGTATGATCTGAAAGAAAACCATAAGAAAATAAGAAAATGATGTAGCTTAATCATATAATGTTGGACTGTATGTTAATGCTATTACCTCTTCAAAAGCCCGAAACTCCACTAGTGCAAGAGGAGAGCTTGGCCTTGGTGTCTCCATAAACAAGGGAGCTCCCAATGGGTATGCATCATCAGGCAAAAATTCCTGAAGAAGTTGACTCTTTATGCTTGATAACTCATCCTGGAGGGACAAATAAATAAACACACACCTTGAGGAAAAATCTTGTTTTGGAAAAGGAAAACCTTTAGATGAAAAGAAACCATTTTGAATGAGGATACTTGTCATCTAAGGAACCTTGTTTATGCAAACTCAACAACCAATTATAAAGTTCCGAAAAAGTAATAAAAATAATAATGAGCATGTTTACCTATGAGCTCAGTTCCAAAGCGCACCAACTCCCAAAGAGGCACAGGTGCATAACTATTCAACACCAAGAAGCATCCCAACTATGATGTATAAATTGCTATAATCCGTATTTCTTCTCAATTAACCCAATAGAACTTAATCAATTGAATTACTCAATATGGGAATTCATCATCTTCACTCACAACTTCTTAAAAATTACACCTGCCTTACCTTTTCCCTCAGTGTTCCTAAGCATGTTTGCAACGTTGAATAATATTCACTCTGTATTCATGTGATGTTATGCTACCATATCTAATAGGGACTACATGCACTGGCCTTTTCAGATCCATAAGGAAGTTCTCTACCAGGGACTGGAAAGACACTATTTGTCTTTCTATGAAATTGCAAGCATAAATAAGAAAATCACCTCGGTCAAATTTTTTGCAAATTTTTTTATGAATTGGGTTACTGCAGTTTCCTTCAAATGATGGTCATTAAGTTCCACTGCTGAGAGAGATTTTGATGCAGCAATATCATCTTCCTCTGATCCATATATCTTCTTCCCTCCATCAGATACTAAATGAGCAGCCTGCAGCCTGATATCTTCCACTGACTCAAGGTAAGGATCAGCCTATGAAAAGGATAATAAATTGATTCAAATACAGTAAAGAAAATTTGAAAGAAAACTTTCCTTAGCCATGTAGAAATAAAATAACGACTAGTTGTCATGGTAATTTAAAAGGAGACTTAACCGTTTTTTCTGTCAAGGATGCTTTAACTATAGGAATTAGCTCTGGGAGGTTCCCTGCCCTTGCAGAAAAAATAATCATGTATGATGCCAACATGAAGAGAGACCTTCTGCGAGATGGTGGTAGACCTCCTTCAATATGCATATGAAAATCAAGAAAGATAAATCAAAAGTAACTTCAATGATGCAACTATTCTAAACATTAGTCAGCTCTTATTTCAAGTATAAATCACATGAAATGGGTTTTGGCCAAAGATAAACAAAAAATTGGAAAATCTTAATTTCAAACTGCAGTGATAATTGTATCTTAAGCTCTGGTATGCCAAATGTACCAGTGATTTTTGTTAAGTATATTGTGCAATATAGTTTATTGGTTATAAAGATCCTCGGATTTCTGTTCATCTGTCATTTTATAGTACAACAAAAAGAAAAGACAGAGTCAGAATTAGGAGAGAACCAATATATCAGCAAAGATAGAGTTAGGAATGCAGATATACAGGTCCATAATATTTGTGTACCATGGATGCATTTCTCAGGAATCACTATCTTCAGCCAGGTGTACAAATGGATCATCTACTTTTTTTACTCAATAAATATATTAATTGCTTAAGCTTAAATATAATACCATTCAGTAACTTACTTTCTTGATCCAGAGAGATGCTCCTAAGAGAGAATGCCAGCTGAAAACACCGAACTAAAGCCAAGTGGTTGGATGCCTGCCATCATCAAAGTTAATCAACATACAAGTTCAGATGGACATGAAATAGATGATATGAAATACTTATATTAATTAGGGTATGTCTGGTGAGCCACAAGCAATGCAATGCAATGTCATCAAATGCATTTCTGGGCAATGACTACACAAGAAACCTTATTGATGGACAAGCATAGAATCTTTCTTTCCTGACGTACATAGCACTTGCCAGAATATGTCATAAGTTAACAGTCACATTAGACAAGGGCAAGAAAATGAAGCAGATGATGTCAATGCTGACAATTCAATAAGGATGACTTGCCTTAGCTCGAGTAAACAGCAAAGCAATATTATAGGTGTGAGCCATGGCCTCAAAATTTGCAGGCATATTCTCTGTAGATGTTGCCTGAACCCATATTGATGAAAGCAGAAGACTGATTTGATGACTACTCAATCGGAGAGAAGTTTGCTACAAATAATAGTTTGCAGCAAATGAGTTTGCTGAATCGTATTTAAAATAAGAAATCCCAACTAAAATATTCTAAAAACTAGGAGCTTCATACTGTTTTTCCATCTGTGGTATCACTTTTTCCAAATTCTTTTCTGCCCACGCGTGATACTCCACTGTCTTCATCCTGTGATCCTCCATCTATGGCTTCTGCCTTATCCTTACCCTCTTCCTGAAAGGAGAAGCTTCCACTATTCGTCTTATGGATTGCACTTAACAAACTAGAAATAGCATATGATGTTTTCTGATTCTCGTCTGACCAAAGAGAAAGTAAGGATGGCATAAGCACAACAGATAAGACACTGTGAGCTCCAACTCTTGTTTCATGGTCTGGATGGGTCATTGCTATGAGCAATTGGTGAAATAGAGCATCAGGAAAAGCCTGAAAAGTAACAAGTATTACATCAAATCTTAAATTGTTCTACATGATCTGACAGGCAACAGTATATTTTGATTTTAGCAGGTATACTTGCCTTCTTGTGATATGATATGTTGGGGACGGAAGCAATTAGCTGTACTGTCCGTTGAACAGCAGAAATTGTCGTCCTAGCTACAATAGGAGTAGTTGAAATATTTTCTAAGAAGACAGCCATAGTATCAAGTATGGGTCCCACATCTCCAACCTGTCAATTACAACACCTTTCATGCAATAAAAATACATTTGACGAAGACAACATATATATATATATATATATATATAAGAAATTCCCAACTAAAAATATGCTTAAAAACTAGGAGCTTTCATTTACTGTTTTTTCCATTTCTTAGTCGGTAAATCACTTGTTCCAAATTCTTTCTAGCCCCACGTTGTTCTTATCTATCGGTTAAGCGGATACTCTCCACTGTTCTTCATCCTGTGATCCTCCATCTATGTGGGCTTCCTGCCTTATCCCATTACCTCTTCCTAAAGGAGAAGCTTCCACTTATTCAGTCTTAATGGATTTGCACTGATACACCAACTAGAAATAGTCATATGATGTGTTTCTGATTCTCTGTCTGGACCATAAGAGGAAAGTAAGGATGGCTATAAGCACAATACATATTAAGGGACGCACTGTTTGAGGCTCTCCCAACTCTTATGTTTCATGGTCTGGCCATGGGTCATTGCTATGAGCAACTTTGGTGAAAATAGGTTAGCATCAGATATGAAGCCTGATAAACGTAAACAAGTACTTACACTCCAAATCTTTAAATTTGTTTCTACATGATCTGACAGGCAAACAAGTATATTTTGATTTTTAGCAGGTATACTTGCCTTTCTTGTGATATGATATGTGGGACACGGTATAGCAAATTGTAGCTGTACTGTCCGTCTGAACAAGCTCAGAAATCCGGTCGTCCTAGCTAACAATATAGGAGTAGTTTGAAAATATTTCTAAGAATGACATGCCATTAGTATCAACGTCATGAGGTCCCACTCTTACCAACCTGTCAATTGACAACACCTTTTCATTGCCAATAAAAATACATATTTGAACGAAAGACAACATATAAAATTATATATATATATTATATATATATTATACTCCCAACACACACTACACATCACATCACACTATAGTAGATACCATAAACTGATAGCCCAAAAATTTGTTATATCTTTCAAATTCGAATAGAGCTGAATGTGTGGTCCTCGAAACTAAGTTATGACCAGTCAACAGAGCTGTTTTTAACATGGTTGAATTTTCCTCACCAGTAGAAGAAAAAAATGAAAATAAAGCGTGCATGAATAGAAGTGCAATAAATATTATATGCAGTGTTTTAACAGTGAATTTCCCACATAGAAGAAAAAAATGAAAATAAAGCTGACATGGAATAGAAGTGAATAAATTATATGCAGCTGTAAATTAAACCTGTGAAAAAAATTATAAAACAATATAGAAGTTCAATCGCCAAGAGAACCTAATTAGTCACCAGCTTATAAAGCGTATTTACTAGAACCTAATTGATAGCCAAAATTTGTTTATCTTCAATTCGATAGAGCTGAATGTGGTCCTCGAAAGTTAGAGTCAACAGGGTGTTTTAACAGTGAATTTCCCACATAGAAGAAAAAAATGAAAATAAAGCTGACATGGAATAGAAGTGAATAAATTATATGCAGCTGTAAATTAAACCTGTGAAAAAAATTATAAAACAATATAGAAGTTCAATTGCCAAGAGATATAGAAAGGAGAAAAGGAGAAATGTTATCAAAATGTTCTGTGAATAACATATGTTTATTAACTTGGAATATTTTAGTGCAGCCATGCTCTATAGGTCGAATGCTGCACAACTAGAAAATAGACAAGAAATATGTTGACCTTTGACCTCAATAGCAGCATAAAACCTATCTCTCAGTCCATTGTTTCAGAGAGAGAGGGAGAGAGAGAGAATATGTGTGTGTGTGTGTGTGTGTGTGTGTGTGTGTGTATATATATATATATATGTTGTTTTGTATCTAAGATGGTAAGTTGAGGATACCGGGGAAACTCCCAATTTATCAAAGGCTCAATCATGATTTTCATAATGTTTTTTCAAATGATGTTGTAGCCTATAGTGACTTGCGCATGAGTGTTAGATGCAAACCCATAGCCAGTGCAGGGAATTTGTTTCTTTATATTTTTTCCCTTTTAAGGATCATATGTAACTTTCCACATCTGTTCTAGGCATCTAATGTGTATTCACAAAGATAAGATAAACTGGAGAATACGAGAAAAATATTAGAAAGTGAATATCTTATAGAAGCATTATGCAATAGAACTGAATTGCTATTAGCATGGTTTATTAGTTTCAGAAACTGCAACTTAATCAGTAACACTAGTCCATGACGTGCTCTCGTACATGTTATAGAATTAATCAAATTCGATAAATTAAGTGGAAGGTGATATAACATTAAGAGAGAGTTCAAAGAAAAGGAACAAACACAAACCTTATTTGAGAGCTGTGAGATACATTTTTCTATGGCAAACTGAAGATCAGCATTTTGTTTGGCAACACAATCCCCAGGACTGGGTAGTTCGACAGAATTTTGCAGGCATTTTCGCAAATGTTTAACCAAGTCAGATATTGCACCAATGATTGCAACTGTGACCTCCTGCTTTGCATTTTGTACCAGCTGCATGGTGACATTAACAATATCTGTCTGTAGCAGAGGTTGTTTGACAACATTTTTATGATCCAAGTGCTTGACCAGGTTTGATAATAGCAAATGTGAATTTTCCCCTAGTGTTAAGAGAAAACCGATATCAAATACAGCTACAAAAAATTAATACAATCATAGATCTTGGAAAAGCTGTTGCGTTAAAATTGTCACTGTGACCTGCTTCCTCCAAAAGCGATTGCAAATATATCAAAACAGGGTATGCAACTCCTCTTTCCAGGGGCCAATGATTGTTTGTATCAAAATTATGGAACAGAGGTTCAAGTACACGTCGTACTGTTGTAGCTTCCTTTGCTAGTTTGGCCATATTATGTAAACAAACCCTAGACCAGTAAGATGGACTTTTGGAAGTATCCCTGTTTCCAGCAGTAAGAAGAAAAGGATGTTAATGTAATAAAGAGTAATCCTATTCTAAACGAGTACCATTGAATAAATAAAATGAATCCTTACACAGAGGGATCCAATTCAGGTTTAGCATTAAAGCTTAAGGCAACCTTCTTGCTAATATCTGGGAAAGAGGAATCATTTTCTTCTCCTTTAAGCACTCCTTGAACCCATTGATCTTCCTTGGAATCGTCTGGAATCATTTGGGAATCGATGTAGTTCTCCAGAGTGACTGATATAATCTATTTCACAACAAAAGAGTTCCAGTATAGTAAGTCAAGAATTGCAAACATTGCAAATATGTTTTGTTTTCTTAAATAATTCCAGTCAGGCACTTTTTTTTCTTTTTTTTTTTTTTTTTTTTTTTTTTTTTTCAATAGATGACCCCTGCTGTCCGTCCAAAAGCGGAATATAGCAAATTTCTATAGTCTCTCAAAACAGTGACTGGTGTCAATGACTAATCTTCCTCTTACTACGCAGGGGCCTCAATAGAATTTGTTCTTCCATGTTATCAAAAGTTATGTGGAAGCAGAGTTCAACATTATTAAACAACTGTTGCTCGTACTGTTGTGTGTAGTGTCTTTTTAATTCACCTATTGTGTGTCTTGTGTTGGCTATAGATTATGTGTAATACTCTAAACCCTTAGACTTTTGATTTACTTAGCCAGTAGATGGACTGTTTGGAGAAACTATCTCCTTTGATATTCCAAGTGGCTCTTAGTTAATGTATAAGATAAAGGGAGATGTTAATGCTAATTTAAAGAGTATAATCCTTATAGTCTTATGGCATAAACTCAAGTTTTTTCGGCTCCCTCCTCCCCCATTGGATATAAGTGAGGAATATGATACCATCTTGAATAAATAAATTCATGTGGAATAAATCACACTAATTAATGCAACAAAGAGGGTCTCCTCAATTCAGGTTGAGCATTAAAGCTTTTAACAGGTGCTATGCCCTGGATCATATTGCTTCAATATTCTGGGGAAAGAAGAATTCATTCGTTCTTCTCCTTTAAGCCTCCTTGAAACCCACCTTGATTCTTTCGGCTCTTGTGGCAAGTCGTTCTGGAATCAGTATTGGGAATACGCATTTTATATGTGCTAGATTTCATGTCGTGTGTGAAGTGAGTGATCACTTAAGTGTATACTTCACACTAATGAAGGAGTTCGCAGATGATAAGGGCTTTAAGTTCAAGAATTGCAAATGCAATCATTTGCCAATAAATATCTCGTCTCTTCAGTGTTCTTTCTTAAATATTTCCAGTCAGTGGGCTCTACTTTTTCCTCTCTATAAAACTAAGCCCAAATTAACTAAATTAGTTGCAATATATATCTAGTTCAAACTGATCCAAACATATCAGTGTTTTGCTCACCATATCTCTCTGTTCCTGTTCCTTAAAACATTTCTTTTTTTCCTTTTTTATATTTTCAAGAAAAGAAGAAAATAGGAACAAGCCATAGATTATCCTAAATTCCCACAATAGCACATGCAAGATTCTATTGTGGTTCTAGCTCGTTTAATACCCAGCATTAACAGCCCCAGCATTAAGCAGACCATTGCCTTCTATTTTTTTTTTTTTTTTTTGTTTTTTTTTTTTTGGTTATATAAAGGACACAGAACCAATATGAACAGAGGAGGCAGTTACAATATCGGCCATACCATTTGACAACAAGATGGGAGAATGACTCGCCCATTTTGATATACGATACCTAGTGGACAAAAATAAATATTCAGTACGCATCCAAGCAAGTATGGCAAGATGAGCATTACATGGGAATCTACTCAACGAGTAAACATCATAATTAGCCCAAACAGTCCACAAAGCCAAAAAACAGTAAGATCAAAAACGAAACAGTTTCCAAATAAATGACAAACACTAACAAAAACACAAAATAAATAAAAAAAATATAAAAAAAAAGAGAACAAACATTGAACTTAGACTTACTCCAGATGCATATCAAATGATTTAAGATATAAAAAGATAAGAAAGGAAATTATATGAATTTGTCCATTTGACCAGTTATCGCGAATAAAATATTGCGAAATACAAGCTTCAACTCATACCGTACTCAGCTAATACCAACCTAATGTAGTCTTTTGTTCATGTATAACGGCTATTTGGAAATTAGCTTCGTCTCTCAAGAAATTCCTAAACTCAACTACTGTGCATAGTTTTGAGATGACTCTAATCAATTATATACGATTTCTTCAAAAAAATTTAGCTTTTTCTTTCATAGGTGTATAATTTGAACTCTCTAATAAAATTCATTTCTTTCAATCTAGACGTGCATATCACTCTCTGATTTATGCTCGGCAGCATAAACTATGCTACGACGTTAATATAGCAATGCATTACTATCTGTCTATGAATCAGTTAATCATTTGCTGTGTAACTCTTCGAGTGGTGACTAATGGCCAGTGTTGTATCGTCATTTACTCAATAGTTATCTTTAGAGTATGATTAAATTAGGAGATCAGTGATACTTATCATAAATTAATTCGCCTCTGCAGTGCGTTTTATCGCCTAGATGGAGATATCTATTATCTGCGTGTATCTTTCTTCATACTTTTCTTTGCTCACAAGTCCCGAGTGGAAGACTAAGCTGTACTCTCTATTGATGTGTATATGGGTGATTCGCGGAATAATTGATGTAGGGAACTCTGTCTTTGTCGTTTCAAGAAATATCCAAGTCAAAGTTGATCGAACTCATTCATATCACGTCATCAATAAAATCATACTAAATGTTTCTCATATACAAATTCTCGGAAACCAGATAAATATAGTTACCTATTTGCGTTCCGAGGCACTAGCCCTTAGCAAACACCACAAACACATTGTGTGGTTACCGGCAACTTCTATAGCCCTTGCTATGCTTATTCACAATAACTCTACATCCGCTACAGTGGTTCCTTCCTTCAATAACTTGAGTTAATGTCTCTCTCTATGTTCTAACATCTTGCCCATGGGCACAACTATAAGCCACACTTATATCAATAGGTGCACACAAATTAGTGACTATCATTAGCCTAGAATTCGTGTCAATGGCAATATTGGACTCTATAAGGTATATTCCACATCTCACAGAAAAAAAAAAAAAAAAAAAAAAAAAAGAAAAAACAGATTAGATCTCAATGCTTCAAATGATTAAAATAAAAAAGAAAGAAAGAAAATATTGATTTTGTCCATTGACCAGTTATCAAAAATAGACAAAGGCTTCACTCATCCTCTCAATTTCCAACCTAAGTGTCATAACTCTATTGGAAATTAGCAGCAATTCTACACACTAAGTTTGAAGAGGCACATTCTATTTCTCATTCTCAAAAAATTATTTTTCTTTCAGGTAAATTGAATTTCAATAAACATTAAGCATGGAATTCTGAATGCGGAATTGACAGATATGCAATGCATTCACTGTCCAGAGTGAAGGTTTCAGTGGCAAATGGCAGTTGTATCGTATCATAGTCTGGTAGTTAAATTAGGAGATCAGGTATCTAAATGATCGCTGCAGCTTTCATGCTATGGAATCATATGGTGAGCTTTCCATATTCTCCATCCAGAGGAAAAGCTGCCTTATAGTCGGTTGAAGGAACGCCTGTTCCAAAACCAAGTAAATAGCTTATAAACATGTCACAGATGAACTAAAGGTCTAAATTTGGAACCAGAAATCTATTGTCACTACCAAAACAAAATGGTGGTTACCGCAACTCTAAGCCCCTTGATATCCTAATATCATACAGTGTTGCCTTCAAAAGTAATGCCAGTATAACATCTGGCATGGCAACTACTACTTTTCAGAGACAACATATCACATAAAAAGTCTGAAACAAACCCATGCTCCAGAAATGCATAGGTAATACATGTATCTGAACAATGCTAACATCTCGAACAGCAATTCCACGTGAAGATAGGTTCCATAAGAGAAGCAATACTTCAATAGTAAATAAGCTATATATGACTCCTATATGAGAACCAACATCACATTCATTCAACAGGAATCAAATAATACGCTTTGCAAATCAGGAATATAGACAGTTAATTAAGGTTGTGATTAAACGTGTGCAGCAATATAGAATCAAATCTGCAGATAAAATGCAACAACGAATTGAAATCTGTATTTCCCTTATATGAAATCATAAAAACTGAGGCTCTCTATCTAGATTCCAGATCAGCCTATGAACCATTTTCAACTAAATGGAAAGTTCATGAGCAGTTTGTGCAATTGACCATTTATATATTGCATTTCACTGCACAAGTGTCAGAAAATAGAGTGTGTGGCAGCATCAAAGGTCTAATCAGTTCTTTTTCAAGTAAAAGCCAATTTAACCCCCTGAACTCATCATAAAAGCTTAACTGGGTCCCTGCTCTACAATTTAAGACAATTGAGCCCATAAATAGATGAAGAAAGATGATTCCATTAAATAAATTAGTAAAGCTGACTTGCGTGAGGCACACATCATCTTTACTATAGTTTATAATAACTAAACATACTTTAAAAAAAGGGTCCAAAAAAGCAAAATTATCTATGCCAATTTCATTTATTCCATCTTAAAAACTGAAAAACCAAAGTGCAGCTACTTGTAAATTCCAGAACCAAACCCATCCTTCTTTACTCTTTTCAACAGCACATAATTTTATGAACCCTCACTAATATATGAAGAAAATATTTAATATTAAGAAAGGAAACAAATAGAGAAAGAACTATTAGGACCAAATTTAAATCCCTTAAATCGAAGCCATATTTTGAGTAGCAGAACTCAAATAATATTTCTAGATCCCATTGACAAGCTGTTGTGTGAGTTGTGCCGAAGATATGACGCATGGTATTGTATTTCTCAATTGACAGAGGTAGGAGATGAAAGAGAACAACATCGTTTTCAAGATTTTTAATTTTAGTTTTTTTATTATTTAAAAATCAATATTTTCTAATTTTTGAACCTTAATTTAAATTTTTGTCCTTTCAAGTATCAAGTCAGTACTCGTCCTTCTTTCTTTAAACCTTTAGAAAACCCTATTTGAAAAACATTCAACTTTATTCCAAAAAAAAAAAAAAAAAAAAAAAAAAAAAAAAAAAAAGAAGATTCAATATCTTTTATCTTCAAAAAAAAAAAAAAAAAAAAAAGAAAGATCATATTTTTATCTTCTTCCATAGGAATTCAAGATGTACATGTTTGATGTAGAACTTCAGTTTTTAGTTTTTCTAATTTCTAGTTTAGTTTTTTGTGATACTCAAAAATGGATGATTTTCTCCTACTTGGATTTATAAGCTCTTTATCATCTTAAAAGCTGCACCTAATTGGATAATAAATTCTTCATTTTAGGTTTGTTTTCTGTTTTTTGTCTGCTTTAATTGTTATTTGTTTGAGTTGGAGAGAAGATGATGAATAATAAGAAAAAGATGAGGTAGGGCCCACACAACTGCAAACAGATCGCTACTAGTACTAACTGAACTAGAATCCTATAGATTTCTTTCAATAATCGAGATGTCAAATGCATGAATATTGTCCTAATAATAAGAAAACTTCCACTTCTAATGAGTGTCGAAATGCATGGATATATCTATGAACAACATCTGAGCTGGGAAAAAAGAAAAAGGGCGAAGGAGAGGGAGGAAGTGAAATGCCTACCATGGAAGCCAAAGCTTGCAGTCCTGCTGAATGTAAACGTAGCATTCTTTCACCATCAGCAACATCTTGAGCCACTTGACAGAGCTTAGGAATGAGGCCCTCTAAGTTGAACATGTGTGTGCTATCTGTCTACTTTTGGTTAACAGTAAAGAATTAATATGTATACTTGACCTAATATCTAGTTCATGTAAGCACTGCCTATAGATGAATTATTACAAACTTCCAGCATTCAATAGGTCTCTCTCAAACCTAATGGCAGAACCAGGAATTTTGTTCAGTGGGAGCAAAACATATTTTATTTATCAATAAATATTCAATTGTATAAAAATAATATGTCCATCTTTCAATGAAAATAAATGCGTGAGTATTTGAATTAATTTCACCTAGTATTTCTTTTTTTTTTGTTCTGTATTGCAGTAAAGTAACATCAAGGGTCAGATTTCATGCACCATGCCAAATCCAACTTCTTTAGTACAGCTATTCAAAAGTAAACCATCCAAAGTAAGACAAGGGGATTAGCAAAGGGGAAAAAAATAAATAAAAACTCTTTTGTGGTCTAGTCCCAGGCTTTCAATAATCTAATGAAGAAATACACCAAAAAAAAAAAAAAAAAAAATATCTAATGAAGATATATCACCAAAAAAAATAAAAAAAACCATACTATTTTATATTTTTCTTTAAACTATCCTAAATATAAAAAAAAAAAAAAAAAAAAACATACTATTTTATATTTTTCTTTAAATATCCTAATATATTAGATGCAATAATTAATAAATACCAATCAATTAAATATATATAAAAAAAAAAAAAACACAAAGCATTTTCCATAATCATCACATTATAATTAAATGCTTGCTAACTGTAATAAGCTAATTTGTAGCCATTCTTTTCAATAGATAAACAAACAAGCGACTGTGAATTGTTAAAGTGTAACCTATTGAATCAAACTATCAATAGCATCTTTTAAGCTAATTTGCGGGTTTAAGTGGGTGGGAAACCAATTACAGCACCAAGTAAAGTTTGTGGGGACACAAGCAAAAAAAAGATCTCAACTGTTTTATAAGCAAGTGGCCTCACTAGAACTTAACTTAGCTCTGCCCTGTTCAAGCCCCCTGATCTTTGGATATTCCCTTCATCCATCCCGTTCCTTTTGTTGCCATTTTGAGGAAAAGAATTAGATAGTTTAAACCTTCCTAATAGACAGAGGAAGAATTCTTTTGGGATGGGGGTCGAACAACAATTGAGTAATCCCTTATTCTATGTGCCAGTTTGCAGAGCCTATGACAAAAACTTTAGCCATTACGAACCTGAATATTTATGAAGTCAACAAGAACGTTGCAAGCAAGAATCCGCATTTCATCCTGCCCAGTTTGTTCCAAAAGAACTCGGACTATCCCCAATAAACTACTGGCAAATAGTGGCCTGCAAACCATTGAGACAAAAAGAGAAACCATATCATTCCAAACTTTAATTTGTGATAGGATGTATTCAAGTCCAAAAAAATGTCATGACATCATCTATTTGTATTAGTTTGTACATTTTTATTATTTTACCTTTAATATCAATTGATTTTTTTTTTCTCTGCTTAAAAGTCTAGCCTACTGCCTTTCAGTTATATATAATAGACAGCATCATCGAATTCTCTCTATGGTTATTGGAAGGGGTTAGATGCAAAAATTTAAAATGTGTTATTTGAAATCAAGAAATTTCCATACACACACACACACACACACACTCAGAGATATAAGCATATGATGTTATAACGACTTTAAAAGGTGATCTCTAACTAATTTCAAATCACCATTTTCTTCCATTGATTTGGGGAACTACAAGTCTAAACCTCTTAACTTACATCTGTTCCTTACATGACGACAAAAATTTCCTATAAATGCACATCACAACTTTCACAGATCCAAAGTTTCCATGCCGCAACTCCTTGTAAAATCTTTGCTCCAGCGTTTCTGTAATCTGCACCGAAAATTGGAAAACATGAAGCACTCCTGAAATTGAACCTCAGGAATATATTCCCACCACCTATTACAGTTTCCTATTCAAATTTTGCAAACATTTGATCACAATATTATAGTACATTAAAATTTCAATTACAAGCCATGAGAGTTGTTCATAGCAGAATCACATTGTTGAAAGCAAGCATACATATGAACGCATATGTAGGCATGATAAAGAGAAAGAAAGAATAATAACAAGTGCAAAAGGAAAAATCTAATGGTAACTTCAAACTTTTGTTTTGCCCTTTGAACCAAATCAAATGACAAACCTGAAAATATTCTCGATAATTTTATTGAGTGAACAAATCTCAAAATCATTGACCTCTAAAATACACAGGAAAACAAACCTTGGGAATTCGCAATGGATTCTTTGAAGCATATTCACAAAGTTTCCCAATTTTCCTATCATTCGGTTCAGCACCCTGCAAAATGATGACAGAAAATAAACAACTTAAGTAATCCTCTACTACTCCAAATACTTCTCTTTCTGCCCCTATTTGGGTGGGTGGGTAGCATGATGGTGAGTATCAGAAGCTGTCAAGAACTTTGAAGCAGAGGCAACCAGAAACATCATTATTCCAGTAGCAAGATAGTAAAGTATTTTATTAAAACTATTTGACCTGATACTTCCACTCAACCTTTATAGGCGTAATATTTTCTTAGTGCAGATACACAAGTAGCATCACTAATGGCAGCCAAAAGAAACATACAAATTTAGTCTACATTGTGTAGATGACATGAACAGGATATAATAAACTCAAATACTTTAACTCGTCAATTCATTCATACTTTTATAATATATAACAGAAAACTGAAGAATAAACAGAAAGACTAAAGATCCACTAGATCAACACTAATTAACCACTTCAATATTCAAAGCATAACAAGGCAAGAATCACCTTATAAGCAAACAACAAAGAAAGAACTATATCAATAAAACTACTTACAAGCACATAATTTCAAGAAACATAAGAAGAAAATCAAAGCAACATTAATCTATCACCTGATTACGAGGAAAAATTTCAGAAAGAAACTTCTTGTAACGCTTAACAGGTTGTCTTGACCTTGCCCGCAATGAAGGACAAAAGAAACAGAGGTTGCCACAGACGGGTACAACCCGCCTTGACATAACCCCCATTTTCTAAGGAAAATCCAAAGCCTTTCCTCTACACAATTTTATCCAAAAAAAAAAGTTCAATTAACAACAATCACAACAATATCACACTTTTTCATATTCCTTAATGAATAATTTGCAATAAAGCTCAAACCAGCTCAAATTCATAAAATTGAACTACAACTGAATCCTTATGCTATTATAGATGAACCCCAAATGAGGTTTTTTTTGGTCTTTAAAGAAGCAAAAGAAGAAAAAAATGAAACGTGAAAAACCCAGAAGGAAAGAATGAGCAGAGCTCTAATGGTGAAAGAGCTATCAAAACTAAGAAATCAGATTGAATTATTAGAATTGGAAGCAAATTATGAAAAATTAAATCACACCCACCAATTCAAATTAGAGAAATTACGGTTTCAAAAACAATCTAGCAGATTTGATCACGATCTGAAATAGCCCGGAAGCCAGAAAATGAACATAAGATTTTGTTTAGAATATTTAAAATAAAATAAAAATTAGCGATCTTTCAATTTGAAAAAAAAAATGTATATATGAAAAATGAATAAAAAAATTTGAGGAAATTACTTGAGAAAAATAGCCAGATGGGGGGAAAGGGAAGGCCTTTTACATCAGAGCTTGTTTTTTCTCTCTTTCAAATATTAATATTGTCAGCATAATTTTCTTTTTTGGTGTGCTAATATTTGCATAATATTTTCTTTTAAAATAAACCAAATAGTAACAAAATCCATATCTTGTACGCATTTGTAATTATTGCAATAGTCACAGCTCATTAGCAGCCGTCAACTTTGAGTAAAGTGGTGGTGTTTGATCAGGTGATTTAAGTGGACCGTTGACTACCCGTCCGATTAAGTTGCATGAGAATTTGACGATACAAAGAGGGGCTGTGATTGAGAATATCAGCAAAGATTTGTGACTTTAGCTTTTCCCGAAGAGAGATTCCTTGCAGTTGTGTTCAGTAGTCTCCAGTAGAGAGACATAAAACTCACTTCATGATATAATAAACCCCAACGGCTCCGAAATTTCAGGGGGTTGCTTCTTTTTTTTATTGTATGACAAAAGTGTCCCTCAACTATTTCACTTTTGACTTTTTTGTTACCTTTTTGCTTTTGTTTTATTTTTTTAATTATTTATAAATATCATATGGAAAATACTTATTTACCTTTAGTAAAACAGTTACTTTAGCTTTTAAAACATAGTTCAAACGCTATAAGAATATCATTTAGCGTTTTAACCACAAGCTTAATCAACTAAGATTATGTTGTTATATTTGAAGTAGTGTTTAGTATTTTGATGAGGTTAAAATATTATCTTAATTAATTGTGGAGTTCAATAATATAATATTTATTATAGCGTTTAGAATTTGAAATCATATTTCATTAAACATTATCTTTATTAACGTTTAAAGTTTTACCTTTTTAATCGTTTTATATTAAATAGCTAATCAAACATTTATTTTATCAAACATTTTTATTTTAAATCGCTCTTACCATCAGCGGCTAATCTAACCATCAACAGCTAATATATAATAGCTAGCCACTAATAAAACAGCCGAAAACTATTAAAACACTTAAAAATGCCGAACATAGCCTAAAACTTAATTAAAGGACCCATAAAAATAAAAGGAGATAATCGTCATTGTATACAAGACACCATCCATAAAATGTCTCTTTACAAGAGAACAATAAATATTTGAGGCATTAGCAATTAAGAAAGGCAATGGTCTATGGTGGGATTTGTCTTGTTATGGCAGTAGAGACTTACAAGGAAGGGCATAGGCACAGGCATATGCACATTGAATGATAACTTTCACTTTATTTATGGTGGAAAATGAGAGAGAATGATGGCCATGTGACTTCTGTTGCCTTTGAAACCAAGACATTGCGACAGGTCTATTTTTCACAAAGCAAACAAAGTTGTATTAACCTATTAAATGGCAATAACTAGGCATTCCTTGTATTTTGTCCACTTGAAGCCCTCAAAAGGCTAATCTTTTGTGTTTTGGATTTAAAGTATTAACTTTTGAACCTCATGTAGATTTTTAAAAGTGTATGAGTATAAAAATAGTCATTTTATTATTTATAAGAGTGTATGAGTGTAAAAATTATATATATATATATATTACAAATTTCAAATTAGAATCACCGTGTTTCAGTTCTAATGAACAGGAAATTAAAGTCGAACCATAAATACATAATCTGAAGTTACTTCACAATGTTGGCTAAAAAAAATCGAACAACGAATAATTAAATAAAGAGTGAACTTACAACGATGTTAATTTGTATTTACATATTTATCTAAGAAAGAAAGCAAAAAAGAGGAAATTTCCTATTATTGTGAACTTTAAGTTTCCATTTTTGTTTTTATTGATTGAGATAGTGAATTGAAGGAACCGTATCAATTACACTTGATGGTTCTTTACATCAAACACAGTCAAATAAATTTATCAATGCATGTTAACAAAAATCCAAGAAACCAATAATTTCTACTACACTAACTTTTTCTTGTTTTTGAATATGAACCCAAAGAAATGCAAACATTGAATCATACCTTGAGCTCAAAGTTTCTAATTGATTTTTATTTTTTGGGAAGCAATTAATTTTGTTAGGTTTGGCATAGTTGGGGGAGTTGACAACAATAATAGACTTTTTCTATTATCACTTGCCTTGTCTGTGTGAGCTGAGCTGGCTGAGGGTTGGAAGACAGCACAGAAATGAGAGTTTGATTGTTGTGTTATGAATATATAATAATAAAATACTTCCAAGGAAAGGAAATGGAACTTGTTTGATCCATCTTCCCTTGTATTTGATTAATCATGCTTGCTTACTCATAGACTAAATAAATATTGCGAGGATAAATCTGTAACTTTACTAGAACAACTATATCGAGCGTTACATAATCATTTAGTGCATGATACTCGCTCTTGCTACTATTTTCCTAGAAGGTCTTTGTATTGATACCTTGTAATAAATATACTATCATCTATTCTCTGAATTATCCACTTCTTATTTTTACTTCTATCACTTACCATAACCTCGGAAAGATCAACACATGATCATATAGGTAAACAAGACACTTGGAGCCTATATGGGCTTTATTATTTACCCTTTCATGGCTTGAAATTTACATTGCGATCTGCTCTTTAATGGGCTTAGCATTGTTACACAGCATCACCCTTTTTCTTAAAAGGAGGAAAAAAAGGATCCTAATAACCAACGAGGATTGGTTTGCTGGGCTTTTCCCTTTATGGGTCTGATGAATTAAATTTAACTCAACGGGCTAAAGACACACGTGAATAAACCGAATAACAAAAAACGAAAAAAAAAAAAAAAAAATAACCAACGAGGATTGGTTTTGCTGCGGCTTTTCCCTTTATGGGTCTGGATGACATTAAAATTTAACTCAACGGCTAAAGACACACGTGAAAAAAAAGAGAAAAAAAAAAAAAAAGAGTTCCTAATAATATTGGCTTTTTAAACCATTTTTTTGTCTGACATAAATAAAAAAATGAAGAGAACGCAAGACTCGCGCCTTTCTATTATTCTTTATTCTTTTTTTTTTTTTTTTAAACAAAATTAGTATATATATTACATCCTTAAGCTTATTCAGGGTTCGGTACAAGATAAACCCAATAAGAGTAGATTGTAAATCAAATTAGAAAACGCAATAAGGATAGAAATTACAACTTTATTCTTAGAGCTTAGGTTTGATTCCATTTTACAGTAGCAAATGCATAAGAAAATAATTGTATTTCTGGTTCAGCCAAGTCATCCTGTCATTGTCCAACAACATTAATTGGATGCGCTGATGAGATTGAAATTTGACATTAATTATAAAACCTTAATTGATTTATGGAATTAGATAGAACAGAGGAGAAAAAGAATAATTATTCCATACAAATGATTATTCCTAATTCTGATTCGTACTCAAATGTGGAAGAATTTTTTTATTTTTGAGTATTGGGGAAGGGGAAATTTAAATCTGGATCCATCGCCAGGTCTATTTTCGATATAAGATTTTTTAAAACAAAGAAAAATCTCTTTTTGTGATAACCTCTAGTTGAAATAGGCTACTAAGTATCCTTTGTTTTCAGTATGCTCTGTTCAAAGCCACATCACAAGACATTAGAACTCTGAATACAAAAACCATACAAATAGACATTGATGAAACATGGAAGGAGGACCAAGGATGTGATAACTTACCTTGTACAGAAATTTAAAGTTGTCCAAATGAGCACCAATACATTGATGAACTATTTAAATTACCTAATCCACTAGTAACCTCAAACTGTTTTAACTTCCTATGCCATATCCAATCGAAATGCATCTCCATTCTCGTTAACATTCCAACAAGGTAATAACCAAGACCACACAAAGGGGGAGAGGACTAGAACCAATTCCACTATCACTTTTAGTTGCATCCTCACCACCACATGCCTTTGTACTTCTTTTCCTAGATCCCCCTTATGTCCTTTATGTACCATTAGCTAGTTTTACCATTCCTTGGTTCCAATGTTATCTTTGGCATGAAACTACTACCTGTCCAGCTTTATTTCCCTTTCCTCTTCACCTCTTTTCTTCACTTTTTGCTACTAGTTTCCACCACCAATACCAGTCGAAAAAATAATAGGCAACTTCCTGGATCACAATGTAAGAATGTGAAGACGATCCAAACCAGAACGGTTCCACCTACTCAAAACTAAGAGGGGATGCCACCACCTACTACTAAATTCCTGGTTTTCGCAACAGTTGCATTATTCTATGCAAGATAAGACTTACAAAGAACCAAAAAAAGTTTGGATATGAAAAAGTATGCATTATGCTTAGGCAGTTTCCTTCCTAAGCAAAATAGAAGGAAGAGAAATTTGTATCGTTTCAAATCCAATTCTCAGAGAAAAAAATGTCTCAAACTGCCTTCCACAAAACGGTGGCTGTAGTAATACAGGGAATTAAAAGTTGAAACTAATACTTCCTTAACAAATTAAGACTGATTCTGTTAAAGCCGAAACAGAATACTTCTGTTAAAGCCTAAACGGAATACTTCTGTTAAAGCCAAAAGGGAATATAATATCTAATCAAATGAAATTTTGGTATAATTATCAAAATAAAAATGCATTTGATCATATTTCAATATGACTTACTGAACATATAATAAACATATTCTTAATTCTTCGATTTCACTCCGAAATACAAGATGATTATTAATGACTAAAAGCTAATGCATCTCAATCAGAAACTGCAAAGCTTCAGCAAGTAGTAAACAAAACCTCTGCTTCTAATTAAATTCATCAATAAATTAGACCAGATTAATAGAAAAAGAAAAATAGAAGACAATAATTCAAAACTCAAATTATCACTGAATTCTAAATTCAATAGCAGAATTATTCTATTCCAAATTTACAGCAAGAAATTTAGGTTCCAAAACTGTATCTTTTCTTCTATAAATTTTGAAATAACAAAGCTAATCAATTTCATTTTTTTTTTCTGAAAAAATCAGAGATATTATTAACAATGATCAATATGAGTATAAATCTAATGATCAATACAACAAATACCACCACTCTATCAAAATTTGTGGTATAGCTTATAACACATGCCAAAGTCTTCCTAATTCTCAATTAAGAACTGACCTTCGACGCGTATTAATCTACGGTGGTCCGATCTCTCCTAATTTATCGGCTCCGTCGACTGCTACGCCGACGCGTTTCACCGAATCGAACAGCGGCAAGACTCTCTTCCTGTAATGAATCGGGCGAGAAAGCTCCTCGTCAAGATCGATATTGATGTTGGTGATGCCGATCTCTTTGAGACGGAACCCTAGTTTCTCGCCAACGCGAGATGCCATTTTGGAGTCCCAATGGAGGGTCTATCGCGGGAAGCGGTTGAGTCTGGTTCGATACTCGGCGAGGAACCCTTGCTCGGTGGAGGAAGCCATGGCTATAATGGTGGAGGTGTTAGGGTTCGTTACCTGCGCTGTGATTTTGCGACAGGAGAGGACTAGACGCAGCATGTGTTGATGATTGCCAGACATTGTTCCACAGTCGTGAGAGAATGAGAGGAGTTAACAGTTGCGTTTGACGAATAACTATACAACTATTCCCGCAACAGTCAGCCGCGTTTCGTTTCAGTTGATTTACCTGCTACAATTCAGCTGCGGCTCATTACATCAGCCATATTCCTATCTTCTGTATTTATATTATTATTTTTGGATTATATTTATTTATTAAAATAATTATTTTTTAAGATAAATTTTTAGAAAAAATATAAATTGATCATTAAGTTTTAATCAAATTAACATATTTGATTTACTTCTTTCAAAAAAAAAAAAATATTAGTTACCATTTTCATTAACACTTTATCCCTTAGTTTTTTTAAATAAATACACTGTTAATTTGATTGTAATTTAAAATTAATTATTTTTCATAAATTTTATATTCCAAATTAAAATTATTTAAATAAAAAATTAATTATTTTTCATAATCAAACTAGGTAAAGATCCTGGTAATTTGTTTATTATATATTATACTTTTCGTTTTTAATTTAATTTATGGTTTATAAGTTGTTTAGTATATATGATTTCATAGTCTATATAGAATTTTCAAATTTTAAAAAATTAAAAATGATGTTTGAACAAAATATAAGTTGATATTATATATAATAGTATAAATATATATATTATATTTATTATATTATATATTATATAATATAAATTCAACTTATGAAATATAAATATATTGATTAATTCCAATATAATAAAAGGATTAAGTAAAAAAAAAAATTAAGATATAGATAGATACTTATTTTCAATAAATAATAATTTTTTAAATAAAATTATTGATGGCTTGTGATTGATTTCTAATAATATAGATAATGCAATTAAAAATTTTAAATTATTAGGCATTTAATTTCAACCAAATTAAATAAACTCTTTACATATATATACAAGTTAAACTCATTTTACAAAATGATTGTAGAAATTTTGATGGAGATTTTAAATTCTAATATTATTTAAAATTTTATTAAATTATTTTATGCAATGCAAATTTAAAATTATTGTATTTAGTAATTAGAGTTAAAATTTTTAACTTAGAATATTGAATGATATTATTAAATATTGCTTAATTAGTTGTAGGTTTTGAACTTATTTCTCACTAACACATTTAATTAAGAGTATGTTATGAGTTCGTATAAGAATTCAAACTAATTCATTTGATTTAAATTTGAATAATTAATTGATATAATTAATTGTATATAAATAAAACGTTTCAAAAAATTAAACCACCAAAACTTATTAAATTAAAAGATTATCATAAAACAAAATTAATCATTTTTATATACAATAATCCTATATCATTTTTTATACACAATAAACTTATACTATTTATTTTAGCACCTAATTATTCAAATCATCCAATAGAGTAAGAACATGGTGCATGGTTCAATTCTACTGCCTTCTCTCAACGCAGATATCAAGGCCCCCTCTCCCGTAATTTACAATTATAGGGTGATGTTCACATAACTCTTTGATAATAAATTATTTTTTGATTTATTAAGAGGACCCGTACACTGAAATAACATTATGGATATACAGTCACACCACATTTAATAAATTTTTTGATAATAAATTATTAAAAAATTAAATCCATATATCAAAATTATATTTGTTTTTTCTGAAATCAGACACCATTGATTAGCGTTATTATCCCTTTTTTTTTAGATTTTAAAAATAAAAGAAAAAGATGCATAAACTACGACCGTCGAGATTAAACTTATTGCATAAAATACAGTTAGCCCGAACCAGTGACTCTCGCCTATGGCATCGGGGCTTACCGTAATTGTCACCGGAGACGAATAAGCCCTGATTTATCGATAGATTTTTCCTGGAAAGTTAAATTATTTATTGAAATCCAAGAGAAAGATGTCCGATTTAGCTTGTTTGCTCTTGCAACTCCTCATCCTTCATTTATTTTTACCTGGGATTTCAGCAATCAGGTAATGAATCCTTGTGATTTCTCCTTTTAATGTTTGCTCTATTTGGTTACTGAGGAAACAAATGGAAATAATTTACTTTGGTAGGATTTGTTGTTAAAATCCACAATAGCAGATTGTCAATTAAAGGGAAAAGTTGTGAGAAATGATATTGATGATGCAGATGAAATTCCAAAATGTGGATAATTTACGTCCTACCAGTTTTCATGGTACTATTTGATGTAGAAATAGGCTGTATAGTAGACAAAGATTGCTGGAATGAATAATTCATGGATTTATATGTTTAAATTATTTAGAAGTTTTTCATTTACTTTCGCTTTGATCTTCAAGGACTTGTTAATCAATTAGTTCTTTCATTTCTTTTCTGTCTTTCTCTTCTTTTTTTTTTTTTTTTTTTTTTTTTTTTTTTTTTTTTTTTTTTTTTTTTTTTTTTTTTTTCCAAGTCCTAGGATTTCAAAAAGAAAAGCTTATTCTGAGAAGTGCTAGGGATGTTAATTTAAGGGCGCTTATAGATTTTTTTTTTTTTTTTTTTTTTTTTTTTTTTTTTTTTTCCAAGTCCTAGGATTTCAAAAAGAAAAGCTTATTGAGAGTGCTAGGGATGTTATTTAAGGGGCTTATAGAAAGGAAAGGGCTTTCTGATGAGGATGCAGTATGGTGATGAAGGACCTATGTCAAAACAATAGAAGGATAGATTATTGGTTGAATGGTCGTATCCTTACCACAAAGGTTGCCTTTGAATTTGCTATTTTGATATGTTAGTGGTGGATAAACTTATAAGAAGCATTCTGTTTGTCGGTGATACCCAGAGTGCAAATCCCTTTAAGCAAGAGGTAGAATGAAGGGGCCTGAGAAAACAGTTATACTGCTCATAAAATTGCTGGGAAGTTTTTCAAGGCTCTAACTTATTGTTAGGGAGCACGTGCATAATGCATTCAGAAGGAAGTATAATAGATGTGAGGATGCCGACGAGTGGAAAACAAAGAGAGAATAATAAAGAACATATTGTGAAAAGGTTGTAGGTGCACTAACTGATGAGAAATTGTCATAGACGGCAGCCAAGGCCCAGGAATGCACAGTTATGGCTTAGTAGAATACTTTTATGCTGAACAGTGTGCTGTAAGCCAGACAAATATGCTGTTTTCAATTGCAACCAGACTAGTTTTTATGTTAAATATTTTTCCTTTTATGGGAAGCACCATTACTTAAACAATTGAGTTGTTCTAACTTTTCCTTTATGACTTTATTTCTTTCTTCAATTTGAGAAATTCTGATTCACGTGGAAATTATTGGTGATATCTTTATGGTGCGGATTCTCACTGTTGCATTACAGGAAGGACATTGGCTTTCAAGAGCTAAATCTTTGTAGAAACACAGTTCAAGGAAGATTTCTTCTATCTGATGACAAGGGTAGGTGTTCTCTTATATGTATTTGCGGCTTTTTAATCTAGCTAAAATTTTAAGGGGCATTTGGATTTCATCTAAAATCTTGCAATGAATTATGAGAATAACTTTTACTAAAATTATGGTTTTAAGTATAATTTATTATATTTTACATAAAATTTGTAGTGATGCATTTCATATGCATAACTTAACCAAGTGAAAATATACTCTTCTTGAGAATAAATTTCCATAGTGGAAAAGAAAACTAAATATTTGTTGGGCATGATCTGATATATTAGTTTCTTGAACTGAATCCAATATCATATTATGTTGCTATTCATTTTAGGCCATGTATGTGATGCTCTATCACTGGATCCACTATCCCGCTGCTGCCCTGAGAAAGGAGAGAAATTCTCTTGTCAGTGAGTTCTTCCTGAGCTCGTCTCTGAGGTTTTGTACTTTTCAGAACAATCAGGAAAACTGATGACGGTTTTATTTTTGTTTCTAGTGGATGCAACCTTCTTTCACAGTGTTGCAATTCCTATGAATTTTGTGTTTCATGCTGCCTTAATCCTGCGAGGGTATTCTCTTGACTGCCTATTTGGCTTTCTACTTTGTTCTGATCTTTAATCATTAAATAAGCAAAGTGAAACTTATTATTTGGACTTATTATGCAGACACGAGAGAAAGAAGTCATGAAGCTGAAAGTAGCCAAGCCATCAACTGCAGGTTTTTCCCTTTTTCCTCCCCTTTTTGTATATATCAGGAAAAGGTTTGGAAATCAACTAAACTGCCTAGCGCCAACTCATGTGCACCCTTAGCAGCAAAACATGGTATCTATATAGAATGTTTGAAATGGTAGCAGTAGCAGATGAGTTTTGCTGTTTGTTCTGCAATCTTTGTAGGGGTCGGAAAAATAAGAAATATATGGCCACCATTTTATGGCGTTTCTACGAGGATAACAGGTATCTACATTCTTTGATGTGCAGGGACTTATGCAAGTATTTTTGATTTCTGTGCTGGGAGGTGCCGTCATAATTCTGAGAGCGTGGTAAGTGCTACATTCTCATTTTGTCATTTCCTCTTGAGGTGGATCAGTCTATAAGGGGTGAGCGGACCGTTTTTTTCAGAACATTAGCTTTGAATTAGGAGATGGGAAGATAGCATGATCTGTGTTGCGTTCAGCTCACTTTTCCGGGGTTATTTTCTTTACTACTGGATAAATTGCAATGAAAGACATGCATGGTGATGAAAAGTTGGAGAACTCATTGCAATATGAAGATTCTCGGGCTTCCAAGATGTGGATCTTCAGCCAGCAGATCATTTTCTGGAGTGGCTTTATGCTATGCCTGACTCCTCTATGGATAGGATCTATGGACAGAGAGCAATTTGAAGTTGGGCGTGAAATATTACTAGGAAATGCATTATGACAGTAAAGAAAGGGTTTTCCTCATATTTCATTTTGAGTATTGATGTCTCTCAAAAAGGTTTCCTCTCACGGTTGAAAATAATTAAGAGGAATTTCCTCATTCTCTATACACGAAGCTGATTGGGAGGCTACAGTCACCTTTTCTGTTAGCTGTTAGGGGGTTGATATAATACTGCTCTTACTTCTTATCTTTTCTGGAGTGAACAAGTCATGCCTTTTTTTTTCTCTTATTTTCCTGTTAACCAACCAGTTGCTTTGCGGATTTACTATGCAACATCTGCCTTGTAAAATGATGGCATAAACAGAAAAATCTATGCATGATTTTCTTGTGATTGCAAATTAGTTAGTTTGTTAAGATATTATGTATGTGATATTGCGCCTGATTATATAAGTTTGTAAAAAATTGCAGGTTCACGAAAATGCTTATCTTAGTGATTTCCATCATTGCTTTTCTCTACCATCAAACTCTTCAGGTTTGCCTTCGATGCCTTTTTTTTTTTCCTGTTTTTTACTCCCTTTACTTGTTTTAATTATAGTTTTGTATCCTCTTCGCCATTCCTGGTCATAGGAATGCCTAAGTGGAACAACTTAAGTTCAATGGTGTAATATCCTACATTTTGGCATGCTTGTAAGCATTATGCATGAACTTTTCTTTCTTTCTTTTCCTCTCTGTTTATTTTTTCTCTTTTTCCAAATGGTGTAATATATGAAGGAAAGGAATGTTGTGAAGCAATATTTCCTCTCATATGCATGTTCTACTACATCTTCTTCTAATCTAATTAGCTCTTGAAATTGAATGCTAGCCATTTTATTTATATTGACCTTGTTTCTTATTTCCATTATGCTAAGGACATTATTTCTTTTTGTATGCTTTGAAATTTTACTACAACAGGTGCCAATCATACACAATTAGAAGCAAGACTAGTCGGCATAAATGTAGTTATTGGAAGGTGGGTCAGGGTTATCATGGTGATGGCAATTATCTCTCTTTTTTTATTTCAACTAGTTAAATTTCCCATTTGAGCTTATTAAATATTTATCGTCACTTGTCGACAGGCAAGGTAAGTCCTGTGATTCAGCTTGCAAGTCAAATGGACAATCGTGCGTCTTAAATAAGCTTCTGGTGCTTAATCAATGTGACATGTAAGGAACATGATATTTCATTTTTCTGCTTGTCCATTTGTTATTTTTTATTACATTAGCACTGCTATTTTAGTATTAAAACTATTTCAAGGATCTAAATTTTTGGGATAGAATATTTATTTGCATTGTGTTTGTTATGGTGTAACTAAAGTGATTTTGTTCATTGCATGGTTTTATCCTGACGAGTAATTTAACAATTAAAATTTTCAATTGGATAAAGATGCATGCTCTATATCTCTCTTTCTTGGCCAATTTTGCTTTTTAGTATCTTGGCTTGAAAGCAAAAGGCAATGGATTTGGTGCAAATATTGACTGAGAAATTTTTCCATCAAATGCTAGGGGAGACAATATTATAAAGGTTTTGTTCTCTCTTCAGGTGGCAGAATTTTTGATGTAATGTTGAAGTATGTGATTTGTGATACACTAACAAATTTATTGGTTCTTATTTTCTGATACGAACTTTAGTATGGTGGTTTGACTCTTCTTTCTGAACAGTATGCAGAAATATTTGAGCTGCAAGGGAGCATGTCTAGCGAGCATTGGAGCAGATCAACCTGCCGAAGTTGTTGATGATGCTCCTAAACACTCGGTATTTCCTCTTTGCTTTGAACTTTTGGTATCTTTTATTATGGTCTGGCTTCTTACTTTTATTATTTATATGTTCGAAAAACCCTGTTAAGATCATTGTGAATTGAATTCTTTATTCAGTATCTTAGGAGATGCATCCAAGATTCCTTTTGTTTTTCTTGTAATTTTTTAAGCTCAAAAAAAAAAAAATGGAAAGGAAATCTGCGAGAATGAAACATTCTGAACAAGTTCGTCAAACCGAACTTCACATCATATATTACTGCTTTGTTCTGCAGAACCCAGGAGCATGCTTGTACACTCGAACACAATCGATGCTTTCCTGTGATGGTTCACATCATCACACCAGGAGACTTTGCCCCTGTGCATAGTTTTCGCTTAGTAAGTTTTCATTCCTAGAGTACATAATTCGCTGATATTAGAGTTTCATGGTATGCTGCTTCAAAATTTTTCTGTACCCATTAACCATTTTTAAGTTGTCCGATTTGTTACTATTTAAATTCTGTTCAAGGGATAATGATTTATTTATGTACTAGTAGTTATTTCAGTTTTCCTTTGAAAACAAATAATTAAAGCATAATTATATTCATAATCCACAATTTATCTGAGACTTTATGATTGCAGGAAAATTCTGTAAGGACAAACAGTCTGAAGCATGTGGGTTATTTACGTATCTTTGTGATTGTCGCAAGAAAGGTATTAGGAAAAATTTTTTTGCAGAAAAAGATGTATTCTGGGGTTACATATTTTTAATGGCTAAATGCATAAATCACTTCTGTACTTCTCTCAAAAATGTAATGGCACCCAAATTTTGTAGGGTATGCCCCCTAGAGTTGTAAATTTTGATAAAATTACGTGTCTTTCATTACTATCAACAAAAAATTTTAGGGTTTTTGATTTTTGTATGCAAAATAATGATATAAGTTAGTATGACTTTTAGAACAATAATTTTTATATTTTTTAATTATTTGATAAGTGATTAGTTGATTTAATTTTAAAAGCTGAAGTTTTAATTGCATAATTTTATAAGTCGAAGTGTTTCATATATGTAATTTTTTTACAAATTGAAAGTAAAAGATTTATTTAAACCACTACGAAGTAAAAGATTTATTTCACTCTAAGAAATGATGTGGTTTATAGGTAAACCGCTATGAATAATTTCCTTTTTTCTTTTTATCTTTTTTTGGTTTTATCTCTGCCCAGCCCTTCGAATTGGTCGACGGATACCTTTAAAGAGTTGTGACCATGGGAAATACGATCGGGGAAACAAATTATTTCACTCAGTTTCTTTCATTTCAAGATTCTGACCAGAAAAAAAATATATATAATAGAAATAATATTTAAAATTTTTTTATTTTTATTGATTTGATTTATACGGCGAAAATCACATGACAGCCAGCTAACGAAAACACGACAGCCAGCTATTTTGGCTAGTTGCAGTAGTGGTAAATGGTAATAATAGTCAATTGTCTGCCGCTAATAATAGTCAATTGTCCGCCACTAAATTTTTACTGCCTTTGCTTACAAAGAATTTCAACACGCTGACCCCTCTCTTTCATAAAAATAAAGAAAATAATTGAAATACATCGATTTTTTTTTTTTTAAATATAACAGAATGTTTAAAGTATCTTCTTAAAATTATAAGCTCATCTTTTAATTTGGTTACAAAACATCGGATAAAATTAAAAAAAATATAATTAATGTATTTTTAAAATTTTAAATAAACATTTCAAATGAAATAAAATAAAATACATATTCATTGCTATTAAAGTGAAACGAAGGAAGTAGAATTTAGTGAATTGTTTTTTTTTTTTAATTTATATTAGTGGGATAAGAGCTACTAATAGAAATGAACTAATCAGTCATTTATATATTCCATTTGATTGGGGGGAAAAAAAAAAAGAGATTAACATAAAAGCTGTCATGGAACCCCCCAAAAAAAAAAAAAAAAAATTAATTTCAACAAAAACAATGAGATATAATGATACTTTTCTAGCTTTGTACATGAGACAAATTTGGCAGCCTTTGCTTTGGCCTCATTCCCACAAATAATAAATAATTAAGCATGCTTTATTAAAGATAACACTTTGATTTCTCCTATAATGATCATATCATTGAATAAACATTTAACACTACCAATTTGCACTCCACTTTCCATTAGAGCCAAAGTAAAAAAGACAGAATTATCATATCATAAAAAATTAAAAAAAAAAAAGAAAAATAAGATGCAATTAATCAACAAAACTTAATTAATTTTAATACACATCAAATAAAAACCCAAATCCCATTTTTTGTTCCTCTACATTGGGTATATACCTGAATTTTCCAATTCAACATTCAAAAGCTATAATCTGGTTTAAGGAATTTCTTACTTAATGGTTTTGAATTCTGTCTCATTTCCTTGACTTCTCCATTTCTTTTATCTTCTTTCCCACCTTCTTCTTCTGCTCCTTCTTCTTCACAATCAAAGGCAGGATGGTTAAGAATGCTATTAAGTAGCTGAGTTCCTCTAAGTGCATTAGTCAATGGCAAATGCCCTTGAGGAGTATCATCATTAAGTTCCCAAATAAACTCATTAGGGAAAGCTCTGTAATTATATTGCTCAACTTCAGTGTCAAGCTTTTTCATCCAACCCACTTTGAGGAAGAACTTGGAGAAGTCTTTATCAGCCTTTTTTAGCCATATTTGCTTTTGAATACTGTAACCAAACTTATTGTCACTGTATTTCTTCCATAGCTCATCAATCGCTTTAAGGTCTTCCTCTGAAATGAATTGAACTTCAGAGAAGAAGACATAACCACGTTTCTGAGCTGCTTCGCCTGCAAGAATTATTAGAAGGCGGCGAGTTTCCTCGTCTGCTTGCCTGAAGTTTTGGGTGGAGAGATGGTGCTGGAGGAGGTCTAAAGAAAAGGTTTGGGAAGTTGAAGTGGTGGTAGTTGTTGTGGGGGAGATAGAAAAAGTGGCAGTGGAGGAGGAGGAGTGTATGGAGTGGGAGAGGGAGAAGGGAGGATTAGTGGTGGTGGGTTTGAGGAAAAGGGAGGAGATAGGAGTGGAGTCTAAAGGTTGGAGCTTGTGTTGGTGGTGGTGGTGGTGGTGGTGAGGATGGTGGAGGGACTGAAGAGGGTTAGTGGCCATTTTGAGAGAGAGGTGGAGAAGTTAGGAGTTCATTAAAGAGTAGTAGAGAAAGGATGGGGGAGATAAGGAAATTTTGAAGAAGGGAAGGAAGTGAAGAGGTAATACAAAGAAGGGTTTTGATTGGCTAGAAGTGGGTGAGGCTAGATACTCTCTCTTTCTCTATCTACATGGAATTTATGGATTAGTGATAAAAATGAAAAATAATCCATATTGCCCCCAAGTAAAGACAATGAAATAATTAATGGAAGTCCCAATTAGGCGCAGGCAAAAAATTAAAAAATATATATATATATATAATTAGAAAAATCATTAATTCTTTTGAATTTGCTATGATCCAATATTTCACATTTCATTCTTATAGAATGAATCTATGTGTAAAATAAACAAATATTACTATCGTTTGCAGGATAAATTCATGGGACTCGTGATTTGAATAATGGGAAAATAAAAATTTTTGACATTTGAGTACCGGCTCATGTTCGCAGATCTTATTAACATGATTAAGGTAGATGTAAATATATGTAAAAAAAAAAAAAAAATTTAAAGATTTAAAAATAAAAGGCTAAATCTTTTAAATAAAAGACCGAGTGTTTAATCTTTGTAAATATATAAAAAAAAAATATCTGGTTTAGAGACACCAATGATATAAGCCAAAAAAAAAAAAATCAAATACAAACATCTCGATAAAAAACGAGAATTATATCCTTTTCACGATATTTTTTTATCTCAATAAAAAGAAAGATAATTTTTATTTTTTATAGAGAAGATAATATTCTTTTTTATAATTCTTAGTTTATTAATGTGGAATCTACCAATTTTCTTATTAAACGTGTTATTAATTGGTAAATTGGTGGATCAATATTATCAAGTTAGCATGAATATGATAAATCCATTTAAATCCATAAATTTTTATTGGGTTAGCATCAATGTTGTATTTAATGTTGCTAACTCTACCTAATTTCCTAATAATATTTGAACCTTAAAGCCTAATTTATATTACTGTTTAGTGGAAATACAGCAATAAAAATATTTTAAAATTCAGTTATAAGTATTTCAAAATTATAACGGAATACTAGTGTCAAGGAGACGACGAAAGCTACGTGAAGTAAAAGAAGAAAAGGTAGTTGATTGCTACAAAGAACCTAACAGAAACGGTCATATTTCAGCCATATGCCATTCCGTCGAGATAGTAAAACAATGAAAAAAAAAAAAAAAAGAAGAAGAAAAACAAACCCTAACCAGTAATCTTTGCTTTAAAAGCACTCTGAGTTTGATCAGGTCAGTGCTTAATTGATTCCAAAGAAAATATGCAAGTGTCCAAATACCTAATAGATGTAGAGTATATACTTAGAATTCAGAACAAGCATCATGCACCTTAAATTCTGTACAAGCTTCGAGTATTCCGGCGAAACAATAAGAAAACAAAAGAGTTTATCAATCATATGAGATTCTCATACGATAATGATCTGCTAAACGCTGTACAGAATTATCAGCAAAGATGCCATCTACCATCTCATACTTATTGTAATTTGCCTTTAGTGTCTCCAACTGCTGCTTATGTAGCTTTTCTTCTCTCTTTAATTGTTGCTAAAGCGGGGAATCACAATTCAGAAAATCATAACTAGTCTGTAATATAGTAGAAAACTGGATTCAGCAGAACAATGTTATCATAAATCATAAACCTACCTGGAGCAAAAAAGAAGCTTCAGCAGCATGTTTCCTTGTAAGACGCTTCAGCTTCCTTGCCACCTCAAAATCAGGGTCACCTGGCTCCAACCAGCGGCAATGAATCTTTCTGCCAGGTCTCCTTGGACGATCATCAAACATCTCAATTTCAGCAGGCCGTGCTCTCACAGGCCTTGGCATTCCAGACACCATAAAAGGAAACTGAGCAATCTCTGAGACGACAGCTTTGGCATGCTTGGCCTCTTTCATCTCTACCAAAGCACAGCGAGAGATATTCTGAGGTTCCAAGTAATTTGGAACAAATGTTACCCTCAGCACAATCCCAAACTGATTTAGAGCTGATTTCAGGACAGCTTCAGTGACCTGTGGTGAGAGGTTGTCAATATAAACTGTTCGCTTCACCTTTTCTTCAAATGCAGCATATTCCTCTTGAGCTTTAGAACCCATGTGGTAGCGTACAAATCTAATAAAAGCTAAGAACTAGAGTTAGCAAAATAAGCAATTACAGGTTTCCAGTCCACAAACATAACTGATCATCTCTGGCTAATTGAACACTTCATATGCCACTATCAGATTCATAACCGATAAACCAAAAGACAGATGTCAAAAACGAGCAAAAATTAACATTTTCTTGTGATAAGTTTCAGGACTTTTGCAATGCAGATTGTAAATAACAAATTTTGTCACGAGTTTGTCTTATTCTTATCAATTGTTTTTCCCTTCAGTCTTTTTTGTCACACGCACAAAGATGTGCAATAAACACAGGAAAGGAATTTCTAAGCTATCGTATGGAATTCCCACATAAAAAAGCCAGATTCCTGGAGCCCATTATGGCTTTATCAAATGATTATGGGTTCCTATTTGTATACCCAACTACAGCACCTATATTCTCGTTAAACATCTATAGGTTATTAATGTTTACAACTTTTCATGGATTATTAGCTTAAAATCAATGGGTTCTCATACAATAGAAAATTGTCCACTAAAAACACAAACCAGCAACAACCACACCCTATTATATACAGCAAAGACGGAATGGGAGAGAGTATAGAGACTAGAAGAGAGACATAGAACAATAGAGTTACTGAGTTGTATACCTCGATTCCTGAAAGAAGACTTGCATTGGGTCATTTACTCCATGCATCGACAATGTACACCAGCGAAAAAAAAAAAAAAAAAAAGAAAATGTCCACTAAAAACACAAACCAGCAACACACACCTATTTATATACAGCAAAGAACGGATGGGAGAGAAGTTAGGAGACTAGAAGAGAGCATTAGACCAATAGAGTTCTGCAGTTGTATACTCGATTCCTGAAAGAAGACTTGCAATTGGGTCATTTACTCCCATGCATCGACAATGTTACCACCAGCGAAAAAAAAAAAAAAAAAAAAAAAACAGAACATAAATTTGCGTACAATAAGAGTCAACCAACAAAATGATTGAATAACTTAACCATAGGCTAAGAAGAATTGCAAGTAAATATCAATAATCCAATTCTATATGAAATAACAATACTCTATATAACAATCAACAAATTGAAATTACCCTAACCTGAAGATTGCAAGAATCTTGGAAAAAATGAAAAAGGCTTCGCCGGAGAAGATGATGGTAGTAGTGATCGTCAGCTACTTGGAGTGTTGTCGTGGAGGTCGTGGATGGTCGCCAACGATGAACGGTAGGGGGCTTGTCTGCGCTAGATAGACATGGTATTTGACAGAGTCAGGGTTAGAGAGACACAAGTTAGCTGAAAATGTTTTGCGAACAGTAGAGCTGCTTCTTTTATTAGATTGGCTTCACTAAGTACTTGGGCCGAAGTCCATTATTTGTTAAACAAAAGCTCACGTCTTATTTCCTAAAAATAATTTATTTTTAAAAAATATTTTTCAGATGACTTATTTATTTATAATGTTATAAATTAATTAAAAATATTAAAAGGTTTAACTTATAAAAACATAAATATATATATATAATTCTGAAGTAAATAATAGTTTTAAAATGCTGACATATTACTCTACGTTTTCAGCAATATATTTTTCCTTTTTTTTTATAAATTTTTGAGTTTTTCTATCTATTTTTTCTTTTCGTTTTTTAAAATTTTTAAAGTTTTTTCTTTTTTTTCTCTGTATAAATATTTTTTAAAAAAATTTAAATTATATTATATATTAACTATATGAAATCATTTAAATTATAAAATTTATCTTAATCTTTGTTTCTAACGATCTAATCATGTCTTTTATAATATATAATCTCTAACTAATCAATATTTAAGAGATTTTTTTTATAAACTACTCATTTTTATCTCTATAAAAGCTCATTTTGTCTCACTTCTCTTATGGTCACAAGAGCAACATTTCACGAGCGACGTGCAGGGCTGTAAGAGACAGCTTAGTCAAGCACCAAGCAGGTACCATTAGAAATTACAGTTTGGATTTGAAAGAGTTTTTAACTCTATAATTATATTAAACAGTGATTTTAATTTTGAATTGTTTTCGTATGAAATATTTATAACTATCTTAATTTTATGACATTGTGTTGTTAATTTATGGTGGTTTCATTTTAGTATTTTACACCGAAGGAAACACGTAAGAGGTGGATTGCTTGTGTATAATGCGAGAAATTGTATTAAAAGCATCAGGTCGTGTGGACAAAATTACTAACTAGTGATCATAGATGAAAAAGACTTAAAATTACTACCATGTTGAGCTGAAAGATTTTTACAAAGATAAGCTTGAGAAGGAGTGTTAAGCAAGCACGCTTAACCCTGGAGTTCTTCAAATTCTCCAGCCATTCCACCAAAAGGACCCTCTAATGATTAGTTTCCCCCTTTTCGGTATATGATTCGATTCATTCATGTGTTCCGCATTCCACTACCCTAGCTAGCCTGTCATCCTAGGATCGTTTTGCCGGGTCGGGATGTCACACTTTTAATTTAATACGTTTTGGTGGTCTAATGGGGTCGAAGATGTCACACTTTTTAATTTAATACGTTTTGGTGGTCTAATTTTTTGAAACGTTTTTATTTATATAAAATTAATTTAATATTAATTATTCAAATTTAAATTAAATGAATTAGTTTGAACTCTTATGTAAAGTCGTAACATACTCTTAATTAAATGTGTTAGTAAGAAGTAAATTCAAGACCTATAACTAATTAAGGGATATTTAATAATATCATTCAATATTCTAAGTTAAAAATTTTAGCTCTTATTACTAAATACAATAATTTTAAATTTCCATTGAACAAAATACTTGAATAAAATTTTAAATAATATTACAATTTCAAATATCCATCAAATTTTCTATGATCATTTTATAAAACGAGTTTAACTTGTATTTATATGCAAAGAGTTTATTTAATCTGGTTGAAATTAAATGCCTAACAATTTAAAATTTTAATTTTATTATCTACATTATTAGAAATCAATCACAAGCCATCAATAATTTTATTTAAAAAATTATTATTTATTTAAAAAAGTATATATCTATATCTTAATTTTTGAAATTTTTTTTACTTAATCATTTTATTTTATGATTGAATTAATCAAGATTTTTTATCTTTTCATAAAGTGAAATTTTTATTTTTTATGTGTGTGTGTGTGAATTTTAAAATTTTTCTTTTTTCTTATATATATATATATTAACTTATATTTTGTTCAAGTACCATTTTTTTGAAAAGTATATTATATAGTTATGAATAGATAATAAATTAGAATATATATATATATATATATTCTTCAAAGCACGAATGATGTAACATTTTATTTTTTTTTTAATTATTTATTTTTTTTTTTCCATTATTTTTTTTTAATATTTAATATAATATTAAATTTTATTATATTTAATAAATATTAAATTTTTTATTTTTAAGATAAATTTTAAAGTTTTTATTAAGCAATGGAGTTAGTTAATTAATATAGTTAAAAACAATTTTAATTCATTAACATTTATTGCATTACAATTCAATATTCTCATACATCACTTAATACTAAAAATTTAATAAATTAAGAAGCATTTCAATTGAATATAACTATGAATTTTTTTTTTGATTATTAATATATGAGAATTTCAAAAGGATAAAATAAATAATAATTTCAGTTAACTTATAATAATTTATTATAAATATTTCATTTTTTTTTTGAGAATTTCAAAAAATCATATAGTAATTTATTTTTCATCATTTAATCAAATTATTTAAATTGAATCAACACAAATATAAATCACTATAATTTTCTAAAAACATTATCCTATTCAAATCAATTAAAAAATATAAAACTATAATATATGCGTATTGTGCAGAATGCACCTACATGACTAGTAGATTTCTAATTTAAATTTTATAATTATTTTTTAGTATTTTCTGAGATTATAAATATACTTTATCGTAAATAAGGTTGAATTATTTAAAATAAAATAAGGTTTAATTTAGATAAACTAAATTACAAGAATTATAATTAAAGTAATTATTTATACTGAGCAACCCGTGTCCACCACTCAAGAATTTTATCAATGTCATTGTTTGAACAAAATCTTTTTATTCTCTGTCTGGGTAAACAGCAGCCTATTCGATGAAGTATTTTGCGCCTTGATACTTTTGAAACAGCACATATGACTTGTTGCATCCGTCAAGCACTACCTCCAAATCTATTCCAGGCTTAATTTTCTGGTCATTTTAAGGAATTAGTGACAAAATGGGTCATAATTCAAAGAAGAAGAAGAAGGGTGGTAGAAGTAAAGGAAGGACGCAATTGAAGGATCATACTTCTAGTTCTGGTGATTATAATGAGCTACTTGCAGAAGAGATCACCGCCTTGTAAGTGGTTCTGGTTCTGAGCATTTTGAGTGATTATGTTATTTCGATGTACCTCTATGTTTTGGGTCCCATTTTGAATTAGAATAGAAGCTCTATTGTTTGAGTAGAAGAGTGGGACTTCAAGTCAGTGATTATTGTATTGAACTGGGCACAGAAGTTGGACCCTTGATTTGCTTTCTGATGAGAGACGTAACTTGTTTGTCTGATAATTTCCCTGACTGTGAGTAATTTGTAAATTGGTTTAGAATAACACTGAAAGATCTTTAAGTTTGAAATAGTGTCGGATAGTTTGATGTTATTGATATTTTTACTTACAATACTATTTTTGAGGAAACATCCCAAATTCGGAGAATCAAATTCTAACTAGACTTTGGATGGGAAGAAAAGCTTTAAATTTTTAGATTTGGTCAAATTTTGGGATTGAGACATTTTGATGTGAGTTTTGAGCTTCAAGGTCACGGTTATGATATGACCCTGGAAAATCACAACTAAGTATCTGTATTTTAAGCGTTTTATTTACTTGATTGACAGTGTTATTGCACAAGGGGATGGTTGGCCATGTCCATTGCTGAGTTTGTGGGGAATTGGGAGATAGAAACAGTAGGGCATTTGATGTGATTGAAGCCTCCATCTGCTGTAATTGGTATAATAACAAAAGTGTTTGGTGAAATAGAATGTTGCTTCCAGGCAGCAACCCAGCATGTATAAAGTTTCCATTTGCTACTTGCCAGTTGATAAATATGGAAATATTTTGTGATATATTATGTTTATACAGTAATATACGTTGTAGAGCATGGTTAACATATATTTTTATGTAGCTGGCTAGTTTTTCTGCCGGATGCTCCAGTGTTTCTTCTTAGGGTTTCCATTTCAGTATCTTTCAATTCCAGATATGGAGAGAAAACATAGTCAGACGTTATGTCTCATGCTTAACCATGGTGTGCATGATATGAATATGATAAAGAGAATATGATCGTGGAAACCTGATTTTGGGTAACCTAACTTGGGTTCTCTACTACCCACACACACTTGAACACACTCAAATTGAGGCTTCTCAGGATGTGAACTTGACCTGGGATAATTTTATCTTGTAAATTTGTTTCTTATTTGTAAATTTTTCCCTATCTGCTCGTATGACTTTATGGCTTTAGAAGCTTGTGAGCTGATATCTATCTTTGCATTATCAGTTAAATAGAGGCTTTTGTTTTCATTATGGCATTTTGTATTCTATTATATTTTCATGCTTTTTTAGATGTGCAATATTTCAAGAGGACTGTAAGATTGTTTCAGAATCACCTCCTCAAATCATTATCAAGCTCAGGTTCCTGTTATCTTGATCTTATTTCAAACTTGAAAATAAGATTTGATCTCTCCTTAACTATATTCTGTTTTGTTGAGTTTGAGCAGGCCTTACTCAAAGGATATGGGCTATGAGGATCTAGATGTTTCAGCTCTGCTTTCAGTCAGGTTGGCATATCTGCAGTTTCCCTTGTTTCCAATTTAGGCTACTGGATATCCCTTGTCATGTATCTTTTCTATTTCTTGTCCATCAGGTGCTTACCAGGATATCCTTACAAGTGCCCGAAGTTGCAGATTACTCCAGAGAAGGGCTTGACAAAAAGTGATATGGATAATCTTATTTCCCTCCTTCATGACCAAGTACATTCTAGCAGTCCTTTCTGTTGCATCCATTTTTCCACAGCTGACAGTAGTTCAGAGTTCTTTCAATAGTCCTTGAACTAAAAGTCGAAATTCAAATTCAATATGCATCTGTTCCAGTTTTGTGTGCCCAGGCACCACCTAACACTTAATTTTACTTTTATTAATAAAGATAATTATGCTTTTACTTCCAAAATCACTTGGTTTGCTTTTGTTGTAAATTTCATTTTTAGGCAAATTCCAATGCCCGTGAAGGACGGGTCATGATTTTCAATCTGGTTGAGGCTGCTCAAGAGTTCTTGTCTGAAATAGTTCCTATCAGTCCAGCACCTGAATCTGTGAGTTCTACCATATAATTGCTTTTTACTTACAATTTTATAAATGTGCTCTTTTAATTCTTTATCAAGTCATTAATTTATTTTTATAATATATTTTATGAGCTATTCATTTCAGTTTCTTTTTCTTTTGGGAGGTTTTAGTTTGTTATTGTGTCTTGATTGCTAATTGATTTGGTATCTACTTCAGTTCTGTCATTTGACTTATTACTGTTCCTTGTTATTGATCATCTACTCTTTTATTCTCTTTTCTCATTTTTATGTGATTTTGACGGATTGTTTATCTAATATATGCAATTGACTTATACTATGTATAATTTTTAGATAAAATGGATGGGGAATATTTTCACGCTTCTATAATAAGTTTGTAACCCCATTCAATCTCTTACATTATGCCATTTCTTTGTGCAATCTCTTACAGATTACCTTTTCTTTGTGTGCAAGTACTTTTTCACATGATATTTAGCTTATTTTTTTCCCTAAGTGTCCTCTGCTTTCCTCAATTTGAACTCTTTGTACCTCTGATTCCTACTCTGCGAACGCTTACCATGAAACAAACCCTTTTTTTACATATTGCCATTTCTTTGTGCAAACTCTTACTTATTGCCTTTTCTTTGTGAGTAAGTCCTATAATCTATTTTTCATGATAATGGCTTATATTTTCCCCATGTGTCCTATGCTTTCCTCAATCTGAACTCTTTGTACCTCTGTCCTACTCTGCAACTCCTTAACATGAAACAATAGCATTATGTAGTACAGAAATATGCGAAATCAAAATTGAGAATGAATCATAATAGTCAATTTTGCTTGCATAAGTTGGTAAATAAAAACATTAATATTTTTTACATAAGTTCCATAAATTTCTAATGTATCCCTAGTTTTTCCTGGCTACATAACCAAAACACTTGATCTTGCTCATGGTAAAACTTCTTAATAGAATGGCATATAGCAGCTTGCCATTAATCTTATGGCTGCATATCCTTGTCAGTTGAAATATGCTATCTTTCTTATCTACTAATAAAAAAGTATAGGTGTCGGGCTAAGGTATTTTACTGCAGTTCCTATAGCAATCATGTTTTCTCCCTGTGTTTTTGGTCAGTGGTGTTTTAATTTATTTATTTCATCTGGTAGATTTTGTGCTCAACTCTGGATAGCAGCGGCCAATTGTCTCAGGACACTGCAGTTACAAGTAACAAGAATTGCTCTTCCAGTGAACCATATGTTTATGGTTTCATAGACCTTTTCAGTGGCTCTGGGGAATCATGGCACTGGGGTCTTGCAGTGGATGACAACAGGGGAGGAAATACTTCAGTAAAATCCCATCCGTTAGATGGTTCAAAAGTTGGATATGGGGTACAGAAAAAGAAACTTGACAAAGTCACAAAGCCATTGACAGTGCAAGAAACAAAGCCAAGTCCAGTGCTTCACCCTGTTGAAGAAGATAGTGAAGATGACAGTAAGAGCATTGCGACTGACTTTAGCACATCTCTGACAGAGGAATCAGAAAAATCTCTGATGGAGGAATCAGAAGAGAATGAAATGGAAGGCAAGGAGGTGGGTAATACTTGGTACAATTTGTTTTTCCTTTGATGCATGTTTAAATTTGTAAAACTAGTTGCAGCTATGATCCTCATTATTTCCATATAAAGTTAATCCTGCTATTGTCATGGTGCTTTTTGGCTTGCTACCAATCTCGTGACAAACAATCTGTAATAACTTACAGAATGAAGAAAAGAGTGATAGGCTGGCTACTTGGAGCAAAAAGAAAGGAGAAATTAAGGAAACACTTGGCATGAAGGTTGTCAAACTCAAACAATAGTACGCATCCATATAAATTGTTGGAACTTGTTATCATCCTAATGAATTAAGATTTCATATTAAGAAACTAGCTAACAAACAAAAGATGAGCTTAATCCAATAAAAAATGATTCTAGATTCAACTTAAATTATCAATATATCCCAAAATTATACATGAACTTTGGAAATTGAAGACGTGCTTCTGTACAAAATAAATGACATCTTTTAGTTTCTTCCTTCCATAAACTCTTAAGTAGGCATTATTGCTTGATTTTTGTGCTGCAGTATGAGGAAAAACAAATATTTTGATCAAGCTCCATGTTTCACAGAAGAAGCAGTGGACCAATTATTGAATTACAAAATGCAGTGTTAATCTTTCTTTGCTAAAATTCTGTACCAAATACGATACTTATGCTTGTTTGAAGATGGCGACCTTTGTTCCTTGCTGTTTTTTTGTGTTTTGAAGTAATATTAAAGTTTTAAGATAATCAGACCAAGATTAAATGGAGACTTGCTTTATCTGAGATAGGCTAGTTAATAGTTCTATTTCCCTTTTTAGCGTGGTCCAAATGCTGTCCAGGAAAGTTTAAGACTTAAGAGCCATGCCTTTAACATTACAAGACTGCGAATGAAAAAAAATCATGAAAGAGACCGTGCTTGATAGATGACGATGGAAGTAGTTCCAATCAAAAATAAATTAGAAACTAAATAAGACTGAGAAGAAAGTACTGGTTATTTTCTCAATTGCTGGGATATATACTAAGTTCTGCATCAATTAGTCCTGACTTCTTATTGGTCATTAATGGGTCAAAATCAGAAAGACTTATGCAGTTGACAATTGTCGGTCAAACGAAAGTGCTGGGGACAATCTTAAAAATCCTAAGCTTCAAAACACGAAGCTTTTGATGTTTTGAAGCTATTGATAATGTGAGTATGAAGAGCAATGAGGCTTTTATAAATTCGATATAAATTAGTGACTTGTGTTATTTCAGTAAGTCTAAAAGAATCACATTTGTTGTGATCAAATTAAATGCATAGTAAAGGAGGCTTTATTTAATGATGAGAGCTAACTTAAAATTTTGAAGGAATGTTTGCCATCTTTGTTTGTCTGCATCATTCAGAGTCATGTTGAATTTGCAATGATCAAATTCCTCTTCCTTGCAATTTTTGTTAATGCAATGATACTGCATGCTTTGACAGGATATTTTTACTGAGGAGCATGGAGCAGAAGATGATGTAAATTTTGTAAGCAAGTCTTGGGAGTTGCTTTCTTCAGCATCCTTAGGTCATGATCAAGCTACGCAAACCATTGAAAAAGATCTGATAATGGTATTCTTCATATTTTCTCTAATTGTTTCTTACTTTTAGAACTTAGACCAATTTATGAACTAGTTACTGCTTCTTCAGGTTCATATGCTTCGCCTTGCTTGTGCTTCAAAGGGAGAATTGGCCGATGCTTTACCCCAAATAACAACAGAGCTGTCCAGATTAGGCGTATGTGGTGCTTCTTTTGGAGATAAAGAAATTAAATCTTCCATTTTTTCCCTAAAATTTCAACTTACAATGCTTTTCTAATTACAGATTTATTTGGTTCAGGTATTGTCAGATTGGGCACTAGATTTAGCTTCTAAACCGTCTTCTATCTTTAGCAAGACCTTTGATCATGTTTTCCATCAACATGTGGTTTGTCTTATGTTCTCTTTATCCATTTCTTTGGTTGCAAAAATCTCACTTATGATTCACTTCACATTGCTGTCTGTTGTATTAATTCTCTAGGTTTCCTCCAAAGTATCTCAATTCTGGAAACCTACTTCTGATATAGGGTCGCCTAATGCATCTCTCCCAAACTCTCGATATCTGAATGACTTTGAAGAGCTACAACCACTCGGTATTATGTTGCTTACCTTCTATTATGCATCCAGAAGTATTCATATGTCTATTTGCTGTTGTTAGTTCACTGTCTCTATGCATTCACATATATATGCATGTGTAATGGTATGCATTATCATACATATAGGTAGTTACTATAACGTTGCTAACTTTTGATGGAGGCTACTACTTGCCTGAAAATGTAAATAATCTTTGTGCTGAATGATTCCCTATTAAATTGAATGTTCGGGTCAAATGATAGAATCTTCAGTAACTCTTTTAATATTGCATTTGTTTTGGTGAGACTGTGGTCTAAGTTTTTTTTAACGGCTGTGTGCTTCATTTCCTTGGAATGATAAGCTCTTCTTGGTGTTTATGCTATACTTAGTGTTACCTTCCCAAATTGTAACAGGTCATGGTGGTTTTGGTCATGTTGTATTGTGCAAAAATAAGCTGGATGGAAGACAGTATGCGGTAAAGAAAATTCGCCTCAAGGACAAAAGCTTGCCGGTTAATGACCGAATTTTGAGGTAAACCTATTCTATAGTATGGGAAATGCAGTGGAAGTTGTAACCTCAAATAATGCTACCTAAGCTTGAATCACCACTTGGTTTTATATGCTGATCTTGTATGATTTGAATTTGCAGTGCATTTTTTCTTTTTCTCTTTTCTGTTTGATGTTATGTAAGATTTATTTATGTGTTAACCATGGCGAGGTGCTTAGAGAAGTAGCTACACTTTCACGTTTGCAGCATCAGCATGTTGTGCGCTACTATCAGGTATGAGTTTTCTCTTCTGGATACACTGTTGATTGTTAGCTAGCCAAGAATCATAAATGTTTTTCCCTTTGTAAGAGCAGTATGTTAAGTTATCGGTACATATAGAATATGAAGGAGATGCATGGATGCTTATAGAATGATAACAATGCGTCATTCTGCAAAATGTTGTCTTTGATTTATAAGTAATATCAAACTTGGTGTGCTTCTAGCATTTTCTTTATTAAAAAGAGGCAATTTTCAACTGAAATTCCTTAGTTTTTTTTCCTGCTTGGACATAGAAACAAAAGCTGTGTGTTCTTTCTTAGGATAATGAAAGCTCTCTGTTGATCTTGGATTGGTAATAGAATATTTTTGGGGCCACTTTGATGGTTGTGATATTCGTAAAAATTTCCAGGCATGGTTTGAAACAGGCATTGCTGGTTCTTTTGGAGATGCCACTTGGGGTTCTAGTACTGCCGCGAGCTCCACGTTCAGCCATCGAGGTGCAAGTTCAGCTGATGTTGGGCAAGACAATAAGCTTGAATCAACATATCTTTATATTCAAATGGAGTATTGTCCAAGGTAAAAAATATTTACTTCCCTTTTATCCTTTTATCCCAAATTAAAAGTTCTTTGCTAAATCATCTCTTTTCCTTTTGTAGTAGATGATTTTCTATGGAGAAGATAGAAACTTGACCTGTGACAAGTACAACCTTTGTTCTTTTTAAACTTAATTATTTGGAAAATTGATACAAATTTCCTACTTAATGGCATGATATTTTTTAATTTATCAATTAAAAGAAAATTGGAGATAGGTCTCTTATTTGTTTTAGCAAGAATAGCAGAAAGGACATGTCCTGTTTTTGTTTCTTTTCTTGTCTATGTAACATTACTTTCTTCCAGTCTTGACATTTCCTACTTAAGCATTTTGAACTGTTAAAAAAAATTAATTGTTCTCTCTCTCTCTCATTTTAAAAAATATTTCTTTATTTCCAGAATTGCTAGGGAATTCTACTGTCTTATTACTCCTTCATTTCAAGTCTTCAAATCAGCATTGATTTTTTGCATTTTCGTTTTCAATTTGTTATTGAAGATGTCTTGCTAACCTCACTTTATTTTTTTTCCTTTTTCATTGCTCCAAGGACTCTTCGCCAAGATTTTGAATCATATAATCACTTTGACAAAGAGCGAGCATGGCATCTGTTTCGACAAATTGTTGAAGGCTTGGCACACATACATGGACATGGAATCATCCATCGGGACTTAACACCTAACAATATCTTTTTTGATGCGCGCAGTGATATTAAAATTGGTGATTTTGGGCTTGGTAAGATCATATTATTTTAATTTAGAATAAAGTTCTCCCCTCTTACATGTGTATATGAAAGATGTGTTCTTTATTTAGCTTTATCAGTTGCAAATGCGAGTCTTTTTCTTGATCAATATGATGTCTCACAGAATGATAATGAGATAAATAAAAGAAAATTGGATTAAACTAATCTCATTGGTACATACAATACATATGCTGTAAAATGAATTTGTTAACCCGGATTTCAAAAAAGATTGAAATGCCCTAATCAGATGGATTGCTTGCTATACAAGATTGAATGAAATGTCGTTGTGATTTTGAAATTATAGTACTTTTTCTCTGCAATGTAGATTTTATCTGATATGTTCTCTGTTAATGAATGTTACACAACATCCAAAAAAAGGAAGCAAAGAAGATGACAAGGAGGGAGAGAGAGAGAGGGTGCAGGGTTGGTAACTGAGAGTCTGACTCTGTTTTTTTTCTTCTTCTCTCTCACTTTTTTTTTAACTCCCTTCTCTAACCTTGAAGTGGTTTTCTTTTCTTTTAGATTCTAATGACTGTTGGACTTTCTTTAATGTTTTATTTCATTTGTTTTTACTAGCTCATTTGTTAAAAGGGGCTGTGATCCAAGCATGGGTCTACTAAATAATTTAAAAATAAACTTCTTAAATTGTTGTTTAAAAATCATATTGCAATACTAAAAAAATAGCTATCTCAAGATAATCCCTTAGAATGTAAAAAATGACTGTAATTCTTCACAATAAATGGTTATTTCTGGTATTGAAAATATTGATATATTCTGTAGTTAGTTAAATTGTTGTTCAGCTATGAATTTGAGTCACTTTTCTTACTTAACAAAAAAAAAAAAAAAAATTTATTGAAATATTTTTTATAATTTATTCAAAAATTTAAATAAGAAATAAATATGGTTTGGAGAAAGAGTCATATGAGGCAGCTCTTTATAATTTTGTGTTTCATGCTAAAATAGAATTAGCAGAAAGGACAAAGTCTTCTAGTTTTTTCTTGTTTCTTTTATATTATATCTTATGATTCCTACGGGTATGTAAACAATAATAATTTAACCTTACCTTTCTTCCAGTCTTGACATTTCATACTTGTCAGAGTTCTATTTTTTTGTATATCCTTGTTTAAAAAATATATTTCATATTTTATGTTTACTGGCCACATTTTTTTTTTTCTCAATCTCTTTTTTTATACATTCATCATACTCTCCTTAAAAAACAAATTATCTCTCTTTTTATTTATCACAGTAATAATTGCTTAAGGGGAAAGAAATAGGGTAGCGGGTAATAACCTGGGTTCAATATATCTTAATAACTTTACATTTATCTTTATTTTCCTTACTACTTATAACAGATTTTTATTTCACAAGAGATCTGGGATTTCAAATAAGCGGAGGGTTTACAATTGATTATTTTAGCAATTTAATTGTGCGTTATGTTCAAATGATTTGTTGTTATAATATGTATGAGTTAAATGATGTCGAAATGTCTTTAAACCATCATGCGATTTATAGGTTAGTATATTTTTTTTAATTTTTTTATCACATTTCAATCTATTTCCTATTGTAGAGAAAATATAAACACCAATGGGGACTCGTTCGCCAAGATTTTGAATCACCTAATATAAATAATCCAGCAAATTTGACAGGAAAGACCGGCCCGATGTAGGCAGATTGTGGGGGATTTTGAGTTTTTTTCAGTGTCAAATTACAATGCTTTCCACTTATCACGAGTAAAACATCAAAATTTAGTTGAAATTGTATCTGGAACATGGGAGAGACACAACTATTAGGGCGAAGTGGACGACAGAGCAAACTCCTAATTCTCTATTCGGCCAATTTGAGGAACCTCCTCATAGAACTAACACATATAGCGAAGGTGATCAGTGATTTTATAATGATGGTTCGTTCGGCGTACCGCTCTATGATATTAAAGACACACATATTGGTAGTCTTTGATGGTGTCTGTGTGGGTACATTTGGTAATGACTTCTATATTTAGGTTTGTGCTACATATACAAATATTGCCTATGGAAATAAAAAGCTTGGACATACTTCCAACTTCCACACTTCATACATCGATATGTTATTTATGAATGGCAAGGATTGCATGTCACTTTTAATCATTTAAGCTTTAATGCAGTCTCCAATGTTCCACTATAACGCCCGATGTGATCTTGTGATTAATTTCATATATGATTATCATATATTCATTGTATTTGTCTCTACTATGTAATTTCGAATCAATAATAAATGTAAGCAATAAATAAAAAGAGAGCATAATACTTAATTTGATTATTTTAAACTTACTATCTTCTTCATTTGTGTTTTATCTAGTGTTTTTTTAATATATATATTTACACTTTATAATTGGCGTCTTAATTTTGGGTTAATGTATAAATAAAGAAAACATCCCCTCGTTAATAAATTAATTATTTTTTTATTCTCAAGTTATGGGGTGTCCGCAAACCAATTTGCTAAACGATTATTTATATTTTCCTGGTTGAATCTTGATTTTCCCTTCTGGATATAGATCACTATATAAAAAGAACGAATTTTGAATTAAAATGATGGACCATCACTTTGTAATTAACTCAGATGGCACAAAGTTAGAACTATACTAAAATAAAAAAAAAAGGCATAGAATGTTGTATAATTTGGGTAAAATATGTCGTTGTTGATTTTTGATAATTTTAAATTTAATTTTATATGTACTTTTTTTTCTCTAGTGCACAAACTTTGTTTTTTATGATCAATTTTTATCTGATAAAAATAACCAATATATCTTTAAAACTGATTAAATAACATTTTGAATGTCTTTTTATACATCTATCATAATTTCTTATTCTTGTCAAAATGAATATACGGAAGCAAAGAATGCACTTGCATACAATATGTGTTAGGGATTGAGATGTTAGTAGAGGTGTTGTTCATTGGGGGAAATTGGAAAATGTGGAATAACTTGCTAGAGTCTGACCTTCCTCTTCTGAATTTTTATTATATCTATGCTTAATATACTCTCACTAAACAAATATTTATATATTTATTTTATTCATCTCTGCGGCATTACTCTAACTATTATCCTTTAGTTAATGTGTGTTTGCTTAAGCTATATTCTTTTGTATAAGATACCTTATGCTTAATTCTTGTACAATTAATTGATATTGTTTCTTAAAGTGGAAGTCTTAGTCTTTAATTGTTTCTCTTATTTAATCTATTTCTTCTGTTTTTTATATAACACACATGGAAGTTCTCATATTTGTATTTAAACTCAGGTCCGCGCTGATTGATCCACATTGGGCACTTGGAAGAGCTATTAACGGGTCCTACTAAATAATTTTAAAAATAAACTTCTCTTTATATAAATGTTGTATGTATGTTATAAAAAAAATCAAATATTAATTAAGCAATGAATACTAATTATTAGAGGAGGAAATAAACACGAATAATTTATGCGACCAATAAAATAAAAATTTCTTTACAGCACCTTATTATGTTTTCCCTGATTCAGAATGTTATTAGAGGAGAAGATTTTGCAGAACTTGTGAATAATTTCTAGATATTTGACTTTAACTACAAACATACAGTCGAAAATGGTTGTTGAATTTAACACTGTAAGATTAAAAGGAGATGAAAAAAGAATAATGAGGTAAAATAATTCAAGTAGTATTATTGGTATAAAAGTGATTAAGCTAATTGCTATGCACATTATGAAAGTTAGTTGAAATAAACTAAGCCATTTTATTCATCAAAATATACCTAGTTGACGTGTAATCTTAATATGAATTTTTTTGAGTTTTTTTTTTTTTTTTGAAAATGGTAACTCCTCTAATTACATAACTAGTAATTATAATAAAAATATAATATATTCATTGCAACTATTATTTTTTGCTAGAATTGAAATTGCTTAATTCTTGTACAATTATTTTCTTAATGATAGTTTTCTTAATTCTTCTTTACTAAAAAGGATTTATCTCTCATCCAATTGGGGATTGGAGGATACTCTTATTATGTAGTAACAAAAAATATATATATATTTTGGGGAAAAAAAAGATTTAGACATAAATAAAATTTTTCCCTTCTGTTGCTTTTGGGATTCGATGTGGATAATCTAGATATTGATAATTAACTACAGCGAATGTGATTAAAAAAGAAAAGGAAAGAAAAGGAAAAAGTTGAAAGACATGTCACATATGAAAGTTGAATAACTAAGCATTTTTATTCATCAAAATATACCTAGTTGGACGTGTAATTATCTTAAACATCATTATGTAGAATTCCGAAGTCATTCTATATTTTTCATCAATTAACTTTTTGAAAAAAAGGTTAAGTTTATATATTTCTTCTCCTTTTAAGAGCTTAATATACAATTACATCCTGAATTTAATTTACATTTTGTTGCACTTGCATCCTAATTTTAACTTTGTGATAATCACATTCCAAAATAAAAGGGTGAGTGGCAAAAACTCAGATGCTTTAACAAAGAGATCGGATGTTTGATCTTTGTGGATAGTGAAAATCTGTTCGAAACACATTTTCTTTATAGGGCTGAAGTAGAGCGAACATGAATAGTATTAGCTGAATGATGGGTGAACACCTGTGGTATAAACTAAACAAAAAGCATATATATATATAATGCTCTCCATCATTTATATCTAAGTAAGGAGGGAGTTTTTGGAAGTCCTTTTCTCTGAGAAAGTTGCGGAAATGCGGTGTGAGATGGAATCTGTTTTACACTTCTCCGTGTTTGGTGGTAAGGAAACTGCATCTGCTCTGTTATCTGCATTTTCAAACAACCATAAATATATATTTGTCTTATCTTCTCTGTCGTTTCCATTTGTGCAACTGAAAATAATTATCAACATATAACATGCGTAAGAAAAAAAAAAGCCACAGCCTTTCTACATGTACATATAAGCTTTGGGTAGTTGATTGTATCTAGTTAATTAGGAATGTATTGAATTTAATTAAGTTTATATTAAATTCTAACTATTATAGTATACTTTATTAAATTACAATATAATAAACTCATGTGATGTAAAATGGAATGATAAAGATTTCTTCTTTCTAATCAAGAGTTCTCGAGTTTAAGTTATGAATATGAAATTTCTTTAAACATTAAGGTTTTGGTTTTGCGAAAAAAAAAAAAATTATGTTACATTAAACTTAGTGAGTGAAACATGAAAAAGCTGATTATGATAATAATGCTGGATATTGTAATAACGATATATAATTTAATAGATATAAAAACCTTAAAAAAAAAGATCGGAACTTTGAGATAGTGCTGGTGAGATTTTTTAAATAAATCAAGAGGTTTCTAGCATGAAAAAAAAAAAGAAATAAAAAACGTAAATGCGTTTGATTATTTAGTTCAAATTTTAAATATCCTGCCTTTCAAAAAAAAAAAAAAAAAAAAGCCAAAAAGCCTGATTAGTTAATGTAATGAATAATAGTCTGAAGGATAAATGTTGGTAATATAATCTGATATTTTAAAGATATAATATTATAATAGGCATTCACTATTAATATCTTTCAGAGTAAAAAATTAAGATGTCTCTCTTGGGAACTTATGTGAGGCGGAGTATGGGTGCTGGTCGTAACGATTTTTCTATCAATACTATGACATCAGAGTGTCTCTTCCCTAGGCAAACTCGCAACCAACACAACCACAAAGACCCAAATAAACAGTAATAAAAAAAAAAAAAAAAAAAATTTAGAGGTGTTGCTAACATGATATTCTTATACTGTTTGGCTGATATGGTATGATTTTTGTGATGTTGTAAGGCAAAAAACCAACATTTTAGAGACAGCTTATACAAACAATAGATATAAACACCAAAGCAAAGCGAAAAGGAAAAACAACACAATAATGTGGTTCAGTCTCTCAATAGACCTATGTCCATGACCCCCTTTTGGGATAATTCATTATTATCTCAATTAAATTAGTTAAAATTTTTGGATAGATAAAATTATAAATCCTCTCACAAATGTAATCTTTTTGGATGGAATAAAAACGCTGTCATTCAAATAGCTCAAATAACCTAATTTACACCCTCTCTTTAGTAAATCAATGGTAACGGGTTCTTCCTTGTCTAGTTAATTGTTGGCAACTTTGTATTACAAGACCAGATGAGGAAATGTTACTGCATTTCATGCATATTGCTGGATTGAATCTATATTATGGAAGCCCATCAATTATGACTTGAAACTCTGATAATTTATTTTTCTTGTTTCAGCCAAGTTCTTGAAGTTGGAGCAGCTGGATCATGATACAACCTTACCTACAGATACAAATTGTGTTTCAATTGATGGAACTGGTCAAGTTGGAACCTACTTTTATACTGCACCCGAAATTGAGCAAGGTTGGCCAAAGATTGATGAAAAGGTGATTTTTTAGATAATACTTTCTTTTCTTCAGTAAATATGCCTTGGGCTTAGCGTTGGGCTCCAGCCCTGCAGTCATATTATCCGATTCACCTTTTCTGAGAATACATGTCACCATTGTTTTCAGGCTGACATGTACAGCTTAGGGATTGTGTTTTTCGAGCTTTGGCACCCTTTTGGGACAGCCATGGAGAGACATATTATTCTGTCTGATTTGAAACAGAAAGGACAGCTTCCTCCCTCATGGGTTACTCAATTTCCAGAGCAAGCATCCTTGTTGCAACGCTTGATGTCTCCAAGTCCATCTGATCGTCCATCTGCTACAGATCTTCTAAAGCATGCATTTCCTCCAAGAATGGAGTCTGAGTTGTTAGACAGTGAGTAATTAAGATCTATTTGTTGTATTTAGTATTCTTATACTTAATTTGTATGTGCTCCTTCAAGTTAGATTACCTGCACAGTATTTTCAGTTTTGCTTTAACTAGGCTACTGAGTCTCATCAAATGGATGAATGGAAAGGGTTTCTTTCCCTTCCCTTCTTTTGTTTCTTTCTGTCACCTGAGTATTTCTTTCTTGTCTTTTCTTCATGTTAAGAATCCCATACTGATTAAATATCACATCCACAAAAGACATATAAGAGTGGCAAGCTAGCTAGCTAGCTAATTGGTTAGCATTAACCTTTTAGCATTGCTTGGCCCATACCCAAATAAGCCCCCATCGCACATTTTCACCTCATGGATTCTAACCTCTTCCCTTTCAATTTCTAATACTTTCATTCTTCTACCTTCTATTTTTTCTCCAACAACCCATCTTGCTCATTGGTTTTGAGCAACTATTTTAAATGAGCGCAACTATTTTAAATGAGCAGAAAGCAACTGAGTTTTTCTCCTCTCTCAATTTAACCACAACACCATTGTTCAAGTCACTTCACTTCCTCTATTTCTTTTTCTCCCCTCCTGTTTGTCTTTCCTCTTGATATATTCTTATTTGAACAACAAAGTTTGCATATTGACATAGGTAGAAAGCAAATTCTTCAACGAGTCTTGAACCAATGACACATTACACCCGAGTTGACTACAATGCTGAATTGAATATCGTTGTATAAGTAGTAGGGGAATTGATTATAATGTTTTTTTTTTTTTTCCAAAATTCCTATGTGAATCCAAAGACCAACGACCATGGTTATTGTTGATATATTCTGTTTTACTGTGTTTTGGCTTATAGTATTGATAGATCTAGACATTTAGAGGACCCAGTTTTAGATCTATACAAACAAATCTTACCGTTGGCTAATCATTTTAGTTTCTAATAAGGTTTTTGGAAAAACAGCTTTTGTTAGTGATCTTTTTGACTTTGTATGAGAAATTATGAATACTGAGATGGACATGTACCTCATGTTACTTTATCTTACTTGCAACTAAATTAGTTTCATATTGTTACACATGCAGCTAATGATTTCCATGCTGTCAATTTCCTATATTTTGATATTTTTGCCTAAGGGTTTCTTGTCTCCTATTTGCAGACATTCTAAGAACAATGCAAACTTCCGAAGATAGAAGTGTGTATGATAAAGTTGTGAATTCTATCTTTGATGAAGAGACGTTAAGCTTGAAAAGCCAGCACCAGAATGCTAGCCAATTGAGGATAGGTGCAGATGATACTTCTTCCATTCAATATGCAGATTTAGACACTGAGCTCCGTGATTATGTTATTGAGGCCACAAGGGAATTGTTCAAACAACATTGTGCAAAGCATTTGGAAATAATACCCATGCGCTTATTGGATGATTGTCCACAGTTTTCTAGGTTGGTCTGTTAACAAAATTTCTTTTGTTAAATTTATTGGCTTGTGCCAAGCTGTCTAAGAAGTTTTGTTTTGCATGAGAAGAAACACGGTCAAACTTTTGACTCATGGAGGAGATTTGCTTGAACTTTGTCATGAGTTGCGGCTGCCTTTTATTAGCTGGGTTATTGCAAACCAGGTATTGGATATAGAACCATCTTTCTATTGTTATCAACTAATCTCTTCACTCTCCTATAAGTGAGATCACTATGGACCTACATGATTTTCATGCTTAAGATGGTTGGAAAGGTTCCATTTCATGGAAAGATTTAATTTCAATTCTCTTTAAGAGTGATCTTCTCATAATTGTCAATGATGATATGATGGATCTTATTAGCGGTAACCTTGGATAAGGACTCCAAAACATGCATACAATGGACACCAATGTCTCTAAAAAAATCTTTGACACAATTTTAATATGAAGTTATTTTCAATGGCTTTTCATGTGCAGCATGTAAAATTTTATTTGCAAGATCAAGTCCTTGACTTTTAAATGGTTTGGCATCTTAACCTGCCTGCTTCTTTATCATCACTATTTTTGTTCTCTATATTTTTTTCTTGATCAGCAAAATTAATAATTTTATTAGAAATCAAGGAAAAACTTATCAAACTCCAGCACTAATCCCAAGTCAATAGACTCTCCCAATACACCCAGCATAGCTAGAGAATGATAAGTGAAAAAACGTGATAACAGAGCCATTCTTATTTTTTATTCCTTGTTCTCTATATTAATTGCAGTCTTCATAAAGTTGATCCGAGTAACAGAGCCATTCTTATTTTTTATTCCTTGTTCTCTATATTAATTGCAGTCTTCATAAAGTTGATCCGAGTAACAGAGCCATTCTTATTTTTTATTCCTTTAAAGTTGATCCGAGTAACAGAGCCATTCTTATTTTTTATTCCTTGTTCTCTATATTAATTGCAGTCTTCATAAAGTTGATCCGAGTAACAGAGCCATTCTTATTTTTTATTCCTTGTTCTCTATATTAATTGCAGTCTTCATAAAGTTGATCCGAGTAACAGAGCCATTCTTATTTTTTATTCCTTGTAGAAATCTTCATTCAAACGGTACGAAATATCATCTGTTTATAGGAGATCGATCGGTCGTTCACCACCAAATCAGTATCTACAGGTAAAGATTACATAAACTGATCTAGTGATCCATTCATCTAATTCTTAATTGGAAAATATAGCATTCATAACAAAATTATTTTGGTTAACGGAAATCTTGATTTTGATGATCGATGCCTTTATCTTTGCAATAGGGTGACTTTGACATTATCGGAGGTGCATCAGCACTGATGGAAGCGGAGGTTATCAAGGTCTTGTTGTGATCTCTCCATTACATCTCTTTATTTTCTATGAACTAAGACGTTTTAGTAAATATTCAACTTGTTTTTAGGGATGTGACAACAAAATTTTATTAATATAGCAGCCAGGAGAGCATATGTAGATCTTGAAGGAAACATTTATAGCCTAAACTTGTAAACTAAAATTCCATTACAAGAAATTTACTTAAGAAAATAGTTTGGAGCATAAAAAATAGTCTGCAAAGTTAATCGTGATAGCAATGCGAAATTGTGAATGATAGATGAAACAAAAGAGACATTGAAGACACTCAAAAACTTGCTTTTATAGTTTTCACTTAGCAAATGTGGTTGGACTTCTTCTGGGATGCACAAATGTGTCAAACATAAGAGATTTCAAGACCAAAATTCAAAATTAGACTACAAAAGTGATTAGATTTTTACTACGAGAGAGAAAGACAGAGAGAGGGAGGGGGAGAGATTGTGTTTTGCTTTTCTCATTGTTGGCAACATGTTCTGTGGTTTTCCTGCTCTACATTTATATACTTTTCAATTCTTGTAAATTTCCTGATGATGATGCTCTAAAATATAACCAGATTTCTGGAATATATTTTCTCATGATTATAAAATATCTGGAGTACATAAGGTGCTTAATGTGTTTAGTATGTCATCCATTGAAGTGAGCTGAGAGAGAAACCCTTCCTTTGTTCAATCAGTTGACTTTGCTGTGCAAAGAGCAATGGGAAGTTGGGTAATACCATATTTTTTAAGAAAGTGAAAGTGTGATAGCAAGCTACCACGAGGCTTGAGTGTATGTCTGGTTAATCCTTCTATAACTATCGTCTGCCTTTAGTGAAACTGTTGGAATGCATTATTACGGAAGTAATATTTTTATGCATCATTTTTCAGGTTATGATGGACATAGTAACTCGCTTCTTTGTCTCGGACTATTGTGATATTCATCTAAATCATGGGGACCTATTGGATGCTATTTGGTCGTGGGTAGGAATCAAGCCAGAGCATAGGCGGAAAGTAGCAGAGGTATGCTGTTAGAATATTTATGAGATGCATTATTAGCATATAAAGTATGAACTCACATATGTTCTTTTTCTCAATGAAGCTTCTTTCTTTGATGGGTTCCTTGCGTCCTCAATCCTCTGAGCGGAAGTTGAAATGGGGAGTAATAAGGCGTCAGCTTTTGCAGGTTTTAGCAATATTGTACAACAACTTACAACTTTACAGTTGTCTGTAACAGTTATTAAATTTGGCATGAAAATTCATCTTTATGGTCTTTGTGGGTGTTTCATGAAAATTGAATTACCACTTATTATTATTTTTTTCTATCTGTTCTCCACACAATAAAGTTAATCCAGAATAGTCTTGTTCATTTAAGACAAGTTTCATTTCATATGTCATTATGCTCCATTATGTGGTTCCTAGGTTCATTTCAGGCCCAGGCTCAATACCCATACACTTGTGCTTTATACCATCTTGTGCATTGATATGAACTTTGGGAGAACCTTACCCCAAAAGCTAGCTCATGAAATTGGGGAGCTCAAAGCCTATATAAATCACACATTGAAATCCCATATTTTCAATTTGGGATTTAAGTCCCATACCTTATCTTGCAACTAGGATCATAACATGCATACTTTCATTTGTCGGCTAGTGTGCCATTTTTTTCTCTTGCTAGTTTCTAATATTTTCATGGACTTTTTATTATGCTACAATTTTTTTTTGTTGTTTGTCTTGTATGGATGTGCATGATCTACTTTTTTTTGCCCTTTAGTATGCAGAGCATTATGTACCTAGTACTATCCTGTAATTTATAGACGTAGGCTACTCTCGTTCTGTGATTAGTGAAGTTTGATTATGATCCAATTCACTGTATTTTATTGTTTCAAATCTTGCTTTGCTTGTGACATATACATTACAGTCATGCATATAGCTTTCATATCCTGTTTCTTGCCTTAAAAGGTTGATTTTGCATAAAGTTGTTTCATGGATGAAATAGCTATTGTTTATAACTTTATATTCCATATTATGGCATTCATATGGATTTATCTGTTTTCTCAAATTTTCTTTTTCAGGAACTAAATTTAGCTGAAGCTGTTGTGAATAAGTTGCAGACTGTTGGTTTGAGGTTCTGTGGAGCTGCAGACCAGGCCCTTCCTCGATTAAGGGGAGCCCTTCCAGCTGGTACAGATTTCATTGCTTATCCTTTTAATGAGTGTATTTTTTTCCCCTTATACTTTGTTTTGGCATGATTGCAGATAAACCTACCCGCAAGGCCCTTGATGAATTGTCAGACCTCTTTATCTATTTGAAAGTTTGGAAGATAGAAAACCATGTTTATATAAATCCGCTAATGCCATCGACTGAGAACTATCATAGAGATTTATTTTTTCAGGTAATCGCAATATATTATATCTATGTGCCACAAATTATTTCCAACCCAAATGTTTATCTATATTAGTAAAATTTCTTTTCTAAATTGTAAATGCTGGATAGCGTACCTTAATTTCTTCTCATGTACCATTTATTCTATACCTGATAAATATATTCATAAAGTATTCTTGCTGATTTTTCTTTAACCACTCTGTTATTGTCTTGCCAGATATATTTAATGAAGGATAACAGTCCCGGATCACTCGGTGAAGGCGTATTGCTTGCTTTAGGTGGTCGCTATGACTATTTACTTCGTCAAATGTGGGACCGTGAATACGTATGTCATTCCCTGATTTCCTCACCTGCTTTCTCTAATTACTGTAGTTCACTAATATATTTTCCTAGAATTGTCTTCTAGCCTCATGCAATTTGTTTCTGTCCAATGAACTTATCAAGAATCATCTGACACATATAAACTGTAAAGTGCCTGTGAAGAACATTTGGATCCATGATATCAAGATTAGCACCTTATATTGTATATTTTGCAGGGAAAATCATGATCAAGTCCTTCTCCTGCTAAATAAACATTATCATTGACTTCCTTTTTTATTTGCCACTGATTTTGAAATTTAAATCATATGCATCCGAAGATTTAAAACATCGTGATTACATTCTGCAATAAATATTGGTGCCAGTACTCATCTTGTGCCATGAATCCATGACTTTGGTTGAATGCTGCCTTCCAGTTAGAAATGAAATTGCATTGGACCTAAAACTTTGAACCAGAGTATTTGGTCCTGTATCAAATGCACGGTATTGTGATGCTTATATTTTTCCTTCCAAAAATGGTTTGCCAACACGTATTTGTTTCTCATAATCTCTAATAAAAGAAATGATTTACTAGCAAGGTCTTTTAGCATGTAGCACATAGTTAAAATTTTAAGGGGTTCTTGGAGGTAGAATATGCATTTAGACAAGGCAGTAAGAAAAGAGCTGATGAACAACCTTACCCCCCCTCAAAAAAAAAAAAAAAAAAAAAAAAAAAAAAAAAAAAAAAAAAAAAAAAAACAAGAACAAACAGCAAAACCATCACTTGGCTGCGTCCAGCAGCGTAAACTAAAATGTGTTTCATGTGTTTTGCATAGGAGATGAAGCTTCTTGGTCTTTGAGGTTAGAGCATTCCTGATTAACGTATGCATTGCATACGTTATTTACTTACATTTATATATTATATATATATCATATTTATATACTTCTGAAGGACTTGGTTCTTATGAAAATTCATATATACTCTGAAGACTTGGTTCTTATGTAAAATTCTATGAACAGAATCATCTCACCTCCTCTGATTCACAGTCAGTGCTTCCATAGCTGCTTTACCTGTCTTCCGAAAAATGGATTAATAAAATATTAAACAAGATAACCACACTTTGGTGCAAGCTGTGATTATTTGAATTTTGTTAACAGCAAACAACCCGAGTCTTGGATTGTACTTCAATAAGAAAGGAGAAAAAATCTTAAATATGGACAGCTTTAGTGATTAGGTGATTAGGTAGAAGGTGCATGACATTCCAGCTGCCAATAGCAGTTTATGCAAGATTCAATTATGGCCATTTGCTACTCATTATATTACCAACTTTTGCAATCAGAAAAATTAAAATAATAAAAAAAGAAAGATAAGTTGAAATCCCATTCTTCTGCTGTTCTGCATATATATTATTGACTAGAGTGTTAATATTTGCTTTTGTTAATAATTCTGTACCCTTTTCTCCAGAAAACAAGTCCTCCTGGTGCTGTTGGTGCCAGCCTTGCATTGGAGACAATAATTCAGCATTCTCCTGTAGATTACAAACCATTTAGGTGCAGTTTCCTATGCTATTACTCCTTTTCCTTTGATCTTCTTTTCCAATCTTCAACTACGCACTTAGGAGCAGATGCCCATCTTTTGCTGGTTGTTACAGAAATGAAGCTTGCACCAATATACTTGTTTGTTCAAGAGGAGGAGGCGGTTTATTGGTTGAGAGAATGGAACTAGTTGCTGAGCTATGGGAAGCAAATATCAAGGTTTGAAATTGTATTTTGTGTTGTGCATGTTCAAAACTGCCATAATTGCCCTTTGCTAACCGATTATTTGATGACTGCCAGGCTCAGTTTGTCCCTGTACCTGATCCAAGCCTTACAGAGCAGTATGAATATGCAAGTGAGCATGATATAAGATGCCTCGTCATCATAACAGATGCAGGTCTGTCACAAACAGAAACCGTCAAGGTATTTCTTGTCACAACTTACTTCTGAAAAATATTAATATGTTTAAAATAACTAAGCTGTCCAAACATTTAGTAACCAGACCTCATCAACCCAACTTGGCTTGGCATGATTCCTAAACTGCATCCTTGACCTATATCCCTTGAGGAGCCCACTAATACCCTCCTACACATTCTAACATTGTGAAAAGTCTTGTGGCATTTTGCAAAAAAACCAAGCGAACTTTTTAAAAGAGTATATGCCATGCATATTCTGATAGCAAATCTAATTTGGTAATTAATTATTGGTGAGTTTGAAATAGAAATCTAGTACTGTCTTCCTATGATATTGAGATTTGAGTTAACAATCTCTATGGTGAAAGGCAGAAAGGAAATGTTTTTTATGTATGCATGTAAGTATTGAAAATTTGAGAAATAATAATCTCACAAATCCAAACAACTATTTGCATCTGTTTATTTGGAACGAGCTTCCGCTGCTCTGATATGAAACTCATTATGTTACCCTCTTTCTCACCGGGCAGTGTAATTGAATGAAAACTCTTACCAAAGGCTTAATAGAGTCTTAAAAGTATTTTTGTGGTAGGGAAAGGTTTGTATGCATTTTCTAACTACAACCTTTTTCCTCTTTACATTAATTCTTTCTTTTATCAGACTCTTCACACGAATTTGTCCTGTGAAAATATGCTAATAATGCATTTCAACTTTTTTTTTTTTTCACCTCAAGGTACGTCATCTTGAACTTAAGAAAGTGAAAGAAGTTGAGAGAGAAAAGCTTGTTAGTTTTCTATCGAATGCAATGGCAACACAATTCAGAAATCCCTCAGTTTGGATTTAGGCATGCTTTCTTTCATTTGAGAAATGAACTGAGTCAAGTTTTTGTCTGCTTCTTTTGGATCTGTTAAAGATTCGAGTTGCTGAAGCTGCTCTTCCAGTCCCAGTAAGGGAATATAGAGTTAATCAAATAGAGAACTACAACAAATTATCAGTCAGTAGACAGAAACTAGATACACAAGAAGTTTTGCAGCTTTAGATTTTTGTTTTCTGGTGGCTTTTTAAGTGACATTTATACAGTTTTTCTCCATACCTTTGATGATGTAATTGTAAATATTAAATATGCAAGATTTCAATATAGTTTGTTCAAACGAAGAAGAGGAAGGGTAAGAAACTAGCCTTTTGTGCAATGAATGGAGAAAGGAGAATTTTAATCTCCAGTTCTGCAAATGATTTAGCATTTTACCTATTTTTAGAATATTTGAGCACGATAAGCATTAAATGCAATTTTTTATTGTTATTTTTATTTTTATTTTTTGCATATATGCATCTAGGGCTAAGCAAACGAACTGAGGCCATAAAATATAAACTGAACTTTTTTTAAAACAGATTGAACCGAATTAAAATTGGCATCTAAACTGAACTGACTTGAGTCGGTTCAGTATATTTTGGTTGGTTTTCATCAATTTCAGTTGGGTTTAACTCCAACTGACAAATTTCTGTGCAAGTGACTCGAACCGAACAACAATTCAGTTCAAATTGAATGAATCAAACCTCTTTTGAACACCTTACCGAACATAACTGAAATGGGTTGGTTCGGTATATTTTGGTTGGTTTTTGTCTATTTCAGTTTGGTTTAACTCCAACTGACAAATTTCTGTGCAACTGACTCGAATTGAACAACAATTCGGTTCAAATCGAATGAATCAAACCTCTTCTGAACACTTGAACTGAACATAACTGAAATGGGTTGGTTCTGGGTAGTTTTGCACGCCCTATATGTTTCCAAACTTGGCCATGGATGGTATTCAAGTAACTTTCAGCTAACTCCATAATTAGAACCCTAATTTTACAAGCAAAATTCATTTTGAAATTTAATCCACTTTCGCTGATTAAACTGCTTATTACTAAATGCAAATTTTCATTTTTCATGATGTTATCAAAATATTTGTTTGGGAAATACACTTTTTCATCATTTGGATGGTCTAAATAGGAGGGTGGTTGTGCAACATCTGACATATATGTATAAGTTTAGCCAATTGATGTGAGCCCCATATGATACAAGTCACCGTTTTATGAGAAGGCAAACACATAATTTTGTTACCAACATTGATGTCCAATGTTTAAATCATCAATCAAAATCATTTCATATTTACTGTTTCACTTTGTATTGGTGGATTTGAAATTTGAAATCCCACTTCAGAACTTATGGAGCATAGTTCCAAAGGTGAAATGAAGTTAGAAGTATTGCTTGACATGTCATTTTTTCAATTCAAATCATAATAATTTCTCTATCAAATTAAATTTTTACCAAATTCATAGGGAAATGCAAATTAAAAATCTTTTAGGTATCTTTATTTTTGGTAGTTATTGCACTCATAATCTCAGTTAATAATGACATATTATGGTAGTTAGAATATTACAAGCTTGAAATTTTACTTTTGCACAAGTCTGATTGAATTATTTAACCATTCACAGATTAAATAATTAATATATATATGCAGACTGGATCCATTGACAAGGATTTAATTGAAATTTAACCAAATAGGATTTTCAGCTTTGTACCAAAAAAGAATTAGTAAACTATAATTGGGTTTTTAAATTATGTTGAAATTAACACTTAAATTATTCTATATTTCAGAAATTATTGATATCTCTACCTTATATTTTATCCTACAATCAAGTCCTTCGTCTAAAATATGTATTTAATAAGTGGTAAAGAGTTCATTTTTTGGACGGAAGGACTTAACAGCACTACAAAAGTATAAGTTAGAGACGTCGTAATTATTTCTTAAATATAGAGAAATTAAGTGTTAAATCGAATGTAATTTAGAGACTCTAAGTTATATTTTATCCAAAAAGAAAATATACTTTTTCGGTTTAATGTTTTGTTCACCTGATAATGGGAATCACGGAGAAGAGTATAAATATTGTGATAACGAGTATAGGAGCCCTTATAGCTCAGTGGTAGAGCGTCAGTCTTGTAAACAGAAGGTCCGTAGTTCGATACTGCGTGAGGGCACCCTTTTCATTCATACACATGCTTTTTGGTTTTTGGCCTTTCATTTCTTGCATAGTCATTGTTTCTATCATTCATTTTATAATAACCAACAACTATCAAACAAAGAACATCAAATTGTTAGAATTGAATTCATAAATTGGCAGCTTATAAGTTACAGCACAAGCAAGAACATGGGAGTAGTCATACTGCCAGTGGCAGCAACTGCTATTCCAGAAAATTACATCCTCCCAGCATTTTTTTTTTTTTTTTTTTTAAATTGGCAGCTTATAAGTTACAGCACAGCAAAGAACATGGGGTAGTCATTACTGCAGTTGCAGCAACTGCTATTTCCAGAAAATTACAGTTCCTCCGCAGCATTTTTTTTTTTTTTTTTTTATACATTTCTATCCTGAAAGAAATTTAGGAACTAAAATTTTTGGGAAAAACTCAAAAACCACATAATCAACATTCAAAATGTTTTTCAAAGATCATCTCAGAAAATTTGTGCTGACAGAACATCTTTCTTGAAGCGTGAAGCAGGCCCTATCCTTCCTCCAAACTTCCTTAGCCCATTCCCCCATTTCTTTTTTTTTTTTTTTTTTATACATTCTCATCCTGAAAGAAATAGAACTAAAATTTGAAAACTCAAAAACCACATAATCAACAATCAAAATGTTTTCAAAGATCATCTCAGAAATTGTGCTGCAAGAACAATCTTTCTTGAGGTGAAGCAGGCCCTATCTCTTCCTCCAAACTCCTTAGCCCATCACCCCCATTTCCATTATAACCAACATTTCTTGCTTCTGAATTTTTCCCCTCAACATCTGCTTCTGATACTGAAGACTTTCTCCGTTGTGAAGAAGTAACACTTGGAAATGTTATCCATGAAGGTGCTCGAAACTCGAACCTTTGATCCTCGGCTTCCACTATATCAGTCTCTGATGCTGATCTGTTTGAAGATCTTTGAGAGGATTTCTTGTGCAATCTACTGCTTCCAAGAACTACTTCAGTAGGCAATATTGGTTGCTCATTACATGGACTACCCATTAGTAGCGCCAGAGCACGCTCTAATGCTGTTGTTACTTTGTCCATTGATGGTCTTTCTTTGCCTTTCATTCTAACACATTTGCAAGCCACATTTGCAATTCTTTTCAAAGCTTCAATATCAGGTGGAGGCTTCAAAAGTGGATCCAAGATTGCTGATATATCCGCTGATTTAATGAGAGGAACTGCCCATTCAACTATATTTCCTTCTTCATACTGCATATCTATGGCCTTCCTTCCACTAAGGATTTCCAAAAGCAGCACCCCAAAACTATAAACATCAGATTTTGTAGTTAGGTAGTGAAGTCTATAGTACTCAGGATCAAGATAGCCAAGTGTTCCAGCAGGTAGCTCAGCTAATGGTGAGCCACTATCAGCTGGTCCTAACAAAGAAAGACCGAAATCAGCTACACGAGCATTGTGTTCTTCATCGATGAGAATGTTAGAAGATTTTATGTCTCGATGAATGACAGGTGGGCAGGCATATCCATGCAGGTATTCAATTCCTCGAGCTGCTTGAACTGCGATGGTAACCCTTCGAACCCAATCCAATTGCTCTTTTAAGGACTTGTTCTTCCCATGAAGGTGTTGGTGCAAGGAGCCATGAGCCATGAACTCATAAACTAGAAGCCTTTCTCCACCTTCTTCACAATAGCCAAGTAGATTCAACAAATGGGCATGATTTAGCCTCGATAATAGATCAAGCTCAGTGTGGAATTCTTTCGAGTTCTTTTGCTTATCGGATGACACTATTGCCTTTTTAACAGCAACTACTGTCCCATTCTTCATTACCCCTTTATAAACACAAGAAAAACTCCCTTTTCCCACTAAAGATTCTTCTTTGAACCCATTGGTAGCCCTTTCAAGTTCCTCATAAGAGAACATTTGGGCCCTCCTTATTTTAAGATCATCCAAGTCTGGGCGAACCTTGCCATTATCTTTAGGAAATGAAACACCACTACCTTTGCTTTTCTTGGAATTGGATTCCTTTGAAGCGCATTGGCAATGCCTCAATCTGTAGCGTACATAAAGAATAGAAGTTGCAGTCACAACAAGAACCAAGAGCACAGCAAATCCAATCTCTACAATTATAACTGGTAATTGCAAAGACCAAAACTTATCATCCTTCTTTCCTTTAGAAGCAGCAGCATTAGAATGCAAGGCAGAACAATTTGAGAAACATTCGGCTGAATAGCAACTTGAACAATTATATTCACATAGTCGATCTGATTTCAAAGTACATTCAGTTTTCTGATACATTTCTGCAGGGCAACCATTACTGCAAGGCAAGCAGACATGGGAATTGGGAGATTTACAAGGTGCATTGCCACTGCTAAATTCATAAGAACCGGGCATGCAAGGAGTGCTTTTGCAAAGTCCAGGTGAGACTGCCAATGGAAGAGAGTTAGGGAACCCGAGACCCCAACAAACAGGTAGGAGAGATTTCTCCGCAAGAATTCCGCAAGTGAAGTAATTTCCAGCTGCAATTTCGTAGACTTTAATGCCATTAGGAGCTGGTGTGCTTGGCTTAACAATAAAACCCCAACAAATAACCCCACGGTCATAGCTCTTGATTCCACAAGCATGAAATTTTCCTCCAACAACTGAAAGAATAGGATCACTTGGTGGCAAATCAACATTTACTTGACCTGAATATGCAACAGAGATCTCTTCTTCAAGATTCAAGCTTCTTCCCCAACAAAAGACTCTAGAATTGAGCTCTAGAATCCCACAAACATGATATCCACCAGCTGCAATTCTTTGAAACCTCATTTGTTCAGGAATTAAGCTTATCACATGACTACTAGTCTCATCACCCCAACAAAAAACAGTTCTATTTTGAGAGAACAACCCACAGTTAAATTCTGAACCGGCTGAAATGGATTGAATCTGACCATCAAACACATGGTTCTTGGTCATGTTATATCCCCAACAATCAATAAGAGAATAGTTTCTGTGCCTCCCTGTTAATGGTTTTCTCAAACCACATAAATGGTAATCACCTGCACTTATTTCTATATACTCAGCCTCTTTCACCATAGGTTGAGGAACACCCATTTGAATATAACCACTACTTCCCCAACAATACGGCTGGTTAGAAGCCATTAGAAGCCCACAAACAAAGCCATCTCCGGCAGTTAGGCCAATAAAAGGAAAATGAGCTGGAGTACCGTAAATTATAGCAGAGTTTGAACCATAACAAGTCACAAGATGAGACCCGTCTGATTTTAAACCACAAAAAACGGGGCCATTCTCACCATAAGAAATGGCAATGGAAGATATAGAACCTAGGCCTGAAACCAACCACCACAAATCTGATAGAACAACAAGTTGAACTAGAATTCCAGCTTTAAATGTGTAAATCTTCAACACCCAGTTAAAGATTCCCATTGCAAAGCCCATTTTCAATATAAGAAGATCGTAGATACCTCAAAGTCTCCAACTTTCTGGTTTGATAGTTACCGTCGAACACTATATATATAGAGGTATATAAAGACAAAAACTTTTTGATTGTGACTTGCACACTAGGCTTCTAAAAAACACCAAGATGGCAAATTCTGATAACTACCAAACACTATCATTACATGCTCCTTTTAATTTTGATGAGAGAACAAAAGGAAAAGCAAAAGAACATGAAGAAAACTTCCATGAATATGCATCAACGGCAATGGAGGAGAAACCATATGAACAAAGCCATCAGTGTATATGTAAGGGAAAATGTTAACCATACCCAACTAAACTCACCAAACCAAGATCGAAAAATCCTCGACTTTGAAAGAAAACCTCTCTATAATATACACAATGTTATGAACAAAATACCATCAATGGAAAACCAACTGCTTATGCTGCTTTTCTCGAGCGTCCATTAAGAGATAAAGTTCGAGTCTCTTTATTTTTCTTTAACTTTCAGCTCCACAGATACTTACCCAACCCAAGAAACTGTAAACAGGAAACAAGCATTAGATCACACCTGGAGCCATAAAGTCAGCTTCTTTCAAGTATTCTTTCGAAGTAAAAACACCCATTTTTTAGCAAAAGCTGGTTCTTATGGCTTCTTTTTGTACGTTCGGAAGGATAGAATTGTTGGATTTTGGTGAAAAAGAAAATGGTTGACGAAGAAACTTAATTAGGTGAGATAAATTTCTTGACGATGGTGGTTGCAGACAGTATTGTTTTTTCAGGCAAGAATGGAAGAAAGAGAGAGAGAAAGAGAGAAATAAATGTCCATAAAAATGGAGCTTCTGAATATGGGGCAAGTGTAGGTGAAGACATTAAATGGGCAGTTAATGCAGTTTGATGTTTTCATGCCTAGATTACTGCTCACACTTTTTTGAAAATTTATTTTTTAGCTGTTTTCTTGTTTTCAATTTTCATGCATTTCTTTGGTAAAAAGGTGGAGGAGAGGAGACAATAAATATATATATAGCAGAACGCAGGCTCTTCTACTGCCGCTCACCTCTTCTCTTGATACCGTTCGGAACGGATAGAATTGTGGATGCGTGAAACAAAGAAAATGGATCTGACGAACGACCAATTAACTCTCGCGCTCGCTCTCCTTTGACGATGAGTGGTTTGCAGCAGTATTGTTTTTTCAGGCAAGAATGGAAGAAAGAGCAGAGAGGAAAGAGAGAAATAAAATGTCCATTAAAAGGATGGGAGGCTTGCTTGAATATGGGGCAAGTGTAGGTGAAGACATTTAAATGGGGCAGTAATTGCCTAGTTTGATGTTTTCATGGCCTAGATTACTGCTCAGCACTTTTTTGAAAATTTATTTTTTAGTGGTTTTCTTGTTTCAATTTTTCATTGCATTTCGTTGGTTAAAATGTGGAGGAGAGGAGGACAATAAATATATATATATATATATTTATATATTTGTGTTAAAATGCGTTTTTTAAATTTCGTTCTATGAGAGAATTTTTAAAATTCTACACTCTTCCTATTATTCAGTTCAATAATTTCAATCTCATTAAACAATAATAATCAAAATATTATCTTTCATGACATTAGATTGTTACTCAAGAAGTGATAGAAGATATTTGTCAGAGATGATATGTCAATAAAAGTTCCCTTCTTCTCTCAATACTTATAATTCAGATAACGAATAGTGTAAAAAAGCCAAAAATAATAAAAACAAAAACACAATAAACAAAAGAAACAAAAAAGCTATGTAGGCTTCCATCAGCTTGGTACTAACTGTATATTGTTCTTTTCTCTCTTATTATATATATTGCACCAGCAAAACGACATGAAATTAAAACTTATAGCATGATGCAAATAGTACGTAATAATATATATTATTTCACTTCCTAATACAAAATGAAGCTGCAATGTAATCATAAAACAAGACTTTAATCTAATAACAATATAAAGAATATTCATCTCTTAAATATCAATATATCATATAGCCGTAAAAATATTCTATCTAACTCGAACACATCATCCTTATTATAACTGTCTTATTAGCTCAGTGGATAAGATAATAACTACCACTATAATCTTCATACAAATAGACATATATCCTTAAAAAAGTGTCCAAAGCTTTTGAAAAATTAGAAAATGTCACTTGTTAAAAGTTGTTTATATGAATATCTATCTTATTTTCGAGCTAAAAAAAAAAAAAAAAAAAAAAAAAAAAAAAGCTTTAGGCTCCATATTGGTCAATTTGAATTGTTCTTTTTTTTTTTTTTTTGCAGCAAAAAGATGAAATTAACATTATTAGCATATGAAATATAGAAAATATATTTATTTTTCACTTCATACAAAAAAGAAAAGAGAATGTAACTAAAAAAGATTATTAATGTATACTATAAAAGAATTTTTCTCTTTAAATATTCATTTATATAAATATTCTATCTAAATCAACACATAATCTTATTATGTTTATGTTAGGATAAGAATACTATCTCATCAAATAGATTTCTTAAAAAAGGTTAAAGTTTGAAAAATTAGAAATGTCACTGTTAAAAGTGTTTTATATGAATATCATATCTTATTCGAGCATAAAAATATCATATCGTATAAATTAAAATAATATATATAAAAATAAAGTCGTATATATTTATTGTTGAGCTTCTTTCCAAAACAATTGTAGGTCTTATTTGATATAAATAATATTTATTTGAAAATAAATGAATTTATTTTATTTGTACTGAATTTTATAAATTAAATTCATATATATATAGATATATTTTCATCATATAATGTAAAATTTTAAATAAATTTCATAAAAAAATTTATAAAATTTATTTCTATCAAATATCATGTTAATGAATTTAGACATTTTCATATTATTAAGAATCTAATGTAGAATTATTTTTAGTTAAAATATTATGATTAGAAAATGATACCTTTCTTTTAAGATGATAATCAAATTTATTTATTATTTTGGGAAAAGACACATGAGACAGAAAAATACTGATTACTACAGTAATTAGTTGTAGGATCAAAGTTTAGCATCAAGATTAGAAATTTATGATTTGAACCTTCTTTAAGATAGAAATAACACTTTTCTTTAAAGAGAAAAAAAAAAGGGAAAGCGAGAAAGAAAATAGTTTAATTGTGTTCAAAATAGTTAAAATCTAATCTACACGATAAATTACAATTTTTTTCAATTCATTATGCGGCTCAACAAGTCGGAAACTCTTGTAGTCGAACGGATTTAAATTCGAAATCTCTTACTTTTTCATATTAGCAAGAAGATTAATCAAACCATGTTTTATAGTTGGCAAAATGTCAATTTATTGAACATGTATTTAGGTTGCAAATTAATGAAATAGTTAGTTACATAGTACATGAAGCTAGATGGCCTTTTCAAGTGATAACACACATTATTAATGTCTTATGTGGAATTTTGAGCAACATTGTAAGTTTTAACTACTACATACAAATGTTTAAAATATTATATATATAATTTTATTTGTTTTTTATTTTTTTATATGTGATAACAAATAAAAAATTTTCTGAATTCCTCAAAAAAATAGAAAGGTAATTTATTAAGTCTATGACCCACCTCCAATTAATATTATATTATATTTTGAAATTTTATTTGCCTCATGATAAAATGTAAAAAGTGAAAAAGTCTCGAGTTCGAGTGCTCAAGTTCCAAGTTCGAATACTCTCCACCATAAAAATTATCACTAATTCAATGACTTATAAAAAGAATAAATGCTTTTTTGTTTTTTTGTTTTTCCTGGATTGGTGTTTGGACTGTGTTTCTTTGGTTATTAAATTTCATAAACTAGAGATCAAGATTCAGTGCCCAGATCTTGGGGATTTAAAAAAAAAAAATTTATCACATCATAAATTAAAAATTCTAATATATATTTCCTGGAAAGAACAATCTATCTTAAAATAGGAATAAGAAAATATTTAAGAAAAAAAAGAAAAAGAAAAGTTCACATGCATCGTCTTGGCTTTGCTCAAATAACATTCCCTGTTGCTGTACCTCTTCTTGAAATCTTGCCTATCATCTATAAATTGTTTATTTTCACTGCTTTCAGTAAAATAATTATTTCATCAAAGTCTATCGGAATGTGGTCTTCTCATAGTTCTTGAGTTCGAATCTTCTCGATCACAGTTGTTTTTATCAATTTGGTAAGTCAAAAAGTTCACAGTGTTATTTCAGTTCATTAAGTCTCCAATAAATTAAAAAAACAAACTTATAAATTTTAAAAGACCAAGGACTTGAAAATAGAATTTATATTCCTAATTTGGCACCTTTTTTTTTTTAAAAAAAAAAGCTGATTAAACTGAAATTTTAATTAGATGAAAGGGCATAAATGTGTGTGTATATATACATAATCACTTAAACCAAAAGGTAAGTAGCAAGAAGGCAAGAACTTAAAATATGAAATCTTGTCTCTTGACTATATATACAAGGGAGGAAATTAAGTAGGCAGTCAAAGGGTCAAAGCAATATAATGAGAGGTATGAAGTGTTGACTCTTGACTGGAATTTAATTACATTTAAATGAAATTATATATTTATATAGAGAGAGTATTATGCTCAATAATAAGATTACTAACAAATCTAGAGCCCCACAAAACAATTATAGAATAATAGAGATAGATAAATAGGCAGTCTAAGAGGAAACTAAGCTTAAATATATATGTATATATATAAAATAAAATAACATGTGATCTGCAATCTTCTCTTCTATAAGTAAACAAATCCCCTTTTTTCATTCTGGATTCTAGCCTAGGTTTCAGTTACAATTTTTATACATACATATATATAAACTTCTGAAATTTTCTAGATTTGTTGATAAACATATAGTCTTTCTTTTAAATATTATAGTCAATTAGAATTGAATAATTTGGCATGTCTCGACGTGTTTATGATTAACCTTTAACGTTTAATGAAAAATTAATAAAACAGCTGACAGTTACAAATCCATGCAGTAATTTTGCTGAACAAAAACTTGGCCGGAAAAGTGAAGTTTTTTAGAATGAATTCCATGTAGCAAACAACCTGAAGAAAGCTTTTTTTTTTTTTTTTTTTTTAAAATTATAAATCCACACTTCTCCATTTTTTTTTTTTTTTTTTTTTTAAATCAATTATAAATCCACACTTCTCCATTGGCATTTAGTAAGCAAATTTAATTTTCTTTTAAAAATTTTTAAATACTAGATAAGAATGTTTAATCTTTAGATGATTAGCAGAGATTAAAATCAACAATATTGCACCAAAGTATATATATATATACACATACAGGATTTTCCAACTAACTCAGCCAAGCAATAATCATCCACTAAGAATTAGACTGTCAACACAAGAAACGAGCTTTGTACTGAATCCAGTTTCTATTTGTCGACAAGCAAAGAAAGAACAGAAGTTCTAATTTTACAGATGCATCAAAAGAATTGGCAGTAACAGAATCTAAATGAATATATACAAGTAAGGTGTTCATTCCCAAAAACAAAAAGAAAAAATTCAAAACATAGAATTAATTCAACCTCAGCAACCACTAACCTTTGGATTATTACCATATTTTCAAATCAGGTCAGCTTTGTGAGTGCTGTGGGGGAAGGAATAAAAACTATCCAGTCTCAACGACTTGGAAAATAACTTTTAATTTTATTGCTCTCAGAAGAATGTAGAACCTGCAACGTATGAAGGCAGCGAGAACTTGTAAGATGGCATACCTAGAACTGTCTTAGCCCCTTTTTTTTTTTTTCCTGTCTAAGGTAGCACACTTTTATTATTTATTTATTTATTTATTTTGTGTTAGAGCCTGCAGAATACACTTCACATCATTTAGTCTGGCTGCTAGTTTAGAGTCATCCTAATTTGTCAATTAGCTGACAAGACGCGCGCGCTCTTAGAAGTCTGTTCATAAAATTCAAAAAATATGAAGAAAATTAGATTCGTAAGAAGAAAAGAAAATTCATACATAATGCCTAACAAAATGTTTAACATTAGTTGCATACTTGATCCAATTCTTACCCTCTAAATTTAAAAATAATTAATCTGGATTATTTTCTTTAGTTTATTAATATGCACCAAAAAATTTAAAAATTACACAATAAAGTGTCTCACATGTGTGGCACATATAAAAGTGTGTTAGAAATGTTCCTTTTACCACTTTTATCATACACAAAATGCATCGACAAATGTCAAGCAAGTATTAAGTACCCAGCTCGGTTGAGTGTCTAACAGTGCATAAACTTCGTTCAAGACATATCGATGCATCATAAGCATTCCCCAATACATAGAAATAAGGATTCTAAGTGATGCAAAAGGGCTAACGACTCCTCTGCTAACGGCATGCACATTGTAACTAAAGAGGAGTAAAGTCCACACACATCAAAGAAAGAGATGGTGAAGAGATTGCACATATGGTAACTGTACCTTGGATCCAGAAATAATGATACAACAATGTTGTGAAAACCAATTCTTGCAATGTGCCCAGCATTTATTTGTGAGCTCACTGAAAAGGGGAAAATGGAAAAGAACATATAACATATTGAAAAGTATAAAAAATCTTTTAGGCACTAGTAACTTGTATAAGAGAAGGTATAATCTCCCTAGTGGCAAAAAATGTAATGCAAGGCATATTTTCCAACAGTAGTTAAAAGTAGTTCATGTTTTCCAATATTAAGCTTCTTCATGTCAAGCAACACAAGTCCAGATGCAGACTTGGCAACGAAATAGAGTTGACTTCAGGTATATCCACACCAATTCTTGTGAAGACAAATTTCACAAATTTCTTAGAATTTATTTGAAATCCATTTCCACTTTTTTCATTCCAAAACAAAATAATACTGGCCGAGTTTGGATTGGGTTGCTTTAGTACTCAATTTACTTTCTAGCTACAGTTAAAAACAAATAGCAGTTCACCTTGAAGCACAAGCAAGAGAAAAGGGGAGAGAGAGAGGGAGGGATGTGTCAAAAAGGCACCTTAGAGACAAGCCGCATTGATCTTCTGGGAAGAACTTCTGCAGCAGAATGCTTCATGCTTCTCAAGATTTTTAAGTCACGCTTGTTGCAACTTTTTGGATCCTCAATGTCCATTAATGGCCTCTTTTTGTAAAATTCTCTGTTTGATTCCAGATTATCAGATGTTAAACAAGTCTTCTCAACTGAGTTGTCAACTTGTGAGCATCTAAAAGGGACACATCTGTATATGATCAGATGACAGCATAATCCACAAACAGTAAAACAAAAAATTCTATGAAGAACAGGAAATTACAGTGAACTCTCCACCCCATTAGCAGTATTGCTCCATTCCTGAAAATGTAGAATATCGAAAAAACTTAGCAGTGTCATTAGAAATACTGACCATGAAACAGCACCTTAGCAATAACAATTTTGAGATCAGATAAGAAGAAATATAGTGTTTTCTTTTAACCTAGAAATCAAGGCGATTAAGTCTCAATTCCATTAATTTAATTGACCTATTAATTCTTTTAGGCCTAATTGCAACCAAAAAAAAAAAAAAAAAAAAAAAAATTTCTTTAGGCCCTAATTGCAACCAAAAAAAAAAAAAAAAAAAAAAAAAAGCCCCCAATATTGGTTCTTTTGAATACTACCTCGAACTTATTTTATATCAAAAAAAAAAAAAAAAAAAAAAAGCCCCCAATATTGGTTCTTTTGAATACTACCTCGAACTTTATTTTATTTTTTCAACTTGATGAAAGAACTTCATAATTTTTTTTCAGTTCTATCACTGGTTTCATCTCTGATGAAATTGAGCCTTTACATTGTTGATATGACTCCAAACTTTAAAAGAAAAAAAAAAAAAAATTGAATTGGCTTCACCATCAGTTTTATCATAATGAACCATCAAAGTAAATATGTTCCCATATTATCATACAAACATAAAAAAATATTCATAAAAGAAAAATAAGGATTTTGAAGCTAATGTAAATCAAATATGTCAAAATTTTATATATCAGATAATATTTACTTGCCATGTCAACAATCTCAAGGCCTAATTTTGCAATTTCAAGACTTAATTTCATTGGATATGCAACCAGTGATAGAATTGATACAAACTACAAAAGCTTCTTTATAAAATTGAAAAATTAAAAGAAAGCATCAAAGTTCAAGAATTCTTTTGCAATTATGTTTTTTTTTTTAATGCATGTTGACTGGCCAATCATAGTAGCAGTTGCAAAAAGAGAACATTTTTGAGAATTGATCAAATTGCTAAAGGAATGATTTCTAAACTAATTATCCTATTATTACATAGTATTTGCTAATCTATAATGATAATCAAGTTTTCTGGTCAAAAAAAAGAGAGAATAACATTATATTATTAAATAGTGAAAATCACCTCTAATTTGTTTCTCTCAGCAAAAGCCAAGAAGAAAATATCGAGAAACTAATAGTGAATATTGATGTCCATGACTTAATATTGCTAGAAGCCTAGAACATTTGCGACACTCATTTATCATCTATTCTATCACCCTAATTGACACTAGAGCTGTAAGACCATTTACAATAATCAAATTTGACAGTTTCATTCAACAAAAAGCAAATGCTATTTGCTCAAAGTAAAGAAATTAACGGGTGGAATAAGGAGATATTACTATTTTAAGAAAGAAGCAGGCAGCTCTGACTCTTAACTTTGATTAGTCTTCTGAAACAGGAAATTCACAAACATGAGAACTGAGAAATTACAAATCTCCTTTGTTATCCATCTATACTTATATCTCTGGTAATTTAAATTTTACGATGAATTTCATTGGGGGAAAAATCATATTCTATGGTCAATAATTTAAACTATAATGAAAACAATACCTACTTGAATAGTTAAGGTGAGGCCAACTTTTTAATAACTGATAGTTAAAATTCAACCGTGGCAACAATCATGATTCATCTGATCTCTAACATTTATAATAATTTATTCATTAACATAATATGTCAATATAAAGAGGCAGAAGTAAGCAAATAACTAACATGGAATACAGCCACATTGCCCACTTTCGATCCAAATGCATTAAAAATCTAGAACATGCACAAATGCGAAACACCAAATTATACCACCAAAGGTTGCATTTTTATGTGAAAATAGAGTAGAGAAGGTAATACCAGCTCTTCAGAGCATGTAGGCAAATGGTTCCCACAATGGCCATTCTCACAAGGGGCGGCCAATGCAGCTTGCTCAGTTCCAACATTGTGCTTTGAATCCTCCATATCAAAGAATTCACAGTTTCTATTAGGTGAACATGATGCGTCTTTGTGGTAGTTTCCAGCTTCTGACAACTGTATTTCTGTGGAACAACTGGCCAAGCATCCAGGAAACGCCATACAATTATTCTCAAGATTACTACTGTTCTGAAGGGTGGAATACTCACAAACTTTATCACCATACTTTGAATTCTGATGCTCAATTGCAATAAGATCTATTGAGCCATTGGATATGGAGTTAATAGCAAAATTGCAGGCTGTGTTTTCTGTTGGAATATCAGAAATATCTGAATCAAGAGTAGTCGCACTGTACCCATTTTTAGTGTAGGATTCTGTATTAGAAATCTTTTGGTTCTGCATATTAGAACTAGGTATGGATGAGATAGGTCCCCGATCTTCCCCTAAGCAGTCTGATACCTCTACAAGAACTGCAGTACATGATCTTTTCGGTGACAGTGTCAATGATTTATTACCTCCATCTAGATGATCAATCCCTAAACTGTCTTGTTCCATAACAAAACTTGGAGAGGGTTCAGTTCCCACATGGCCATCCTTGATTTCATTAGGATCCATAATCTGAGGAAAGGATCTTTTCATCTGTTTATCACTTTCTCCAATGCACCCAAGCTCTTGATGAAGACTTCGAGACTTGGCATTCCCCACATTATTACATAAAGAAACCTGATTTTGGTATTTCTTAATCCAGTCTAGTGGGCTTGAATCCAAATCAACACAAAGTTTGATTCCCTCTTCTGAACTGACATAAAACTCAAAAGAGGAAGGAGCTTTTGTACAGGTATTTATTGCGGGAGAAGCATTCTCTTTGGGAGAGACACCTATGTTAATGCCTCCACCAAGAAATTGATGTGTCTCTTCCACTCTGTGAATGAGGCTTGCTGAGGGCTCCTTGTGGAAGAAACCAATACCAGCACATTGAGAAACAAACTGAGACTGGGATGCACCTTGAAAATAATTAACAGAGCCACCAAAGCCTTCCTGAATTGACATGTGGAGAGAATTTTATGAGTCTTCAGAAGTTATCAATGCAGGCAAAAAAGAGCCCAGAAAGATAATGAAACCTTCCAATAATAAGTGGGGAGTCAGACATAAAATTTCTACCAGTTTTGCCATTTTGTTGAACTTATTGAAAATTCAGAAATCAGTAAAGCTATTTGCCATTTAAAAATTTACACTCGACAAAATTACATTGGGACTGAAGTGAATATTCTTATATCTCATGCAGGTTGCAACTCTTCTGGAGGAATGTTACAATTTGATAAACATGTGAAATTTTTAAGCTGTATTAAGTATGCCTATGCAGCACATAAATTAAATAAGTCAAACCTTAGCATAAGTTCTAAGTTCCACACAGCTTTCCAATTCATTGCATTTAATGCTTTTATTTCCTTTCTTGCCATCCTCGCTAGAAAAAGATCGCGGTCGAATGCTATCTATAAGCAAAAAATCTGATCAACTCCATCAGAATCTATATTGATTTTGTAAGAAGAGAGACAACCAGAAATACAATGCTACTTTAATTTTTTCAAACTTTGAAGAAGAAAAATTTTGTTAAGCACTGACCTTTTATTACATTTCCTGTTGCATTTAATGGTACTTCATTATGAAAATCTGTTAGCGAAGATGGAGGAAGTAAAACCTCCTGAATCCCACCTAAGCTCTTGCCCAAGGGTGCCAAACTTAAATCCTTCTTCTGCAAATAGTCAAACATCAATTTTGGGTGCATAAATCAAATGCATTTTGGCACATCCAAAGAAAAAAAAACGTGAACTCCAAAAATGTAAAGAGCACCATATACTAAAAAACCACATGGTAGACAAACGCAAACAGCTGCATCTCTGCTTGTATAAAATTTTACTTCTAAATAAATCTCTAGTGGCTTTAAAGGAATGAACTGAATGGAAGTTAAATGTAAGAATTAAAAGTAGAAGAAAAACAAAGGAGGTCTCATAAAAGCTAATCTCCATAAAATCTTTAGTTCTTACAAGAAAAAATTGTGAAAAGCAGGTAAAACGAATTGTCTAGATTCATCGCCAGTAGTATCATGGACGAACACAGGGACATAGAGAACTGCCAAGTTTTCTACATTGCCATTAATCTATTACATGTCCCAGGTAATTTTCAAATGGTTTTCTAGTATGGTACATATTGACATGGAAGCAAGGGCATAATAGCCGAGAAGATGAAGTCTTTAAGCACATAAATAGCTACCTAGAGATTATAGAGGGACCAGAAACAACTGGCAGTCAAGCTTGATCAAGAAAAATAAAACCTCAATAAGGGCTTGTTAATTTAAGAACTTGAAAACTCAATGCGCATAAGTTAAAAATACCAGCAAAACTGCAAATTAGAAAGCAGAATAATTGAGAGTGGAGAAACAAAGGCACAATCAGACAATCAACTATGATCATATTGCATTACCTGAAAGGAAGAGAACAATGATTCTGCCATTTCAGAACTTGACTTCCGAGCAGGCAAGCCATATTTCTTGCACAAACTTTGAAGCTCTTTCCTTGAAAGACTATGAAAGAATTCTTGAACTTCCTTATTCGACATCTTCCAAATTAAAAGTAATAACAGATAAGAATAATATACTCACCAAGTACTAGCATTATGTCATATTCCATTAAAAGATGCAAAATTTTTTCATGCGAACAATTCTTCAACATTCGCTCTGAAAATTAAATACTACATACTGAAATGGTCAACTTGGGTATCAAGAACAAATACTAAGGCAGGAAGAATCAAAAGTCACTAATTAAACTAAGCATAAAAAAAAATTCAGCAAGCTAAACTTCACCAACTAACAAGAACTAAAACACAATTAATTAGAAAGGCCTTGAAAAACAAAAAGAAAAAACACCATGAAACAACTACAAGTCCACTACTGCACAATATAACACCACTGACTCCATGAACTCAAACAAATCGTAAGTTTCTAACGGGTCAACGAGATGAAATTTTGGAACTTTAATTTCAAATTTTTGAATCCGGATTCAAAATCAGCCTCTGTTTCCTTTTTCACTTAGAGAACCAAGCAGCAAAAAAGGAAAAAAAGATGAACTGTACTTACTCTTTAAGAAACAAAAACCCAATAAAGCATCATAATCCTTCTGTTTGTTACATAGAAACCGAAAGGGAACATCGAACAAAACAAAGCAACTTAGAGCGCTTTATTCACTTTACAACTTAAGAAATGAAAGAATCGAGAAGAAAATATTAGATTTCATCTTCTTTTACTACATTATCCCAACAACCAAACAGAGTGAGCTCATTTGAAATCCTCTGTTTCTTTTCTCTTTTTCTTTTTTTTCCCTCTAGTTTTATTTCTTTTTAGGCTTCCGATAAAAGAGATAAAATATAAGAGGAAGGAGGAAGACAAGTACGTACTCTCTTTTTACCTGATTGAAAATTTTCCGAGAAAGTTGCCAAGAAAGTGAAGGAAAAATCGAGAAAATCTTTCGGTATACTTAGCAGGAAATAGTCGGCTACTGTAAGCAACGGACTTCAAAATCTAGCCTTAGCTTTTCTCACGAAATAAAACAATAATAATAATAATAACAAGAAAATAAAGAGTGGAAATGGCATTTTTGTTATAAAGAGAACTCTCGCGAATATTTTTGTATTTGTACCATAGAGCAATATTTCCATGTGTAGTGGTATATATTATAAAATATTGATCTGGTCCGTGATTGGAAACTGAATTTACGTAAAAAGATGTCAGTTATTTGACCAATAATATTTGACTATAACAGGTGAATAGTCAAAGACTTACGTAGAATGAAAACACCGGATTGTAACCAGTTGAAATCGAGGACAGAGAATGGCTCCTTTAGTTTTGGATTTGAAACACAATGGGAAGGTTCTTCTATGATCGCACTACAAACAAAACCGTACCACGCGTTTTAACTGTCTTTTCTTTTTTCTTTTCTTTTTTTTTTTTTTTCAAATTTCATAAATTTCAATATAAGTTAAAATAAAATTACCACTTTGAAATTTTTATATTATTCCATTAGCTAAAAATAAATAAATGGTGAGTTTAAGTTTTCTTTTTTATTTAATTAATCAAAAGTATTACAGCTGACTATTAGTTGATCCAGTCGGATGAGGTGCTGAATTCTTTAAACAACGTTCAGGAGTTAAATTCAGATACTGTGATTAGTCGGTCATACTGAATGCCGGACGATTTGCCAAAAAAAGAAAAATAGGGAGTATTTTGTGTTGAGAGTTAATTGGCTTCTTAAATTGTAATTATACCAATAGGTTAGCATTAGTCTCCTTAAGTGCATTATTAGCTGTAAGATAAGTATTTCTTCTAAAAAAAAAAAGTTATAAGATAAATATTTTCTATTTTAAAAGCATTTTTTAAAAAATTTTCATTACCTGCTTACATATAGCAGGTTGAATTTTTACCATTATAAGCAATAATTAAATACATTAATTAAAATAAATAATTCGGATATTAAAAGTAAAGAATAAAATTGATAAAATATTTATCTTGAATTAGCGAATACTAATTTTCTTAAATAACTATTATTATTTTAAAAAGTTCAATTGAGTCTTTCAAAAAAAAAAAAAAGTTCAATTGAGTCAACTCTAATGACTAATACTTATGTTTATATATTAAAAAAAAAAAAAACTTTTACGTTTTCAGTAAATTTAAATAATATTTTTAATTTTGTTAATTGTTACCTCAAAAATTTTTTTTTTGTCAATTCCGACTTCTATTTATAAATAAAATACATGAATACTAAAAATATTATTTTATTTCTTAGTTCTTAATATATTTTTCATTTAAGGTCATAATAATGAATTAATTAAGTATTTTTTTTTTGTCAATTCCGACTTCGTATTTATAAATAAAATACATGAATACTAAAAATATTATTTTATTTCGTAGTTCTTAATATCATTTTTCATTTAAAGGTCATAATAATGAATTAATTAAGTAATAATATATAATAAGTAAATAAATATAATATTATTAAATATATAATATCAAATAATATATTATACAAATTTGTGGTTTAGAAAACAATAGCAAGAAAAGCAAGGTCCACTTTATAGGCGGGATGATTTTGAAAATGAAGTGCTTTTTTATGATGATATAAAGACTATGCTGAAGTAGGTGAAATGTTTTTAGGAATAAATGTTAATTTGGTACGGTGATAAAAAAAGTCAAATTTTACTGTTAATTTAGTTATTAAATTTGTATAAAATGATTAAAAAGATCCGATTTCATTTTGTAGACCAATTTAACCCTTGAACTTGTTTTAATTTTATAAATTAATAATTAATTTAATTTAATATAATTGACTTTTTATCCCTTTTTGTCGTATATTAAGAACATTCAGATTAAACTTTTTTTCATACTTATAAATGTAAATTTAAAATTTATAAAACATTATTTATTGTAATATAATAAATTTATAAACATGCATTATAATTTTAATTTATTCAATATAAAAAATGCATAGATTTCGTAAGTGATAACCCAGCAATAGAGATTAATTTTAAAATGTTCAGATTAATACATTTTTATAAACTTAAAATCATAAAACAATTAAAGAGAAATACAATATACTTCATATATCATTTTCCTATATTTTATAATTAAATAATTTTTTAATAAATTAGTCAGCTTGATCCTAACTATAGTTTTAATAAATGTCTATATAATGATTTTTACATAATAAGCAAAATGAAGAATTAGAGGTTAAATTAATTCAAAATATCAAATACTTCTTGCGTCTCATTTTGTTTGCATGGTTTGACAAAACAAACATATTAAGAATTTAGTCAACAAAAATTATTTTGCTATTTTTTACCCTTAAATCATTGAAGATATTAACAAAAGTCTCCCATTTAATTAAGGATTATCAAGGTTATTATGAGAAAAATAATTATTTACATGTATAAATTTAGAAACTTTGCAAATATTTTAGGACATAAAAAAAATGAATAATAAGCAAATGGGATGGAGGGAGTATGATTTTTTAGCCATTTCAAATGAGTTCAGAGTTAAATTGGTCTATCTTGCTAAACAAGTTCATAGACCAAATTGACTTTTATTTCATGTTTTTATATAAGGTTTTTTTTTTTTTTTCAATAACTTCAAGTTTTGGGTAACATGAATTTACAAAATAATATATGTATTTATAATTTTTTGCAATTGTAAGATTCTTAATAATTTATAATATGTTCTTGTTATTTGTAAATTGATGAATTACAAAAATAGTAGCACTAATTATCAATAGCTTGAAGAATCTATCTATATAAATATATATATAAGCTAAGACACAAAAACTTAGGTGGCACAATTTTAAAATGTTAAGTTGCTTACGTGGCAAAAGTTAATCTATTTAGTTGAAAATAATTTTTATATTTTAAAAATCATTTTTAATAAAATTAATAGAAAATTTAATTAATATCATTAATGATATTTTTATTTTTTAAAATAATTAATCAAATTAATAGTATCATTAATATTTTACAAAATTTTCATTGTCTTTTTTAAAATAATTAATATTTAATCTCTTTATTTTTTTCTGTTGCAGAATTTTATAGATATCTATCTCAATATAAATGAAACCTTAAAGAAAATCAAATTATATTTTCAACAACAAGAAATGAATTATTTGCAAACAATATAAGATTATTTTCATGAATTTTATTGATGTGTATTTGATCGATATGGTGATGATGATGAAATTACAGAATGTATTCAGTTTTTGATAATCAACTAAGGTATGATTTTGTGATTTACAAAAAGAGATGATAGTACTTTTCGACCTATTTCAAATTAGGACAAACTTCGATGAAATTTTTTTAATATTTATTAGATTTATATCTGGATTTTAGATTATTTATTAAAAAATGAATGCAATAACTAATATTTAACAAGATTATTGTAAAATCTATTAAAATATTTATAAAAATTATAAATTTTAAACTTAATTATAAACTTGATTTATGTATGTATATTGTTTTGCAAGAATATGGGAAAAAATTATTTTATTTCATTTCATTTTTATGGACATTAGTTACTGTAATAAATTAAATATTTGGATTTTTAAAAATAATTATTAATTATAATAAAAATATGATTTTTATTTTTAAAAATTATATAACATCCGCACGCGAAATGCATGAAAATGATTTGTTCTTAATAATTTATGACAAGTAGTTGCTCTCTGTAAATTTATCAATTACGAAATAATAGTCCCGGTTATTAATATCTTATAAAAAAATATTTGTATGCAAACATTGTACTTTACAAAATAACAAATTTTTTTTGAAGGATACAAAATAACAATTTTGATTACCAATAGTTATGTTTGAATTTTTCTTATAATTGTTTTTTACAAGAATTAAAATTCAAACTCTTATATTTAAATAAGATTAACAAAGGTATAAAAATGAAAATTATATTAAAAAAAGTCACTATTTACAAGTGAGAGAAGAAAAAATTCGGTTCGTGTTTCGGGTCGGGCAGAGTCCTTCTCTGGCCCAAACCCATCTTCTTCATTGGATAAGCGTCTTCATCTTCATCGGCATAGGCATCATCCTACTTTGTTCTTCATCGGCGCTCTTGGGCGAAACAAACTGTAAAACCCTAGAGCACGACATTTGATCGAAATTCAGCCAACCGTATAAATTACTCTTGTAAGTTCGTTTCACTCACTGTTTTTTCAGATTAATTTGCATACTTTTCAGTTATGTTTCGTTCACTGTACACTAAATCACCATCTCCTATTTTGAGACATTTTTGTGATTTAAGGACCCATTTGCGATTTCTTACATCTACACCACTTACCAGATCTTTCTCATCGACAATTAGTGCTGTTAAAGAACAACTGAAAAATACCTCTTTTACAGTTTCCTACCTCATAAATTCATGCGGATTGTCACCACAAGCGGCTATATCTGCTTCCAAGAAAGTGCAATTTTTAACTCCAGAAAGACCAGACTCTGTTCTTACACTGCTCAACAAACATGGTTTCACTAATTCCCAAATGGCGAAAATTGTTAAGAATGACCCACGGATTCTTTTATATGATTCTGGAAAATTATTTCTTCCAAAAGTTTTCAAATTTTTCTCTCTATTGGAATCACTGGCCCAACCCTGGCACATTGCACAATTCATATCTTCAAACCCACCACTACTAAGCACTAGCTTAAGGAATCGAATTATTCCTGGTTATGAATTCCTCATGAATGCTTTGCTATTTGATGATGACATGGTCATTAAAGCTATGAGTAATCAATCAAGAATTTTGCGACAGGATGTTGAAAAGATCAGTGCCCCTAATTTATTGTTCTTGAGACGAATTGGAACGCCACAATCTTTAATCCGGCAGATCTTGATGCATCATCCTAGTGTGCTGTGCCGCAAAGCTGATAAGTTCCTCGATAAGATCAAAGAGCTTATTGATATGGGGTTCGCCCTACAGGAATGAAGTTTATCTATGCTCTTCAAGCAATTCTACTTAATGAATCAAACTGGCAACGCAAAATTGAGGTTTATGGAAGATGTGGTTGGTCTAAAGATGAGATCTTGAAAGCTTTTAAAAGGGATCCTCGATGTATGCGTTTCTCGGAAAACAAAATAATTGGTACTGTCCATTTTCTTGATAATGTGATGGATTTAAAGCCTTCAGCAGTAGCTGCAAATCCATATCTACTTTCTTACAGTTTGAAGAAGAGAACCATTCCTGGGCGTTTAGTTTTTAGAACTTTGATGTTGAAAGGTGTATTGAAGAAAGGTGTATTGGAGAAGAAGATCAATTTCCATTCTGTGTTGTTATTAACTGACAAATGCTTCTTGAAAATGTATATAGACAAACATTTGGAGGATATTCCTTATTTGCTGGATGTCTTTGACGGTAGGAAATGTCCTGAAGAGCTAGGATTTCAATATGAGCAATAACATTTTGATTCTGAGATTTTTTTTTTCTTTTCTGATCTTTATATTTTGTGCTGTTTAAGGTATGTACAGCTAGAGAATTTTGTATAATCTGGTGGGAGGGTTTGGGTTGAATCCTTAGAGCTCCTGTGGAAATGTCAAGTAGACTGTTTCTATATTGTTTGAAATTCGAGAATTGTAAATGGAAATTGCCAATTTTTGGTCTTTTTAATAACTTTCTTCTTGTTGAATTGCGTTTACTGCTGCCAAACTGTAGCTATGCTCGACCTTGTGTTTTATTAAGGAGCAAATGAGTCGGGTCGAGTATAATTATCTTCATGCAAAGCTCTCTTAGAATTAAACAAGAGAATATTTACACGGTTAGACTCTAACAATGTTTTAACTAATTTTTCAATATTAAAAAATTAATCATGTAGTATGAATTTTATATATTATGCAATTTATTATACTATGAATATAACTCAATTTGCAGTGTAAACTTGAAAGCAATGTAAAATTTGCCCAAAAATCTTTTTTTTTTTTTTTTAATAATTTACCCTCCTCAACTTAACACAAAACTTATTTTTTAAAGAAAAATAAGTTTCAATATTTTTAATAAAATTTGTTAAAATTAAAAATAAAGGTAAAAGTTTATTATTATTATTATTATTATTGTTCTGTTTTTCAGTCATTAAGCCTAAAAAATATACTCACGAAACTAGACAGAGTTGTTATCTGGCCCAAACCCATCGGCCTCTCGCGTTTGTTGAATCTGAAGCCCCTTCTCTTCTTCTTCATCAGGAGGCACTGGCAGGAAACAAAACGTTCCTCAGAGCCGTAGCCTTTCTCAGGCCAGAAAATCCATCAGTTTTGGAAGCAGCACCCAAAGAATGGAAATATGTGCTACTAGTAAACATCCTGCTCTGTTCTTCACCGGATGCTCTTTGGCAGAAACAAACTGCAAAACCCTAGAAAACGACGCCTAGAAATTCAGCCCAGGTTAAGAATCAGTCTTGGAAGTTTATTCCTTGTTTTGTTTTTCAGGCTAATTAGCATTTTTTTCAGTTATTTTTGCATTACTATACACTAAAACATCACAATCGCTCTCTCCTATTTTGAGATATTTCTGTGATTTGAGTACCCATTTGCGGCTTCTTCAATGTACACCAGTTATTATTAACAGATCTTTCTCATCAACAATCAGTAGTAATAAAGAACAACCGGAGAAAACCTCTTTTACAGTTTCCTACCTCATACCTACCTCATAAATTCATGTGGATTGTCACCACCGGCCGCTATATCTGCTTCCAAGAGAGTGCAATTTTTAACTCCAGAAAGACCAAACTCTGTCCTTGCACTACTCAATGAACATGGTTTCACCAACTTCCAAATAGCTAAACTTGTTAAGTATGACCCAGGATTGCTTTTAGTTGATCCTGAGAAAACTATTTTTCCCAAGCTTAAGTTTTTCTCTTCTGTCGGGATTACTGGTCCAGACCTTGCAAAATTCATATCTGCAAACCCAAGTGTATTACGCCATAGCTTACCGAATTTTATTATTCCTGCTTATAAATTTGTCAGGAGTGCTTTGCTATTTGATGATGACATGGTCATTAGAGCTTTGAGGCCAGGATCAAGAATTCTTCTATATGATGTGGTTGGCTCCTAATTTATTAGTCTTGAGGGAAATTGGAATGACACAATCCCTTATCAATATGTTATTGGCATATCATAGTTCTTTGATATGCCATAAAGTTGACAAGTTCCGGGATAAGGTCAAAGAGGTTATTAATATGGGGTTCTGCCCTACCAAAACAAAGTTCGTCCATGCTCTTCATGCAATTATCAGCATTAGTGAATCAAATTGGCAGCACAAGATTGAGCTTTATGGAAGATATGGTTGGTCTAAAGATGAGATGTTGTCAGTTTTCAAGAAACATCCTCTTTGCATGACCCTTTCGGAGAAGAAAATAATTGGTGTTATGGATTTTCTTGTTAATTTTATGGACATGAAGCCTTCAAAAATAGCTGCAAGTCCTTACCTTTTTACTTTTACCTTTTTACTTCAGTTTGAAGAAGAAATAATTCCTTAGGGGCTTAAGTTATTAAACTTTGATATTGAAAGGTGTATTGGAGAAGAATATCAACTTCAGGGGCTTAGTTATTAAAACTTTGATATTGAAAGGTGTATTGGAGAAGAATATCAACTTCTATTCTGTGTTGGTATTAACTGACAAATGCTTCTTGGAAAGGTATGTGGACAAACACAAGGAGCATATTCCTTATTTGTTCGATGTCTTTGAAGGTAAAGGTAGGATGTATTCTGAGGAGCTAGGATTTCAATATGGGCAATAACATGTTGATTTTGGTTGGGATGGTGTTTTTTTTTCTTTTTCTTCTTCTCATGTAATTTGTCATATCCATTACATTAACCACTGAGGATTTGGTGAATTGATGCATTTTGAGACCTGTTTCTGCTATGCATAATCTGGTTTCTGGGCATCAGTTTCCGATGAGAAAAACTTGTAATTGAAAGTTCCACTGCGAACAGCGAGCAGGTGGAGTGAGTGGAGACGAGCACTTCAAAGTATTTCTTGAAAGAGTCCTTTTGTCATGCATTAGCTATTTGCTCCTAATTTGTTGTAAAACGAACAGATAGCTCACCCTTGCTGCAATTTATGTCGTACTAATACTCTTGTCACCTCAGATAGCAGTTTCAAAACGACAAAGAAAATGGCGCATAACATTAGAAAAAGTTATAGGCTAAGGCTGTTTATAGTGTGCAGATGAATAAAGGTGTATTTAGGGTACAATACACACAACATATTTCGAAATATTTTTTATGTTTTAGACCTTAATGACAAAAAAGATGTCCAATTTATAGTTTTGAAAAGTAAATTAATATTTTTTTTAGAATAAGAAAGAAGTTTATTATTGAAATATTAAATGGGAAAGAATAATTTTGTATTTCAAACTATAGTTAATGCATGAGCAATTTTCTCTTGGTCCAAGTAATAGAAATATTGTCATTAGATTAAACATTCCCAAATCATCAATTGCCATATCAAATTTAGTATTATCCATAAAATAATACTCTTATATCTCAAAATATAAATCTTTTAAACGAATGGTAATTTGTGAAGTTAATTATTGTATTTGATATAATTAAGAGTAATATTGAAAAAAATATCGTTTATTGTTCTTTAGAATATTTAAAACGATTTATATTGTAGGACAGAATAATTATTTATATTTATTAGGTAAAAATATTAAAATTCATTGCTTGCTTCATTTCCAAATATTTGTCACATTTGGGTATTTAATGTCTTTTAAGAAAACTAAGACCTCGTTTATTGTAGTTGTTTATTTTTATTTTTTGATTACTATTTTTTTGAAAACTATATTTTTTTTTAAATTGTTTTATTCATGATGTTAAAAATTCTTCCAATTATCAAATCTCTCCCTTATTAAGCCATTAAAGATTTTACTTAATAATAAAAATTCTAAAAATCCAAAGTTTCAGAAAAAATAATTAAAAATATTTTACAATTTAATTTTAAAATTTCAAAGTTACAGTAACTATTAATACAGTAACTATTAATAATTATTGTTGAATTAAATACACTAATGTTCAAAATATTATAATAAATAAATAATGCTAAATTATATTAGATTTATAGAGATAGAGAAAATAATAATAAATATAAAAACAATACTAAATAGAGAGGGGATAGAAAAGAAAAAGTTGAAAAATTGAATAAGAGATAAAAATATATGTTTGTATATTTGGATAAATAAATAACATTATGGATAAATAAATAATATTAAATTTATAATAATAATAGTAATAATAATAATAGTAATAATAATAATTTGATGAGGATAAATCTTATAAAAAATAAAAAAATGAGAAATATAGAATTAAAAACAGTAAACAACTATTTGTGGTTTCATAAAATTTATTTTTTTTAAAAACAGTTTTCTCAAAAATAAAGAATATAACCAAGTTTACAAATAAGTTTATTTTATTTAAAAAAACTGGAAAAATAAAATTTAATAAATAATCGTATAATTTATATTAGGGAATTATACAATTTTAAGTGAATTGTTATATTATCTTTAATTTATCTATTATAATGTAAGGATAAATAAAAAAATAATTTATTATTTATCAAACTCGGGGCGACACTATTTGGATGCAAGAATGAGTATTTTATATTATTTTTTATACAAAATCAGCCTGTTTTTTGCCCTTGGAAACGGTAATCAACTAATCCCCCTTCTCCTACCTTCCTCGTCTAGCAGCCCATCACCGTTCTCTGCTGCCTGGCGCCGCGTACTTTAATCCTCCGCTGCTTCCTAAAATTAATTTATCTGCGCTGGTGAAGGCGAGTGAATATTAATTGCAGCACATGAATATCATTTTGGTTGGGAGTTTTAGGTGGAGTCGTTCTTCATCGCTTCTCCTATTTTGAGATATTTTTGTGATTTGAGTACCATTTGCGGCTTCTCATTGTACACCAGTTTAATTATTAGATCTTTCTCATCAACAATCGGTAGGATGAAACCACCGGTAAACCATCTTTTAACAGTTTCCTTACCTCATAATTCATGTGGATTGTCACACAGGTGCCTAATAGTCTGCTTCCAAGAGAAGTGCATTTTTTAACTGTCTGAAGACCAAACTCTGTCCTTGCACTACTCAATGAACATGGTTTCACCAATTCCCAAATAGCTAAACTTGTTAAGTATAACCCAGGATTTCTTTTAGCTGATCCTGAGAAAACTATTTTTCCCAAGCTTAAGTTTTTCTCATCTGTCGGGATTACTGGCCCAGACCTTGCAAAATTCATATCTACAAACCCAACGCTATTACGCCATAGCTTACCGAATCAAATTATTCCTGCTTATAAATTCGTCAGGAGTGCTTTGCTATTTGATGATGAAATGGTCATTAGAGCTTTGAGGCTAGGATCAAGAATTCTTCTATATGATGTGGAAAAGATTATGGCTCCTAATTTATTAGTCTTGAGGGAAACTGGAATGACAAAATCCCTTATCAATATGTTATTGACATATCATAGTTCTTTGATATGCCATAAAGTTGACAAGTTCCGGGATAAGGTCAGAGAGGTTATTAATATGGGGTTCTGCCCGACCAAAACAAAGTTCATCCAGGCTCTTCATGCAATTATCAACATTAGTGAATCAAATTGGCTGCACAAGATCTGCATGCAATTATCAGACATTGAGTGAATCAAAATTGGCTGCAGCAAGATTGAGCTTTATGGAAGATATGGTGGGTCTCAAGATGATAGATGTTGTGCAGTCTTCTCAAGACAACATCCTCTTTGCATGACTTTTTCAGAGAAGAACGATTGAATTGGTTTGTATGGCATTTCTGTGTTAGATGGTGGATGGATATCGAAGCCTTCAGAACATTAGCGTTGGGGAACTGCCTATACCCTTCTTTTGTTACAGTGTGAAGAAAAGAAGTCATTCCCAGGGGTTGTAGTTCATTAAAGATTTTGCAGAGTTCGACGAAGGGTGGCATTGGAAGAAGAATAATCAGTTTTCTCTTACTGTGGTGGGCGATATGAAGCCTTCAGAAATAGCTGGAACTCCTTACCTTCTTTGTTACAGTGTGAAGAAAAGAATCATTCCCAGGGGTTTAGTTATTAAAATTTTGAAGTCGAAAGGTGCATTGGAGAAGAATATCAGTTTCTCTACTGTGGTGGGATTAACTGACAAATGCTTTGTAGAAAGGTATATGGACAAACACAGGGAGCACATTCCTTATTTGCAGGATGTCTTTGAAGGTAGGATGTGTCCTCAAGAACTAGGCCTTCAATATGGCCAGTAACATGTTAATTTTGGTAAGTATGGTTCTTTTTCTTCTTCCTTTCTTCATAGCTCATATTACTTGTCATATCAATTATGCTATAGCTTAACAACCAATGGTTCCATGCTTTCTGTTTTCATTTTAAGTATTAATTATTATCTGCTTTATTGCTTTTTACTTATTGTTAGATAACTATTAAACCAAATGGAACTGTAAGGTTGGATTTGCCTCCGAACATACTTAAAAATCAAATTTTTATTTAATCATTTTGCATTAGATGATGCCAAAAGGAATCAAAAATAATTCTTTTCTTTAATAATAGTGACACTTTTATTAGTTAAAGTATTACAAATTATTATTTTAATTATTTTTTATTCAAGATTGGGCTTTTTGCTCAATTAGTGCATGATTTTTGAAAACCGTGCAAAAGGTTGAGTGAATACCTTAATTCATGAAAACGGCCTCAAGAACAAGAAGTTTCTACATGGCGAGTGGTATTGATGCATGTCAGGTGAAAATTTTCTAAATTTTTATGATTTATAATCTACCCAAATAGGATTACTGTATAAAATAATATAAGAATTAAAGATTTTCTGAAATAATACATTGGAAACCATCAAATTGGACTAGATTAGTCCCTTGCACTATGTCTGCTTCCAGGAAAGTTCAATTTTTAACTCCAGAAAGACCAGATTCTGCCCTTGCACTACTCAAGGAACATGGTTTCACCAATTCCCAAATAGCTAAAATTGTCAAGTATCAGCCATGGTTTCTTTTATATGATTCTGAGAAAACTATTTTTCCTAAGCTTAGTTTTTTCACTTCTATGGGGATTACTGGCCTAGACCTTGCAAAATTCATATCTTCAAACGCAACGCTATTACACGCTAGCTTGCCGAATCAAATTGTTCCTGCTTATAAATTCGTCAGGAGTGCTTTGCTGTTTGATGATGACAGTCATTAGAGCGTTGAGATTATATTCAAGGATTCTTCTATATGACGTGGAAAAGATTAGTTCTCCTAATTTATTTGTCTCGAGGGAAATTGGAATGCCACAATCCATTCTCAATCAGTTATTGATATATCATCCTTGTTTGCTGTGCGGCAAAGCTAGTAAGTTCCACAATAAGATCAAAGAGGTTATGGCTCCTAATTTATTAGTCTTGAGGGAAATTGGAATGACACAATCCCTTATCAATATGTTATTGACATATCATAGTTCTTTGATATGCCATAAAGTTGACAAGTTCCGGGATAAGGTCAGAGAGGTTATTAATATGGGGTTCTGCCCGACCATATCATAGTTCTTTGATATGCCATAAAGTTGACAAGTTCCGGGATAAGGTCAGAGAGGTTATTAATATGGGGTTCTGCCCGACCAAAACAAAGTTCGTCCAGGCTCTTCATGCAATTATCAACATTAGTGAATCAAATTGGCTGCACAAGATTGAGCTTTATGGAAGATATGGTTGGTCTCAAGATGAGATGTTGTCAGTTTTCAAGAAACATCCTCTTTGCATGACTTTTTCAGAGAAGAAGATAATTGGTTGTATGGATTTTCTTGTTAATGTGATGGATATGAAGCCTTCAGAAATAGCTGGAACTCCTTACCTTCTTTGTTACAGTGTGAAGAAAAGAATCATTCCCAGGGGTTTAGACTTTCAGTTTGAAGAAGAGAATAATTCCTAGGGGCTTAGTTATTAAAACTTTGATATTTAAAGGTGTATTGGAGAAGAATATCAATTTCTAATCTGTGTTTGTTTTAACTGACAAATGCTTCTTGGAAAGGTATGTGGACAAACACAAGGAGCATATTCCTTATTTGTTCGGTGTCTTTGAAGGTACAGGTAGGATGTATTCTGAGGAGCTAGGATTTCAATATGGGCACTAACATGTTGATTTTGGTTGGGGTGTTGTTTTTTTGTTTTTTTCTTTTTCTTCTTCTCATGTTATTTGTCATATCCATTACCTTGAGGTTTATGGAAGATGTGGTTGGTTTAAAGATGAGATCTTGAAAGCTTTTAAAAAGAATCCTTGATGTATGCATTTCTCGGAAAAGAAAATAATTGGTACTGTCCATTTTCTTGATAATGTGATGGATTTAAAGCCTTCAGCAGTAGCTGCAAATCCATATCTACTTTCTTACAGTTTGAAGAAGAGATCAACGCAGTAGGCCTTGCCAAGAATCCATCATTCTACTGTCTTACACGTTTTGAAAGAACGGAGAACCATCTCGGCTAGGCGGTTTAGTTTTTTAAAAACTTTGATTGTTGGAAGTGTATTGAACGAAGAGAGATCAGTTGTCCGTTCTGTATTGCTTAATTAACTGAACAGACATGCTTCCTCAGTTTCCGTTCTGTATTGTTATTAACTGACAAATGCTTCTTAAAAATGTATATAGACAAACATCTGGAGGATATTCCTTATTTGCTGGATGTCTTTGACGGTAGGAAGTGTCCTCAAGAGCTAGGATTTCAATATGAGCAATAACATTTTGATTCTGAGATTTTTTTTTTCTTTTTTTGATCTTTATATCTTATGCTGTTAGGGTATGTACAGCTAGAGAATTTTGGATAATGTGGTGGCAGGGTTTGGGTTGAATCCTTAGAGCTCCTGTGGAAATGTCAAGTAGACTGTTTGTATGTTGTTTGGAATTCGAGAATTTTAAATGGAAATTGGCAATTTTTGGTCTTTTTATCCTGTGGAAATGTCAAGTAGACTGTTTGTATGTTGTTTGGAATTCGAGAATTTTAAATGGAAATTGGCAATTTTTGGTCTTTTTATTAACGTTCTTGTTGTTAAATTGAGTTTACTGCTGCCAAACACTAGCTATGTTTGTGTGTTTTATTACGGGTGCAAATGAGTCGGGTCGAGTATGATTATCTTCGTGCAAAGCTCTCGTAAAATTAAACAAGAGAATGTTTACATGGTTAGACTCTAACAATGTTTTAACTAATTTTTCAATGTTAAAAATTAATCAAGTAGTACGAATTTTATATATTTTGCAATTTATTATACTATGATTACAACTCATTTTGCAGTTTAAACTTAAAAGCAATGTAAAGTTTGCCCAAAAATCATTTTTTTATACACTCCTCAACTTAATAAAAAAAATTTTTTTTAAAGAAAAATAATTTTCAATATTTTTAATAAAATTTGTTAAAATTAAAAATAAAGTTAGAAGTTTATTATTATTATTAATAAAATTTGTTAAAATTAAAAATAAAGTTAGAAGTTTATTATTATTATTATTATTCTGTTTTTCAGTCATTAAGCCTAAAAAAAAGAGAAGCTAAACTAGTTATACTTACGAAACTAGATAGTGTTGTACTCTGGCCCAAACCCATCGGCCTCTCGCGTTTGTTGAATCTGAAGCCCCTTCTCTTCTTCTTCATCAGGAGGCACTGGCAGCAAACAAAAAGTTCCTCAGAGCCGTAGCCTTTTCTCAGGCCAGAAAATCCCTCAGTTTTGGAAGCAGCACCCAAAGAATGGAAATATGTGCTCCTATTAAACATCCTGCTCTGTTCTGCACCCGATGCTCTTTGGCAGAAACAAACTGCAAAACCCTAGAAAACGACGCCTAGAAATACAGCCAAGGTTAAGAATCAGTCTTGTAAGTTTGTTCCTTGCATTGTTTTTCAGGCTAATTTGTAATTGCATTTGTTTTCAGTTATGTTTGCTTACTATACACTAAACACCAACAATCGCTCTTCTTCCTATTTTTGAGATATTTTTTGTCTCTCTCCTATTTTGAGATATTTTTGTGATTTGAGTACCCATTTGCGGCTTCTTCAATGTACACCAGTTATTATTAACAGATCTTTCTCATCAACAATCAGTAGTAATAAAGAACAACCGGAAAAAATCTCTTTTACAGTTTCCTACCTCATAAATTCATGTGGATTGTCACCACCGGCCGCTATGTCTGCTTCCAAGAGAGTGCAATTTTTAACTCCAGAAAGACCAAACTCTGTCCTTGCACTACTGAATGAACATGGTTTCACCAACTTCCAAATAGCTAAACTTGTTAAGTATGACCCAGGATTGCTTTTAGCTGATCCTGAGAAAACTATTTTTCCCAAGCTTAAGTTTTTCTCTTCTGTAGGGATTACTGGCCCAGACCTTGCAAAATTCATATCTGCAAACCCAAGTGTATTACGCCATAGCTTACCGAATTTTATTATTCCTGCTTATAAATTTGTCAGGAGTGCTTTGCTATTTGATGATGACATGGTCATTAGAGCTTTGAGGGCAGGATCAAGAATTCTTCTATATGATGTGGAAAAGATTATGGCTCCTAATTTATTAATCTTGAGGGAAATTGGAATGACACAATCCCTTATCAATATGTTATTGACATATCATAGTTCTTTGATATGCCATAAAGTTGACAAGTTCCGGGATAAGGTAAAAGAGGTTATTAATATGGGGTTCTGCCCGACCAAAACAAAGTTCGTCCACGCTCTTCATGCAATTATCAGCATTAGTAAATCAAATTGGCAGCACAAGATTGAGCTTTATGGAAGATATGGTTGGTCTGAAGATGAGATGTTGTCAGTTTTCAAGAAACATCCTCTTTGCATGTTTGCATGGCCTTTCGGAGAAGAAAAAGAATTGGTGTTATGGATTTTTTTCTTGTTTAATTTGTTATGGACATGAAGCTTTCAAAATAGCGCAAGTCCTACCTTTTTACTTTGAGTTTTGAAGAGAGAATATTCCTAGGGGCTAGTTATTTAAAACTTCTGACTATTGAAAGGTCTGTTTATTGGAGGGGCTTAGTTATTAAAACTTTGATATTGAAAGGTGTATTGGAGAAGAATATCAACTTCTATTCTGTGTTGGTATTAACTGACAAATGCTTCTTGGAAAGGTATGTGGACAAACACAAGGAGCATATTCCTTATTTGCTCGATGTCTTTGAAGGTAAAGGTAGGATGTATTCTGAGGAGCTAGGATTTCAATATGGGCAATAACATGTTGATTTTGGGATGGTGTTTTTTTTTTTTCTTTTTCTTCTTCTCATGTAATTTGTCATCTCCATTACATTAACCACTGAGGATTTGGTGAATTGATGCATTTTGAGACCTGTTTCTGCTATGCATAATCTGGTTTCCGGGCATTAGTTTCCGATGAGAAAAACTTGTAATTGAAAGTTCCACTGCGAACAGCGAGCAGGTGGAGTGAGTGGAGACGAGCACTTCAAAGTATTTCTTGAAAGAGTCCTTTAGTAATAAATTAGCTATTTGCTCCTAATTTGTTGTAAAACGAACAGATAACTCACCCTTTGCTGCAATTTCTTCAATAAATTGGACTTGCAGCAATTTAAGTCGTACTAATTCTCTAGTCAGCTCATATAGCAGGTTTTGAGCTCAATTGGCTTCAAAACGACAAAGGTTTAGGGTACAATACAAACAACATATTTCGAAATATTTTTTATGTTTTAGACCTTAATGACAAAAAAGATGTCCAATTTATAGTTTTGAGAAGAAAAGTAAATTAATAATTTTTTAGAATAAGAAAGAAGTTTATTATTAAAGAAGTTTATTATTGAAATATAAAATGGGAAAGAATGATTTTGTATTTCAAACTATAGTTAATGCATGAGCAATTTTCTCTTGGTCCAAGTAATAGAAATATTTCAAACTATAGTTAATGTCTTTTAAGAAGACCAAGGCCCTGTTTATTATAATTTTTTATTTTTAGTTTTTTATTTATTAGAAATATGAAGTAGTTTTTACTTTTATATTACTATTTTTTAAGACTATTTAAAAAGTTTTTTTTTTTTTTTGTTCATGATGTGAAAAATTCTTCTAATTATCAAATCTGTCCCTTATTAAGCTATTAAAGATTTTACTTCGTAGTAAAAATTCTAAAAATCCAAAGTTTCACAGAAAAAATAATTAAAAATATTTTACAATTTAATTTTAAAATTTCAAAGTTACAATAACTATTAATTATTATGTTGAATAAAAACACAATGTCCAAATATTATAATAAATAAATAATGCTAAATTATATTAGATTTATAGAGATAGAGAAAATAATAATAAATATAAAAACAATATTAAATAGAGAGGAGATAGAAAAAAAAAAGTTGAAAAATTGAATAAGAGATAAAAATATATTTTGTATATTTTGCATAAATAAATGACATTATAGATAAATAAATAATATTAAATTTATAATAATAATAGTAATAATAATAATTTTATGAGGATAAATCTTATAAAAAATTAAAAAAAATGAGAAATATAGAATTAAAAACAGTAAACAACTATTTGTGGTTTCATAAAATTTATTTTTTTTAAAAACAGTTTTCTCAAAAATAAAGAAAAAATAAAAAAAAATAAAATAAACAAGTTTAACAAATAAGTTTCTTTATTTAAAAAAAATGAAAAAATAAAAAATTTAAATAAAAATAAATAGCAAATAAGTTTATTTATTTAAAAAAAATGAAAAAATAAAAAATTTAATAAAAATAAATAGTAAATAATTTATTAGGGAATTATAAATTATTAAGTGAATTGATTATAATATTTTTAATTTATCCATTATATGTAAAGGATAAAATAAAAAAAAAAAATTTATTATTTATCAAACTCAGGGGCGACAACTATTTGGATGCAGAATGAGTATTTTATTATTATTTTTATACAAAATCAGTTTTTGCCCTTGGAAACGGTATCACTAATCCCCCCTTCTCCTACCTTCCTCGTCTAGCACCCATCACCGTCTCTGCTGCTGGCGCCGCCGCGTACTTTATCTCCGCTGCTTCCTAAATTAATTTATCTGCGCTGGTGAAGGCGAGTGATATTAATTTGCAGCCATGACATATCATTTGGTTTGAGTTTTAGGTGGAGTCGTTCTCTGGCCCAAACCCTCTTGTTAGTTGAATCTGAAGTTCCATCATCTTCATTAGCAGCAAACAAAGTTAAAAAGAGCCATAGCCTTCTCAAATCTCTAAGATTCCGGAACAGCACAAAAGCAACGGAAAGATGTGCTCCTGTTAAAATCCTCCCAAATCAACAACGAGACAGTCAAACGTCCTGCTCTGCTCGGCAAAACCCCAGAAAACGACATTTGATTGAACTTCAGCCAAGGCTAAGAATTAGTCTTGTAAGTTGTCCCTTGCATTGCTAATTTCATACATTTCGGTGATGATTCGTTTACTCTACTCTAAAACACCACAATTGGTATCTCCTATTTTGAGACATTTTTGTGATTTAAGGACCTATTCAAAGTTTCTTCAATCTACACCAGCTGCCATTATCAGAGCTTTCTCGTCTGATAACAAAACAACAGTAGAAACCTCTTTTACAGTTTCATACCTCATAAATTCATGTGGGTTGTCACAAGAGGCTGCTAATTCTGCTTCTAAGAGAGTGCAATTTGAAACCGTAGAAAGGCCAAACTCTGGGCTTGCTCTTCTCCACAAATATGGTTTCTCTAATCCCCAAATAACCAAAATTGTTAAGTTATATCCATTGCTTCTTTTAGCTGATCCTGAGAAAACTATTTTTCCAAAGCTTATGTTTTTCTCTTCTATTGGGATCAGTAGCCCAGACATTATAGAGATCATCTCTTCAAAGCCAGGTATATTAACCCATAGCTTAAGGAATCGAATTATTCCTGTTTATGAATTCCTCAAGTCTGCATTGCTATTTGATGATGACATGGTCAATAAAGCTATGAGAAGGGGATCGAGAATTTTTCAACGCAATGTGGAAAGGGTTAGTGCTCCTAATTTGTTGTTCTTGAGAGAAATTGGAATGCCACAATCCTCTATCCAGCTGTTATTGATACATCATACTAATTTGTTGTTGTATAAAGTCGACATGTTTCGCGAGAAGATCAAAGAGGTTATGAATATGGGTTTCTACCCTACAGAAACGAAGTTTATCCATGCTCTTGCTTCAATGCTCCAATTATCTGAATCAAATTGGGAACACAAAATTGAGGTTTATGGAAGATGTGGTTGGTCTGAAGCTGACGTAATGTTTGCTTTCAAAAAGGCTCCTGAAATCATGACTTTTTCAGAGAAGAAGATAATTGGTTGTATGGATTTTCTTGTTAATGTGATGGATATCAGAGAGAAGATAATCTGGTTGTATGGTATTTTGCTTGTTAATGTGATGGATATTATGGATTTTCTTGTTAATGTGATGGATATGAAGCCTTCAGAAATAGCTGGAACTCCTTACCTTCTTTGTTACAGTACGAAGAAAAGAATCATTCCCAGGGGTTTAGTTATTAAAATTTTGAAGTCGAAAGGTGCATTGGAGAAGAATATCTGTTTCTCTACTGTGGTGGGATTAACTAACAAATGCTTCTTAGAAAGGTATATGGACAAACACAGGGAGCACATTCCTTATTTGCAGGATGTCTTTGAAGGTAGGATGTGTCCTCAAGAACTAGGCCTTCAATATGGGCAGTAACATGTTAATTTTGGTAACTATGGTTCTTTTTCTTCTTCCTTTCTTCATAGCTCGTATTACTTGTCATATCAATTATGCTATAGCTTAACCACCAATGGTTCCATACTTTCTGTTTTCATTTGAAGTACAAATGGAACTGTAAGGTTGAATTTGCCTCCAAACTTACTTAAAAATCAAATTTTTATTTAATCATTTTGATACATTTTTGTGATTTGAGGACCCATTTGCGATTTCTTCCATGTACACCACTTATTATTACCGAAACTTTCTCATCAACAATCAGTACAGATAAAAAACAACTGAAAAATGCCTCTTTTACAGTTTCCTACTTGATAAATTCATGTGGATTGTCACCACAAGCCGCTATATCTGCTTCCAAGAAAGTGCAATTCTTAACTCCAGAAAGACCAGACTCTGTTCTTGCATTGCTCAACAAACATGGTTTCACTAATTCCCGACCTTCTGTTTCTCATTGCATTGCTCACAAACATGGTTCACCTAATTCCCCCAAATGGCTTATATAAATTGTTTTTAAGCCCATGAACCCCCCCGGATTCTTTAATATGGATTCTTGAAGAAAAATTTTTTAGTATTTCCTTATTATTCCAAAGATTTTTAAATTGGTTTCGTCTTCTATTGGGAATCAACTGGGGCCCAAACCCTTTGGGGCAAAATTACATAATCTTTTCAAAACCCCAAACCAGTAACTTTCTTTACGGAAGTGCCTAAACTAAGCTTTTTTAAGGAAATCGAATTATTTCCTGGTTGTTAGGAAATTCCTGCATGAATGCCCGCTTGGCCTAATGGTCGATGATGAAAACAAATGGGGGTGCCCCCAATTAAAGGCTAGCTTAAGGAATCGAATTATTCCTGGTTATGAATTCCTCATGAATGCTTTGCTATTCGATGATGACATGGTCATTAAAGCTATGAGTAATCAATCAAGAATTTTGCGACAGGATGTTGAAAAGATTAGTGCTTCTAATTTATTGTTCTTGAGACAAATTGGAACGCCACAATCTTTAATCCAGCAGATTTTGATGCATCATCCTAGTGTGCTGTGCCACAAAGCTGATAAATTCCACGATAAGATCAAAGAGCTTATTGATATGGGGTTCTGCCCTACAGGAATGAAGTTTATCTATGCTCTTCAAGCAATTCTACTCAATGAATCATACTGGCAACGGAAAATTGAGGTTTATGGAAGATGTGGTTGGTCTAAAGATGAGATCTTGAAAGCTTTTAAAAAGGATCCTCGATGTATGCGTTTCTCGGAAAAGAAAATAATTGGTACTGTCCATTTTCTTGATAATGTGATGGATTTAAAGCCTTCAGCAGTAGCTGCAAATCCGTATCTACTTTCTTACAGTTTGAAGAAGAGAACCATTCCTAGGCGTTTAGTTTTTAAAACTTTGATGTTGAAAGTCTTACAGTTTGAAGAAGAGAACCATTCCTAGGCGTTTAGTTTTTAAAACTTTGATGTTGAAAGGTGTATTGAAGAAGAAGACCAGTTTCCGTTCTGTATTGTTATTAACTGACAAATGCTTCTTAAAAATGTATATAGACAAACATCTGGAGGATATTCCTTATTTGCTGGATGTCTTTGACGGTAGGAAGTGTCCTCAAGAGCTAGCATTTCAATACGAGCAATAACATTTTGATTCTGAGGTTTTTTTTTTTTTTTTCTTTTTTTTTTTCTTTTTTGATCTTTATATCATATGCTGTTTAGGGTATGTACAGCTAGAGAATTTTGGATAATCTGGTGGCAGGGTTTGGGTTGAATCCTTAGAGCTCCTATGGAAATGTCAAGTAGACTGTTTGTATGTTGTTTGGAATTCGAGAATTTTAAATGGAAATTGGCAATTTTTGGTCTTTTTATTAACGTTCTTGTTGTTAAATTGAGTTTACTGCTGCCAAACTATAGCTATGCTCGACTGTGTGTTTTATTACGGGTGCAAATGAGTCGGGTCGAGTATGAGTATCTTCGTGCAAAGCTCTCGTAAAATTAAACAAGAGAATATTTACATTGTTAGACTCTAACAATGTTTTAACTAATTTTTCAATGTTAAAGATTAATCAAGTAGTATGAATTTTATATATTTTGCAATTTATTATACTATGATTAAAACTCATTTTGCAGTTTAAACTTAAAAGCAATGTAAAATTTGCCCAAAAATCATTTTTTTTTTACAATTTACCCTCCTCAACTTAATAAAAAACTTAATTTTTAAAGAAAAATAATTTTCAATATTTTAAATAAAATTTGTTAAAATTAAAAATAAACTTAGAAGTTTATTATTATTATTATTATTCTGTTTTTCAGTCATTAAGCCTAAAAAAAGAGAGGCTAAACTAGTTATACTAAGAGTTGTACTCTGGCCCAAACCCATCGGCCTCTCGCGTTTGTTGAATCTGAAGTCCCTTCTCTTCTTCTTCGTCAGGAGGCACTGGCAGCAAACAAAAAGTTCCTCAGAGCCGTAGCCTTTTCTCAGGCCAGAAAATCCCTCAGTTTTGGAAGCAGCACCCAAAGAATGGAAATATGTGCTCCTATTAAACATCTTGCTCTGTTCTGCACCCGATGCTCTTTGGCAGAAACAAACTGCAAAACCCTAGAAAACGACGCCTAGAAATTCAGCCAAGGTTAAGAATCAGTCTTGTAAGTTTGTTCCTTGCATTGTTTTTCAGGCTAATTTGCATTTGTTTCAGTTATGTTTGCATTACTATACACTAAAACACCACAATCGCTCTCTCCTATTTTGAGATATTTTTGTGATTTGAGTACCCATTTGCGGCTTCTTCAATGTACACCAGTTATTATTAACAGATCTTTCTCATCAACAATCAGTAGTAATAAAGAACAACCGGAAACCGGAAAAAACCTCTTTACAGTTTTTCCTACCTCATTAAATTCATGTGGATATGTCACCACCGGCCGCTTATATTCTGCTTCCAAGAGAGTGCAATTTTTAACTCCAGAAAGACCAAACTCTGTCCTTGCACTACTCAATCAACATGGTTTCACCAACTTCCAAATAGCTAAACTTGTTAAGTATGACCCAGGATTTCTTTTAGCTGATCCTGAGAAAACTATTTTTCCCAAGCTTAAGTTTTTCTATTCTGTCGGGATTACTGGCCCAGACCTTGCAAAAATCATATCTGTAAACCCAAGTCTATTACGCCATAGCTTACCGAATTTTATTATTCCTGCTTATAAATTTGTCAGGAGTGCTTTGCTATTTGATGATGACATGGTCATTAGAGCTTTGAGGCCAGGATCAAGAATTCTTCTATATGATGTGGTTCTTATAATGATGTGGAAAGATTTATGGCTCCTAATTTATGGCTCCTAATTTATTAGTCTTGAGGGAAATTGGAATGACACAATCCCTTATCAATATGTTATTGGCATATCATAGTTCTTTGATATGCCATAAAGTTGACAAGTTCCGGGATAAGGTCAAAGAGGTTATTAATATGGGGTTCTGCCCTACCAAAACAAAGTTCGTCCATGCTCTTCATGCAATTATCAGCATTAGTGAATCAAATTGGCAGCACAAGATTGAGCTTTATGGAAGATATGGTTGGTCTAAAGATGAGATGTTGTCAGTTTTCAAGAAACATCCTCTTTGCATGACCCTTTCGGAGAAGAAAATAATTGGTGTTATGGATTTTCTTGTTAATTTTATGGACATGAAGCCTTCAAAAATAGCTGCAAGTCCTTACCTTTTTACTTCCTTTACCTTTTTAGCTTCGAGTTTGAAGAAGAGATAATTCTAGGGGGCTTTAGGGGCTTAGTTATTAAAACTTTGATATTGAAAGGTGTATTGGAGAAGAATATCAACTTCTATTCTGTGTTGGTATTAACTGACAAATGCTTCTTGGAAAGGTATGTGGACAAACACAAGGAGCATATTCCTTATTTGTTCGATGTCTTTGAAGGTAAAGGTAGGATGTACTCTCAGGAGCTAGGATTTCAATATGGGCAGTAACATGTTGATTTTGGTTGGGATGGTGTTTTTTTTTTTTCTTTTTCTTCTTCTCATGTTATTTGTCATATCCATTACATTAACCGCCGAGGATTTGGTGAATTGATGCATTTTGAGACCTGTTCTGCTATGCATAATCTGGTTTCTGGGCATTAGTTTCCGATGAGAAAAACTTGTAATTGAAAATTCCACTGCGAACAGCCAGTGGGTGGAGTGAGTGGAGACGAGCACTTCAAAATATTTCTCGAAAGAGTCCTTTTGTAATGCATTAGCTATTTGCTCCTAATTTGTTGTAAAACGAACAGTTAGCTCACCCTTGCTGCAATTTATGTCGTACTAATACTCTTGTCACCTCATATTGCAGGTTTTGCACTCAATTGGTTTCAAAACGACAAAGTTTTAGGGTACAATACAAACAACATATTTCGAAACAACATATTTCGAAATATTTTTTATATGTTTTTAGACTTAATTGGCAAAAAAGAAATGTCAATTTATAGTTTGAGAAGAAATAAAATTAATAATTTTTAGAATAAGAAAGAAGTTTATTATTGACATTAAAAAGAATAAAATGGGAAAGAATGATTTTGTATTTCAAACTATAGTTAATGCATGAGCAATTGTCTCTTTGTCCAAGTAATAGAAATATTGTCATTAGACTAAACATTCCCAAATCATCAATTGCCATATCAAATTTAGTATTATCCATAAAATAATACTTTTATATCTTAAAATATAAATTTTTTAAATCAATGGTAATTTGTGAAGTTAATTATTGTATTTGATATAATTAAGAGTAATATTTAAAAAATATCGTTCATTGTTTTTTAAAATATTCAAAACGATTTATATTTTGGGACAGAATAATTTTTTATATTTATGAGTTAAAAATATTAAAATTCATTGCTTATTTTGTTTTCAAATACTTGTCACATTTAGGTATTTAATGTCTTTTAAGAAGACTAAGGCCCTATTTATTATAATTTTTTATTTTTAGTTTTTTATTTATTAGAAATATGAAGTAGTTTTTAGTTTTTGATTACTATTTTTTTAAAAACTATTTTAATTTTTTTTTTTTTTTCATGATGTGAAAAATTCTTTCAATTATCAAATCTCTCCCTTATTAAGCTATTAAAGATTTTACTTAATAGTTAAAATTCTAAAAATCCAAAGTTTCAAACAAAATAATTAAAAATATTTTACAATTCAATTTTAAAATTTTAAAGTTACAGTAACTATTAATTATTATGTTGAATACACAATATCCAAATATTATAATAAATAAATAATACTAAATGATATTAGATTTACATATATAGAGAAAAAATAATAAATATAAAAATAATACTAAATAGAGAAGAGATAGAAAAAAAGTTGAAAAATTGAATAAGAGACAAAAATATATGCTTGTATATTTTGGATAAATAAATGACATTATGAATAAATAAATAATATTAAATTTATAATAATAATAATAATAATAATAAATATATAATTAATAATAATAATAATACTAGTAGTAGTAGTATTTTGTTGGGATCTTTTATCATTTTCGGAGTGGAAATTCTTTTTTCCCATCAATTCATTTGTGACAATCACAATAGTAATAATAATAATTTTATGAGGATAAATCTTATAAAAATAAAAAAACGAGAAATATAAAATTAAAAACAGTAAACAATAATTTGTGGTTTCATAAAGTTTATTTTTTATTTTAAAAACAGTTTTCTCAAAAATAAAGAAAAAATATAATAAACAAGTTTAAACAAATAAATTTATTTATTTATTAAAGAAAAGTGAAAAACAAAAAATTTAATGGAAAACAAATAGTAAATAATTTATCAGTGAATTATAAATTATTAAGTGAATTGATTATAATATTTTTAATTTATCTATTATATAAAATTATTTAAAAATTAAAGTAATAATTAACTGATAAAAAACAACTGCAAAATGCTTCTTTTACAGTTTCCTACTTGATAAATTCATGTAGATTGTCACCACAAGCCGCTATATCTGCTTCCAAGAAAGTGCAATTCTAACTCCAGAAAGACCAGACTCTGTTCTTGCATTGCTCAACAAACATGGTTTCACTAATTCCCACAAACATGGTTTCACTTAATTCCCAAATGGCTAAAATTGTTTAAGCATGAGACCCACGGGATTCTTTTTTATATGATTCTGAGAAAATTATTCTTCCAAAGTTTAAAATTTTTCTCTTCTTATTGGAATGGAGGGTGGCCCCAAGCCCGATTTGCCAACTTTTGCACAATTCATATCTTCAAACCCACCACTACTAAGCACTAGCTTAAGGAATCGAATTATTCCTGGTTATGAATTCCTCATGAATGCTTTGCTATTTGATGATGACATGGTCATTAAAGCTATGAGTAATCAATCAAGAATTTTGCGACAGGATGTTGAAAAGATCAGTGCCCCTAATTTATTGTTCTTGAGACGAATTGGAACGCCACAATCTTTAATCCGGCAGATCTTGATGCATCATCCTAGTGTGCTGTGCCGCAAAGCTGATAAGTTCCTCGATAAGATCAAAGAGCTTATTGATATGGGGTTCGCCCTACAGGAATGAAGTTTATCTATGCTCTTCAAGCAATTCTACTTAATGAATCAAACTGGCAACGCAAAATTGAGGTTTATGGAAGATGTGGTTGGTCTAAAGATGAGATCTTGAAAGCTTTTAAAAGGGATCCTCGATGTATGCGTTTCTCGGAAAACAAAATAATTGGTACTGTCCATTTTCTTGATAATAAAATAATTGGTACTGTCCATTTTCTTGATAATGTGATGGATTTAAAGCCTTCAGCAGTAGCTGCAAATCCATATCTACTTTCTTACAGTTTGAAGAAGAGAACCATTCCTAGGCGTTTAGTTTTTAGAACTTTGATGTTGAAAGGTGTATTGAAGAAGATCAGTTTCCGTTCTGTATTGTTATTAACTGACAAATGCTTCTTAAAAATGTATATAGACAAACATCTGGAGGATATTCCTTATTTGCTGGATGTCTTTGACGGTAGGAAGTGTCCTCAAGAGCTAGGATTTCAATACGAGCAATAACATTTTGATTCTGAGGTTTTTATATGAGCAATAACATTTTGATTCTGAGGTTTTTTTTTTTTCTTTTTTGATCTTTATATCTTATGCCGTTTAGGGTATGTACAGCTAGAGAATTTTGGATAATCTGGTGGGAGGGTTTGGGTTGAATCCTTAGAGCTCCTGTGGAAATGTCAAGTAGACTGTTTGTGTATTGTTTGGAATTCAAGAATTGTTAATGGAAATTGGCAATTTTTGGTCTTTTTATTAACTAGCTATGTTTGTGTGTTTTATAAGGAATGCAAATGATTCGGGTCAATATCATTATGTTCATGCAAAGCTCGCAAAATTAAACAAGAGAAAATTTACATGGTTAGATTTCAACAACCGTCTCAACTAATTTTTTAACTTAAAAAATTATGTAGGACCTACATATGCGAATTTTATGTATTCTGTAATTTATTATACCATGATACTTTTATAATTTTTAATTGAAATAAAGCTCAATTTGCATCATAAATTTGTAAGATGTACAATTTGTCCAAAAATTGAGCTTGCGGCTAGGGCAGTAAACAAGACAAGCCGCTCGTGAGCTGCTTGTGGCTCGGTTTGGTAAAAGCTCGCTCGAGTTCGTTCAATAAGTTTATCGAGCTTAAGTCGAGCTATCAAATTTGTTTAATAAACGAGCCGAGCTCTCGAGTTAGCCTTATCGAGTCAAGTTGAGTTCACGAGTTAGTTCAATAAGCTAAAATCAATTAAAATCTATATTAAAACGAGGTTGTTTTGATTGTTATTATTATTATTATTATTATTATTATTATTATTATTCTGTTTTTCTGTCATTAAGCCTAAAAAAATGAGAGGCTAAACTAGTTATACTCACGAAACTAGATAGAGTTGTACTCTGGCCCAAACCCATCGGCCTCTCGCGTTTGTTGAATCTGAAGCCCCTTCTCTTTTTCTTCATCAGCAGGCACTGGCAGCAAACAAAAAGTTCCTCAGAGCCGTAGCCTTCTCAGGCCAGACAAATCCCTCAGTTTTGGAAGCAGCATCCAAAGAACGGAAATATGTGCTGCTATTAAACATCCTGCTCTGTTCTGCACCCGATGCTCTTTGGCAGAAACAAACTGCAAAACCCTAGAAAACGACACCTAGATCGAAATTCAGCCAAGGTTAAGAATCAGTCTTGTAAGTTGGTTCCTTGCATTGTTTTTCAGGCTAATTTGCATTTGTTTCAGTTATGTTTGCTTTACTATACGCTAAAACACCACAATTGCTCTCTCCTATTTTGAGATATTTTTGTGATTTGAGTACCCCCATTTGCGGCTTCTTCAATGTACACCAGTTATTATTAAAAGATCTTTCTCATCAACAATCGGTAGGAATGAAAACCAACCGGAAAAAACCTCTTTTACAGTTTCCTACCTCATAAATTCATGTGGATTGTCACCACAGGCCGCTATATCTGCTTCCAAGAGAGTGCATTTTTTAACTCCAGAAAGACCAAACTCTGTCCCTGCACTACTCAATGAACATGGTTTCACCAATTCCCAAATAGCTAAACTTGTTAAGTATAACCCAGGATTTCTTTTAGCTGATCCTGAGAAAACTATTTTTCCCAAGCTTAAGTTTTTCTCATCTGTCGGGATTACTGGCCCAGACCTTGCACCTGAGAAAACTATTTTTCCCAAGCTTAAGTTTTTCTCATCTGTCGGGATTACTGGCCCAGACCTTGCAAAATTCATATCTGCAAACCCAAGTCTATTACGCCATAGCTTACCGAATTTTATTATTCCTGTTTATAAATTAATTTATGATATTAATTTGCAGCCATGACATATTATTTGGTTTGAGTTTTAGGTGGAGTCGTTCTCTGGCCCAAACCCTCTTGTTAGTTGAATCTGAAGTTCCATCATCTTCGTCAGCAGCAAACAAAGTTAAAAAGAGCCATAGCCTTCTCAAATCTCTAAGATTCCGGAACAGCACAAAAACAACGGAAAGATGTGCTCCTGTTAAAATCCTCCAAATCAACAACGAGACGGTCAAACGTCCTGCTCTGCTCGGCAACACCCCAGAAAACGACATTTGATTGAACTTCAGCCAAGGCTAAGAATTAGTCTTGTAAGTTGTCCCTTGCATTGCTAATTTCATACATTTCAGTGATGATTCGTTTACTCTACTCTAAAACACCACAATTGGTATCTCCTATTTTGAGACATTTTTGTGATTTAAGGACCTATTCACAGTTTCTTCAATCTACACCTGTTACTGTTGTCAGAGCTTTCTCGTCTGATAACAATACGGCAGTAGAAACCTCTTTTACAGTTTCATACCTCATAAATTCATGTGGGTTGTCACGAGAAGCTGCTAATTCTGCTTCTAAGAGAGTGCAATTTGAAAACGTGGAAAGGCCAAACTCTGTGCTTGCTCTTCTCCACAAATATGGTTTCTCCAATCCCCAGATAACCAAAATTGTTAAGTTGTATCCATTGCTTCTTTTAGCTGATCCTGAGAAAACTATTTTTCCAAAGCTTATGTTTTTCTCTTCTATTGGGATCAGTAGCCCAGACATTGCAGAACTCATCTCTTCAAAGCCAGTTGTATTAACCCATAGCTTAAGGAATCGAATTATTCCTGTTTATAAATTCCTCAAGTCTGCATTGCTATTTGATGATGACATGGTTATTAAAGCTATGAGTAGGGGATCGAGAATTTTTCAACACGATGTGGAAAGGGTTAGTGCTCCTAATTTGTTGTTCTTGAGAGAAATTGGAATGCCACAATCCTGTATCCAGCTGTTATTGATACATTATACTAATTTGTTATTGTTTAAAGTTGGCATGTTTCGCAATAAGATCAAAGAGGTTATGAATATGGGTTTCTGCCCTACAGAAACGAAGTTTATCCGTGCCCTTGCTGCAATTACTCAAAATGAATCAAGTTGGCAACACAAAATTGAGGTTTATGTAAGATGTGGTTGGTCGAAAGATGAGATCTTGTCAGCTTTCAAAAAGGATCCTCGATGCATGACTTTTTCGGAGAAGAAAATAATTGGTACTATGGATTTTCTCGTTAATGTGATGGATTTAAAGCCTTCAGCAGTAGCTGCAAATCCATATCTACTTTCTCACAGTTTGAAGAAGACAGTAGCTGCAAATCCATATCTACTTTCTCACAGTTTGAAGAAGAAAATAATTCCTAGGGGTTTAGTTATTAAAATTTTGATGTCGAAAGGTGCATTGGAGAAGAATATCAGTTTCTCTACTGTGTTGACATCAAGTGAGAAATTTTTCTCAGAAATGTATGTGGACAAACACAAGGAGCATATTCCTTCTTTGCAGGATGTATTTGAAGGTAGGATGTGCCCTCGAGAACTAGGGTTTCAATATGGGCACTAACATGTTAGATTTAGATTTTTTTTTATTTATTATTATTATTTTTGTATATCTCTGTATGGCTTAACCACTAAAGATTTGGTCAGCTTAGTGTAGAGAATTTTTGAGACTTGTTTCTACTATGGATAATCTGGTGGGACAGTTTGTCCTCAATCCTTGGAACTTGAGTGGTTCTTATGAAATTGTTTGGAATTCAGGTCCTTTTTTGTTTTTTAATTAACGTTCATATTGCTAAAACTAATGAAATGCTTGATAGAGTGCAAATGAGTCAAGCTAGGCTTTGACTGCTTCAGGTTTGAGTAGTTATTAACAAAGTTAAAGTTTTGAAAGCTAAATGAAATTAATTGAACTTGAATTATTTTTTTTATCAATTTACATTATAAATTTAGAAATTCATCAATTTATTGAAAAATTAAAATATGTAGTTTAAAGAATTTAATATAATATAATTTTTTTATAGTAAATGTGTAGACTTTAATTATTATTATTATTATTATTATTGTATTAAAAATTATCTTTTGGCAAATAAGTTTTAAAATGTATATCTATATGTAAGAATCCTAAACAAATGTAGAGATGAAAGGAATGGATTAGGGCATATGAAATGTAGCGTTTAAGTATCTTATTCATATGATTTCGCCCAATTTAAAAATAATCAAAATGCTAAAAACTAATTAAAAATCTATTGTTTAATATTGTTTTCTACACTCTTTTTGTGCATATCCAAACAATAGAAATTCCCTATTTCTTTCGGCTTTTATATAGGTATATAAAATTTACTTAAAAGATAAGTGTTTATGCCATATATTAATAATTTAAAATTTTAAATTTGAACATAGTATTATCTTTTTCCTTTCAAATAACAGTGCATGAGAAATGTTGGGCTCCTCATCGTGAATGAAATATAATTGGGTTTCTGTCTTAGTTAGACTCATTCTCTGGCCCAAACTCAAATAAAATCTGAAGCCCCTTCTTCATCAGCAGCACCCAATATACAGAAAGACGTGCTCCTTTTAAAATAAACATCCTCCAACCGGCAACGACACAGTCGGCGCTCTTGGGAGAAGTAACCACAGCCGCCAGCTCTAAGAATTAGTCTTGTAAGTTCGTTCCTTGCATTGTTTTTCTGGCTAATTTCCATATATTTGAGTATGTTTGCTTTATATTACAATAAATCACCCCAATTGCTCTCTCCTCTTTTAACACATTTTTGTGATTTGAGAACCCATTTGCCGTTTCTTCAATCTTCACCGGTTATTATTACCAGATCTTTTTCATCAGTTGACAATACAAAAATTAGTAATCAAAAACAACTGAAACAAACCTCGTTTACAATTTCATACCTCATGAATTCATGTGGGTTATCGCGGGAAGCCGCTAATTCTATCTCCAAAAGAGTGCAATTTGTAAGCCCAGAAAGGCCGGACTGTGTCCTTGCTTTTCTGAAAAAACATGGTTTCTGCAATTTCCAAATAACAAAAATTGTTAAGTCACGTCCAGAGATTCTTTTAGCTGATCCTGAGAAAACCTTTTTACCTAAGCTTAATTTTTTCTCTTCTATTGGGATAACTGGTCCAAACCTTGCAAAATTAATATCTTTACTACCAGCGTTATTAAACACTAGCTTAAGGAATCAGATTATTCCTGCTTATGAGTTCCTCAAGAGTGCTTTGCTATTTGATGATGACATGGTCATTCGAGCTTTGAGATCACAATCGAGGTTTCTTCTATATGATGTGGAAAAAACTAGTGCTCCTAATTTATTGGTCTTGAGAGAAATTGGAATGCCGCAATCTGTAATCCAGCACATCTTCATACATCATCCTAGTTTGCTGTGCCATAAAGCTGAGAAGTTCCACCTTCATACATCATCCTAGTTTGCTGTGCCATAAAGCTGAGAAGTTCCACGATAAGATCAAAGAGCTTATTGATATGGGGTTCTGCCCTACAAAAACAAAGTTTATCCATGCTCTTGCTTCAATGCTCCAATTCTCTGACTCAAATTGGGAACACAAAATTGAGGTTTATGGAAGATGTGGTTGGTCTGAAGCTGACTTAATGTTTGCTTTCAAAAAAGCTCCTGAATGCATGACTTTTTCAGAGAAGAAGATAATTGGTTGTATGAATTTTCTTATTAATGTGATGGATATGAAGCCTTCAGAAATTGCTGCATCTCCTTACCTTCTTCATTACAGTATGAAGAAAAGAATCATTCCCAGGGGTTTAGTTATTAAAATTTTGACGTCTAAAGGTGCATTGGAGAAGAATATCAGTTTCTATACTGTGTTGGTATTAAATGACAAATGCTTCTTAGAAAGGTATGTGGACAAACACAAGGAGCATATTCCTTATTTGCAGGATGTCTTTGAAGGTAGGATGTGTCCTCAAGAGCTAGGATGTTTTTGATATCTAATTTCTCAAAATGAATCAACTTGGCAAAACAAAATTGAGGTTTATGGAAGATGTGGTTGGTCGAAAGATGAGATCTTGTCAGCTTTCAAAAAGGATCCTCGATGCATGACTTTTTCGGAGAAGAAAATAATTGGTACTATGGATTTTCTCGTTAATGTGATGGATTATACATGGAAAGATGAGATCTTGTCAGCTTTCAAAAAGGATCCTCGATGCATGACTTTTTCGGAGAAGAAAATAATTGGTACTATGGATTTTCTCGTTAATGTGATGGATTTAAAGCCTTCAGCAGTAGCTGCAAATCCATATCTACTTTCTCACAGTTTGAAGAAGAGAACCATTCCTAGGGATTTAGTTATTGAAATTTTAATTTCAGAAGGTGGATTGCAGAAGAATATCAGTTTCTCTTCTGTGTTGACATTAAGTGAGAAATGCTTCTCAAAAATTTATGTGGACAAACACAAGGAGCATATTCCTTCTTTGCAGGATGTATTTGAAGGTAGGATGTGTCCTCAAGAGCTAGGGTTTCAATATGGGCACTAACATGTTAGATTTTGATTTTTTTTTTTATTTATTTTTTTATATCTCTGTATAGCTTAACCACTAAAGATTTGGTCAGCTTAGTGTAGAGAATTTTTGAGACTTGTTTCTACTATGGATAATCTGGTGGGACAGTTTGTCCTCAATCCTTGGAACTTTGAGTGGTTCTTATGAATTGTTTGGGATTCAGGTCTTTTTTTGTTTTTTTAATTAACTTTCATATTGCTGAAACTAATGCAATGCTTGATAGAATGCAAATGAGTCGAGCTAGGCCTTGAGTCTGAGTCAAGTATCGTCATGAACATGTAAAGCTTACAAATTTACTGCTTAATGTTTGATTAAATCTGCAGGAGCTTTAAAGCTATGTTTGATTAAAATCTGCAGGAGCTTTGAAGATATGTTTGATTAAGCTTCCTGAACTAACCCTAATCAAACTGATTGAAACTTGTGACCTTAAGCCAATTTCTACTACCCCAATTCCATGATAAGTTATGGCAATTGACTTAGATTCCACATTAATAGTTTTAAGTTTTTAATATAGGAGTTACATGAACTTGAACTTCCCAACTTGGATAGCTAGTTTTTGAGTTGTGGACCAGTGATTCTCCCAAAACCAATTGATTGGTATCACAGCCAATTACCACTCCTTCTAGTTGCATGAGTAACGTAACAACCGTAACAGCTTTAGAGGAAGCTTTTATATTTCAGGTTTCGGATCTGTTAGATAAAATTAGGTGTTTTGACAGTGTTTAGCTATTTAAGTAACTATTAGTTCATAAGCTATGTTATCAAGTACTATATAAAAAATAATCAAAATGCTAAAAACTATTTAAAAAGTTTAGTTGTTCGGTAATATAATTTTCCACGCTCTTTTTGCACATACCCAAACAACAGAAATTCTCTATTTCTTTCAGCTTTTATATAGGTATATAAGTGTTTATGCCGTATATTAATATTTTAAAATTTTAAATTTGAACATGATATTATCTTTTTCCTTTCAAATAACAGTGCATGAGAAATGTTGGGCTCCTCATCGTGAATGAAATATAATTGGGTTTCTGTCTTGGTTAGACTCATTCTCTGGCCCAAACTCAAATAAAATCTGAAGCCCCTTCTCCATCAGCAGCACCCAATATACAGAAAGACGTGCTCCTTTTAAAACAAACATCCTCCAGCCGGCAACGACACAGTCGGCGCTTTTGGGAGAAACAAACTGCACAGCCGCCAACTCTAAGAATTAGTCTTGTAAGTTCGTTCCCTCCATTGTTTTTCTGGCTAATTTCCATACATTTGAGTATGTTTGCTTTATATTACAGTAAATCACCCCAATTGCTCTCTCCTCTTTTAACACATTTTTGTGATTTAAGAACCCATTTGCCGTTTCTTCAATCTTCACCGGTTATTATTACCAGATCTTTTTCATCAGTTGACAATACAAAAATTAGTAATCAAAAACAACTGAAACAAACCTCGTTTACAATTTCATACCTCATGAATTCATGTGGGTTATCGCCGGAAGCCGCTAATTCTATCTCCAAAAGAGTGCAATTTGTAAACCCAGAAAGGCCGGACTGTGTCCTCGCTTTTCTGAACAAACATGGTTTCTGCAATTTCCAAATAACAAAAATTATTAAGTCACGTCCACAGCTTCTTTTAGCTGATCCTGAGAAAACCTTTTTACCTAAGCTTAATTTTTTCTCTTCTGTTGGGATAACTGGTCCAAACCTTGCAAAATTAATATCTTCACTACCAGCGTTATTAATCACTAGCTTAAGGAATCAGATTATTCCTGCTTATGAGTTCCTCAAGAGTGCTTTGCTATTTGATGATGACATGGTCATTAGATCTTTGAGATCACAATCGAGGTTTCTTCTATGTCATGTGGAAAAGACTAGTGCTCCTAATTTATTGGTCTTGAGAGAAATTGGAATGCCGCAATCTGTAATCCAGCATATCTTGATACATCATCCTAAGTTGCTGTGCCATAAAGCTGAGAAGTTCCACGATAAGATCAAAGAGCTTATTGATATGGGGTTCTGCCCTACGAAAACAACGTTTGCCCATGCTCTTTCTTCAATGCTCCAATTCTCTGAATCAAATTGGGAACACAAAATTGAGGCTTATGGAAGATGTGGTTGGTCTGAAGCTGACGTAATGTTTGCTTTCAAAAAGGCTCCTGAAATCATGACTTTTTCAGAGAAGAAGATAATTGGGTCTGAAGCTGACGTAATGTTTGCTTTCAAAAAGGCTCCTGAAATCATGACTTTTTCAGAGAAGAAGATAATTGGTTGTATGGATTTTCTTGTTAATGTGATGGATATGAAGCCTTCAGAAATTGCTGCATGTCCTTACTTTCTTCATTACAGTTTGAAAAAAAGAATCATTCCCAGGGGTTTAGTTATTAAAATTTTGAAAGGTGCATTGGAGAAGAATATCAGTTTCTATAGTGCGGTGGGATTAACTGACAAATGCTTCTTAGAAAGGTATGTGGAGAAACACAAGGAGCATATTCCTTATTTGCAGGATGTCCTTGAAGGTAGGATGTGTCCTCAAGAGCTAGGCATTCAATATGGGCACTAACATCTATTATCCTACTAATTCTTTTCTCCACTCATCAGAAGGATTAAAAATTCATGTTCTCAAAAAAAAAAAAAAAAAGGGGGGCAATGAGTGAGAGGAAGCTGGCCAGCTAATTAACATGTGGAAACAGAGAGAGAGGCTTCAATGAGGACAAATATGGATCAAATATAAAATAGAAAAGACAAAATTGTTTCCTATCTCTAATTGATTTTCTTAATTTTAACATTTACTTGTCTCTTTATCTATGCGAGCATCTTTAGTGCTTGGTCAACCCTGTCTTAATTCTATTTGATTAACAATATATATATATTATATATATATATATATATATATATATATATTCACAAGTTGCAAATTGCTAGTTTATATATTCACAAGTTGCAAATTGCTAGTTTATTTATTTTCTACTCTTATTCACTAATTACATGTTCTGAATAATAATTTACAACACAAAGCCCACCTTATTAGTGCACCAAATTTTACTTTTAAATGTTACTAAAAAAACATAATTTATGCCAAACAATACTTGAAATTTATGACTTGTTACAATTACAATGCAACTATTTTTAATTTTCTGATAAGTATATTCTATAATGAAAATTAGGAATTAATTACACCATTAGGGTCTGTTCGGTAATTTAGTTGTTCTAGCATCTGTTAATAGTTGCTTTAATAGTTGTCAGTTAGTATTTGCTTTAATAGTTGTCGGTTGTTTCACTAGTAGTTAATTGTTAGCGGGTTAAAAGGGTATAAAAGGGGAAAACAAGATAAAGACAAGTTACATGTATAGATGTCATAAAAAAACAAATATAAAATACTAAATGTTTAAGAAGATAGTGTTTCGTACGTTTTATGAAACAGTTTCAAACTCTAAACGCTAAGATATAACTCTAACAACATACAAAATTCAAACTTTAAAACCTTAAAATGGTTAGTTACTTTAAATTTTTTTTTTTTTTATTCTCTCGATAATTTTTTTTAATCAATTTTATTTTCACAAAACGTTCTAGTAACTACAGGTGTACTATGTGTATCCGATTAGAGTTAATTCGGTTTTCATTAACCAGTCCTCGAACCATTTGATAAAAAAAAAAAAAAAAGAAAAAAAAGAAAATGATCTACTACCAAGTCGAAGCTGATGAAGTCAACTAAACAAGTAAACATTTTTCTTACTCCTCACTCATTGTGAGAAATTTTCAGATCTCAAAACACTAAAAAATACAAGCTTATGAATCACATAATTAAATTAATATCATCCTTTTTGTTCTTCATCTGAATTTGAAACTTCTTCCATTTATTAATAAAAACCAAAAACTAAATTAAATAATTCATTAAAATAACAAAACTAATGTCTTTATATTTTTATTTTTTAATAATTAGGATAATAAATAATCGTTAATAATGTTTTAATCTTCGCATAATTAATTTTTCCTTAATCCACAAATGGAATTGCAATGTAGGGTATGATTGCACCATATGAAGATAATAATGGGATGTGTTAGGACTAGTAGCTGTCCAAACGCGTTGTCCCTTACCCCACAACCAAAACTTTAGGGCAACAACTATGCCCTAAACCTAAAATGATTAGGTCTTTTGACAGCTAGCTATACTACCCATTTCTATTTCTAATGCAACCTCTTCTACGGTTATTCAAACATAATAAATTCAACAGTAAGACTTTCCTAAATTCGAGGGTATGACTGTCAACAAAATTTTAAATTATTATTATTCTACTCTCTCTTTTTTTTTTTTTTTTTTTTTTCTTTTTTTTTTTTTTTTTTTTTATTATTTCTGATAAATAGAAAGAAAATACAGAATTTACTAACGGCAACCTTACAAGCCAGCCTAAGTAGTGGAAACTTAAACACCCAACCAAAAAAATCCGCGACCGAAAGTGAAGTCAGCTGGGCAGTGTTAATTCTAACGATTGCCACGTGTATCGTATCTCCACCAATCACGCGAACGCGGACAAACATATATAGCCGTTGACACAGTGGCCGTACGATTAATGATCATTCTTCTTTCCTTTTCTTGGCCATTTGCAATTCCCCATACGTCTTTAATTTATCTCAGATCCGTTATCCAAAACGGTTTCATATTTCTCAACTTTTTTTTTTTTTTTTTTTTTATATTTCGATAAATAGAAAAAAACTACAGAATCTACTAACGGCAACCTTACAAGCAGCTAAGTGAGTGAAGCAAACACCCAACCAAAAAATCCGCGACCGAAAGTGAGTCAGCTGGCAGTGTTATCTAACGATTGCCACGTGTCACGATTCCACCAATCACGCGAACGCGACAACATAATAGCCGTTGACACAGTGGCCGACGATTAATATCATCTTCTTTGCCTTTTTCTTGGCGCATTGCAATCCCCAACGTCTTTAATTTATCTCAGATCCGTTATCAACGGTCATATTTCTCAACGACTTTTTACATTTAATAAAGGAAAAATGTGGTCTCTACTTGGTACGTGCCCGTCATTCCTTATGGGAACTAAGTAGACTTCGTACAAATGATAATAAAAATTTAAAGTTTATTATAAATGATTTACAAAAAATTATATTTAGCTTTCATTCTATTTTTTTAAAAAATATAAGATAATTTTATTTCTTTTTTCTTTATTTAAAAAAACACAGAAGCATATATATTACACACTTTTTATTAGAATTATTTTTTTTAATTTTTTTATTAGAATAACTAACCATTCTATATTTGATATTCACTTGTTTTATTATTTTAAATTTACACCAGGCAAGCCTATAAATAGGGTAAATTATTTTCTCTCAAGTGTTTAAAAGGACTTCACGCTTCAGAATTTAAACTCAATACCTAAAAGAGATTCCTATTATCTCATCTCATTTCACGGGATGAATTACATTATACTCTAACATCATTTAATATAAAATTCAACGGTGTCGTAATGCACTCGGTGAATTTATTTATTTTGGTGAACAAATTAATAATTCAACAACAATTAAACAACTTTCTACTAAATTAATACCTAAAAGACCAAACAACAATTATGGCAAACGCGTCTTTGAAAAAAATTATTGGTTAACAAATGATACTAATACTAATAATTAATTAATTAATTGATTAATTCAATCTCACAATACGCGTAAATGAAGTGCAAAGTCCAAACAAACAAGGCCAGGCCAGCTTTAAAGTGACACCTAAACTAAACTTTTTCTTTATTATTTTTCTTTTCTTTTCTTTTCTTTTCTTACAATCTTGATCCAACATATAACTACTTTAACTACCTGACTTCCTCTCTCTATATAATCTTGCATTGTAAAAGAACACAACCCCAAAATTAGCCTCCAAAATCTTCTCTAACGGCCAAACAAAACAACACCCACCGCACAATTCTTTCTTACCTCTCAAATGCTAAAAATTTTCCTTCTTTATCATCTTCTTCATTCCCTTCTTGTCTATTTGCTACCCAAGAAGCTTAGGTTTCTCCTACCTTCTTCTTGGTTACCCCACCAAGCCAATTTCCCTCCCAACAAAAAACCTCCCTCCTCCTCCTCCAACACCTCCTCCTCCTCCTCTTCCTCTGTTGTCCATAAAAGAATGGACACCACTGAACTCCGCCGTGTCTTCCAAATGTTCGACAGAAATGGCGATGGAAGAATCACAAGAAAGGAATTAAGTGATTCGTTAGAGAATTTGGGTATTTTTATTCCGGATTCGGAATTAACTCAAATGATCGATAACATCGACGTTAATGGCGATGGGTGTGTAGACATTGAAGAGTTTGGTGTTCTGTATCAGTCTATTATGGATGAGAGAGATGAGGAGGAGGATATGAGAGAGGCTTTTAATGTGTTTGATAGAAATGGAGATGGGTATATTACTGTTGATGAATTAAGATCTGTTTTGGCTTCTCTTGGGCTTAAGCAAGGGAAGGCAGTAGAGGATTGTAAAAGGATGATAATGAGGGTTGATGTTGATGGTGATGGAATGGTTAATTTTATGGAGTTTAAGCAAATGATGAAAGGTGGTGGTTTTAGTGCTTTGAGTTGATTAATTTCAATTAATTTAGCTTGAAACTGAATTCACAGAAAGGGAAAAACTTTCCTAAACCCGGCCGATTTGTTCATATACTACACTCACATAATGGGTGTGATTGTGGATGTTCATGTACTCGGCCTAGACAATAAATTTCTCCATTCTGTAAATATTTTTGCTACCGAAAGGAAGTCGATGGGACGGACTCGATTTCGCCATTTGTCATCGTTGATAAGCGGAAGCGGTTGGATCATTGACATTTTTTATACATCAGGTAATGCCAAATCATCATTGCTATTGATCCCTAGATTGGGGAACAGAAAAATTGAAAGAAGGCAGGTTGGGGCAAATTTGGGAGGATTGAAACAATATAAATATTTTTGGTAGTCACAAAGAGACTATCTGTATTGACTAGTTTTGAGGGTGTGTTTTTGTTGTTTTTAGTTCGAATGTTGTAGGATTGGCTTGGTGGGCTACCTACTGTTTCTAATTATGATAATCTCCTCAATTCTTTTTTTTTTCTTTCTACCTTATATTTCTTTTCTATCTTTTACTTGTTTTTTTTCATGTTTTGTGATTTTTTTATTCTTTATATTGATGCTTAGAAAATGAATCAAAAGAAAAAGAAAATCTATAGTTCAATCATGACTTTGCTTTACATTTTGTTCTGCAAAAGACATGATTATTATTGAAATCTAAAAGTATAGGTACCCTGATAAATTTGAAGGTGTTACAAGGCAAATCATATACACTTTAAAGGGAAAAATCTATGCATTTAGCTAGAAATTTTTTGAACGAGAAGTTTCAATGTAACTCTTTAACCTTATATATCCATAGATTTCAAGATAAATATTCAATCACTTTATAGGTTTTTCAAGATAAATATTTGACTATAAATGATTGCCAAAAGTATAATTAATCACTTTATATGTCTTTCTTACCTAAATAATTTTCTCCAAACTCCAAGGAAAGAGAAGAAGACATCTTTCCTCGTGTGATTTTATTTCCTTTGATTGCTTCCCACCAAATCAACCAAGGAAAGCAAATCCTTCTCCTTATCTCTTCCCTCTGCCCATCTTCCCAATTTTCCCTCTAACCAAACATAACTTAGCAAGAATGGAATAATGCTGGATAGCAAGCTGGCTTGTTGTCTTCAAGTCTATGACAGCTTGAGATTACCCTATTTCAAGCAAGTCCATGTGGGTGTTTGACATTTTTCAATTGCCATGTTTTGACTTCTTACTTAGAATATATATATATATATATTTTCTAATTGCAATAAGGAGGTATTATATATTAATATTCCTCCCTACCAGTTAAGTTAGAGGTGAATTATTCATGATGAAACTAAAAAAACTCTATAATTTCATCAAAAGTTCAAATTTTGATCAATAAAATGAAAAATGAAAAATGAAAAATAAACCAACTTATATTTTATTGGTTGAAATATATTCAAACACTAAGGAAATATAAAATGAAAAATGAAAAATGTATCATGGTATGGCTATTCAAACTCTAATTTATAACTATGCCATTAAAATACTGTAATGTGTGTGTATATATGAACAGCACATGAAGATAATTAAAAAATGCTTGAAGAAATATAAACTAAGCAATTGAAATGTGAAACAAAATAACTTGGGTACCTCTATTGAGAGCACCACCAAGTCATACAGGTACCTGTAATCAATTGATTTTGAACAACTATAAGATGATGATAAATCACTTAATTATTAATTGTTTAATTTAGCAGTTGGAGATTATTTGAAAAGCTGTTCAACTGAATGAAGAATGACTATATATACATTCTCTACATATAGTAGAGTCTAAAGATATTGATTTGTTTCCCATCAGAATAAGCTAATCCTTCTATGTAATCTGCATTTTGAAATATTTAATTCCAATAAACATAAAAACACAGGCTTATCCTCCTGCAATGAGGTGAAGAAGCAACATAAGCTCCAAGAAGAAGCTGGAGCACTAAAACGATTACAATCTCACTATGGACCAAAAAAATGTAACTGCAAACAGAGGGCAACTTCAGTGAAATAAAAGCAAAAAAGAAAACAAAGAAAAATAAAAGGGGTAGAGAGAAGGCATTTGTCTACCTTAGACCCAGTTGAGCAGTTAGATTAGAGAATAGCTTGCTACTAAAATTCAAGTAACATGCCGCGGTCATCTTTGTCCACTCAGATTAGTATGGAAATATATCAACAGATTCGCAGGTCGTATCAGGCCAATGAGATACATGCTCAACCTCAAAGCAAATCCAGAGTGGTGAGTTTGCCCAGCTCTAATTTGGCATGAATATTCTATCCGATTAAAAGTTGCATTCCGAACTATAGATTGCCAAGTTCGATTTCTTTCAAGCTGTTAATTATGTCTTGAACTCTAGTAGACATAAAGTCAGCATGTTCTTGAAGATCTTTAAGAATCATGTGTAGCTCTTGTTGAATCACTGCAGATCGTTGTCTTTCATGCTGCAGCTCATCATATAAATCCTTGATTTTCTTATCCTTCTCCTCCTGCAATCATATAGGACAACTTAGAGTTGAAGAATGATGATAAAAGACTTGGAAGTTTGGTTAGAAGCATTAATAAAATGAAAATGAATAGGAAAACAGGAAAATTGATATAATATATTAGTAGTTGTTTCTCCATTATCACAAGATCACAGGCAAAAAGTTTCTACAGCCAAAATGCAAGCGTGAACTGATGATCTTACACATGCATTGTGGATAGGTTTCTCACATGATATGACTTGAACATTTTTTTTTTTATCATGCATTCCTGGAATTCAGCAGATTACAAGCTTGACAGCACTAAAATGTAAATGGATGAGACACAAGCGTACTATGGCAAAATATAGTTGTTAACATTTTAGGGATCTAGTTTATGAACTATGATAACCACAAAAATTGCAAGAGGCATGGGACTCAAGTTTTATAATATATAATCCTTGGCTAGTTATGAATAACTTGCTGACAAAATGTTGATAAGCTCCTTATAAATTGCAGAGAACAGTTTTTCATATCCAGATATGATTTAGGGTTCATTATTAGCTCCAGAACACAAGGTTTCAGACGAGATGAGTTACCTAAGAAGAGGGTAATGGTGTTAGGTTCAAGAACATAAATCTGGATATCGGGGAATCAAATACAGGTTAAGTCCCAAACATATCCATGGCTTTTAATGTGAATTGAAACTCTGAGACTATACTGTGATTGTATCCTAATTATAAATACAGTAAGATAAAAGCATTTATCTGACTGCTATCTGAGCTATACCTCATTGAGTATATTTATGGTTGGCAATTCTCCAGGAATTTTACAATGAGTCATTAACTTGTGGTTGTGCTCTCGGACAAATTTGGTAACTACCCATTTTCCACCATCTCTTGCCGCCAACCTTATCATGGCTTTGCATCCTTCCCTAGTAATAGGCCGAGGAGGAAGAACTCTATCTTTTCTCAGTGCATGCTTTGCAGCACGAAAACCTTCTCTAGAACAAACAAAGTCACGTCCTATAACTTCCATGTTCTTTAGTGAATGCCTGATCCGATTGGTTCGTATGGTGAAACCTATCTGCTTGGCGTAGTCATAATAGAAATCCCTTGCATCATCTAATGACGGAAAAGTCATCCCAGTAGATGGTTCCAAATCCAAACTGTTTGCACTTAAATTTTCTATTGATGGTTCAGTCAAAATCATTGTATTATTAACAACATTATGCGAATTGCAGTTTGGCAACAGCCCATCTTCTACGTCTTCACATTCTTCACCAACTTCAAGAGTTCCATCATCTGAGATTTCATCACTATCTAGACAATCATGTCTATCAACTGTGCTAGCCATAATGTCCCTCCAAAGGGAAAATTCTATCCAATGACCCGAATGGAATTGGTACAGTTCTTGTCATAGGCAATGGTTACAAGTACTAGGCAAAGCAACAAAACCTCTGTAGCTACAACAGCACATCATGCATTCTGGCTGTCAAATAGATACAAAAGAATAACAAGTGAATTGCAGCTATATGAGCAGGAACTTCAAAGTATTTTGACACAATATATTTTCATCTTTCATTGGATATAAAATCAACCTCATTCCATCATGTTGTTTATATCTCAATACATCAAAAAGCAATGTAATTAATAAAACAACTGCAATTGGATAATGTTGCTATTCATTCCCCATATGTTAAACATACAAAAGCAAAAAAAAAACATAGCTAATTAAAAAGGAGAACATGTTCCTTCTGCCGGTTCTAGTTGACCCAATGTAGGAATTCCCTCCACCTTATCCTCTCAAAACAAAATCTAAGGTAAGTGGAAAATATTTTCAGCTATTCAACTAAACTCCATTGGATGATAAAAATTCAAGAAATGTACACACACACACAAACACACACAGACGCACATACAAATTTAAAATCTATGGTTTGAATTCATTGAAAATTAGGAAGTAGCAGCCAGTGCCCAAGGAGTTGAGGTAAGAGATTCATTTTTCAGCTGAAAAAAACACGATGAAAAAAAATGCATTATAATTCACTGAGATCTAGTACTATTTGTTATCCCATATTTCATTTCCCTCAACCACCCTTTTATGAATTAATAAAAATATTTTTTTTTTCTTTTATTCTACTCAATATAAGCCCAATATTTAAAACAAAAGCAAAAACCAAGAAAGTTTTCCCTTTTAAAGGGCTTTTAGATAAATATCTTTTGCAGAGCCAAACTACCTACAAACACTTGTTTGGTTGCCCAGAAAAAGAAACCTTCTCCACAAATTAAAGATTCCGCAATAACAACACCATATGAATCAATCCACAAATTAATTTAGCTGATACCTACAATCAACTAAATTGATCAATTTTTCTTGAAAAAATAAAAAGGTCAAAAAATCATATAACAATAACCCAATTTCCCACTTGAGCCCTTATTTTATAGGCAACCAAACAAAGAAAAGAAACTGTACCAACAACTTCATTTAGTTCACATTTCCATTAATCCAACAAAAACCCATTTCACCAATTAGTTATATAAAATCTCCCAATATCTTCACAGCTTGAAAATTGAAATAACCATGCCTCTATAATAATTGCCACAATCAGCTAAATAGAGAAACAGAAATTAAGCTTACACAATGTGGCTGAGATGAGCCTTGATATCAGCTTTTTCGTTCTTAAGTTTTTCAGCAGCTAAAATTGTTTCAATGCGCTTGTGGCGTTGGTTTCAGTCGGAGTAGGATACTATGGACTGATTGTTTCCTGAAATGGAGATGAAGACTAGAGAATGGGGATCAGATAGGGGATCTGGAGCCTGACATTTAATCAAACGGTCAATATTTACTTACTTAGCACATACGAACGACACACGAGCATTACTTAATTTGTACACTCTCATCAAATTAGTGCACTAAATTATCTAATTATAAAAACCATTTCTTGCTTTTGATCTCATAGGTTACATGTTTAAAGCCAATGAATTTTTATTATTTCTATTTATTTTTATCTTTCCATTATATTATAAATTATTTTCGTAAAAATAAAAAAAAAAAACAATTTCTTTTATATGTAATATATGGAAGCTGGGAAAAATTGTTGTTGGTTCATGTAAAATCTGTTTTACACATGTAGGTAGTTGGGCTCATTATTGCCAATAAATTGTAATTGGGCTTATTCTCTGGCCCAAACCCATCTATTGTTAGTTGAATCATCTTCACCGGCAGCAAACGAAGTTCCCCAGAGCCATGCCCTTCTCAGGAGGAGCAGCAAAACCCGAGAAGACGACACTTGATCGAAATTCAGCCAACGCTAAGAATTAGTGTTATAAGTTTGTTCCTTGCATTTTTTTTTCTGCCTAAATTTCAGTTATGTTTGCTTTACTATACACTAAACAACTACAAAAGCTATATCCTTTTTGACACATTTTTGTGATTTAAGGTTTCTTCAATGTAAACCAGTTATTATTACCAGATCTTTCTCATCAGATAACGATTCAACAATTAGTAATCAAAAACAGCTGAAAGAAACCTCTTTTACAGTGTCCTACCTCATAAATTCGTTTGGGTTGTCACCGGAAGCCGCTAATTCTGCTTCCAAGAAAGTGCAATGTTTAACCCTAGAAACTGCAGACTCTTTCCTTGCTCTTCTCGACAAACACGGTTTCTCCAGTTCCCAAATAACCAAATCTGTTGAATTAGACCCACGGATTCTTTTATATGATTCTGAGAAAAATATTTTTCCTAAGCTTAAGTTTTTCTCTTCTGTTGGGGTCACTGGGCCAAACCTTGCAAAATTCATATCTTCAAACCCATCAATATTACGCCAGAGCTTAAGGAATCAGATTATTCCTGCTTATGAGTTCCTCAAGAGTGCTTTGCTATTTGATGATGACATGATCATTAAAGCTATGGGCAAGTCATCAAGATCAAGAATTCTTCTATGTGATGTGGAAAAGATTTGTGCTCCTAATTTATTAGTCTTGAGACAAATTGGAATGCCACAATCCGTTATTCAGCAGTTATTGCTGCATAAAGCTAATTTGCTATGCTTTAAAGCTGACAAGTTCTGTGATAAGATCAAAGAGCTTATTAATATGGAGTTCTGCCCAGCAAAAGCAAAGTTTATCCATGTTCTTGCTGCAATTCTATGCTCTAGATCAAATTGGCAACATAGAATTGAGGTTTATGGTAGATGTGGTTGGTCTAGAGATGAGATCATGTCAGCTTTCAAAAACAATCCTCGATGCATGACTTTTTCAGAGAAGAAGATAGTTGCTTCTATGGATTTTCTCGTTAATGTGATGGATTTGAAGCCTTCAGCAATAGCTGCAAATCCATTTATGCTTGTTTACAGTTTGAAGAAGAGAATCATTCCTAGGGGTTTAGTTATTAAAATTTTGATGTTGAAAGGTGTATTGGAGGAGAATTTCAATTTCCATTCTGCGTTGGTATTAACTAACAAATGCTTCAGAGAAAGGTATGTGGACAAACATAAGGACCATATTACTTATTTGCAGGATGTCTTTGAAGGTAGGATGTGTCCTCAAGAGCTAGGCTTTCAATATAGGCACTAACATGTTTATTACTAAAGATTTGGTGAACTTATACAGCTTAATGTATGTATAGCAGGGGAATTTTTGAGACTTTTTTCTACTGTTGATAATCTGGTGGTATAGTTTGTCCTGAATCCTTAGAACTTCAGTGAAAATTTCAGGAAGATTCCTGCTAAACTGTTTGGTATTCAAGTCTTGTAAATGAAAATTGATATTTTTTTTTTAATCTTTTTATTAACTTTCATATTGAGTTTACTGCCACTAAACTGGGAGCGGCTGGTTCATTGAACCACCGGTTTCGGTTCATGGAACCGGCGGTTCAAGATTTTTAAAATATTGATCCGGAACCGGCCCTTGAACTGCCGGTTTTGGCGCGGATTCGGTTCATGGAACCACCGGTTCAAGATTTTTAAAATATTGACCCCGAACCGACCCTTAAACTGCCGGTTCCGGCGCGGTTTCGGTTCTGGTGCTGTTTCGATCCCAGTTTCCAGCGATACATGTGTTAATTTTTCGAAAAAAATAAAAATTCAATTATAATGCGTCTTTATTTAAAAAAATTTAATGTGAATTTAAAATAAAATACTAGTAAATTTATTTTAAATAACTTTTAGAATGTTGATACTTATATAAGCAATAAAATTAATTAATTTTACAAAATAACCAAATATAAATTATCATTTTATTTTATCTAATGTTATTAATTAAATAAATTATTAGAAAAGTTTTAAAAATGCTTCAAACAATGTCATTTTTTTCGAATCCAGTTTATCCAGCGATTACATGTCGTGTTATTTCGGAAAAAAATTAAAAATAATTATAATGCGTTCTTTATTTTAAAAAAATTTAATGTAGAATTTAAAAATAAAATACTAGTAAGTTTATTTAAATAACTTTTGAATGTTTGATACTTATATTAAGCAATAAAATTAATTTAATTTTACATAAATAACCAAATATAAAATTATCATTTTATTTTATCTAAAATAAATTATCATTTTATTTTATCTAATGTTATTAATTAAATAAATTATTAGAAAAGTTTTAAAAATGCTTCAAACAATGTCATTTTGAACTAAGTAAACTACTTAAAAGGAAAAAATGTTAAACTCCCATTTGTATTAAACAATATAATTATGTACTAAATTTTATAAAATAGACTAAGTGATTATAATTTTAAAAATAAAAAAAAAAAATTTCTGTTCTAACCGGACCGGAACCGCAAGTTAACCGCCGGCTTCGGACTAGTTCAAGTTCAAAATTTAACATTCACATGAATCTTAACCGGCTCTTGAACTGTCAATTTCAGCTCAAAATTTTGAGCCGATGTCTCTAGTTTATTTACACTACAATTCGATTTCAATTCGGTTTAGATTCAAACTAAACCGGTGGCAATACCTCCACTAAACTATTACTACGCTTGATTTGTTGTTGACAGTGCGTCATATTTTATTAGTGGTGCAAATAAGTCAGAGCTGAGCCTTGACAGAGAAGCAGTTCCTCATTATCTTTCCTTATCTTTCCTTTATCAGTTAATCTCAACGGAGACCAACACCACAAAAATATATGACTACAGCTAAGAAAGAAATGTAGGGTAATGAATAGTGCACTATAATGAAACACAATCACATTCCTAAAGGAAAATTTAAAAACAATTCATTATATTGGTATATATTTTACAATGAAACATAATTTTAAGCTTAGAGATACAAACAAATAATTATAAAACCTGACAGAAGACAGAATTAACATCCGACAATAAACCAGGCCAACTCCATGAATACTTGTTACATTCTTCCTAGATCCAAGGCACTATAGAGCCTGATTTTCTCAGCAAAAACATATTTGACATCAGGGATCATGAAATTATCCACCTTGATGATTGTACCAATCCAAACCATTTATTTACGTCAAAAGTAGACATCTTGCTAGGCTCAGCTCATCTTTCACAACAGACCAAATCACACGACACTTTATGCTTCTTTATTGACTTCATCCACTGTCTGAGTCATCAGACTGTTCCTCCTCAATTTCTCTTATGCTCTGCACAACATCATTAACTTTCTTGGAAATATGTTCTGTGTGCTTTTCCAAATCCTTTAGAATCAAATTTAATTGTTCTTCATATGCAGCACATCTTCGTTTACATTTTTGTCTCTCGTTGTACAACTCAAGGGATAGTTCACGGATTCTCTTATCCTTCTCATCCTGCAACATAGGTAACGTTTGTACATTACATAACATTCTAATAATAGATTACAGATATACTATTCTAAAACAGAAAAATATAAATAACCAATTAATCTAACACATTAACAATGCATGATTCTTAATGCACCCAAAATCTAATTGGAACTCCACATCACAGGTAGCATATATCATTAAGAAAAGATATGCTTTGGGAAATGCTCCCAATCCAAGTCCTTGGTTTCTTGATGGCAAAAGTTGATTCAAACTGTCATTGGATTAGTAGCTCAGCGGTCAAGTATTTGTCTCATGATAAGGAATTCAGATCCTGACACCTCTTTCCCCACTAAGAATCTCCAAAGTATAAAAGAAGGGGGAATTCCAACTGGAATGTGGTTATGAAATGAAATTTTTAGGATTATTCAAGATTAGTAACCATATTTGTGTTGCTTGGTATCTTGTGTTACGGGCTTGAAGTGTAACAGCTATTACAGCATGATCAGGTTTAGCGATTTCAGCACACATAGCCTAGCAAACTATCATGTTTCCCATTCTGGTGTGAAGGATAAGCATATGGAAGAAAGCTTTAAGAAGTTCATTCAATTATCATTTCAATGGGGAAGAAAGAAAACTCAAACATACCTCACTAATTAAGTGCTTTCCAGAACCCCGCCATGGAACTTTACTGGGACTCATTAGTTTATGAGTATGTTCTTTAACAAATTTGGTTACTACCCATTTAACCCCATCTCTCAGAGCTAGCCTTATCATTGCTTGACAGCCCTCCCTGGTGATTGGTGGTGGGGGAAGAACTCTGTCTTTTCTGTATACATATTTCTTGGCACGAAAACCTTCTTTTGAACAAACAAAATCTTGGCCAATAACTTGATTGTTAACTCTAGAACGACGATTATGGTGTATACGTACAGTGAAACCAGCACACCTGCCATAGGAAATATAAAATTCTCTGGCTTCGTCCCTCGTGTTGAACTCCATGCCTATATATGGTTCTAAACCTTCAGCATTTATAGTTAGTCCAACATATTGTTCTGATACATTGTCTTCTTCACTTACACAGAAATCTAAGTTATTAGGGAGGTCATCTTCTATCCTCCCATATTCATAGGATTCAGCTTGTATTTCTAGGTCGCTTTCATCTGAATCGAACCCATGGCCAGATTGGTCATCCATTATACTCTAAAACAAAAGTTGATAAATCATTCTTGGTGTACTAACATTAAAATTCGGCAAGAAAAAGGAACCTAAAATACAATTTGATAGAATTCATAATCAACTCATCATTGCACAATGCTTGAAGAACAAATGCCAAGATAGAAGTAACTATAAGATAATACGGCACAACTAATAAAGTAAGAGTAACATACTTTGTATGGAAGACAAAGGACTAAAAATAAACCAAAAAGAGGGAAGAAAACCATAACAAGTTATACGTTTCAAGTTTTTCTGATTAGCACACATCAGAATGGTGCAAGACAGGCAAAATTTTTGCTGTACGACAAATTGACTAATAGGATGAAGATGTTGTAATGTCAAACATGCTTGTATATCAACAAGAGATTTTGCTTATACCCCTTTAAATCCTTCAATGCTGTGATGTAACCAAAATATAAATGATATTTTACCATTTCCAAACAAGGGTGTAGCAGAAAGATAGTGTTAGATCCGACTTCCAAAGAAGAAGAAAGATACATTTGTTATGGAAATTATAAAGGCCCCATTATCAAGATTGATTCAGAAAAATAAAGATCAATGATGTAATCTGATGTCCAATCCAAGGACTACTAAGGTGGATAATATAATAATGCTAGGTTCATCATGCGTTTACAGCGAGAATGACATCTGGCCACATCATCTGGAACATCAAATATCTTTGACAAAACTCCATAGAGAAAACACAAGGAATCATCCACGAAAGGAAATTAAACTTATAGGGAAAAACAAACTCAGGATCTAAACTTTTTTTCATTCTTAAAGCCTCAAAACAATATTATGCAAACAATTTCCTCATTTTGAAGTGTTAACCGCCATGGAGGCAACTGCCTTGCTAAATGAGTAGGCACGATAAAGTTCCAACTAGAAATTGAAAAACCATATATAAGTTAACAAAGTGAATTTTCTGAAGAGGCAAACAGGCTGAGCACTTATGTAATTTCCCATAAAAACAAAAGAACTTCTGAAAAAGTTTTCAAGCTTGCTCATGAGGTAGTCAGTAACCAAAAACCAACTAGAACTTCAAAAAGCAATATAAGTGAAGGAGGTGAATTTCTTGGAGGGCAAATGGGTTGAACTCTTACCTACGAAATTTCAAAAAATAAAAATAAAAATAAGAACTCAAAATTGCAAGTTTGCATGTTGGTAAATCATCAAAGGTAAAATACGATTATCAATCCATGAACAAAATTAGTATATCGCACCTATTTATGAACAGAATTAGAAATGAAAAGAACACGCAAATAAACGAACTTGCAGTTTATATTCATCAAAGAATAGCCAGGAAGATGAAAACCAAAATCGCAGTAAAGGTTTATATATATATAGAGAGAGAGAGAGAGATACGCACCACTGAAAGCAAAGTATTGCATGACAAAAGGTGTTGCCTTTGGAATTGAACAGAGAACCTCTTAGATTGCAGATTAGGAAAAGCAAATGGCGAACTGGGCTTTGAGAGTCGAAAGAGGAAAGTTCACTAAGACAAAATAGCGAAGCTAATCCGTGCCTGAAGCAGTGGAGCTGGAGGGCATGTGGCTGTGAATTACCAGAGTGAAAGGTCAAGGCCCAAGTCAAATCAAGCTTTCTTCGTTCTTTTTTTATTTGTACCGTTAAATATTATTGTTTAAAATTTTGTTACCGAAAATTTTTAACCATTAAATTTAAAATATTTAAATATAAATCATTAGATTTTGTTTTTTAAGGGATAAATCATTACATTTAAAATTAATTAAAAGTAACTCCATATCATATGTTAATAAGATATTTGTTTTCTATTTAATATTTACTTTTATTTATCTAAAATTAACAAATAATTATAAATTTTCATTGTTATAACATTTATTATGATACGAGAATGAAAACACTGTCAATAATAATATAAGACGGAAAGATCTGAATTCCTACGTGGAGATTAAAATAAAAGTACAAAAATACCGAAACACAAAATAAAATCGCGGAAATTTATTTAATTTTCCATACAATCTGAAAATAAGTATTCAAAAATGAAAACAGATTCTTATTTTCCACCCGCTTTCCAAATGGGAAAATATAGCATTTTCCCTTATTATTTTCCTTGCAATTTTACAACAATTGCTACAGCTATTGTTCTACGGACATTGTGGTGAATTTCCAGGACCTCCAAAATACAAGTTAACTCCAAAATCATTCCTTTTGCTCTCAATATGCAGATCATAGCAAGAAGGATTTGTTACGTAAGTTATAAGCTCGTCAGCATCTCTCGATACACCTAAACCATCTACATATCTAAGATTTCGAATTCGACAAGCTTTACTGAAACCTTCATTAGGAAAATGCCCACTTCCCATCTGAGTATTTGTATGGTGGCCATTTGATCTTAAATTTACAATCTCTCCTCCCCAGTTTATCAATGTTGAACTTTTAGCTAGACTTGTAAATATCGTGGAAGGCCAATATCCCATATTTTCACCTTGCACTTGCAACCACCAGTTGCCACTTTTCGTGTCCTGAAACAAATTGAATACATATCATATATAGATATAATGCCTGAAGGTTGATCGAACATTTTAATTATGCTCTGCAAAATCAGCTATTTTAGTAGCTATCAGCTTCGTTAAACTGTAAATATTAATATAAAAGTTATACTGAAATGCTATTGGAAAAGTTGAATGGAGAAAAAATATATTACCTTGTGTATATCTATGTCTATTTCATATTGCTTGCCCTTGTCACCATAGACGGAGACTGGTTTCATCGCAGAACCAACACCAAATCTATGGCTGGTTTGCACAAAACCAGGGCATTCAAGATTATAGCAACCTGTATGCTGATAATTGTCTCTCTAACGAAAAAATAATTATAACAAGTTATTTTTACAAACAAATAAATTAGATAAGAAATTTAAGAGAACTGAAATAATTGCTAAATTACCGTCCAATATGTAAAAAGCCTTGATTCTTTTTCACCATCCTTAGCCTGAAATCACAATTTCACAACTCCATGATTTCACATTCCATCAATCCAAACGATGTTATATGATAAAATAGTCTCAGTATCAAACCTGCCAGCCAGCCTCAATGGTGTTCATATCGTCTTCTGGGCCTGCTACAAGCCAAACTTGAGCTATACTAAATTCTCCAGCATTAGTTCTTGGATTCCACAGACCAAATGTTGCATGTGCTCCAAAGTATTCCCCACCTCGGGCAGAAACTTGGGCGTACTGATTAATATAACCAACGAGAAAAGATAAAATAAAATACTTATGGAATTTGCAAACCAAGACATAGTCTAGTGGCAAGTATATATACGACTCGGCGATAGATCCGGGTTCGAATCCCCCTTTTTTAATACTCAAAAAAAAAAAAAGCTTATGGAATTAGTGCAAAGTACCTCATGAGAAGATGTAAAGGCTAGGCTTGTGTTTGGAAGAATTGGACTAGCTTTCTTATGGTTAAATGCTTGTGTTCTTACAATTGGAATTGTTCCTTTAGGGCACTTTCCTTTCATATTCCAATGTTGAAAGGGGATAGTATTGTTTCTTCTTATGATTCCACTAGGATTTGAACTGGGTCTCATCTGTACAAAGCAAAAGAAAAAGTTTAACCTAACATGTCTTCCAAAGAAAAAAAATATCAATCTAATTTAACTTAATACTTTAATTATATTTGTGTAATTATTTAATTAATATAAAAATAGTAAAGGCAACTGGGTAAACAAAAATCAATGTAAATTAAAATAAAAATATCAAAATACAAACTAAATTTAACCAAAAAAGAAAAAAGAGAAAAAAGAAAATAAAATCATATCTTGTACTCAATTTAATTTAAATCCAAAAATAAAAATAAAAGTTAGGGTATTTGGGTAATTGCATAAAAATTGGAGAAACTCTTACTTTTCACCATTTTTTTTCTCTCCAAAATTGAAGGATTCTATTTATGTAGGCAAGAGAGGAGTAAATAAATTAATTTTTCTTCTTTTAATATCCGAACAGGCTGTAAAAGTTTTTTACCGTTCCAGTAAAGTGATCCGGAGGGCCAGAGGTGGCCCCTACCCCCTAATAAAAATTTTTTTTAAAGAATTATCCTATAAAATATTGAAATTTTTTGTTGTCTTTTAAAGAATTCTGTCTCGTTCGCTGTGAAAGTCGAACTTATATTCTCACACCTACATAAATTGACTTCGCTTACCATCTCAGCTAACAATTTATCGATTACCAATTGTATATTTGATACAAATAAATAGAAAACCTGTATTTTATGATATTTGAGAAGCGGATGAGTAAAAGCAGGTTGTTTGTAGATATCAACACATTCAATTATATCACCATCCTCAACCTGCAACAATTGAAATTCAAAAATTAAGAGAAGAAAAGACACTTTCAATATATTGGAAAATTTTAAATTCAAGCTCAGAAATAAATTATTCTAATCACAAAAAAAAGTACTAAACCTCTATTATGTGTTCCTTCTTATGTTTAATCAAATCTGAAACGTTTCTTCCATTGACAAGCTCAGGGCTTAACATGTAAGAGAAGCTGCATATCAAGAAAAATACCCAACTGCTTAAATTGCTCCAAGGATTTTTAGTAACCATTGCAAAAACGTGAAATTTGATTATTCTGTCTTCAAATTTCATTATACCTGGCAATTATTTATAATACTGGGAATCCTTGGAATGAATCGAAGAAAGTATTCTCCCTAATATACCATATATGTTTTCGTTTCCATTTTTGGATTTTTTTTCCTTTAAAAATCTATAATATAATTTATATATCTTATATATATTTAATATATAATAATAATTAATAATTAATAACTAATATTAATTAACGTCTTTAAAGGTTTCTTTATTTTCATTATTAAAGGTTTTTCTATTAAAGATACATTTTCTTTCAATGGATGCTATTAAAGATACATTAAACCTTACCTACGAGTTGTAACTTTATTGACAATGCAGGCTAGGCATATGGAAGAGTACTTAGGTTCAATTCACACTAAACACATTTACAAAAAAAGGCGAAGAGCTTTAACTGTGACTAAGTCCGAATCCGATATCAATCCTTAGCAATCAGGGAGCAAATACCGGTAGTTTATATTAATGGAAGAGTACTTAGGTTTCAATTCACACTTTAAACACATTTTTACAAAAAAGGCGAAAGAGCTTTAACTTGTGGACTAAGTCCGAAATCCGATATCAATCCTAGCAATCAGGGAGCAAATACCGGTAGGTTTATATATATATTATATATATATATTATATATATATATTATTATATTATATATAAAAGATTCATTGAACCCTAATCGCCTATTATTAGTATGTATACACTATAAAGCACTAGCTTACTCTTTTAAGTGGATTTGCTGATTTTCGTTACCAATTTTTGTTGTTTGGAAATTACATAAATAATACTCTCATATCCTTTTAATTGGATTTACTGCATATAATTTATTTTTTCAAAGAAATCAAATTAGAAATATTATTAAGAGAAAATTATTTTCAAATATGAGATATAAATTAATATATTTCTATATTTCTATATGAATTAATATATTTCCATATGGGATGAGATAACAATTCCTTGAATTTAGAAAAAATTAAATAATAAATCTAATTATAATTTTTTTTATTTATATTTACTTTATATTTTTCATTTAATAGTTGATTTTTAAATAAGAAAGTTGAAGTTGTCAAATAAATTTAGACTTGATTAGTTTAAAATTAAAAATTTTAAAGTCAATTTAGATAAAAATATTTCTTTTTGCATTTGATTGGATATTAAAAAAAAATGAAGGATCAATTTAGTCCAAATTTTTTAGATCTTATTTTGTGTAAATTTGATTAAAAAATTTAAAATAGTGCTTTTTGGAAATGTGAGATTGAATATCATACCCAAATAGGATATTTCCAAATATCCAATTATATCATCAAGATTTTTTTTTTTTAACTTTTTCTAAAAGAAAATTATTTTTCTTTCAATTATTAAATACTAAAAAATAAAAAATTCAATAATTATTTAAATAAAATTTTTCTTACTTTTTTTTAAGCATTGGAGCTTTATAACACTTTCTTGAAATCCTTACTAAAATGGAATTTGAATATTTACTCATAGAAAATCTTAATATTATAAATTCTTATAGTATTAAGTTGGGCTTACTGTGATCCAAATGCAATTGGGTTTGAGTCATTTTCTGGCCCAAATCCATTTTGATTTCTGAGCTGAATATGAAATTCTGCGTCCCTTTCATCTTCATCAACAGTTGAAAAGTTCCCAAGAGCCAAATCGCTTTCTCATCCCTCAGATTCTGAAGAAGCACACAAAGAACAGAAAGATGTGCTTCAGATCAACCAGCTGTGTTATGCACTCGGTGCTTTTGCAGAAACAAACTGAAAAACCCTAGAAAACAACATTTGATCGAAATTAAGCGAACGCTAAGAATTGGTCTGTAAGTTTGTTCCTTGCATTGTTTTTTCTGGCTAATTTTATTACATTCAGTTATGATTAGTTTACTATACACTAAATCACCACAGTTGCTATCTCCTCTTTTGAGAAATTTTTGTGATTTAAGTACCCTTTTGCCGTTTCTTGAATGTACACCAGTTATTAGTACCAGATCTTTGTCATCAAGCGTTAGTAATCAGAAACAACTGAAAGAAACCTCTTTTACAGTGTCATACCTAATAAATTCATGTGGGTTGTCACCGGAAGCTGCTAATTCTGCTTCAAAGCAAGTGAAAAATGTAACCCTAGAAACCGCAGATTCTGTCCTTGCTCTTCTCGAGAAACACGGTTTCTCCAGTTCCCAAATAACCAAATCTGTTAAATTACAACCACGGATTCTTTTGTGTGATTCTGAGAAAACTATTTTTCCTAAGCTTAAGTTTTTCTCTTCTGTTGGAATCACTGGCCCAAACCTTACAAGATTCATATCCTCAAACCCATCAATATTAATCTATAGCTTAAGGAATCGAATTATTCCTGGTTATAAATTCCTCGAGAGTGCTTTGCTATTTGATGATGACATGGTCATTAAAGCTATGAGTAATCAATCAAGAATTTTTGTACAGGATGTTGAAAAGATTAGTGCTCCTAATTTATTGTTCTTGAGACAAATTGGAATGCCACAATCTTTAATCAAGCAGATCTTCGTACATCGTCCTAGTTTGCTGTGCCACAAAGCTGATAAGTTCCGCGATAAGATCAAAGAGCTTATTGATATGGGGTTCGACCCTACAGAAATGAAGTTTATCCCTGCTCTTCATGCAATTATCAATTACTCTGAATCAAATTGGCAGCGCAAGATTCAGGTTTATAGAAGATGTGGTTGGTCTAAATATGAGATCTTGTCAGTTTTCAAAAAATATCCTCAATGCATGACCCTTTCGGAGAAGAAAATAATTGGTATTATGGATTTTCTTGTTAATGTGATGGATATGAAGCCTTCAGAAATAGCTGGAACTTCTTGCAATTTTAGTTACAGTTTGAAGAAGAGAATAATTCCTAGGGGTTTAGTTATTAAAATTTTGAAGTCGAAAGGTGCATTGGAGAAGAATATCAGTCTCTCTTCTGTGATGGTAGTAACTGACAAATGCTTCTTAGAAAGGTATATGGACAAACACAGGGAGCACATTCCTTATTTGCAGGATGTCTTTGAAGGTAGGATGTGTCCTCAAGAACTAGGCTTTCAACCTAAAAATGTTTTGGGGCTCTAACATGTTATTTGTCATATACATTCTCTTATAGCTTAAACAGCAAAGAATTGGTGAACTGATGAAGCTTGGTGTATAGCAAGAGAAGTTTTGGGACCTGTTTCTACTGGGAAATGTCAAGAAGATTCTTGTTAAGTTGTTAGGAATCTTGACATTTTTCTTTTGGTTTTCTTTTTATTAACTTTCCTACTGTTAGACTGAGTTTACTGCTGCTAGCAGGTTTGTAATTCTATCATCTAATTAACTTTATGCAAAATTAATTGAAATTTATTAATTTATATTACTGTTGGTAAAGATGTACAATTAACCTAAAATATTTTAGATTAGTATTTAGTTTTTATAATCTAATAATAAATTTTCACAACTCTGGAGCTTTATTTTGAAATATTATTAAATGATTATTTTTCTTTGCTGTCTTTCAACTAAGTAATTATTTTGTTAATCTTTTGTTAAATTGTAAAGTAATATCAATTTTATCATTAACAAAACTTCAGATTTTCTTTTTTTTATATCATTATCAAATCAAATTGTGAGAAATTTTTTTATCCTAAGTATCACTGATCTTAATTTATAAATAAGAATTAATGGAAAATAATAACACATACATGTGTTCAAATCAAATTGTTAGATAAAATTTGGTTTTTTTTTTTTTTTTTTTTTTTCACTTGATCTTTAATTTATAAATTTAAGAATTAATGGGAAAGATTAATAAACACATACATTGTGTTCAAATCAAATTGTTAGATAAAATTGGTTTTTTTTTTTTTTTTTTTTTTTAATTCGATATGAAAAGTTACTCTTCTTTAAATTTTTAGTTTAACTAATGACAAAAGAAATCAACTAACTTTATAGCAAGGACCATTTAGGTTTGAACGATAACAAATAAAGAACTGTTTAATTGACTTTGTTCTCTTTAAAAAAAAAACTGTATAATTGATTTTTTTGAAAATGGGATTCAACTTATAATTTTTCACCAAAAATATAGGGGTCAAATATAAATGAAGGACAATTATTTCTGTTACAACCAATTTTTATATTGATATCTTAATTTCCTACCTAAGTTCAATCTAATTACAATCAATAGTAAAATTAAAATAATTTCAATGTTTAGAAGTTATATTACTTATAAAAGCATTGTGTGACAATATACAACCCAAAATATAACCAGAATTATGATTATTTCAGGCCTCAGTAAAATTGACCAGAGTTATGTAAATGGGTATAGTGATATGGCAATTCTTTGAGTTAAATTCAACTTCTTATTGTACATTCACAGGACTTCAAAGCCCAGAAAACTGTGTCCTCCAATAGAAGACTATAGGTCTCTTGCTATTCAAAGGAATACATTTTTCAAATTTGCAAACATATTGGGATGCCCATCTAATAATTTTCCATGATGTCCCCACAAGCTTTTAACCAAACAAAATACTTATGCACAAGGTACATTAGGCAAATATAAAGCTTCAAAATTAGATTATCCGAATCTATGAAAGCATACAGATTTTTGACTGCATTCTATTCAGATTCTGAACCATCAAGTTCTTCAAACTCAACTCTCTTACTTTATTAGTACTGATTCAATCTTTAAGCTAGCCGTTGTGTATGCTCTCGAACCATATTTCAACACCATTTGTAGTTGCTCTGATAAGGCAGCTGATTTCTTTTTCTCGCGATTAAGCAGTTCTGTGGATAGTCCCTGATTTCAGATCTTTTCTCATCCTTGCAAACAGAACCAGCAATGTATATACATGTTCTTAGGGAATACAAAATTTTTCCAATCGAATTGGAAGAGAACAGTTAAACACATAATGGCCAATTAGTTATTTGCATTTGTTTTCTATTAAGACAATAAGAACAAACGTAACCCTGCCATGGAAAAAACTAATCTGGAAGTGCACGTCGTTGAATGCAATCCTATTGATCGTCGAGGTGGTATTTTGCTAGGATTCAGTTCATGGCTGTGTTCTTTTATGGAACCATTAAATGACCCATTTTTCCTCCATCTTTTGCAGCACTATCCTTAACATTGCATTGCATCCCTCTCTAGTAGCAGATCGTGTTGAAAAAATTCTGTTTTCTCTCTGTACATTTTCCTGCACCAAAAAACCCTTCTTTTGAGCATACAAACTGCTCGACCCAATATTGAAGTTATCTTTAAGCGACCGACGTGTACGATTGTTTTCGTATGGTTAAAGCCCATACGGCCTTCCATTAAATCCATAGAATTCCCTAGGCATTCTTCCGCCCGAACTCAAACTCCCATCCAATCGCTGGTTTCCAAAGCTGTTACAGGAAAACTTGAACAGAAGGCTGAACTATGCTGTCAATTTCCGTCCAGATTATCTGAATAGCTCATCATCTGTTGTTTCCTGGGCCATTCAAAAGTTCGGTCTAAACCATCGCCTATAGTTTCCATTTGAATGAATTGTGGCCAGAAGTGCCTTGCATCACAAAACCTATCAAAAAATAGAGGTAGAGTCAAGCATGGAGCCAATAAACCTTCCAAAAAAGAAGCAGAAAATAGCATTTATATTAAAATCAAATATAGGCAAAAAAGGATAAGAGAGGGATGAAAATGCCAATTGCTCGCAGATGAGGATGAATATTATTCAATCTTCTAACTAATGCCTAACCATGCCAATAATCCATACAAATTAACTTGATACATCTCAATGTTTGAAATTAATCAAGCTGTGAGTTTATATGTTGGGGGTTTCATTAAAGGTGTCAGGGGAAGATGGTATCGAATTTCTTTGGATGAGAAAGAAATCAAAGCACCATTTCTAAGGACTTCAAGAAGAACAGGGTAGTATCATTCAGATTACTTATTCAATTTACAGAATGGTAATTAACAACCAAAAAATATTCAAGAATTGCGGGGAAATATAGCAAGGAGGCCAGTCTGAAAATCATCTTTTTTCAACATGAAGGATTAAAATGAGTTCTGATTTAAGACTCCCAAATCTCAGTTTACAAACAAATACATAGTTTCTTTTTGATATGTATAACCAGTATCTACTATATGTCTAGATAGAAAGCGTCTGTTGTCTGACTAGCTCTTACATTCTAGCAACCAAATATAGCAAGCAACCAATTCTGGATCATGGAAAACCAGATTCTCTACTCTACCCATCATATTTCCCCATGAAGAAAAAATAAAAAACGCAAAACAAGCCTTAAATAAAATGAAATTATCTCCAGAAACTAGGAAGGATAGCTTGTTGCCCTCTGCCAGGTACATCAGCATTGCAAAATACCAACTTTAGGCCCATGGCATCACCTTTACAGTTCCAAAACCTACAGCAGAAATACAAAATAAAGCTATAAAAAAGAATGAAGAAATCCCAAATAAAAACAAGTGCGCTTCTACTAACTTCCTATTATCAACCTACTAAAAGTACAGAAAGTTTTCACCTTGTCTGATGCCTCTATCAGAGACCAAGATTCAATTCTAATTTCTAAAAACCAAACAATTATTATAGTAGAAAGCTGAAAGAAAAGACAGATTCAGGTTTATATACATAAATTTATACAAATACAAGTTGAATTAGTAGATAAGGCATCCAATCTCCATAATCCCAAGATTCCATATATCCACCCACACCAAATCAAGAAAATTTGAACAGAAAAGGAAAAGGAATAGAACTCTTAATTTCTACCAGTGCAAGATTCACAACCATAAAGGAAACCGCATATTTTGGGAAAAAGTAAGGATCCTCTAATTAGAATTTCCACTTCCGAACTCATATTCGACTGTTCAATTACAGTACATAGAAAAGCCAAAAACCCCAATCTGAGGTTAAACAAGAACGTAAAGTCCAAAATCCTAAATCCTCTATTCATGTTCTTTGGCTTCAAAAATAACCGAAAAAAAAAACACAAAAGATATGGTATGGTTGGCAGACTTGCAGGCCACCGGAAAAGAAAGGCTTTGAACAACAATATAATAAGGGTTATTACAAACACAATCCCTTGAAGGTTTATGTCTAATATTACATTTCCCGTCTTTGCAATTCAAAAATATCCATTATTATCCATTAAGTTAAGATATAATTTCAAATATGGCATTATATTATTAAAAGAATACCCCCAATCATATATGGTATTATATACTTTTGTATTTTTATTTCATTGGAAGTTAAAGATTTAAAGTTTAAAGAAAATTAATGCTTAATTTACCTTCCTGAATACTTACCATGTATAATTTTACATAAAAAAAAATGAAACCTTTTTAGAACTATGGTAATTAAAATTTATAGGATCAAATTATGACAAGAGTATTTTTTATTTTAGTTTGTATTTAGTTAGGAAAAAGCAAAAACTCCTTTTCCTCCCCATTCAAGTGTTTGGCCCGTATATTCTAACTAGGTCTGAATTTATGTATGCTCATATGTGTGAATAGACACAAAACGCCGCCATGCACACTATTTCAATTCCCAAATTCTAATAGAATATTAGTACATATGTCTTTTGCTATCAATGCTGAGCAAATAGGTGAGATTGTTAGTCAATAGGAGAATACAACAAATGGTGTTTCCATCTTTGCCACAATCCTAAATTATCCCAATGAGATATTTTGGAGAGATATTATGCCTTTATATGTGACTCTCAGCCTACATTTTGTATTTTCTTCATCATGGATCAATCCGGGTAATTAGGTTTTTGAGCTCGGGAAAACAGAGAGACTTAATATAGGCTATTTACAATATAACGCAACCATGAGCTTAGTTTAAAACTACTTTTGAACCCTAAGAAAAAATTTATCTTATTAGCTCCATGAGGACACTTTTTTGGAAGTTGACGGTTAAATGAGCTATACCTTTTATGAAATTCACTCCTAGATCTGAGGTTAAGTACAGTTTGCGCCAAATAGTTCTTTCAGCCCACTATAAAGATTCTGCCAACCATGCAATTTGCCATTCTGTTAAGGTGAACATCTCGTGCAAGTGTTTGTTATTGGTAACTTGAAACTATAAGAGTATTGCCCATTTTCTCAATTATAAATGGATATACAATGACGTTAGTAAAAAGAGGGAACCTTTCAAAATAGAAAATAATTGTCTACGATTGAAAATAACTTGAGAAAGGAAGTGGTAATGCCGAGTTTCCTCATGCCTTAAATACTTGCTGAGCAAAATATCTAATCTCGTTACTACAAAGTTTGTAGGTGTGATAATTTGATTCTGTTTCTGAACCCACAAAATAATTTCTGGAAATAGGTTTTCTCTACCGATGTTCTTGGAGCTCTCACACCACCACCAATTTGGGCTCTTCCTCACACTGGGTATCATATG